AATGCTAAATTTTCTTTTTCGATAAAGCCATTAGATAAAGTCATTGGAAGCCGCGAGGACAGGATTGGACAAGACATGTCTAGACCTCTGCATAGCCCACAAAGCCCATAGCCCAACCCAACCCAACCCACAAATGGGCTGGGCTTTGGGCCCTGCCTTCGGGCCCATTGGTGGGCTATGGGCCCAAGGTGAAAGCCCACCAGGGTTATTTCGGCCTATAATGGGCCCCAAACAATGCAAACATTCCAATTTATCGCAGCTGCATAAGTAATGCATATTTCCCTGGTTATTTTAGGTATTCAAATTACCATTTAAGCTGTATATGAACCATCTTATAAGCTTATAAATTAAGTTATAGGACTGATTGATAAGATATCAAGTAAGATGCTAGGTGATTGAATAGTATATTTACATCCTGATCATGATATATATACTAATAACGCTCATATATATCATCCTTAACTCGCAACCTCTTCCTCCCTAATGTACGCTGCTGAGTATGAATACTCGGTAATTGCGGTGTAGTAGTAGTAGCAGCATCATTATTATCTCCGTTAAGACTATCGCTATCAACATCTATCAAATCCCCAGATATATTATCCTACTCTTTAGTATCACTAATCTTATTAATATCGACATTATCTGGCGTCTTATCCTTCTCTTCTACTAATATATCGGTCTTATTAGTAGTAAAAAACTTTCTAAATTCCTCCGATTTATATACCTTAAGGTCAAACCTTAATATATAGAGATAGAGTATCAGCTCTTCGATAGTATACGGCTTTAAGGAGCCGCGGCGATAATAATAGACGTCGCGTGTAGTATTAAATAGACGCTCTACTCTAGCACCTATTACTAGGATTGCGAGAACATCCCTTATAAGTGTAGCGACGGCCGGAAAACGGGATTTATTCTCTCTCTAGAATGCGAGTGGCTCGGAATTAGTTATATCTATATTAAAATTAGTATCTAGTAAATCATTTGATTAGAAGGATTGGGATTGAATATACTACCGTCAAGATACTACGTCATTTTATTAATAACTAGCTTTGACTTAGTGTTAGATTTCTGGCTTCGAACAAGATTGTGAAGAACTGATCTTATTGTCGATATAGAAGACTCTTATAGACCCTAAGTACTAGTAAGACGTTACTAGATCGGAACAAGTGTATCTTAGAATACTACTCGATACAAATCCTATAGTTCTTTTAAGTCGGACCAGTCATTAGAAAGAAAGAATTAAAATCTACTATCTAGCGATAGTATTATATAAACTATATAGATATGCCCTCGCATTTGATTAGTCTCTTTGTAGTAATCGCGTAGCTTTAACTAACTAGTATCGAGAGAGGTAAGTATCTACTATTTCTATATAACACACTTTCGTTCTAATTGTCTCTTTGATCGTTTAATATACTCGAATAGCAGATTATAGATCTGAAAGATAAGATATGATATTATATCTTATGTCTTTAAGAGGGCAAGTGTATAATCAAAGAATGGCTTTATAATATAAAGAAGATAGTCAATCTAGCGCTATTAATCATCATTAAGGGCGAAGTCTTTCTCGTTGAACTAATCATAAAACTATATAATAAAGATACGGAGTCTCTTAGCTCGCTAGAGTATAAGGAATATTGAATTCCACCGAGTCTTTATATCCTAGATAAGTATAAGCCCTTGCCCTTTAGGTTAAAGTGTAATAAATGAATCCCGGCGCTAAGGACTAGCGCGGATATAAATAGCAAGTGCTCGTATTCTTTTTAAAGTATACGAGATATCCCTTTTTTTTATATTCGCTCTCACGAGGGTACCTTATTACTTAGTCCATTTGGTCTCTATAGTCTTATTCTAAGGGACTGCTTTTAGACGGTCAAGTAGCTGGTTTAAGCTCAATTAGATCATATATATAAGATAGGGGATACAGATAATATTAGTGTTCTTAGTATTAATTGAAGATTGTTATAGCAAAGATTGCTATAGGGCATCAACTAGAGCCTTATTATTCGACGTATTATCGGTGGTCAATCTAAAGATCCGGTCCCGAATTTTATACTTAGTGACCGTTTCTAGGAGGATAGCACTTAGGTTCACACCGGAATATATTCTATAGAGGGGTTTAAAACCAAGTAGCACCTCACGATAGACCTAGTTAGTATCGATAAAATAGCTAGTGATAGCTATAAATGCCTACCTAAATAGAGAAGTCTAACAATCTAATATAACTAAGATCCTCACGTGCTTTGGTAGTAGCCTAAGTATATTCTATTACCGTTCTTTAACACTAAGAGATAGCCGACGTTAAACTATAGTAGCGTAGGGTATAGTTAATAGGCCTAGGGCTAACTATGATTATATAATTAAGCGACGGAAGGATAGGCTTTCGATAAGTCGGAATAGGAGTCGGTTTATAGTAATAAACTATAGGAGTTGATCGTTCTAGGCCTCTTACGAGAAAGGTGCTTCGGCTATATAACCCTAATTAACCCTTATTAGTAAGTAATATTAAAGGATAGGCATTTATATACTAATTAAACAAATCCCCTTATTATACCCTTTTACTTCTATATCATTACAGCATTTCGGCACCCTTTAGTTTCTAGATGACGAGTGATAGTCGTTATACCATAACAGCTAACCTTTCTACTAGCACCATTGGTATTAGCACTAGTTTCTTACTTAATGCTATATAGATACTTAAGGATAAGACCGTAACGCTTACACATCACCTTTAGGCTCCCTAAAACCGAATACGCTACTTATTCAAACTATTTCTAGGTCTCCGAAGCGGAACCATGCTAGGAGTCCTATAGAAGCGTCTTATTATTAGATCTATAGTCGGTCTATAACCACCAATCGACCTAATTACTATGATTCATCGCGTCGAAGAGAAAGAAATCCCGTCTTTTACTAGGACCGACTCGTTAAAAGCACTTAAAGTCTACTTCTAGAGCGATTAACGAAGGAATAGATAGCTAAAGAAACGATGAACCACCGTAGTTACTAAATGCCTACTAGGAAGCAGTGAATGATATAGTATCGAGGTCAGGTTCGAATGGGTCGAACTAAGATGATCCAATCTCGGTTTACTAGCTTTACGATATAATTAGTTGACGATTTAATAATAAATTTAAGATTATATAGTATGAAATGTATAGTAGGAAGGGTATAGGGTTTTAGGGGGATAGGTTTAAGGTCATACATTACAAAAGGCCACCTTCTTAATAATAGGAAACAGCAAATTGATATAATAAACAGAGAATTCATTATAGTGCTAGTCTGAATTAAAATAGATGATTATAATACTCGTATATTATTAGCTATATCATATATATTAAGTGGGTTCAGCCTATCCAAAGCCTATAGATAGCCTATTCCTAGCCCATTTCCTAGTCCATTTATTAATATTATCATTCAAAATATTTCACCCAATAGCTCATAATATATTTTGAAACCTCTATTATATCGAGATTAGATATAATATCACTTATCTATAGAAGTAGAAATAAAGAAGGAGAGATAGGCTATCTGTTAGTATAAAATTCAATCATATAAGCCTATAAAATATGAATTTGTTACTTGAATTTATACTTCAACAGAAAGATACACCTGTTTTAGTCTATATAAAATATATATATCTTCATATTGATACTTAGTAATCTTCCTAGGCGCTATAATAGTATAAATTCCTAGTCAAATTGAAGCTTTTTTGTGTAATTTATATGAAATCTGGCATCATGATGTCGAATTTAGTATAATATCCACTCAATTCCTACTTGTTATAGTGATAATATAATAATACTAAATATACAGGCTGGAACAGGTGTAAAATACAGTCATTAATCAGCTACATTATACATGCCAAGACTGTATTTGTGCATAGATATGGGCTTTGATGGGGGCCCACAGCCCAACCATCGATAGGCTGTGGGTTGGGTTGGGCTCTGAAGATTGAGCCCATAGCCCACTGCGGGTTGGGCTATGGGCTGGGGGTCTAGGCCCATTTGTGGGCTATGCAGAGGTCTACAATAGACCCAAAACCCATTTTGGGTTGGATTGGGTTGGGTTGGGTCCGGGTTAGAGTGGGTTGTGCCGAAGTCTAGTTGGACTTTGACCTCGCTTTTGCTATATAGACTACAATCTGTCCTTGGCGCATTTTTCTGGTACTGTAGATATTCCGGTAACCGAATTACCACAGGCCTGTTTTATCCCGATCGGATATATGCCGGGCCGACCTTGGTCCGAAATGACTCACTCGCCCACAAACTAAATCACGGGATCTGATAAGAACCTTACAAATCATGACGAAACACACAAATACTAGTTTGACAATCCCGTGAGCCCGCTGTGTCGGCTAATTTCTTGCGACAAATCTGGATAACAGGATCCTGCATCTCTGTATGAAAGCTCAGCAGATAGCCATATGAAAGCCGACCAAGCCTGTACGGCCTGCCAAAGAAAGAAGCGCAAGTGTGACAAAGCCTTGCCTAGCTGTGGTCTTTGTGAGAGGCTTGGCCGTTGTTGCAACTATGACAGTCAGGCACAGCCTCGCAGTGGTGACGTTTCCTCTCTTGAAAGGAGGATTTCTCAATTAGAATGCCTTCTCGATGAAAGTATTATGAGAAATTCTGGCCAGGAGTCTACAAATTCAAGGACTGCTACTCATTTTCAAGATAGAAGCGTGATAGATGAGGAACGAGACAACACCCTATCTCTTGCATTCCTAGATATCGAGTGCTTTCGACGGTCACGCTCACATGGCAGGACACCCACTATTGATATTCCGATGGTATGATCCGACCTCTAGCTTCATAGTACTCTTGCTCACCGACTCTTAGGAAGTATTGACAATTTTAAGCGGCGAAAAAACGATTGAGAAAGTCACCACAGATTACTTCAACACAATACATTTGTGGTTACCCGTTATCTCAAGGAAGCGAATTGACCTTGGCATCACCTTCTGGACTAGGGGCTCCGATCTGGCTATGCTTTTTCTTGCAATGAAGTTGATAACTTCCAGGCCTGAGCAAGGAACTTCGTATCAAGAGAACCCTTTGTATGCTGTGTCAAAACGCTTTCTTGCAGCCCTTGAATCGGCTGGCGCGGTATCATTGCTCTATCTGCAGGCTATGCTGTTGGTCGCGTATTATGAGTACGGCCATGCGATATATCCAGCCGCATGGATGACCATCGGTGCCTGCTCCCGTTATTCTGAAATCCTAGGACTGCCTTCGCAGACTGACTTATACAACACTCTAGAGCGGAGTGTAAGTTAGGCTCTGCCCATCCTTCCCCCCTGGACTATTATGTTCTTTTTTTTGTGAGAAATCATTACTGACTCATCATGGACAGACAACTTGGACAGAAGCGGAAGAGAGGAGAAGAGTATGGTGGGGTGTCTTTATTTTAGACAGAGCCATTTCCATTGGGAGTCAGAGAAAGTTCAGTGCCCCCGATCCGAAGGACACCGATCTTCTTCCTGTTGATGATAGTGCTTGGGTAAGTTCTCTCTTAATATTCCAGATGCGCGGTAGAGAACCAATCATTGATAAGAAATCGTTCATTGTGTCAGGATGAAGGTTACGTTTCGAGCGCCATTCACCGTACAGTTTCAATCCCGCTCTCTGTTCCTCAACCTTGTTTCGCTCGGCTTTGTCAATCAGCCATGCTGGCTGGCCGCGCCAGTACGCATGTTTCTTGTGCTCGCTCGTCGGGCACTTTACGCCTTTCCGATGCCGTTTGTCTCACTGACTCGTTAAACAACTTCATTCTTCAACTTGATGCGGATCCTCCAACCTCAGCACCATACGGTTATTTCGCCAGTATAGCCCCCCGCTTTTTAGCCTGGTCTGCATTGATCATGGTTCTGGATAGTTATGCATGCCCAGAGACACTGCAAGCTGGTATGGGCATTTCCGCAGGAAAGGAAGCTCAAAATGGAGACGAAGCAGAGATGCAAGTTCTTGCAGTACAACAACTACGAGATGTGAGCGAACAGACAAATCAGTTCACGAACGAGCTATTGAAATTTATTACCTCAGTCCCAGACCCAACCGAACAGCTTGATCAAGTTTGTCCCCTTATTTTAGACGCTATTTATTGTGTGATGGCGACATTGCAATTTATTTGGCATGAGAGTGGTGATGTTGCAGTTCATTGGAGGATAGAAAACATGAAAACAGCATTAGAACAGCTTGGGGTGCGGTGGAGGCTTGGATCTCAATATCTCTCCATGGAAAAGTACCATGATGTTCTTGAATCTCGGCCAATAGCTGAAACTGGGAAATGAAGTGTCGTCAAGTTCCCCCCTACACTCCTCATTCATTCTGTCTCTCTCTCTCTCTCTCTCTCTCTCTCCCCCTTAAATTTGACCTCTCCCACCTAATGTAACCACACTATGTATCCTTTTTTGTTCATATGAATGAATGATTGCTTGCAAATGGACCTATATCATCGTCGATGCGTGTCATACCTTAAAGGCCATGGAAACCTAGGAGGCAGGAGCAGGCACAAGTTGAAGAAATTGTGAAAGCTACAATTAAAAGCGATGTTGGAGCTGAAATGAATTGTTACGCCGAGAATATCAAAATAATGAGGCGTCGCGTGAATACTTTAAAGTAACTTCGTTCAAGCCCGTTTGTTCGTTGCAGTATTTAATTGGAATCGAAGGTAGTGCGGATCAAAGGAAGAAATATTTGAGTGGAAATTGATGAGATTACGAAAATTAAATACTGAAACTCTGTCCAACAATCTGTTCACTCAACTGCCAAAGACGTTCTGCTGCTTTCGGGTCAACGGCATATTTTTCAGCCCCAATTAACTGGCAGTCAGCAAGAAGAACTCCGCTCGATGCTATCAATGAGGTCGATTAATATTTCGAATTCGGTATGAATCACTCTGGAGAGCACACACCTTTCAGAGAGGGGTCAAAAGCGGCAACCAACGTCGTTGCAGCACCCTGGTCCAATGTCTTTGGTTGTAAAACGCTCTGTATACCTGCGAGATCCTCTGATTGGCCAGGCAAGTGCCTACCAAGCTCGGTCTGCACCAAGCCTGGATGAACCGAAAAAGATGAAATGCCATGTCTTGCAAGGTGCTCATTCAAATAGACACTAAACAAGATGTTGGCAGTTTTCGATTGTCCATATGCCTCCCACGAGCCAAAAGGCTCTGGTCCAAGGGGAAGCCCAAAGCCTTTGATATAATCCCGATTTGGGCGTTCCTCTTCCGGGATATCTGACTTGTCGAAATTATAATCAGAGAACCTGATTGGCGAGAAAAGATAACCGAGGCTCGTCAGGTTCACCACACGTGTTGAACCTGCAGGGTTTGATTTCGCGGCCACAAGCAATGATTGCAAAATCAAATTGGTAAAGAGAAAATGTCCAATATGGTTGGTAGCAAGTTGAAGTTCCGTGCCATCACCAGCAAGACGCTTATCAGACAATGCAATACCAGCATTGTTGATAAGAAGGTCGATTATCTCCGAGTTTTCGAGAACCTTCTTTGCGGCATCTCGCACAGACTTCTGAGATGACAGATCCATCACAAGAGGTTTTACATGGACGTCGGGGTAAGACTGCCCTATGTTTGATGCCATATTATTCAATCTGTCCTCACTGCGGCCACAGATGATCAGGCTAGCGGGATGCTGGGACGCAATGGCCATAGCTGTAGCTCCGCCAATTCCTGAAACTGCGGCACCAGTAATAAGAACTGCCGCCAATGTCAGTTTCACGCTCACTTGATATTTTGAGCATATTCAAAATGGTAGAATACCGTGCTTCCCCCGAATTTCCTCCTCGAACGCTTTGGCGACTTCAAGAGCACCAGTCTTTTCGCCGAATTGCGGAAATGAAGACATTGTCGTAGATGGATTTGCGAAAGTATGATTGAGGGAATGGATTGAAACTGATTCTCGAGATAGAACTTTTTTTTTGATTGCATTACTCGCGACGTGCTTTTATACGTTTCGTTTCGGATAGGCCGGATAGAATAGGATTTGAGTATGATCAAAATTATTTCGAATAACCTTTAAGATTACAGCATGAATGCAAGCGGGCGCATTTCCCGCCTCCCGAGATTTCTATTTAAAAAAAAATCGCCTCTAATTTGAGATAGTGGGGCAAATGCGGCCGCATTCCCGCTTCCCGCGATTTCTATTCGAAAGAAGATCGCCTATTATTTGGGATAGTGGGCCAAATACAGCCCATTCTTCCGGGGCCAAAGGCGTACGAAAAGTAGCGGCGAGTTGCGGGAGGGTAAGGTTCATGAACAATGGTAGGTTTGGCGCCATCCTTATGTAACCGCTTGTGATTGAGTGTTAATACTACCCCATCCCATGGAGATGGTTTTCGAAGTGTGGTATGTTAGATGTATTAAATTTACAAGCGAATACACCTCACCAAAGGGTTATGTAAGAAGCAATACAGGCCCAATTGACAGGGATACTCCGGAAAAACTCCCAATATGTACTAGTATGTCTTGGCATTAGGGTTCGAGAAACAATCGAATAGTGTAGGTGGCGACACCAGTTTCGGGACGTACTGCAGGTATTGCCAGTAGCGGTAGTGTAAGTGGGTAGCACTCCGAGGCAACCTGCAGGATGACCAATTGGTTACTCTTCAATCTGCAGGTATTGGGTTCGATTCCCAACGCTGGCGCAACATAACCACCATCGCGTCTCTGTGGAGAGACACAACAACCCGGGGCAGTGGAGTACCCCAGCGCCTTATCAGGTGAGGCTCAAAGTTTATCGTTCAGGAAGCTTGGAACAATCTCAGTGGATCAAAAAAACATGTATTTAAAAAACAGTTGTTGTAGCCTGCATATCGTTCGCGAAGGGTCAGGGTAAATGAATTCTACTACTACTACTACTACTGTAGTAAAATGTAGGCTCTAATGGTGAATTAAATCAAGTCAAGCACCATTACTCGCATATATTCCAAGTCGCTGTGCCAAATTCTAAGCAATTGTAGTAGTATATGGGTCACCATATCCTGGCAAGGCAAAAAACTGATACACTTTTCCTTCCTGGTCATTCCTGCGCTCCTCGGCCCATTGAGCCAATGCACGAGAGAAAGCCTCCACATCTTGCTGCAACCCGAGGTTGATTGGTTGCAAGTCGTGCCCCATTTGTCTAATGTGTACGCCAGCAGCGACGACCGTGAGACCGAAGTCTGACATATTAAGTTTCTGTTGAATCGCTCCTGTAACCATACCGATGAGGATATCAGAGCATAATCGGGGCTCCTGGCACAGGGCGCGGCCGAGCCCCACACCGTCAACTGTCTCGAGGGCGTTGACAATGCCCTCGACCGTCTTTGAACCGCCTGTGACATATGATTTGGTCTGCGACAAGGTCGGAACAATGAGCTTAGCAAATTCAAGGAAGAACTGCAAACTAGTTAGCGCAAGCATGACGTAAATCCAGAGTTCAAGCCCATACCGCTTCACGTTTAATGGTTGACTCTCGTTTCGTACCGAGGGGCCAGTTCTCGTACCTCCCCCCGAGAGCTCCACGAAGTCGAATCGGTTCTCCTCCAGCGCACCGCACAGCTCCTTGGCATCATCCGGCTAGAATCCGCTTTCTTGGAACTCCACACTGTTGATCTTGATGCCTATGACGAAATCCCTTCGCACTCGCCGAGCAATTTCGTTCCTGATTTCCAGGACTAATCGCATGCGGTTCTCTAGGTTTCCTCCGTATTCATCCGTTCGCTGGTTTGTGGTCGGGGATAGAAACTGGCTAAGGAGATAACCGTGGGCACCGTGCAACTGGATACCGTCAAATCCTGCTTTATCGAGGTACTCGGCAGCATGGGCGAAGCTTTCCACAACATAAGCAATGTCCTCCTTTGTCGCGGCCCGGGGCCTCGCATATGTCGCCTCGTTAATGAATCCCAACAGGGGAACATCACTGGCACTGATTGGACATGGCTGGAGATGTTCCGGTGACTGGCGGCCCGGGTGCGATACCTGGGCCATAATGAGCGAACCATGAGCCTTTGCGACCGATGCAAGCTCATGAAAACGGTCAAACCGCTCGCCAGAAAATGGAGCGGCACATGGAATGACCAGATTGCCCGCAGCCTGAAGCTGATCGGGTTCTATCATAACATTCCCGGTCAGGAGGAGACCGACCTTCCCCTCACCCCAGTGGCCGTAGGCCTTGATAAGTGCAGGCGAGGGAATGCCGCGCGCATCTAGATCGGTAGGGGATCAGGACGCGAGATGCTCACTCATAGCACCCTTTAGAAAACGGTTCGGCGCAGACCGCCCAGAGAATGTAAAGCTCAGAGGCTGGGCAAGAGGAGCAGGTCGACATAGTCAGACTGAATGCGCGGTGTAGACGACATGCTGAATCGGTTTTGGCAGGCAACTGATCACTAAAAAGAACCCAGTATCAGTTGCGGGCCGTTAATATGGGCGTTTTAAATGTCTGGGTTGGCATCGCCACCGTTGAAACCGATGTTGCTAACATTTGTAAGCGATCTTTGCGAGAAGATTCTGTGGATTATCCCACATGCTGAATGACAGAAAAGTGAATGCGCAAATCAATGTGGAGCGCACCACTGTGCTATGTTTACAAAGTTGTTGAAGTAAATTACAAAGCTAAACTCGGAAGGAATCGAAGGATTAACTTCCGTAGCCGCTAATCTTAATTCGCGGATTTGATTACAAAGTTAGATTCGGAACGATCAACTTCCGTAGCCGCTAAACTCTAAAGCAATGTTTGCCGGCATTTTTCGACGTTGGTCCCGCAATTACATCATCTTATCAACCCACGTAACTAGGTCAACGTATTCAACCATCGAACGGTAAGCATCACCAAGCGGTAAGCTCTGTATGCCGTGCAAAATAGCATATCCCGATCTATTATATCTCAATAAATTCCCATCTATCTTGCTAAATATTTTGGGATTTATATTTGGAAATGATGGATAGCCTATGTTCAAAATTTGAAGTAACTTGCTACATTAGATACGCAGGTATAATAATATGTATTTTGATATAAATTTCGTGGACTATCATCTAATTTTGTTGTGAGAAAACAACAAGTATCATCCTACATTGCGTTTATTCACTTTTCTATTATAAGGATCAAATATTGATTTCTTGTCGAGTTACGAAGGATTGACAAAGTGCTAAATGGCATGGCATACAGAGCTTACTGCTCGGTGTTATTTAATATCTCCTTGTCTCCGGTAGTAGAGTTTAGCCACTCACCTTGTACATTACATACGGCGTTCCAACGAAGAAATGTTCTAAGTTTTCTATGGAACGTTTTACAAAATGAACTTGATGGTTTTGAATGAATCTGAAACAAATACTAATTTGATTTGAAAGCAATGATGCGTGGGTTTGCTGACAACATCATAGATTACAAACAAACATGTCTTTGACTAAGAAGGTCCGAGGCGCAACCCGTCGGTATTACCAAGACAATTAGGGGTTTAAAAGAGTTCTACATTTCCTTACCTGGATATCTTTCGCCAGATTCTTCCCATTTTCAAAGATATCAACTGGAGACAACGAAGAGTACGTTCAGGTTATCAATTTTGACAAATTCGTACTACATCCTCGTGAGCTGACACGATCCAAACATTTCAGATGACCACCACGAACGTCCTTATTGTTGGCGCCGCAGGGCAGACAGGAGCATCCATTACGAACAGTCTTTTGGAATTCCCGACTGAGTTTGTATGTATTGATCTGCGATATTCTATCGAAAGACACTAGCTCCGTCAGGAGCATCTCAGATAAGTTGGGAGTCATACTGATTTTCACGACAGGAAATCACCGCCCTATTGCGCCCGGCGTCAGCAGATAAACCAGAGAATGTCGCGCTGAAAGAGCGCGGGGTTAAACTGGCCCCTGCTGACCTTCAGGGGCCACAGGATGAACTTATCAAGCTCCTTTCTGGGATTGACGTGGTCATCTCCGCCATCGGGCCGACAGCTCAACTGGACCAGATTCCACTTGCGACCGCTGCAAAAGCAGCTGGTGTGAAGCGATTTATCCCCTGCGGATTTATTACGGTTGCACCACCGAAGGGGGTTATGTGGCTGCGCGACCAGGTACGGTTGCCTCGTCCTTATAACAACTCAGAAATAAAGCATTCAGGATGAGAGCTAACAAAATACTTTCTTTGAAGAAAGAGGATGTCTATAATCACATCCGCGAGCTATCCCTGCCGTACACGATCATAGATGTTGGCTGGTGGTTTCAGGTTGCGGTCCCTCGTGTTCCATCTGGCCGCGTAGACTACGCGGTGATGAACCCTGACGCTAACGCAATCATCGGCGATGGCGACCAGCTTAGCGGGCTCACGGACCTGCGAGATGTCGGTCGTTATGTCGCGAGAATAATCGTGGACCCTCGCACGCTGAACAAGATGGTGTTTGCGTACAACGAGCTACTCACACAGGACAAGATATTCAAGCTGATGGGGGAGCTGAGTGGGGAGAAAATTGAAAGAACCTATGTATGTTTTGGTCTCCATGCACCGTATACAGAATCCGCTAATTATTTCCTAGCTTCCCGCGGCCGAAATACACTCACGAGTCGACACCGCTAGAAAGGCGATGAAAGAAGGATCCACAGATGCGCTTGACAAATTGATGCTTTATACGAGCGAATACTGTCTGTCCTGGGGCCTGCGAGGAGACAATACGCCAGAATACGCAAAGTTTTTGGGATATGTGACTTCCAAGGAGCTCTATCCAGACTTCAATGGTGTGAGATTTGAAGATTACCTGAGGGAAGTGCTTGAGGGAAAGGCCAAGCGAGTTTATCCAGACTTGAAGTTCCCAAAATCATAAACTAAACAAGGGGTTTCAATGGTCCCAATTTGCTGCACAAGGAGAAGGAAGTCTGATTGACGCAGCTTTGGTTAGACTAGATATTTAAAAAAAAGAATTCAAGACAGAAGCGCTCAAAAAGATTCCAGAGCTTTCATTGCGTTGCATATTGAAAAAGCACGAAAACCTTGGTGAAGCTCTTTAGAGATCACGGTGCCGAACGAAAATTATCGAATGACAAGACACATGTCAAGAAAAGGATTGAAAAGCTCAACAAACAAATCATCGACCGAGAGACAGGTGCCGATTTCGGTAGACGAAGTCGCAACAACAGTTTGATGAACGGTGGACAGATCGACATTCGGCCTCAGGATAAGCGCAAGTGGTCACAGAGTTCGTGCAACAGCCCTATGTCGGATACGGACCTTCACGCCGAGCTTGCTACAACGACTGAGATCCTTTCATCGGCCCGTCAAGTGAGTGTACTTAGTCTTCGTGGTAACGTGAAGGATGATCCGGATCTACATCCTATCTATTTATCAGATGGATCAAGCACTTCTGTGAAAGATGCGTTCTTGGATAATCAACATAGCACACGTGCTATAATCTTGGCCCCCCAAGGAGCGGCTGACTTGTCAAAAAAGGCCAACCTGCCACCGCCCAAAGTGCCAAAAGTCTCTATTGGGACTTCTCAAAGCTCTTCACCTCCTGCGAATTGTTGTTCCAAGTCTGGTTCGTACCACAACAAAGCAGACTTTGATTTTCATTCACTTACTTTATCGCAGTTGCATGCTTTTACCTCCAGTTCACTCAAAGCGGGAAGCAGCCCCAGGGCAGCTATTATGCAATATACCTAGCAGATCGCACTTCTCTCAATTTGAAAGTCGAGCTTGCGGAGAAACTGCAGATCGACCCTTGTCTTGTCTCTCGTTAAATTTGGGTCAAGAATAAAGGCTTGAAGGTCCTGGTGGATGACGATATGGTCCAACAACTTCCCGAGGCGCTGATCATGATTGCAGATATCTGTGAACTCTCGTACACAGAAATGGCTCCCTCGAGCGCAAAGTGCTCTGGGGTGGAAGTAAAGCTCGTGTTCTAGCTATTGCATATAAGAAACAATACAGGTCGCACTGACAGGTATTCCGGGCGAAATTGTAGTATAGGCTTGCGTGTCTCGGCAGTTAGGCTTCGAGAAACAATGGATGAAAGAGTGTAGGTGGTGACACCAGTTATGGGACGTAGGGTAAAAGAGATGATATTACCGTAATTTACGGGGACTTACCGAAAATACATGGACGAATTTAAAGCCTGGCGGAATGATATCCTAGAACTAGGAAATGCACGTGACGCATGTGGGGCTCAGGATGAGAAAGTAACCACAATCTATTTAGCCAATGGCAGTATTTGAACGCCCGTACTTTTGCCCAAGATTAATATCGTTTTTCTTTCACCAGCCGTTGTTTAATCCATTTTATCACCATCTGCACCATCAACACATCAACATAACGCTGATCGGCCTTCATCATTTACAATATGACTGTTCAACAAATCAATCCCAAAGCAGCCGACACGGCTAACTTACACAAAATGGGAAGATTGTACAATCTGGATTATGATCCAACGTGTTGACTTCGAGTCATGCCATCCATGCCCTCGCTAGTTTGTCTGTGCATTGAGGACATTTATCGACTCGAAAAAAAACTTGCGGGCCACCGTCTCTCCATGAGCGGCCTCAAGATCTTATTTTCAAAACTTCAAGCGCAAATTCCGACGGTCTTCAAAAGCCCTATATGGTCAAGCATATGCTAGATGGGCTGTTTGACGTCTATCTCAAAAACGATGATTATGAGTGGGACTTTCAAGATGGATGTTATAGCAACGGTTTACACCTTGATATGCATTAAACTGTTGTATTGATGCTTTCATGAGGTAGATGAGACGGACACCCAAATAAAGGTGAATCTCTGTGAAATCTTGCTTTGGCCTAGATGGTGCTGTTTTTACGAGTCACTAGAGTTGATTTGATTGGCTTATAACCCCGCCCTCGAAGGGCGTCACTACCTAGAATATTCGAAATGGGATTCCTAGTTAGGAGTTCCGGTTTGAACCTCTAAGGAATCAAACTTCCCTCCCGTTCTTATCTCTCGCTATAGATGATACTGTTTCGGGCCTAGCAGCCCAGAAGATTTGGGAGTTGTTTGCGATTTGTGGAGTTAAAAGTAGTGAGGAGCTTCTTAGGTCACTTACCGCCTATACTATCGAACATCGTGAGCGAGCCCCCGCTAAGTGCTAAGCGATATCCGGACATTAACAATTTTTCTAGTTCGCGAAGCCCAACTTAGGACCGAGAGAGGTAGCGGGTCCGAGATTAACTCTTAGCTGAAGGAAAAGACGATCGAAACACCTCTCACTCCTCCGTATGACAAACGTGGATCTGAGCGCCTTCTGAAATAGGCTGTAACGGAAGGCCGAACGACTTATAATAATATGGCTGGCATAGGGGAGCGAAAAAGGAAGAGAGAAACAATAGTTATAGCTTGAAGTTGATGGACTAGCGTCCTAGAGCATCTGCGAGTTGTGAAAGTGGGATATCTAGCGATAAGACTCCCTAAAAAAATCTGTCGCCTCAAACGCGCTAAACGGTAAGACACTAACTACTGCTTCAAATCTATGATTGATGAGATAAGGGACTTATGATTCACTTTTTGCCTTAGGTCGATGACGCTAATCCTTAGGGTTTACCGATACCCCGCGATAGCTCCTTACTATTATATATGAATTCAGCCTACGAAATGAAGGTTATAACAACAATAATTATAGAATGCGTCAAATCGAACTCCGCTATAGCGAAGTACGGGCAGCACACTAGCACAGCTATGGTAACAACTAAGCTGGAGAAGACATAGGATTATATCAACGAGTTATCCAAATATAGTTATAATCAAGCAATCAAGACCATTCGAAGGGACATGTTACACACTGCTAACTGGTCACAGTTAGGTTAGAAGGTTTCCAGGTTATACTTGCCTTATGCTTCTCAGGTTTCCAACGTCAACGATCTGTACTCTCAACCGTACTGTTGCCTAACAGGCCTTACTGTAGGATGGGTCCTATTGAGGTATCGAGGAACGATGCCAGGTAGAGCGCCGAGTAGATCTATACCGGAGTATTGGTCTGCTCGTGAGTGTTGTCAAGTTATAATCAAGTTAAAGAGTCACTAAAGTTCCAAAGGTATACACAAGTAACAATGTATGATTGAAGACGAAGAACTAGACTAAGTACATGAGAGAGTGTCCTTATATATCCTTCGTATCCTACTCCCTGGGTGACTCCCCTGGAGTCACTATTGGAGTCGCTGGTGACTCCTGGATATACTCCCGTGGAGTAGATCTGGGAGTCACGGTCACGTGGTGATTGCCTAATCGTGGTGGCAGAGGTTTGCTGGTCCATATAGTAATATATATACCGGATATCCTCTGGAAGTGGGTCCTACTTAGGGCTGATCATGCTCTTGCTCACTAAGCATGATCACGGTTTCTCTTTTCCCTAAACGCCTGGGGATCCTAAGGTATAGGATCTTACACGTGATCTGATGACAGATCGATTGGTTGGCTCTCGGTGGCCCATTAGTAGTTGCGGTCTCTATAATTGATTGGTGACTAGCATGTCCGTAATATCATCTCCCCCTCTCCTAGGAGTGTCGTCCCCGAGACTCATAAATCTGCGGTCCCCCCTTAGGTTGGTGATGTTTTTCTTTTCCTCAATGTCGTCTCCTCACTATGCTAGTTTCTAACGAAGTGCGTAAGAAAAATAGGTTACGTCAATACAACACTATTTTGGTAGCGGGTTCAATTGTCGATACCCCGTGTGAACACTGTTCGAACAACTCCATCGACTATGTCATGGACTCGAAAAGTTAGAATTGTGCGGAGTGTACCCGTCGCGGTCGTAAATACGTGAAGCGTTTCCATAACGATCGTGAGTGGGAATCGTTGGAACGTGACCGTCAGAAGGTGGCGGTGGAGTTGGAGTAAGCCCAAAAACAATGGCTTGAATATTCATAGCGAATGAATCAGGCGATGTTAAAAATACTTCGCCTTTAGAAACAACAATAGTTTCTTAAAGATCGTGGTGGTTAGATGTTAAATCATGACTCGGTGGTTATAGAGCAGTTGGATGCTAAGGATCCTCCGTCTATTGAGGACCTCGCTAAGCTGGATCGTCTCGCCGAAGAGCACGATACTCAGATTCTTGCCGCCACGTTAGAGAATCCTACTCTGACCCAGATGTTCGGTCCCCTATCCCCTTCCGTCTTAGAGGGGATGGACTTGGCCTTCCTAGTCGATTCTTCCGGTAGAACTATTAAACCAGCTAGGGGCAGCCCCTTAGGTTCTCGATAGGTTCCCATATGTTTTCAGAGGTATCGTACCCCTTCTATCTCACTAAGTAGTGAGGCTTTCCGCTCATTCGTTTCATTTCTAGAATTTCCTCAACCTCATATTCGTTTTCGGTTTCTTCTTCTATTTCCACATTTGTCGCGAGTTTAGCGTTGTTTGGTGCGGGTTCGAGTAACGAGATATGGAACACTAGGTGGAGTTTTTACATGCTTTCCGGTAGCCTCAAGCGATAATTGACCGGTCCCAATTTTTCTTCAATTTCGAATGGTCCCAATCGTAGATGGTCCAATTTGTTACTAGGTCGCTTGGTTTTAATGTTACGGCGTAAAAGATAAACCTTTTCCCCCTCTTTAGGTCAGGTCCCTCCTGGTGTTGTTAGTCGTAGTACTTTTTCATGCGTATATTAATGAAGTCAATGTCTCTGGATAGTTGTAGATATAACTGTTTTAGCCCGCTGGCCTTTAGCCTTACTAATTCCGCCACGGCTGTTTTACCAATTGGTTCTCTAAACATCATAGGGTTATACCTATAGTTTACGAAGAATAGTGATTCTCGTGTTGTAGAGTGTACTACATTATTGTATGCTAGTTGTGCTGTTAGTAATAGTCCTGCCTAGTCGTCTTGCTGGTAGTTCACGTAGTGCCGTAGGTACTATTTCAACGTCTGGTTCACTCTTTCTGTTTGTCCGTTGGTTTGTGGATGGTATGCGGTAGAGAGTCTTAGCTCAATACCCATTTGATCCGTAAATGACTGCCATATCTTTGATATGAACAACTTGTCTCTGTCTGATATAATCTTGCTCGGCATTCTATGGTTTGCGACCATATGTCGTAGCACGATGTTTGCCATTTGGTCGGCGTTAATGGTTTCTATAGTCGGAATCATATAGGCGTACTTTGTGAGCCTATCGACTATAACCATGATCATGTCGTGTCCTTCTAAGACTGGTAGCTTCGTGATGAAGTCTATGGTGATCCATTCCCATGGAGTATTTGGTGTCTCCGATAGTTATAGTTGCCCGTATGGTGCGTGTCGTGCTAGCTTGTTCCTTTGGCACGTATCGCATCCCTAGATGTAGAATCGGACCTTACGGTTCATGTTTGGAAAATAGTAGTTTCGCGAAACATGCTCCACTATCTTTTCTACCCCCATATGTCCGTGTGCGAGGTCGTTATGATGTCTTCGGATGACCTCGTTTCTAAATTGTAGCGGGACATATATCAATCCGTGCGCGTAGACCATTCCGGTCTCGTCCGTGGTAAATTATGGTTGGGTGTATGACCCGTCCCTGACTGACTTTGATGCGACGTCGTTATCTTGCGCTACTCGGATTTGTTATAAAAGGTCGTCATCCTTGACTTCGATCGTCGCGGCCAGCATCTGTTTGTTGTACGAGATGGTTCTATCTTGGTTTTGTTTTAATATAGCGGGTTCCGCTGCCTTGGTACCAAGCTCGTAATCTGGTCGCCTACTTAAAGCGTCTGCTTGGCTATTCTCTGTCCCCTTGCAGTGTATGATTCTAAAATCGTATTGTGCTAGGGTTTCAGCCTATCGCGCTTATCGTCGTGTGAGAACCTTGGTCGTCGTGAAGAACGTGAGGTTCTTATGATCGGTCCGTACCGTCATAGTGTGTTTTGCTCCTTCTAGATATACTCTCCAGACTTAGAATGCTGACACTATAGCTAATAGTTCCTTATCGTGCATATCGTAATTGAGCTCTATAGGGATTATCTTCCTAGACCAGAATGCGACCGGTTAGGAAGTCCCTTTTTCTTCTTGAGTTAGTCTAGCTCCGAGAGCGTAGTCTGAGGCGTCCGTTTCTAACACGATTGGTAGATCGTAATTGAATGTAGCTATAATCGTTCGTTTGTTAAATAGTTTCTTTAGTTCCTAAAACGATGTTTCTGCTACGTCGTCCCATACAAATGTTTGTCCTTTCTTAGTGAATTGGTAGAGTCCGGTTGCTATACTAGCATACCCGTCGATGATCTTCCGATAGTAGTTTGTAAGTCCAAGAAATTGTTACACTTCTTTAACGTTTCTGGGTGTAGGCCATTCCATGATGCTTTTAACCTTATCCTCTTCTATGCCTAACCCGTCTAGGCTGATGCGATATCCGAGAAATCCTATTTCCTAGACGTGAAACTCGCATTTCTTGAGTTTGAGAGTGACCTTCGTAGCTCTCAACTTATGTAGTACCAGCTTGTTGTGCTTAATATGTTCTTCGAGTGTTTTGGAGAATACTAAGATATCGTCCAGATACGCGATAACGAAGATGTCAAGATACTCTTCCAATGCGCTAAAGATAAAGCGTTGAAAAGTGGCTGGTGCGTTGGTGAGGCCGAATGGCATAACCATATACTCGTAGTGTCCGTACTTGGTTCTAAATGCCGTTTTCCATTTATGGCCTGGCTTAATCCGAATGCGATGATACGTATTAGTAATGTTATACTTCGAAAAGTACTTTGCTCCTTGAATCCGATCCTAAATCTCGTGAATCAAAGGTAGCGGGTGTCGATCTTTGATGGTAATCGAATTTAGATGTCGATAGTCCACGTAAAGTCGAAGGCTCCCATCTTTCTTTGGTACGAAGATAATCGGGTATCCCGCTAGTGATTTGGAGGCGCGGATATAACCTTTCTATAGGTTTTCGTCGATATAATCCTTAAGTGCCCCGGATTCTTTCTAAGATAGTTGATAGATAGGTTTGAAAGTAGGTTCTATACCCTCTATCGTATTAATCTTATAGTCAAAGATTCCGTGTTCTAGTAGCACTCCGTCGGCCGGTGCCGTGAAGACATCTCTGAACTCCCGGTATTCGTCTAGAATCCTAGGTTCGTCGCTAGTTGTATACAGCTTTTCGTGTTTAACAATCATATATTCCGCCAATTCGTGGTCGGACATATCTGGTGACTATTCTATAGTGTCCGGGGCGGCGCCTATAACTAATACCCTAGCCCTCCTCTTACAGGACTGGTTGTTACTACCGTTAGTCCGTTAGGCAGACTTCTTCCGACGCGTTTCGTAGTCGTCGTATTGTTTCGCACACTCGCATCTATTAAATGATATGCGTCCTGTTTGCTAGTCGACGCTCGGGTTGTGCTTCCTAAGCCATAGAATGCCTAAGACGATGTCGTAGTCTCCCGTTTCCAGGATATTGAACTTGATCAATTCTAGGTGTCCGTAGACAGATATAGGCAGAGTGATAGTCTCTTCGCTGACTCCCCTAGAGAGGACTTCTCCGTCGAGTCCTATAACTAGTATCACTTATGACAACTTCTTGGTTGATACTTATCGGTTTTCTTGATACCTTAGGTTCATGAAGTTATTAGTGGCACCCGAGTCGATCAGGGTCCACGCTTTTCCTATAGGTAAGATCACGAATAGCTTGACGTGAGTTCCTAACAAGGTTATAGCTAACTGCGTTATTGGACGATTATCGTAATCGTATAGTTGTCTCCCGTTGTACCAAATTCCTTAGTAAACTTGTTTCTATTATGGCTTCTTCATCCACCGTAGTGGTCTCGGTTCGATGCCGTAATCTAACTTTACTAACCCATAGGTTGTGCACGTCTCGTCGTAGCATATAATACTAGCCATCCTGCCATGTCCTAGGTGTCGTGTATATCCTTTACACGCGTAAGTGGAATCTTCGTAAGGGCATCCTATTGGGTCGTCGCCTTCCTCAATTGCTGCAATAAGGTGCTGGTCCAACCTGCTAGTCTAAATCTCATCCTAGAGATGACTAATAAGCTCATCGGCTTCTTTATCGTTACTTGGTTGACGATAGTTCCTAGGACTTTCTATTAGTGTTTCTGGGATTACTTAGTCTGTTCCTAGGGACGTGCTTAGCGTTCCTAGGTCAACGGTGGTTCCGGGGAACGTGACTAGTGTTCCCAGGAGCCCTATATCTGACTCCTAGAGTCCGTGGTGGTCTTAAGACCTATCTGGCCGTGCGTCCGCGGCCTATGGACCTAGCGAGCCCTAGGGCTGCCAACTGGTGTCCTCTGGGATTCATGACCTACTAAGTTATGACTCTAGTTCCGAGGATCGTGTTATATCCATCCTTGACTTTCCACTATATCCCAATCGATCTCTGGATAATCGATGTTCTGCTCGTCGGCTAACCCTTCAATATATAGGTTGCCCGCTGCTATCTCTTCTAGGCTTAGGTTTTCCTATCTTGCCAAGAGATCTTCTAAGCTTTCTTTGCTTAGGTAGTCCTTTCTAGATTCTCGAGTCGCATGTAGTTCTTCGCGTGTCGCTCGCATATGTTACCGTTTTTCGTACGGTTTCTTCTGCTTGCATTCCCTTATACGGTGTCCTGGTTTCCCGCACGTAAAGCAGAGATTCTTTTTACGACGCTCGTTTTGCTTATCTTAAGTGGCGTCTAATTCTATTAGTTTGGGGCCGTATAGGTCGGAGTCCCGTGGTAGTCCCTAGTCGCGGCGCCTATTACTAAATCGGTTGAATCCGTGGCTCTTACCCTTCTTCCATTATTCTATCTCTCGACGTTTATATCGTCGCTCGTTATTGCGATTATCGATCTTGACTAAGACCTTGATAAGCTGGTCCAGCGTTTCTAGTCGATCGATTCGCGCTAGTTCGTCCTTAACGTTAGATCTCAGCCCGGCTTCGAAGTACGGGATATACGCTCGGTTAGGCAGATCTAAGTAAGAGATGATCTATAGGAACTCAGAGGCGTAGCTCGAAGTCGAGGTGGTCTATCGGATACGTTACAGCTTCTTTTCTGCCGTTCTTACTATATCGATGTCGCCGAACGTGTTCTCAAGATATTCGCGGAAATGGCGGTATGCACTAAAGATATTTATCGTGGTCGCTGACCATTCTTTAGGATCCTTTCCATAGTAATCACGGATATATGGTTCGAACCAATCCCATGCTTGGCCGCGCAAGTAGGTTGATATAAAAATCACCTTACCGGCTTCGTTAGGGATCTTGGTGCTATTCACGTCTAGGTGCATGTCTATCTAAGTGAGGAATCCTCGAAGCTTAGTTCGGTTTCCTTCAAAACACTTAGCCTTAGGCAACCGTGGTGCCTAGATAGCGCTAATGGGCGCAGAAGCGTTGACTTAAACTTTGATTTGTTCGAGGTACTCGTCGACTTTACTAAACTTAGTGCCGCTTTTCTCGCCTAAGTTGCTAAGCTGATCTATGACTTTCTTGAGGTTGTGCTCGAGTTCGTTAATCTTCTTCTTCTGCTCCGCAATGGTGTTATCGCGCTCGGTGTTAGAATCAAGGTCCTCCACGGGTGGAGTGACCTGCTTCTTTCTAGCACTGACGTGAGACATGTTTGTTTGTTATGACTCGAAACTTGATTCGAGACGGTCTTTAATATGTTACACACTGCTAACTAGTCACAGTTAGGTTAGAAGGTTTCTAGGTTATACTTGCCTTATGCTTCTTAGGTTTCTAACGTCAACGATCTATACTCTCAACCGTACTATTGCCTAATAGGCCTTACTATAGGATGGGTCCTATTAAGGTATCGAGGAACGATGCTAGGTAGAGCGCCGAGTAGATCTATACCGGAGTATTGGTCTGCTCGTGAGTGTTATCAAGTTATAATCAAGTTAAAGAGTCACTGAAGTTCCAAAGGTATACATAAGTAACAATGTATGATTGAAGACGAAGAACTAGACTAAGTACATGAGAGAGTGTCCTTATATATCCTTCGTATCCTACTCCCTGGGTGACTCCCCTGGAGTCACTATTGGAGTCGCTGGTGACTCCTGGATATACTCCCGTGGAGTAGATCTGGGAGTCACGGTCACGTGGTGATTGCCTAATCGTGGTGGCAGAGGTTTGCTGGTCCATACAGTAACATATGTACCGGATATCCTCTGGAAGTGGGTCCTGCTCAGGGCTGATCATGCTCTTGCTCACTGAGCATGATCACGGTTTCTCTTTTCCCTGAACGCCCGGGGATCCTAAGGTATAGGATCTTGCACGTGATCTGATGACAGATCGATTGGTTGGCTCTCGGTGGCCCATCAGTAGTTGCGGTCTCCATAATTGATTGGTGACTAGCATGTCCGTAACAGGACACTGCTTTAAACGCTAGCAGAGCAATACAGACTAACTACAACGAAACTATCTTTTGGCCAATCATCCTTAAATGCGCCGCTCTAATCGATCCTATAACACTGCCCCCCGCGAAAGGCCCGATCGATGGATTTTTAATAGCGGAAAAAGCTGCTATAAGGAGATTTATAGAGGACATCGGGCATAGCTTGGGCCCTAAGAATCAGCGATAATATCGTACATTCTGGAAGAATATATATAAAATACGTGAGGCTAGCGCTCACAAAATTCTTCTTTACCGCTCGAAAGAATTCGATAGCTTTTATAGAAGCTATTCCAAAACAGCGGAAATCTCACTTGTGAACAAAGTTTTAGAGTGGGAAAAGTAGTATCGCCCTTATATCGAGCAATTAGAAACGCGGATCTTATCACAGAGTATAGGTGATTTGAAACGGGTAAGCTATCTCAACGATCCTCACGTGCGAGGATTATTGAAAGTGCTAGAAACCTCGTGGAATAGTGCTTCGAATGAGTGGGCTTCTCTCGCTGAAGAGGAAACTTTCAAATAGTGCGCCGCGGAGTCTGTTTCTACCGATAATCTAGGCATTAGACACGGCGATGAATTGGTGTATGAAGGTGGGACCGATAAGTCCGCATTTGTCACCCTTTTGCCCAAAGACAACGGGTCTGTGTTTGTCTCGTCTATTATTCCCGTTTGCGAAGGAGACTTCTTAGGCATATTTGCTGGCACAATCCGTTTTTCGGAAGAGTTTAGTGGAACCCATGGTATCTCCGGTCCCACCGGGAGACTTTGGCTTGACTATTCTCAGGTCACAGGGGTACTAAACCAGATGCAGGTATCTGAGCCCGGTGGTAAAGCAAACGTGTGCCTTCTCTGGGAGGCATTCTGTGGCGACGTTGAGACACAGTCTTACATTTCCTGGCAAGTCTCCGTCAAAGCCACCCAAAAAATCATGCCTTTTGACCATATCATTCGTGCGGCTGCTCAGCAAGAGCAATACGATCTGCATATGTCATCTGACAATGCCCAGAAAGGCTTTCTTGGAACTTGCATTAATTAAAAATCAGGTGCCGGGAGTTCTCTGTGTTTGGATTTGAGCAGCGTTCCATTTCATGGCAACCAAGGAAAATCTTGGAGTTTTGTCATTCATATATGTTATTCTTATGCGTGAAAATTTTTTGTGTTGTGTAGGCCCCGATCGCACGCTGCGTCTGAATTTTAAAACCCCGCACGCGGCTAGAATTTTTGAGACGTCTATTTCTCTGTGTCCTTAATTCTTCTTTTGCCATATTCTCGGTCCACGAGGTCACTAGTTACCAGTTTGGGACTAGCGTCGTTCTGAACTACGGAGGTAAAGACGCTAACCGAATTTTTGGGGGGGGGGGGAAGTAAGATAGCCAAATTGCTCGCAGAGTCACAATGGTGATGAAGAAAGAAACGCAACGGTTATTTAGGAGTTGGCCGAATTTACAACTTTACGTTTTCGACGATATTTTCGACAATATCAAGTGAATTAACACATAGTCGTCGACAAGCGGTGTAAGACCTAGGTTGGTGGAAAGCATGAGGCAACGGGAAGGCAAACTTGTAGCCAGTGAGTGAAAAATTGGCTGTTTCGAAATGCGAATACAGAAAAAAATGTTTTCGAAGAAAAATAAAAGAATTAATTCCTTAATATTCGGTTTATACACAGTGCTTACCCCAGACCTAGATCCCGAGTAGACAAATATACGTAAAGTCTAAGGCAGCTGGACGTGTTATATATATTATTGCCTTATTACAGTAACTTCGTAACTCTATGAGCAGTTCTTTGCTTGCTATCTCTTCTCGAAAAAGGGGCGAAAATCACCACAATGGACGGACACCATTGATCGGTCACTCTTCCCTTCTTTTTATTGCATGCATTCTGTATAATTCTCAATTCGGTGAGCATAGCTTCAGAGTGACGCTAGTCCCAAACCGGTAATATACCGCTTACCGACGGAAAAAATAACAGATGAAGGAACACATGTTGATCATAAGATAGGCATCAAAAGAGACTTAATTTGTTGAGGTGAAGGTAAAGAACCCCATTCTCTTTGCTTTTAGAGTCATGTTGATTACTTACTGTATTCCAGATCTCGCGACTGAGATCCGGAATCATATCAGCCCCAGGACATATAGTAAGGTTCCCAGCAATGCATGTAGTCGCTCCCAGAAGTAAGAACTATAAAGCTATTTGGAGTGAATAATATAGCTCCGGGGAGCGAGACCAGTGCTAGTGGGCGATCAGGGGACCCTAGGATCAGGTTCGACCCTAGGATCCATGGTATTGCTCCTAGGCACGCTCTTAGTCGCTTCTAGGAGTCAGATCATAGTTCCCAGAGAATCTCCTGCTCCCGGGAGTGGAATATATAGCTCCGGGGAATGATAGGTGGTACCCTCGGGAGAGCACTAGAATCCAGATACGTTTTTTCTTGGGGCTAAATCCAGAAAAGGGATTACTACCGGACGTCCGAACCGTGAAAGCGGTGAGCGGCAGGCAGTATTGGTGGATTGCGTTAGTCGGGCCCGCTCGGTTCGTGTCGGCGAGCTTTCGAAAATTTGGAGGCTTATGGGTCCATTATGAAGCTCAAATAACTTTCGCTCAAACTAGTTTATGACAACGCTTAGCGTTAGTACCTAAGGGTTTCTCCGAGGGATATGCAATAAAATACCACCTAGAGTTGTTTGGTGAGCTTGTCCTATTAAAAGCGTACGTTAAATCTTCGTCCCCGCCCCCCCAGCTCTTCCTTCTTGCCCATCCGCCATTTTTTATATCCCCTTGACATAGAAGTCCATGAAAACCAACTTCGCCCCTAACGCTACATACATCCTAGAAGGACAATCTGTATGGGCTGCTATATCATCGCTTTTATAACTACGGGTGAAGATGATATTGGTGGGGCGTAGTAAACCGATTTTTATTATCACGATTACTTTCCTATGTATATCGTTTATCGTAGTCGTATTACGATGCTTTGTTCGATTAAGGCTCGTGAAAGCCTTTAGATGGGATGACGGTTCTATGATGTTTGCAATAGTAAAAGACGTGCTTATGCCCTTAAGATATAAGGGCCTTATTGATATCCATCAATTCCTAGGCATTGAATATATGGTTTGCGATATGCGGAATAGCCGGGTCCGTATATGGATTCGGTAAAAAAATTGATGAGTTCGACTGCTCCGCCGAAATCGAAACAGCACTCTTTGTGAGTTTCCCTAAGTTTATCAACTCAATGATCATAGTCTCTTGCTAGTGATAACCGCCTTAATTATAGTGGTGGTGGCTTGCTTAGCCAGCCTACCTCTAGGTAGTTATAATAACGAAGATCTTAGTCGTAATATCAATTCTCCGTTTCATAATGCGACGGCTTCACTCTTTGATCATATACACTATCATCAGTGTGACATATACTATTAACATCGCCTTCTAGTTTGTCCTTATGTTATAATGCCAGCCCGTCAGAGAATTTTGGCAACGAACCGGGCAAGGACACTACATCAATATAGACTACGTCATCAATATTGTATACCTCTATAGCGCGACTATATATATCTGCGACTTCATCCTTATAGTGACTACTGCATATCTTATAAAAGAGCTACCGATAAGCCGGTGGACCTAATAGGGTTTGACTAGGATTATTAGTATGGGTTATATATACGTTTCTGATATTCGTCCTAATGATGGGACAAAACTGACTATTCTTAGCGTAAGTGCTACTATCGTGGCCCGTATCCCTTATCTTCATAATTATAAAAGTCCCGAGTTTCTTTATAAGTTACTTTTTTTTAAGAGACTCCGACATTTTGAATTTAATCTAACAGCCGGCTCCTTTTTAGATGCCACTATTAACATTTCCATTTTGTCTAATATTAAGGCTGGTCTTAGTATCTCTACTAGAAGCTTGAATACGGTCCGACCACTTATTCGCTAGTTTCGTGTTATTATCTACGGCGAATCACGTAGTCCTAATAACGCACTAGGTGGTATTATCCACTATAGTTTTAATGGGACCCTAAGCCATCCCGTTAGGGTGATTTCAAACTTATTAGAGTATTACTAGCAGAGTATTGAATTCGGCCATTACGGTAACATCACTATAGCGTCCTTAGATCTAACGCGTCGAGATAATAGTTAAGAACTATACCACGAATCGTTATAGTCTGTAGAAGTCTATCTACGTTTCGATTGACAGCTTCTAGGAATTGGCACCTAGGGCTATAGGCTTATTCGTATTCGGGTGCAGCCCTAGCCGTGTCGAGAATTTTGGGAATAGGACCCCCTACTCGTTCGGTTGTTAGGTTTGACCAGGATGCCTATAGCAGAAGGGACCCCCCGTTAGTTTGACGGATCCAGTGGCAATATGTCAAGATAGATTCAGGTCTTAAGTCTATTCCGTGGTCTGGTTTAGGAGGGTAGTAGCCTACATTTCGTTAAACCTATAGGAGCTAGTTAAATGTCCCCCGTTAGTAAGGCCATTATTTAAAAATCAGTATATAGTACGTGCTGTTATTACTGACAGTATACGGCGGGGTGACAGTGAATTTATAGGTGATACGAGAGACACGAGGAAGGACTATAGTGAGTGGCTGGTCTTTTAGTCCGCGCCACCTAGCAGTAATCTCGAATGTTCTATGTCACCTTACTAAATATTGATGACGGTAAATCAACGGGCTAAAGAGGATGGCAACACCAATGTCACGTGTTTTATCACCCTAGAATAAGGAAGGGTGGATTACTACCATATGCGGCATGCCCGTAAAATCTTGGCTGCTTCTCCACTACCAAACTCTTTATAGATATAGACGCTGATTTGTCTATTCTCATGCCGCTTAGGCCTAGGAGCGTTTGTTAGGTATCGTGGTTGCTTGAGTTTTACCACTAGGCCAATAGGCCAAAAAGGCACAATGTTTAGTCAACGACCAAATATCCAAAGTATATATGCTTGACTCTGACAGACCCAGGATCACTCTATATCTTTTTAGGAACTTGTGTCGTCGTGCAGGTGGTGTGATCCCTAGGAATGGGTAGAATAACGATCTTGAATTTCCTTATAGTAATCTTCATATTATAGCTTTTATTGTCCAAATTAGAAGACTTCCCACTAAAGGGGGTGTTCGACTAATAAGACATCGCCTACTAAATACGCATATGGTGGTGGCCGCGCGCGTACCTAAGATTTGGCAAATCGATAAGATTACAGTTTGCGAGGCGGCGAAGGCTATATGCTTGCAGCGATTTTGATCCAGAAAGTGCACGCCATATCATGCAGGTGATCTAGCAAGAAGCACGTAATACGTGCGCGAACCCCTACAGTCTACATAGGTACCCGTTTTAAATTGAGGCTACAGCCTCAGGCTTTATACGAGCTAGAGGCGGTTAGTGTTTCTCTACACGTTTGCTCAGAGTGACGCTTGGCTCAAGTATTGGCAATCGGCTGAGAACAATCTTATAAGAGCGGGGTGAAAAATTATCGCTGGTAGACTTGGGGGGTATTAGAGAATGCACGGACATCAGAGCAAGTGGAGACAAATAAGCCAATAACATCTAATAAACACCATCCTTCCTTTTCTGCTAAGTGGTGATCAATTTAATTAATTAAAACAAATGATTTCCTCGAACGAGTAAAACACTCACCAAGAACTCCCCTCACGTTTGACTTGCGCATAAAGGATAAGGACCGTGAGAACTAACTGACGTCAACAACCATTGACTTCCTATTTACTCAACGTTTATCGAGTTCGTCGTGTGCAATGGTCAACACATGTTTAGGATCCACCAACCCACCCGATTTCCGCTATAACATTTTTTGAAGGGCATCCGTTTCCTCACTCTACTATGACAAGTGCTCAAACACGTTGAATCGGTCTCGAAAGCCATCGAAAATGAGCTGCCTCTCAATTCTTCTACGACGCCGCACTCAAATGCGTTGCCTGTCTTGTTCTGGTTCAAACCCAGCTAGCTGCTTACCTGATTAATCTACGTTTTGCTGAGTAGTCAGGGAGCTTACTACCATCGCTCTTAGGGTCATGCTTACGGCCTCTAGAAGCTTAATGGCCTCCAGGAACTGTTGTGGCGGATCGTGGCGGATCGGGGAGCGAGACAGATTGCTTCAGGAACACCAGTCCATCCCCAGGAACACCGACTCTGCCTTCAGGATCACCCGTCCATCCCCAGGAACACCGACTCTGTCTTCAGGATCACCAGTCCGTCCCCAGGAACACCCGTCCATCCCCAGGATCACCCGTCCATCCCCAGGATCACCAGTCCGTCCCCAGGATCACCAGTCCATCCCCAGGAACACCGGCTCTGCCTTCAGGATCACCCGTCCATCCCCAGGAACACCAGTCCATCCCCAGGAACACCGGCTCTGCCTTCAGGATCACCAGTCCGTCCCCAGGAACACCCGTCCATCCCCAGGATCACCAGTCCGTCCCCAGGAACACCGACTCTGTCCCCAGGATCACCAAAATGACTCATGATCAAAGATAAGAGAGGCCAGGAACGGTCTGGCTCGCTCCCAGGGGAGATGGGTACAGTTCCTGAAGGATGTTTAGCTCCCAGAAGCCGACAGTATAGATCCTAGAAGCGTGTTTTGATCTTGGAATCGTCGAAGTTCAGTAAATTTGTCTCTGGGCTCGAGATATGTAAATTTAAAGCTGAATGACAGTGTAACACTGAGATCCTTGTGCTACTGTAAGAGCAACCGGGGACTTACTGGAGAGTAGGGACTCACTGGAGAGTAGGGACTTACCGGAGAGTAGGGACATACCGGAGAGTAGGGACACACAGGATAGTAGGGACACACTGGAGAGTAGGGACACACTGGAGAGTAGGGACACACTGGAGAGTAGGGACACACTGGAGAGTAGGGACACACTGGAGAGTAGGGACTTAAATCCTTATCGCACAGTGAATAATTTTTCCCATACATACTTCTGCGCCACTCGTTCCATCAACGATGGATTCGACAGATCTATGCAGAGACGGTCAGACCAATGTCGTTTACGCGCTTTTTTAGCCAATAGGTGTCCATTCTTATAAACGGCTAAAGGCTGTTAGTTACCTGGGAACGGAAGTCTGGTTCCTGGGGCTCAAGTAAGGGTTCCTGGGAGTGCAAGGGCTCCCAGGAATACCCGTCTCGTTCCTGGGAGCATCCATTCGGTGAAACCACCATCGTTGATTTACTAGATATGTCTCGCTATATATGAAAACGGGGCTTTTTATCCTATGAGTTGCACTTCTAGATCAAAATCTTGTAACCCATATAGACCGTAGTCTGAAGACCGAGGGCCCTTGTGGTTACTAAGCCAGGGTGGCCGCCAGTTGACAGTTCGAAAGCCCACCTAGACTGGGAGCTGTGGACGTACGTCCAATGTGGATCTGCGTCCACAGCCGTCAGTACTTGGCCTTGTCGCCACAGCTCCCCAACCACGGACACGCATCTCCAGACTTGAAGCCCGCCTAGACACGATTCCAGAGATCTATCACATGGCTGGCTTTATGGCACTCGATATCTGTCTAACTTGGACCTAGAACCACACAGGGCAGGGGACACTCGTTCAAGATCTGTTGGGGCCTGACAGCACCCTAGGGGTTGTTTTGATATATCAGAAGATAGTCACTAACCGAGCCTACCAATGTATCTACTACAGAAGGACAAGGTATAACCGATTTCCAAAACCGCTGTATGGAACCATTCTTAGCCCTTCTTCATATCTGACCAGGTGGTGTAAGTCTTCGACACGCTCTTAGTTTCATCGTTGCGGTTGAGAACAGCATGTTTAGTCATCTCCTTGGAAGCCAATCATCGACCAGGTGTATGTAGACACAGTCGTACCGAAATAAAAGCCCCTTTGCCCGCTAGCCTGAATGACAGCAGCGGAGCTGGGACGTTCAAGTGGATGGGGAAGAAGATCTAGGACACGAAAGACAGATCAAACTCATAGAGATTGCTTAGTATGTTGAGTCAGCCTCCGAACCAATCGCATTAAAGCAGCCCCAAGACGGTAACCGGCCTGAGGTTGGGATCGAAGCCCGAGTTAACACGTGTTTCGTCGCAAGGATATTAGACTAAAGACTTGAATCACAGGCAGTTATAAGAACCATATCTGAAGTCTGCTCATATAAGACTACGTACTAAGGCTCAGTAACACTAACCCGAGGGCGGTGGGCACAGAGCCAGCGACCCAGCAGATTCCAAGACCGCGGTCTCAAGACCTGCCAGGCCATTAGACCGCCCACTAGCGTCTCCTCCGACTTTACGCCCCACACAGTCGTGAACCTCAGGTCTAAAGACGGCTGGTGACGTAAGACTTATAAGTTGGCTACGATATTCCATCATAACCATCAAGTCTATAGTTTAATATATTTCCAATGTCGTTTACGCACTTTTGTAGCCAATAAGGTGTCCACTTCTATCGATGGCTAATGCTGGCGTTTATGGTGCATCACTATTGTGTAGGGCTACATGGGAGGGCCAGACTGCTACTAAAGACAGGGAGGGTGGACGTTTACTCGAAGAGTGGAAACGGCCAAGCAAAGAAAAAAAGGATAGAGTTCTTAAATTTGACCGAAAACCTGCAAGCCTCCCAATTAATCGGTATCAATGTCCGATCCCGTATCTTCTTTGGCGTAGTAATTCCGTTCAGTGCTGAGGCGATGAACCTCTTCTGCATGCCTACGAAGATGCATCTCATATAGCAGATCTTCGTCACACATATGACACCTTCGATCCTACAAGTGCTTCTCTCGAAAGTGTCGTAGAGTCGACTTATATTCGCTATATTTCTGCGTCCGGCGATGAATGGAAATTTTAGTGTTGCTATAACATTGAAAACATCGCCGAGGCTTCTTTACCTTTTTGATGTAGTTTCCGGCTTTCAAAAGAAGACTATCCTGCTACGAAGGCTCCTAAGAGCTACAACTCTTCTTGGCTAGCTCTGGTAACACGCTAGTCTATTCTTTATCGAACCCGTCACTAGGTGCAGCCCGTTTACGTCGCCCACGTAATGGCCCACCTTCAAGGAAACCATAGTATCGGGAGATCGTAGCCACGGCCGCGTTCCTTCTTTACCACTCCGCCTCTAGGGATTGAGAGGTAGGCTATATAAATAATTTCTTAAGAAGATCAATCTGCTCTGGTAGCATCTAGGCTTCTACTTAAAGTACCTTCTTCGCCTCTTCATCGTTAATAGCAGCCCCTAAGAGCTATCGCTTAATATCTATAATGGCCTGTTTACGGTCGAACTTATAGCGCACCTTCCATCTTAGTGCTCTTTCTAACCGGCCGAATGTATTGGAGGTTTCGCGTGTTAACTTCGCTAATCGCGATTATATCGCTACACTAGGATCGTATTTATACTCCTTGGCTTGCTCCTTTATTCGCCGAGTGGCCTCGATATATTCTGGATGTTCGCGAAGGGACGCTCGTTGCTCCGAAGTAAGATGCCGAGGGCGTCTCTTATCAATCCACCTACTTATCCGGGTGATCGCGCGTATCAGAGACTTGTTAGATTCGCGGCCGTTCATAACGTTCTATATATCGGTGTCGATGTGTCGTGGAAGATAATGATTCAAGAAAGTGCGAGTGTTAGCGTGTTTTATAATCAGATTTTGCTATGCTTCGCTGACCGCGCTACTTTCGTTTAATATCTTTCCCCCTCTATAGCGAAAACGATAGGCGAATATTGACTGAAGGAGGCCGTGGATCTCCCCTAGATTTCTTAGACGCCTAGATATAGCGCTATCGGTCATCGGTAGGCCTTGACAAGCTCGCAGCACCTAGCGATGTTTTAGTTCGGTGCTGCAGCACTAAATAGAATTCTGGTGCTGTGGTGCTGCGACCTTACCTATTTTGGTTAGAAAATTACCTAAATAGGAAGGTGATCAACCGCTTGGCGCCAAGGCAGCACCAAAATTAGCGCCTTGGCAAAAAAATTGGCATCTTGGCAGCACTAACAGCACCATTTCGTCCAGGCCTAGCGAGTTTGTCAAGGCCTACTTTCGCTATAGTTCCACTATCTACGTTTCTCTATATAAGATAATCCGGACGGGGGCCCTCCCGTACTTTTAGTGGAGATTAAATCGGAGCATATAAAGCGATTCCTCGGAACTTCCCAAATATATATATCGTGCGTTAAACCCGGGCAATGATGAGCCTAATATTAACACTAATTCTTAGTAACAATTTTCCTTTCCCTAAAATCATTAACGATCCGTCGCTTGTCTTTAGCCCTCATACATTTATATTCGGTATACTTCTTTGGCTCTAAGCCTTCGAAGTCCCTACGCTTTCCTCTATAGAGCGCCTTCGAAAGCTATTCGTCTAAGGTGGCCGATAACAGATAGAACTACCCTTAAAGCGCGAAGTCGAAGGCTATTATATCTTCTGTAAGATAGACGTAATCAATAGACGTACGGTTCTTCAATAGAACCAGCCGATGACTAGGCCTGGATAAAATGGTGCTGTTAGTGCTGCCAAGATGCCAATTTTTTGCCAAGGCGCTAATTTTGGTGCTGCCTTGGCGCCAAGCGGTTGATCACCTTCCTATTTAGGTAATTTTCTAACCAAAATAGGTAAGGTCGCAGCACCACAGCACCAGAATTCTATTTAGTGCTGCAGCACCGAACTAAAAAATCGCTAGGTGCTGCGAGTTTGTCAAGGCCTAATTATGCTCTTACTTAGTGAGCGTGATCATAGTTCCTCTTTTCCCCTAGATACCTGGGGATACCAAAGTATAGGATGTTACACGTGACCTGATAATAGATAGATTGGTTGGCTCTCGGTGGCCCATTAGTAGTTGCGGTCCCCGCAACTGATTGGTGACTAGTATGTCCGTAACAGATAGGTCCTATTAAGGTATCAAGGAACGATACTAGGTAGAGCGCTAAGGAGATCTATACCGAAGTATTAGTCTGCTTATAGGTGTTATTAAGTTATAATTAAGTAAAGAGTCACTAAAGTTCTAAAGGTATATATAAGTAACAATATATGATTAAAGACGAAGAACTAAACTAGATATATAAATAAGTGTCCTTATATATCCTTAGGTTCTTCCTATATAGATAAGTAGATTATAGATAAGTAGAATTGCCTTAATAGATTCTACTAGTCTACTATCGACTATTCTACTACTTATATAATCACGTAACGGCTAACCGTAGTATCACTAAATGGAGTATACTTTAGGACGGCTAGCGGGAGGCTAGTTCTAGCTCCCGTTAGTGGTAGAGGTTTGCTAGTCTATATAGGTATATATATATAGGATATCCTCTAGAAGTGGGTCCTACTTAGGGCTGATCATACTCTTACTCACTAAGCATGATCACAGTTTCTCTTTTCTCTAAATGCCCGGGTATCCTAGAGTAAAGGATATTACACATGATCTGATAACAGATCGTTCGGTTGGCTCTCGGTGGCCTATTAGTAGTTGCGGTCCCTATAACTGATTGGTGACTAGCATGTCCGTAACAACTACGTGAACTACTAGTAAGACGACTAGGTAGGACTATTACTAATAGCGTAACTAGCGTATAATAATACGGTACACTCTATAACACGAGAATCACCATTCTTTACTAATTATAGGTATAACCCTATGATTTTTGGATAACTAATTAGTAAAGTAGCTATAGTAGAATTAGCGAGACTAAAGGCTAGCGAGCTAAAATAGTTACACTTACAACTATCTAGAGATATTAACTTCGTTAACCTATATATGAAGAAGTACTACGACTAATAACACTAGGAGGGACCTAACCTAAAGAGGGGGGAAAAGGTTTATCTTTTACGCCGAAATATTAAAACTAAGCGACCTAGTAATAAATTGGACTATCTACGATTAGGACTATTCGAAATTAAAGAAAAATTAGGACTAGTTAATTATCGCTTAAGACTACCGAAAAGTATGTAAAAACTCTATCTAGTGTTCTATATCTCGTTACTCGAACCCGCACTAAATAACGCTAAACTCGTGATAAATATGGAAATCGAAGAAGAAACCGAAAACGAATATAAGGTTAAGGAAATCCTAGAAACGAAACGTATGAGCGGAAAGCCTTACTATCTAGTGAGATAGAAGGGGTACGATACCTCTAAAAATATATAGGAACCTATCGAGAACCTAAGGGGCTACCCCTAGCTAGTTTAATAGTTCTACTAGCACTAGTAGCGGAGAAAGCCGGGCTGTCTTAGAAAGACACTAGAAGATTAGTAATCTCCGCTAATATCTAATTAAAGTTCGGATGCTTAGTAGTAGTAGCGAGCTACTCGAGATTAAGGGCGGAAGGGGAAGCCTACCCTAGGGACGTCTGTCTTTCGTCGAGAATTTTAAGAAGCTCGGCATCGTGATAAGACATTTTAAAACCACGTTCCTTTAAGAATTTCTATTATTTTTATAAACGCGTATAACGCGCTAGTGTTTTATTAATCTTTTATTGAACCTCTACTAGACGATCCTAGATAAGTTTTAACTCGGGCTCTAATAGCTCTAACTTATTATCGGCCTCGGAAAGATCGGCCGTAATTTTCTATTTAGCGGATTTTAATAAATCCCACTCGTTATTAGTGTGGAACTCCCGTTTATATAAACGACCCGCACGCGTATACGACGTATATTTCGAATACTTGTCCGACTAATCTATCATATAATTAACACCGGAATCACGATAGTGGTTATAAGGAGTTGAAGTTATAAAACTATATAGTTTAATATAATCAGCCTACCGGTTATAGATTACGGTTAACAGATAAGCGGATTTCGAAGGACACTCCGGAAGAAAATTAGCCTTACGTTTAGGTATAACGAGAACGCATTATTTTAAGAAAAAGAAAATCTATCACCTACCTAGGGGGGGGGACCGCAGATTTATAAGTCTTAGGGACGAAACTCCTAGGTATAGAAGTCGTATGGTTTTACCTGTGGCTGATATGGGTAGGATGGGTAGGATGGGTAAGATGGGTAAGATGGGCTCGCGAGCTGCTCTTTATGGGGCAGGGATGAAGAGACAGAAGAAGACGGATATCGCGGAGCGTAACGCCTGTTGGGGGTAGGGCGCGATTGCTGGGGCTGTCCGTATGTTCTTGTGGTTGGCGGTGGAGTTGAATTGGGAGATATCCTGCTGCGAGTTCTAGGGATTGCTCGATTTCTCGAACTTGTTGCTGTGCGCTGTAACAGGGGTGAGAAGCGTGGATTATTTTCGATAATGGTGGGCCTGCTTGGGTTGGACCTAATGTAGCTGCGCTGTGAAGAAGAAGATGAAGAAGAAGAATAAGAAGGTGATGATGATGATGATGATGATGGTGGTGGTGGTGGTGAGACATGAACTGATAAATATTCAGAGTCACTTGAATCAAGATACTCCATCGTTGTGCTCGAGAAAAAAAAAGACCCTGTCAGCCAAATGGGTATCTAGAAGACAAGAGGAGTTCCATGGCTTAATCACTTCTTAACTAATTAAAATACATCAGTGACTTGCTTCGCCGCAATCTGCCCATAGCGCATGCATAAACGCTAACCCCATTATACTGAGTTGCAGGACTTTGTTCTGATTGTAGAATAGCCCGAGAATGTGCTGGCATTTGCGGCAGTGCGCTCACATGGGCGCCCTGTCTTGGACCAATGAAACACCGCGCCCATATGCATTATAAAAGGTCTTTCGAGTCTACATTTTAGTACTAACGGTACTAGCCCGAAAGTGAAGGGAGATACACTTACCCATCTCCACAATGAAAGGCCTCTTCTGATGAGGCGAAGGTCTATATATGTACATATTGTAGTGGGGGACATAGTGCTCACTATGTATTAGCCTCGCCTGTCCTTTCCTTCTTTCCATTTGCTCCACTTTCCATTTTCCTTCCTCCACCCAGGAGCCCCCATCACGTTTGTGATCATTCTCCGGAGTACATACTTCTCCAGACCTATCTGAGGTTATTCATCATTCATGGCTTCGCCAAAATAAGATATCCCGAATTTGGGTTCGGAATTGGACGAACCTGAGCGCCAGGGCCTGGTTGTTTTGCACCTAGGGTGAAAAGATCTCCAGTTACAATTTCAACGGCTTTCCCCCCAAGCCAGTCTGCCGCGACCAGGGCAATATTACGGGGAGGTACTCGTGGCTCGAAGGGCTGCACACCAATTGCTAGGTGGGGATGTACCCAGTACTCATTTGATGGCGGGGGACAGTTCAAGCTATGCATCTGGAGTAACGGAGAGTGCGGTGACACGATTATCAGCATGAATTATGGCTCAACGTCTTTCATTGGAGTTGTTAATGCCGGTGGCTATTCAATGATCCCCAGGAACAATAGCAGAATTATCTGCCAGGGGCAAAGTCCATCCGACAGCCACCTAGACGTGGATGTACCGCGTCTGCCGTTAGGCCTGTGAAGTCTCCTCGTATCCCCAATGGACTTCCGAGTGGAGCATATGACCGACTTCTGTCATCGATACAGGGGTCTTCGAATCCCTTAGTCGGCTTTGCACAGACTCGACTCGACGGTTCCCACAGCCAGGTAGGCGGCAGAACACCTCTCCAAGGCGAACCATGATTTCCCCATTTGGCGTCTATTTTATTTCAGCGATTAGTTTCAAAGATGTTTCAACGATTGGTCAATTGCCTTAATCAATAACTGCTCACCTGCTCATATGCTGGGAGACTGATATTCCCGGCTAGTCCTGGAGGTAGTGGTGTCAAGCTCCACAAGCTGCTAGAAAAACCTGGCCCGGCGGATGGGCCATCTTGATGTTGAAACCAATTTCAGTTTTATTGAGGTGGTAACTAGGTCAGATAGTGACTGGATTAGATAGTGGTGATGATGAGCTAGTGCTTTGATGAGATAATGAGGTGAAAGGTGACCGCTATCATGACGGATGGTTGATGTGATGAAGGGAAGTTGTTGGGATGACTGGTATCAGAGAAAAACCAAATAAACAAACGCCTCACTAGTGGACATGGAGAAGAAGCACTGGAGGTAGTTTGCCATTATAGGTGACCAGCGAGTTCCTGATTGTGTGGTCATTTTCTCTTAGCTCACCGTGTAAGTACCAACTGAAATTCTTGATCTGGATTTAATATAGAAAGATATTCACCAACCCTGGACTAGTCAAGCGGCCAGGTTAACGAGTCTCTCACTAGTGTTATCTACATTCTCTATAGTAACACACTATTCAAACTTAGACTTGGAATTTAGATTTCTCTCACTTAGGATTTACTAATCACTTATCTCAATTTCTCTTAATGATATCCCTAACTGATAACACTCGTTGGTAACAATGAATTAACCTTGTTGGAGGTTAGTCTTCAGCTTACACGGCAGCGTAATAGACGAGTTGAACCTTGTAAAGAATGATTATGATCTCAAGGTTCATAGCTGACGCTTGAAAATATCGTAATAACGGCAATTATGCCCTAGTGAGGAAATATTTTCACAACCCCTGGCGTCGTCTAAAATTCATCTTCATGCGCCCCATCTTCCACCTCGCCCACCTCCTCATCAGCAATGTTTGTGTCGATTTCTCCCTCATCCGCCTCATACCAAGCGATAGCAGCATCCATGGCTCCCTGGCTCATTCGGCCCCTCTGAGTCCAGGCCACGATAACGCCATGGCGGCGGAGATGAAGGCGCAGGTTTCGGGTATCATAGAATGAAACCTGCGATCAATCCATTAGCAATCGTATGATATAGTACTCAATGAGACTTCTCCGTGCACTCACCCATCGGTGCCCGCAATTTGCTAGGCGACAAACGACCTCACCGTAGTACACGGTTACTTCACCATTTGGTGTCTATTCCAATATTGGATTCATCGGTTAGCAATTGTTTTAGTGATTCGAAGGTTGGTTCAAGTGCCCCGATTTGAGATGTACTTACTAGCTCGTATTGTGGGAGACTCAGCTCCCCAACGGCTCCATCTTGAAGGTAGCGCCTGTAGGCACCGTTAGCCCGCAAGAAGGCAGGCACAACAAAGCGTACCATGGCGCTCTTATAACTTTGTATTGATTAGTTGGAGCAGTGGGTGGGTAGAAAGAAATGCGGTTGTTGTGAGAAGGGAAGTTCTTGGGATCTGGAGTGCGAGAAAAAAGAAAGAAAAGTATTTACTTAGGGAAGGACCCCTGTAGGGAAGGAGCAATAGAGGTTGCTTCCAAGATTCTCATTATACGTTGTCGCCAGCGTGTGCTTGCTGGATTTTCTTTCTCCTGTCAGATCACTAGGGTTGGGGCAATATGCTCTGCCCTAGAGAACATATATAGCCCTCTCTTAGTACTTGTGAAGACTAACGTCTATATTGGCATCCATGTCAGAATTATATAGGCCAAATATCTGATATGCATAAGGTCAGGGCCTGGTTTGACTGGTCTTTCAACGGTATCGGCTTCGTGCTTTGTTTAGAATATCTGACTTCAGATCTAAAATTCGCTGACTACAGACTTGGGATTCTCCCATTTCGGATTTACCAACGTTGTGTCAAACTTCATAGTCTAGAACTTAGGTTGTTTAACTATCCAGTCATTATGTCACATTCCACCATGCACCTAGACGTCTCTGTAGACCTCTCTCCTGACAGGTTATGAGCCCCTGGAAGCTCTATTCAACATTCCTCTTTACGCTCCACAGGCCTCTCCCTCGATGAAATCTTCATCCTCCAAGCGCCTCTCTATTTGACGTGCCATCGTCACCATCGTGATCGTCACCGTCACCAGCGCCTGTCTCTGCGACGCGCCAACCCGGCCACACACCCACCTATAACCTGTGTCATCTACGTAGTTTCTACACTAGCAAACGGTATCAACAAATGTGCCCCTCTCCCTTCGACGGTAGTCCCAACGCGCAGGGTTTTTAACACTTGGCACGCGCCATCATCCCACAATCCGATTTTCAACGCGGTCAGTACTTTTCTATTCGACGTACAACACAAGTGCATCTCCTACGACGGACCTCACCTTTCCCCGCACTTCATGCGGCTCACCCGCTTCACACGCGGCAACATATCTTCTGACTCTCGCCGAGTCGTCCGAGCACGTACTCATCTGCGCCTTCTCCGATTTGGTCATTTCCGAGAATCGTCGGCTCGCCAGTCATCCCAATTATCCTTCCGACAATGTCCTTCACAGCGACGTAGCTTCCGCGATTTCGCTAACGCCAACTCAGCTAACGCGATCAGCATAACACGCTGAGTCCCAAGTCTCGCGACGTAAGTCTCCTCACTCTCCCACTTAAAGATAATCACACACCTTCTGCACACGTTCACATCACTATCGCTCACTTGGGGTCCTGCGTTCTCTCATTTCTATCCCTTTATCGTGGCTTGCCACGATCATTCCGTGCCCTTCAGTTATCACATATCGATACCCCTGAGGTCTTTCCATTCCTTGCTTGCTCTTTGAGGGCACATTCAATCATGTATTTCGAATGACTCGCTCGTGTATCTGTCTGGACGGATGGTTACATGCTCCCTATCATTTACTCCACCCTGCACGTCAGATCGACCGTTGAAGCACCTGCAGAATAGTGCTGGTTTTGTTCACAGAATGCCAAACGGCAGGCGCAGGCGCCCTACAGGGCACGAATTCCTCGATTCAAATAATTGCAAACATGCTCCAGCAATTCGGTTGGAGCGGGACAACCTGGCTACCCTTCCTCGTCGGCGCGCTTTTTCTTGTCGTTTATTTCTTCACAAGACCCATCAATGTCAAGCTCCAGAAATATTCCGAGTAAGTTGAAGAATATTTTTGACCATGATGCCATGAGACTAGTTTTACCCACAGAACTCGGATTTGATCTATACGTCTCCATTTTATCAACTAGAGCTAACCGGAAGTATAGGACACACAACGATAAGAAGCACCGCTAGGTCATCCCTAGGTGCGAACGACTTATTCTTCCTCATGTCTAAGTCCACTCGACTTATACTTCGCACGAGCAGATTCTGAATTCGATATGTTATACTCACTTTTCGGTCATTGTTGACTCGTGGCTCCGAAAAGTTCTGAAGGAACATTCCTTATACTTCCCTGGTGTTTGTTAAATTCTTCGACCCATCTAACTGGTCGTTCTGACAATTCTGTTGTCTTCGATTTGTCTGTTTTATATCATATCTTTATGTCCTGAATCTTTTATTTCCTTTATCGAACGAAGATTCTTCATTATCTTGTCTACCAAACTCCCTCTACATGTTTTAAGTAGGCCAAGTAGCTCTCATCTTTCAATGACTATCCAGCCGCCATACGGCATGCAGCGCGCCGTAAAGGGTTCGACATGCCCGTCGCCTGACTCCTTGATCATGCCATTGTAAATTTTGTTGCATGCCACCCACCGGATGGGGTATCTCTGTCCAAGCGTTGTGCAAATGTCATACACACCGGCGCATAGATATAGTTTCGTCACAACTCACCCACAAAGGGAGGGGTACAATACACAACAACAGCCGGGATGATTCGTATGGCCGTGCATCCCGAGGCACACCCGTGGACATGTTCACGGCGGAAATTAGTCATCCTCCGAACAGAAATAATGACAAATCAAATCACTGCCCGCAACCTGAGAATGCATCCTAGATCTGTCCCTGGATGTCCGCGGATGTTGGCGAGGTCATATGACCACCTAGCTTCTCTCCAGAGCTTCCTTCACTGCAGCCACCTTTTCCTGCGAATATCTTTCTCCATCCGCAGCGTCTCCGCTCCCTCTTAAACCACCGCAAGATCCCGCCTGAGGTCGCATCAACATCCCAATTATGTCGCTGCTTGGTCGATTACCCATGAAGCATTACCCTTGGCTTCCATCCCATTTCCAAAACATTTATGAATGGCTACATCACACCGAACCCACATGGGGCTACACAATCTACCGGACAACATATACTCCCCAATCCCGTGCCGCTTTCCCGCGTGTGGTCGACCTTACCACGAAGGATATGAAGGACAAATTTTACGAGGATTATGAATCCTACCTTCGCTTTAGTCCCGACGCAAATGAGTTTAAAAGAGCTCCCTTCGATGAAATGTGGGCTCATCACAAACCACGCGTTATTGAAGATGCTTCCCAGTTCGACGGAGCATCAATAGACCACGTCCGTGATCATTTCAAAACCTGGGCAACCGAGCAAGGGAAGGTCGATAGCTTTCCTAGCTACCGTATGTTTGTTATGATTGATGAGGAAAGTTTTCAGACTTTACAGAACGCTCCACTTCCAGAGAACTTGCCATCAAGACCAGAAGACATACGGCGTCATTATGTGAAAGTCGTTGAGGCATCGGAGGAAGACCCCGAGCCGCCGTTTCCAGGGTGGATAAAGTGCTCCCTACCCAAAATGTTTAGCGTGTGGTCGGATATGCAGGAAATGAGTTATCTGGAAGACAGCTATTCGCTGAGATCCGCCGGCACAGATGTTCTATGAGTTTGTCTTGTCCGAATACCCTAAAATGGATACTGAGGATGCGATTGACTCAACGAAGAAGTTGGTTTGTCTGTTGGCAGAGGAAGAAGAGAGAGGGGAAAGAACGCTAGTTTACATAGTGGAAAAGAGAAACAGAGCCCAAACTCCCCAAACAATCTAGGGACTAGATCGGCTTCTAGATAGCCGAGGGCTCTCTGAAAGCTATAAGAGGATGTTCTCTCCACTAGAAAATAGATAAAAAAAGTACTACTCTAGCCAATAGAAAGAATGCCACAAGAGGTGATAATATTTCCTAAGAACTACAAGTACAATCGGGCGGGCAACAGCCACACCCGGTGGAGGCGGTCTCCCACCGAAGCGGTACCCCTACACCCCACCTGTCCCCTTTCCTCCGGCAGAAAATCCCCCTTTGTCACCTGATCCGCCTCCTCAGGGGGCGCCTCGGGTGATGATAAATCACATATTCAAACCGGGGTGTAACTTTCAAATTCGTAACAGATACGGTATTTTACCTACTGGGCGCTGGATGACCAATCTTAGAACCCACATGTGCAGCTATAGCGATCAATGACCGGTGCAGGCCGACAGGATTCCATGGCAGAGGGCTGATCTCAAAAATTACCCGTCATGTCCATAGAGTACCGAAACTGTTCTTTCCCTCGGCTATATAGTCTCTAGGTCATTTCAGTTAATGTATAAATAAAACCGGTTTGCTCCAACAGCCCACCGTCCAGTTCGACAATTCACTGCCTTGTCAATCCTGGCTTTGACCGACGCACTCTATTGAATCATGGCCACTCTCCAATCCAGTCGGTCTGAGATATTAGTCGAAGCTGAGTCCTTTGACGACTTCGGCGGTTGGGTCATGGATTCACAATTCGATCTGGAAATGGGCTCACCTTATTTGCTTGCCCACGGAAACGGAGCACCTGTCGCAGATGCAACAACCATCATCGATACTTCGCCAGGGGTATATCATATCTGGGTCCGGGCCAAGGATTGGGTTCCAGGCCATCACCCTGGAAGATTCACTCTAATAGTCAACGGGAAAACCCTGCACCATGAGTTCGGGGCGAACGATCAAGATTGGTCGTGGGAATATGGGGGAAGTGTTCCGCTTGACGGAAAGACAGAACTCGCATTGCACGATCTGACTGGCTTTTGCGGGCGTTGTGATGCTATTTTTCTCAGTCGGATAGGTGAACCTCCTCCACCCGGTGCAGGACGAGCTTGGAGACGAGCTCTGCGCGGACTTCCCCAAGCCCCAGTTGATATTGGGGAGTTCGATGTCGTTGTCGTTGGCGGTGGTATTGTTGGATCTGTTGCTGCACTTGCCGCTGCGCGCTTGGGAGACCGTGTTGCACTTCTTCATAATCGGCCGGTCCTCGGCGGCAATGGAAGTGTTGAGATTGGCCTCCGACCGCGTGGTATAACAGGGCCTTTGATTGATGAAATATCTCAGCGACACTCAAATGGTGATTTGCATGCAGAAAGTCTGCTGGGGGCTGAGGCAAATGCTACGGTGTATCTGGAGCACACGGTTTATGACACCATTACCAGCAACTCACGTATCCTTTCTGTGGATGCTTGCGAGGCCCGAACTGGACGAGAAATCCGCCTCTCTGCGACTTCCTTCATCGATTGCTCGGGAAAATGCATACTCGGCCTGTTATCGGGAGCTAAAACACTCTTCGGCCAGGGATCCAAGAACGAGTATGGCGAAGGTCTGGCGCCGACCGAAGGTGATGACTACATACACCACGGCAACACAGTATTCTTCCGGACAAAAATGGCAGATTCTGCCATCGACTTCCCCAGCGTCCCATGGGCAACTGAGGTATCAAAAGACTACTCTAATCTTGGCGGCCAGCTTGTAAAACCTGGTATAGAGAATGGCCCAGGGCCTGCTCTACCGCCAAAGGGTGCGGCAGATCCTTCAGCCTCTCTAGCCCGTCGTATGAAGGGGCCGTTAACTCATTTTTGGGAGTATGGTCAGCGGTTAGATCCCTATTCTCAGGGTGAACACATCCGCGACCATCTCCTCCGGGCCATCTATGGAACATTTTGGAATGTCAAGAGAGACCCCGAATACGCCAACCTCGAGCTCGAATGGGTTGCCTTCGTCGCAGCACAGGGGGAATTTCGCCGGTACAAGGGTGACTATATACTCACCGAGACGGACATCCGTGTTCATAAACGATTTCCGGATGGTGTCGTCAAGAACGATGGAGCCTTTTGTCTCCACTACCCTGGAGACAATGATGCAAAGTACGACTTTCGGCTTAAATACTGGGAATGGGATGAACGAGATCAGAAGCCCTACAAAATCCCCTCCCGCTGTCTTTACTCAGAGAATATATCTAATCTCCTGGTGGCGGGTAAGCATATTAGTGTGACTCGCGTCGCTAGTTCAAACACCAAGTTTATGGGGAATGGCGGGCAGCATGCTATTGCCGTTGCAGCGGCAGCCCATTTGTGCAAGAAGTATAAGACCACACCTCGCGGGATGCACTATCATTTATCAGAGCTTAAGGAGTTGTGTCTTCGGTTCACTGGACTGGGTGATCCAGACTGTCACGGTGAGGCGAAGTCCACAGCCAAGCTTTGAGAACACGGGTACCGATGGTCCTCTAGGACAGATGTCAATTAGTTTCTGGTGGATTCTGAAATGAATGATTTACCTTGGTTATTGATAATATTTACTACGTGGTATGCTCTATGGCGACTCTCCCTGCCCAAGGATTACGATTGGAGTCTCTATTGGTCTTAGTAGGATGTTTATAACGCCATGAATTGTTAATATATTGACATTTGGCACAGGCTGATCGGTATACTTGGCTCTTCTTGATATTACGATCCAAACATAACTTAACCTTTAGTTGCAGTTTATATTCATTTCAGTTGTTGTTTATGTCCAGGGGTACATCTGGGTATAAGATATCCATATTATATAATACATGCAAAAGTCATTATTTATCTAAGGAAAGAAGAAAACGAGACTTCCCCGCTCCTTCCAGCTTCGTCGTAGTTAGACTTGACAACAATCTCATACGTCGACTTTTCCCCAACTACCATCACGACACCAAACCTCGAACCGTCAGAATGTCAGAAACAAGAACGGACCCATATAAATCGATTCCAAAATGAATCATGACAAGGGGAGAGGTTATGAGGCATGTGGTGCAGTGGGGGGAGTGTGGAAATTTCCACACCATTTCCCCAACTGCCCACACTACATCAAACCTCAGGACCTTCAGGACATCAGAGACATGATTGAAGGTTTTGACGCGATTTATAACCAGATCAAAATGACAACAACCAAAGGATGAAATCGAGTCGCACGTCTGGGGAGTGTGAAATGTCACATGAGGAATATTTGGCCAACCAATCCTCGTGGAGTGGTGGAGACAGCTTCTTTATTCCCCCCAAATGGCGCAAGCATGTCTTCCGTGTCATCTTACTAGATGCAGCTGCAGCTGCACGTGCAGCCGAAGTCGAACCGTCACTCTGCTTATTGTCAAACGAGACCACAATGATCCTCTTCCTAAGCAACGAGTCTGTTTCACCCTATGTCTCAACGCAGAATACGTCTAGGTTCGGAAAGCAATGATAACGCTGTCTGGCCGGTGGACGCCAAAGTCTAGCTTCTAAGGTTCCAAACTGTTTGGAAACGTAAAACACTACATACGACCATAGGGTGTGGAAATCAGGGCTTCCTGTCCGCTCAGCCGATTATTCCGCACGGTCAAGGCAAAATGGTCTTAATTGTGGCCCGCACAAAGTTTCTTTCTAGAGTACATACATAGGCTGAGAAATATTGATTACAGGTCGTAGGTGTGAGACTGAACCTTAATGGTAGACACGGTCCAAGTCTTTCCGTTGTCGGTTGTCTTCAGACCAGACGAAGTGGCCTCATTGATAGCCAGAGTGTCACCAAAGGAGGAATCGGCGGCATTCAGAATGATTGTAGTGTCGAGGTATTCTACACCAATTAGCAATCGTTTGATGACTTGGATATATAAACGCCAACTCACCGTGTGCTGCAGCAGTGCTCTTGCAGGCATCATCCTGGCATTCGACAGCGGTACCCCAGCCCTGTGCCTGGCCGGAACCTAGAAGGAATTGTCAGTTGGAGACTGGGATTATGATTATACCGAGCACTTACTGGTTGAAAGAGTTGACACAACCTCTCCATTAATGGAGACTGTCTGGTCAAACTTGCTGGTCTGGTCATTGTACTTGTCTATGAAATAATTAGCTCACGTCTATAGGTCCCAGCAGATCAGAACTTACAATGCATGGTAATCTCATCACCAGCATTGGCAGGGACCTGCTTTCCGCCCAGCTGGGTGCCTTGAAGGGTACTAGCCCATGTACACCATTGTCCAGCTGTTGCTCCACAGTTTCTGCAAGAGTCAGTTATGAATTCTACATGTTTACATCTGTTCTTCCATCACTCACGCGGAAGGGTCGGCGAAAGAAACGGCAAGAGCCTGGATCAAATCACCACCGCTTGTTCCCATACCGGGCCACAGAGCAAGACGGTCTTTCTGTGGACTCGAGGCCTCGGGGAGGACAAGTGTTGTGGTTGCTTCACGGATCCATGACGAGGTAGGGCCGAGGGAGAAGTATGGACCAAATCCGATCTTATCTTGGGCATTGACAAGGCCGAGGACGGCGAGGATGGCGAGGCTTCTGAGAGACATGATGAATATACGAGGTTAATCAAATGTAGAAGAATAAATTTCGGAATCACTACAAAGAGAGCGGCTTTATATAAACGAATATTAAAGATTAAGTGTCTTGAAGATTTGATAATGACCCAGTTAAGGGGAAACATAAACCGGATCATTCCACTCCACCAGTATATAATTTCTCCGTCTCATAATTTTTCCGCTTCATACGCTCATAATTGGGACGTGCATTTACGGCATATAAGACATGATTGGATTTAGGTGTTTCAAACGAGCTGTTTTTGAAACAGACTAACGTTGTTGGTGTCGAATCCGAGAAAATGGAACCCAAAACAAGCTGCTAGTTCCAGTCTGTTACATCTAATATCTAGGGAAAGCAATTATTCCTGTCCGGACAGTATTCCACTCAAGAATTATTGCAGACCTCTGTTTAAACTACTTCTGCCAAGGAGTTTGTTGCCCTGCTGAGCCCCGTCTTTGTCCGCCCCGTAATGCGCTATCTCAGGGCCAAAATAAACCTCGACGGCCTATCAATCCACCACCCGCACCATCATTCCTACAATTGACACTCTCACTATGTATCAAGTATTTGCTCTGATATTTCTTTTCCTCTCTGTGCAGGCGACTGTCGCGTCTAACGACCATGACCATACACTCCTCCGTAGGGACGTTTGTGACGGGATTAGTGATATGCCGGTGCTCTATCACAATTATCTAACTGATGTGTGCCGACCGAAATATTTTAACAGCTCGGAGGGGGTTTGCGACCATGCGGATTACCAGGCCAATTCGTGTGTGGCGTTCTGTCAGATTAGAACGCGTTTTGTTTATGGGAAGGAGTTTCCCTTGGGCGCTTGGTGCGATGGACCTCCTTGCAAGATTGCCGATTCTACGAAGCCTATGACTTGGTCTGTTAATATGAAGCTTCATTTCGAGAAGGGGTTGAATGATGGGATCAGTGGAGGCTGGCAGTCAAAGATAACGGCTGATGTGGGACCTCACGGCATGTCTCACCCTTTGAATGCTGGACAGTGCGGGTACTGGAGGTGGGTGTCTATCGAGAGAACTGTTTGGTAGGTTGATGGTTCTTGTTATTCGCTTGGCAGACGAAGAATTTAAGGAGAGAACTAACTCGTGTTAGTGGAACCATGTCTTACCAACAAACCGAAGCAGACCGCTGCGTCGATGATATTCACACCATTGAAAATTACTGTGTAGATGATCTACGGCGAAGGGCCCGATGGAACTGTCGACGGAGCAACGATAGTTGTATACACTGACTGTATGACACGACTTCCGTTGCCTACGCATCACCAGACTAGCATATACAGGCTACCAGGCGTCGCTCTGGATCGGGGTGAACGTTCTTCAACTCAGGTCTTGGGTGACTATCCTGCAATTTTAGACTCAAAACAGCAAGTGTTGTGAATATACCTCGCTGGAAAGTATTTTAGACATCGATAGCTGTTGATGGTGTGGCCATCTACTGTTGATGTTGTGATAGTTCATGCCTGACAGCTCAGGCACGAATCCGAGATTGCCATCTCTCTTCCCCAATCTCTTTCCTTTCCTTACAGTTTCACAGGATCTTGTTCCTTGTTCCACGTCCCGGTTTTCTTCCCTTGGCTTCGCATATCCTGCCAACATCGGGCCACCTGCTCCTGCGACTGCTGCCATTTCCTAAAAATTGCCTCTTGGATGCACAGACCCACTCCACATTCACTCCACACCTGCAAGCCAAATGTCAAATCAAGGGCGTCGGCAAGATCGGGCCCAATGGCACCAGACCACGTTTTCTAGGGGTTTGCCACATGTCTCCGAATATAAATTGCTAGATAGCTCTCGGATTCTCTAGACGAAGAAGATTTTTGGGCAGTCTTCCAATTTTGCCTTGAATCCCTTGAAAATGGACCATCTCGATCTAGAACATGGACTGAAGAAACCCTGGATTGAAACGCCTTTGATCGAGTCTGCCACACTTTCAAAGGCTGCCGGATGGTAAGATTGGGCTTTTATTTTTCTTCATTAATCAAAGTGCCGGACGCTGAAGAGTAAATATAGTAGAATTTTCCTCAAACTAGAGTCGCTCCAACCTTCTGGCTCGTTCAAATCACGGTGAGTTCAGCATTTACGTTGCGGCATATACAGAATCTAAACTGGTTTAGGGGCATTGGAAACTTCATTCTCACATGTCTTTCTGATCCATCACACAATGGCAGAACCCTACATTTTTACAACTCCTCGGGAGGCAATGCGGGGCTCGCAGCAGTTATAGCGGCTCGGGATCTCGGTTATGCCTGTACTATTGTTGTGCCCCTTAGCGCGAAGCCTATGATGATCCAAAAAATACGCGCTGCAGGCGCTTCGGATGTTATCCGCCATGGCGCCAGTTGGTTCGAAGCTGACGCATATCTGCGGGAAACTTTCATCGAAAATGAAGCCAGCAAGTCAGATCCCTTGGTCAGGAACATTTATGTCCCACCATTCGATCACCCTGACATCTGGCGAGGTGCGGGGACTCTGGTCGATGAGATAGTTAAGCAGTTACCTCCAAGGCACTACGGCAAACCCGATTCCACTTGTTCGTTCCCGGCAGATGCAATCGTTTGCAGCGTTGGTGGTGGTGGTCTTTTGAACGGGATTGTCGGCGGCCTTGAGAGGCATTTGCCAGCCTATCAACCGACAACGCTTCCCGACAAAGCGATGAAGAAAGTCCAAGTACTCGCCGTTGAAACAGCTGGGGCGGATTCGCTGGCACATTCGCTAAGCAAAGGTTACTTGCACCCTCTACCTGCAATTACCTCGCAGGCAAGCACCCTAGGGGCACTCTGCGTGGCACAGCAGACGCTAAAAAATGCGCAATCCCCCCCGCCCGGTATCGAAGTCACTAGTATTGTGGGTACCGATGCTGATGCTGCGAGGGGAGTTGTGCGTTTGTGTGATGAGCTGCGGTTGCAGGTCGAGCTGTCTTGCGGAATAAGTGTCCAAGTTGGGTTAGATAGGCTAAGGGAAGTCATGACAGACCTAACACCGGATAGTCGAGTTGTGATCATTGTTTGCGGAGGAAATGATATTAGTTCTGAAATGATTACGGATTACCGCCAGAAGCTTGAGGATGGTTGGCAATGAAGGACGACTGGAATCGAAAGCTGCTGTTACAACTGGTTGATGGAAGGTCATGAACTACCTACTCACCTAGTCAGGCCCATCTTGATGCTTGAGGGTAATGAGGCCATAGTGTTAGATGCAATGTCAGAAGGGTTCCAAACCATTTGCCAACCTTATCATTGTCAAGATCAAAAGAAGAACGAAAATCTATAGTCGCTTACTTCACGCATGAGTTCCTCTCCTTCGGGACAAATGGCACGGTTCGATCTTGTTATGCAAACCCCCTCATATCCAAGCAGACGAATACGGCCACTGAAAAATATGTCGACGAGGCGCGTACGCTAAGAGGGCAAGCAATGGGCAAATGCTGCCTCTCCAAACTACGAGATCGGGGGTGAGAAGGGGTCAGTCCACAAAAGCTCTTCTTAGTTTCCAATCTTATCCTCTTGCTCCCACTTAACCTTAGTCTATGTCTCATAATGGTACTACTGGTTAACGCCATGCTAGCAAGTTTACCATTGAGTATTCAAAGCCCAAATATCACTGCAGTCGAAGAGACCCGTGATCCTCGACTTTATCCAGCGCATCGGCAACGCGCGATCCCTCTCCCTCGAACAGCATCCCGTCGTAAGTCGCCGCGCCTACAACACAGCCAACAATAGGGGCGAAGAGGGGAACAACAAAGTAGTAGTTGGCCGCCGTAAACACCTCACGGCCATAGACGATAGCAGAGAACAATCTCGGACCAAAGTCTCTAGCTGGGTTAATGGCCTAGTGTTATTAGTATTAGTACGACTTCCTAATCTGATAAGCTGGTGAACATACGTAGCCGGTCTGCCAGCCCAATGCGGCTCCGATCATAAGCAGCAGCAGAAAGGAAGCGAGCTGTGGAGCAGGGAATCGATGGGCATTTCCCGGATCAGAGATACTGAGAGAGCCAAACATCAGCACAGCTGAGCCCAGCATCTCAGAAAATACAGCCTCCCAGTTCGACTCGAAGAAGGCACCGGGGTAGGTCGAGAAGATACCCGCTGAATGGTGACCGACCGGGCTTAGGATCGATCCGCCTGGGATGGTATATTCGGGATCCCAAGCTTTGATAGCCGAACGGTAGTTGATATATACGATGGCAGCGCCGACAAACCCGCCTAGGAACTGCGCAGCCAGCTTGCCTGGGATTTGTTTCCACTGTCCTTCAGATGGACGCACAAGAGCAAGACAAAGAGTCACGGCCGGGTTTATGGTCGGGCTTGGATCAGACAAATAGCCAGAGAGACACACGGCAGCGGCCCAGGCGAGGTTGATGGACAGCCAGGTGCCGTAGTTGTAGTCGGATAGCAGGCATTGGGCGACAACTCCATCCCCGATGACGATTAGCAGGGCTGTCCCGAGAAATTCAGCCGCATATGGCTTCAGTACCCGACGAGGGATCATTTCGACTAAGATGATATTGAAATCCGACTCCCTTACTCCGTACAAGATGGGATGCCAACCCTGGAAACCCCTGATTCCAACCTTGGTTGTGGGTTGTTTACATAAGTAGACTAAACTGTCCACGGGTGGACCGTGACGTCATATCACTTGCAGCTCCCTCGGACCTGCCCGATACAGGATGCCGATTCTGCCGATGTATTCAACTATATAGATCTTTCGCATGTGAAATATACTACAGCGTCACTTCCGTTCGAATAAATTGACAACTTCAATTTCATTTATACTACCAACTTACCTAAATCTATCGTTCAGGAATTCAACATAAGGCTAGCAACACTATAGCAAAAAGGATAGAAACTGGAATTAATGACCTATATGCCAAGATAAGTCTAGAGATACTTACCCTCAAATGTCTTCAATATCAAACCGCATGTTCAGACGTTGAAGGTATTTACCATCGTGAAAAGTAACGATCCTTGCAATTCGCTTCCTACCTTGGCCCCAGGCACACAGAACAAAAGCCGCAACAATCTTACCCATTGTAGTACCCAACAGAGCATCAAACTCGTGCGAGGAAGTCCAGATCTTCTGTTCGCTGGAAGGGTACGGAAGTCCTTCGGATTTATACACCTCATCACGAATACATTCCACGGTGTCAGTTTCGAAAATATCAGTCACAAATACGTATCTAAGGCTTTCAAGCGGAAAATCCATCTCATACGCAGCCTTGGTAAATTCCGACATATGGGGAGCAGTGCTTCGCCTTGATCGGCGGATCCAGTCAAGGAACACCACCCCTTGTCCAGTGCGTCCCTCCCAGCCCACCGGTGGACCTTGTCGATTCTCGATTTCTATCTTGTTAAGCTCGATTGGTAGAGCAAGAGGGTGGATCCATTTGCCCCATAATGGATCTAGGCATACAGCTTTGTGGGCGACGGAATACTCCCTGGGTTGGGGGTTATATGTCACTGAAAATGTGGACATAGGGTATGGGCACCCTAGTTCGTGGTAGCGTTCCATCCATTTCCGTAAGGTTCGTCCTTTTTCTTCCCATGGAGAGTACCTAGGCATTGTGAATTAGGGCTGAAGAGCTGGGTTAGGTAGGGCAAGAGAAAAGTCTGAAATAATACTCACCAGCTCATGAATTTAACTGGGTTAAAAGACGTTCTCCAGTGCCTAGTTTTATACATGCCCGATATCACGAAGTGAGAACAAAAAAGGTCCAGCAATACCATTGTTTGGAATAAGCTCTAATTAAAGGAAGATTACAAAGCCAAGGTGAACAATGAGACCTGGGGGAAAAGGAATATCATTAGGTAAAGACAAACAATAAGCCTGGAGACAAAAGAAAAAACTGCTAAAGACTGAAAAAGGTGTAAACCAAACAAAGCACTATAATCGATTATAGCTAGCAATTGCTTCTCATGACAGGTATATTTATGTACAGATTAAGTTTCTTAGCTGTCATTCTTAAGGTTGCCCACGAGAACTACGTCGTCCTCGAGGGCATTATTATCTGGTTCCTAGCCTGTTGTCTTCTTCCCCTACCTTCTTCTGTGTGTGCAGTCCCACGGGTGTGATATCAATTGCAGCATTGAGGATTAAAGAGTTGTAGAGAAATTGAGCAGTTTTTTATATATTTTCTAGATCAGATTGAAACACAACTGAAGTCCATAAAACTGCAATGGTTATACTCCCCCACCGCCGTGGCAGAATCAAGCTTGCGCCAAACCCCTTTAGGCCAAGCGCCCCAATGATTGCCAAACATCCAAACAATCCACGTAGATTGCAAGGAGAGTCCTACAAGCATCCCACAATCATAGTCCTATCTGCTATCCAGATCCAATAAAGGTATGTGAATATGTTTCTCCTGTTTGAAAGAGGCTGTCCGTGCCGAAATTCACCCCCAATTGCGCCCCTTCTCCCCGCATTGCTCCGGGGTCGCGCGCATACCCCGTGGTATTTGGGACATGATGTCAGCCCAATGGAGTCTACACGCGTTAAAGTTTGAGTCAATCTCCTCATATACTAACGAAATTCTCTGTATAGCATCTTTTATCCCTCCTAAAACCACCGCGTTCAGTTTATTCACAATGTCTGTCGAAGGCGCCTCTGCATCGGTACGTTGATCACGAGTGACGCTGCAGCTGCGATATATCGACCCGATTATGCCGTGAAAACACTCCGCATTAGTAGTGCATTGTCACAAACGGTCCTAACAACTGTCCAGCCCATTCCCATTGAGGATCTCACCAAGATCACCACCGAGGTATGGCCACTCCCAAAATGCCCCGTGCAATTAACCCCGCGCTAACATTTCACCCCAGGCCTGCCAGGATGCCCTCAAAACCAGCCAGAGCTATGAGCACGACAATGTCGGAACCTGGAACTCCGAGATTATCGTAAGTGTCAACACCCAGTCAACAACCACCACCCAACTGCGCAACACTGATACTAACAATCCCCCGCACAGAACACCGTCCTTAAGGCCCTGATCACCGCTACCGCACCCTCCGATGCCTCCAAGCCCCCTCCCTACCGCTTCACTGTGAACAGCACAATCGTGCAGCAGGGCGTGATTGACCCGTCCGTTGCTGCGGATGGCGCACTTAGCAATGCCGGTAAGCGTGGTATGCACTCCGCCTCAGGAGCGTTCTGGGATGTCAACCGCGACGGAATGTGGACTTTCAAGTACACTGGTGCTGAGGATAAGGGGATGGATATTGTTGTGTGTGTGACGTGGTTTGCCGTCGTCGTATAAGGACGGGGCTGGTTGTTTGTTGGCTTGTTCTCTCATGAACATATCCATGGATGGCATAATAGTCCATAAGCGGAAGCGGTGGCTTTGTCTGTGAGCGGTTCCTTGGACTTATTATCGGATTTGCGTCAAGGGCTTCATTTTTTTTCATGTACTTGAACATTTGTTTTGAGTCCTATGGGTATGTCTAGATCTGTTCTTCTTCTTTTTCGTGTGATTTGATTTGAGTTCGGTCTGAGCGTGATGTTATGTTTACTTTAATTTATGGAGACTTGCCTGCATTGTTCGAGGAATTGAACAGCCTTGTAAACGTGTATCAGACATGTTACCCTGCCAGGAGTATGTAGTGTACATATGTAGAGAAAGAAGACTTGGAATAAATGTTTGATATTGTTAGTGGTATGTCGACAATATGCAATATCCTCTATGGGATGAAAATGGGAGAAGTAAAAAAACTGCAAAACAATTCAACGACAAAGGTCTCCGTTGACCAACCGAAATACGCCATAAACCCAGAGAAAACTGGAAAACACCCATCAGTACTTGCGCCATGCCATGTGTAGATTACCTAGAATAAGATCAACGCCAATAAAGAGACCCAGTAACTCATGAAACCAAAACACCGGTTAGCCGAGGCAACTCAACCTTGGATCTTGCCCCTAGCGAGGCTCTGAATAGTCGTTCAAAGCAACACAAACAGCACCTCGGTGATGGCCGCTGTACTGGCGGATGATATTTCCAGTGCCGAGCTCCCACAGACGAGCATAGTGATCACTGGAGACAGTCACAAGGTATGCACTGTCTGCAGAGAAGGCGCAGTCCCAGACCCAGCGCTGATGATTGGCGAGGGTGGTCTCTAGGAACAGAGTGTGGTTAACTGGATCCATAGGAGGCCCGTCGGGGGATGAGGTAAATGTCTGTTGTGGTGTCTCCTGGCGAGGAGGATTGTCGGTAATACGGAGAAGATCACGATCTTGGATGGGTGCGTCGAAAATGCGGAGCAGATCCCGAGACTGGGCGGGAACCTCGACAGGGACTATCGGAGCTTCGACCGGTGTCTCAACTGGAGGGTTCAATGCCTCTTTCTCCTTCCATTGCTTCAATGCCAGTTTGGCAGGCGGAAATTCGGCGTCAAGGTTCCAAACCTTGGCGGTATGATCCGCAGAGCAGGTTGCAAGGTGCTTGACATCGGGAGACAGGAGAACACGAGTGAGGTAATCCTTGTGAGCTTGGAAGGTACAGACGGGGATAATGCGGGTGGTTTCGTCGGTTTGGACCATGCGCCACAAGTAGACATTGCCCTATCGAGATATTAGTAAAGAAGCCTAATATCTTCCGTGAAACCAAATCACACACCTTCTTGTTTCCAGCGCAGAGCAACGATCCATCACTGGCAACGCTGACACTGAGAACCGCAGTGTCCTCCTCCGGAATCAATTGATGAGTACAGACGCTCTCGCCCAAGTCCCAGACACGGACCATACCGGCGTGGTCACCACTGATGAGCTCGCCCTGATTGGGATGAATGACCACATCATTGACTGCAGCCCGGTGGACATAATTCCGCTGCAAGCTACCGGTACGGGTATCCCAGACCTTCACAGTTCCATCCTCGGAGCTGGTGACCATCCATTTCCCTTCGCAGTGGAATGCCACGCCGGTGATGTTATTCGTGTGACCTTCAAAGGTAATCACGGGATTGGGATTGGTTGACTTGATATCAAAGAGCTTGACATTGTTGTGGCCCGCGGCAGCCAGGAACCTCTTATCCGGGGTTATGCAAAGACGATTGACTTGAGAGTCTGGATGCTGGATTGTACGCGAGCAGATACCCGAGAGCGCTTCCCAAAAGCTAGCAGAGATATAGTCAGTAAGAGTCCCAGTATAAATCACCACTCCGCGGGTGCTAGATAAACGCTGCGCGCGGCTAGTTGAGCCTCAACTTACCGAATGGTATGGTCGTACCCCGCTAAAATATGCAACCAAGGTAATTAGCTCATGCCTGGAAGAATGCGGGGAGCTCCTTCTGATGTTCCACATACCGGTGCATAGAATGACACTCATATTCGCCAGGGCTGAGGCCAAAGGGGTGTAGTGGGAAAAGTAACCGGTCTTCGTGATATCCTCGTTCTGGGTACCACTGGAGTCCCTGGAGGCGTTAGGGGAGCTGTCAAGGCGAGACGGCCCAGGCCGAACGTCGGATGGAGTCCCGTTTTCTGCCATGACTACCACGTGATTGAAGGTCCCGTGAGTAGAGCGGTGTCGCTGTGTGACGATAAGTCGATAAGTGAGGGCGGTGGGAAGATAAGATGGTGACACCTAAAGGGGAGGCGGTCAAGAAGGTGAACAGAAGCACAATTGCGAGTTATTGTTTGTCTAATGAGGTCGGTTCATGATTTTGTAGATAAGGTGATAACTCTAATCTAGTGGTTTGTTTCCATTTTCGTATTTCTTTGAACAGTATTTGGGTGAGTATTTTCGTGCACTCAAACTTGGTGAACCTCAAGTCTTAGACTAGATTGGGCGGTATATACAGCGGTGAGTCGCTAGCTGTATGGCTTTGACATATTATTAGCCGATATAAATTTAAACTTTTGGCAAAACAACTGATTCGCCGGCAGAGAAAAAAAAACATACCAATGCAGTCGAACAAGTACATCATGCGTTTGTTGTCTCTATTGATCCCTATTGATCTCTATTGATCGCTATTGATTGGTTTAAGACAATAGAAATGTCGCTTTCTTTGTTATTGTTTGCTCCCATTGTTCCCGTCTATGCATCCTAATTCCTTCCTCAACGGTTATTACCATCCCTCCTCGACACTCCTCTTTCGATCTCTTCTTCCTTTCCACAACACTTTCTTCTCGTCTCAAGCCCCTTCAATATCCTCCAATCTTAATACCTATTCTTAATAAACATGGCTCCAATTGACCCCAACCAACCTGCCTTTGGGCTTGGCCAACCTGCTTTCGACTCCCAGGCCTTTCTCAATGGCCTTGCCAACCTCGATACTGACGGGCCTTTCAATGCTGCCAATGGATTCAACCACTACGAAAATCCCGAGCTTATGTGCAGCTTCGATGAGTTCTTTGCCAGTATTCCTCTCGATGACCTCGATCAGTCTGGGTTTGACCAGCCAAGTTCAACCACATCTGTCAACCGCTCTCCCCAGCCCATTTCAACCAGACCTGTCAAGCGCTCTGCCCAGCCCATTTCAACCAGACCTGTCAAGCGCTCTGCCCAGCCCAGTTCAACCACACCTGTCAACCGCTCTACCCAGCCAGTATCCAACAATCTCCCCGTGCATGCACCATACAGGCAAATGACCTACGATCCCTCGATTGGGATTGCATACACCCCTGAGGACACTGATGCCGACAAGGTCCGAAAGTGGGAGAACCTCATCGCCCAGGCCAATTTGGCCAATGCCGGCGTCCCACCCTCTGCTCCTCGGCCGATTGAAGAAGAGACAGTTGGACAAAGCCCCCAGGCTGTGGACTCGCCCAATTCTCTGTTTGAATCTCCTCGCTCCCCTTCCGTCGAGATCGTCGAGACTCCTAGCACCGCTCCGTCGACTCCACCCCCTCCCCAAGCTCCTCCAGCTACAATGGCACCTTCGAACGCCGCGACGAATGTGAATGTTAGTCCCTAATGATTATTGATCCAATTATATTAGGAAAATGTGTTAATTATGTTCAACAGGCAAGTGCCATTCCTCGCACCGTGCAGCTTCCGCGAGCGTTGACGAACCAAAAGGGCTATGCACAACACGTTTCCCCATTTGCCCCCGTTGCAACAATTGCTCCGCCTCCTCCATCCGCCCCAAATTCTCGCGAGCTGGAGAACGCACGATCCCGCATCCAGAGCCTGTCTAAGGAACGCAACTACTATCAACGCAGTTTGCGGAAGGCGACTACCATTGACCCCAAGACAGGTAAGACGAGCCTGCAGCTTCTCCAGGCGGAGAATGTGGCTCTTCGCCGGGTCAATGCGAAACAGTCACAGGAGAACGGGAATCTCAAGAAGGAGATTGAGGAGACTCGTAAGTCGTACGCTTCACTGGTCGAGCACTACAACAACAATATTAAGCAGTTGCACAAGGCGCGGCTTGAGTTGCAACAGCTAAGGAAGTAGGGGGTCAACTTGTATGTATTTTACCAAAGATGATCACATAGTCAATGGCATATACACCTTCTGATATGCAAGTATCCGTTCTTATCTTTAGGCCTCGCCTTTCTCCAGGACTGTTTCTATGTTTGTTTGAATGTTGATTAAGCTAAACGTCCATAGTACATAGCAAGATCAGCGCATTGCATAAAACCACCATGTTGTTCATGCACAAAAGTCCAGATGCGGAAATAAGTGGGGCCTTGCCCTAGAAAAGTCTGCCTCCACTTATAGTGCACATTTGAGCAAAAATGTATAATAACAGCACGGCCGGCTGGCCCAATGGCAAGGCGCTTGACTACGAATCAAGAGATTGCAGGTTCGATCCCTGCGTCGGTCACTTTTTTGCTTTCCTAGCTTTCTACGAACCCGATAGTCAATCTATGTCATGCAAATATGTATAGCGTACAACTTTTTTGTCAATGCAGTTAGGTCCGACTAGTATTTCCACTGTAGACAGGCTGTTGCCAAGCAAGAGGTTTGATTTTTCATATGCCTTAAGAACATTGCATTAGAGTTTAACTTGAACATTACAATGCTATACGTGTAACACCCTTGATATAAGCTTTGAAAAATATCAAACCTGATATCTCCAGGCCTGGAATGATTGTGCTATAAAACTATAAAACCGCAATGTACAACGTATTGCCTTCAATCGGCACATTAAGCATCCGATTTGAACCGAGCAAACCAAGCAGCCTCAAGCATGACGACATCAGTCTGCAGAATTTGAAGACACCAGTGGAGGAACTTCGGCCGTACCAAAACAAGGCACAGGCTGGCTAGATCTGGTTCGTCAAAAGAAAGCCATAGAAAAATGGGCCTAACAGGAAGCCATATGTCAGCGGCGTTAAGAAAAAAAGAATAAGCTCCATAAAATCACATCAAGTGGGTTTAGACTCGGAGTGGATCCAAGTCGGCGCCAACCAACGTTCGCCGTCCCGACCGGGTACCCGATGTGGATGTCGGGACTTCGCTTTCGGCATGCCGATTTGCATACTCGGCTCGGGTTGGATATTTTCCATCAGGGCAAGCCCTGGAGGTTCCAAGGTTCCATAATAATTATGCAAGGACGTTTATCGCCGATCTGTTCCGACTGTGGTTCCTTTTTATCCCTGCTTTGCTCTTTCTTTTCCTTTTGACAGGTTTGGCATTTCAACCCGTTGAGCAAAGGGAAGCTATAGCAGTTTGCTCGTCATGGCGGATCAAGACGAAATCCGTGGTAATTCGGTCTATCAGGCTGAACAGCCTGTTACTGAAACGCCCTCACCGGTTGAAAAGCCTGTTGCTGCGAAGGAACAGAAGAAGTCCGGCTTGATCGCCAAGTCAGTACCCCCATACCACGTCCTCTATGTTTCCCATATGCAGCGCAGAACAAGGCAAAAGTACTAACGCCTTCACAGAATCGGGAGAATGATCAACCAGGATGTCCGTGAGGAAATGCCCGCGTACAAGGATATCGAAATCCACACCTGGGACGGGCCCGACGACCCCGAGAATCCCTTCAACTGGAGCGTCAAATACAAATGGCTGCTAACGATCACCGTATGCTTCATGTAAGAAATACCATCTCAACACACAACAAATAAACCTTGAAGCATCTAACTAACAAAACCCACCAGCTCCATCCTGACCGGCCTGCCCGCCGGAACCTACGGCTCCGGCAACGACTGGATGGAGAAACAATTCAACGTCCAGAATGACCCCTTCCCAAACCTCTACTGGGCCACTACATCCTGGAATATGGGCGCGGCCTTCTGGCCACTGATCTTCGTGCCTTTGACCGAGGCCTCCGGCCGTATGCCAGGATACTTCGTGGCATATATAATCCTCGTCATCTCGCTCTTCCCGTCCGCGTTCGCACAGAACTTCGCAACACTCGTTGTTACTCGGTTCTTCGGTGGCGGTGCTTCTTCCGTCTCGATTAATATCGTCGGTGGAAGTATCTCCGATGTCTGGCTTGGTGACCACGCTCGCAGTCTGCCCATGTCTATCTTCGGATTTACGAGTGTTGTGGGTATTGCACTTGGTCCGTTTATTGGATCTGCTATTGTGCAGATTCAGAAATCGGAGCCCTGGCGTTGGTAAGCACAATCCCTTTCTTCCTCGAGATTTATACCTCCGAATATGAATATCCAAGAACCTAGAACCAAGAACCCATCATACTAACCATCTCCCTATAGGATCTTCTACGTCCAAATAATCTACAACGCAGCCCTAATCCCAGTCTTCTGGCTAATCCTCAACGAATCCCGCCCAGACGTGATCCTCAAGAAGCGCGCGCGCAAGATCCGGAAAGAAACCAACCGCCCTGTCTATGCAGCCTCAGAAATAGACGCACCCAGCAAACTCCGCCTTCTTAAAATCTCCTTCCAACGCCCGACAAACATGCTCATGACCGAACCGGTCGTAATCTTCTTCACATTATGGATAAGTTTCGCCTGGGGAATCCTCTACCTCTTCTTCTCCAGCGTCGTCCAAACCTACTCAACAAACTACGGCTGGGGCACGCTCTCAACCGGCCTAGTCCAGCTCGCCATCTCAGTAGGCGCGATCATCGGAACAGCCATCAACCCACTGCAAGACTGGCTCTATCTCCGGTCTGAGCGACGCAATAAAGAGAAACCCGGTAAACCCATCCCCGAGGCGAGACTGTACACGTCTATCCCGGGTAGTTTGCTCTTTGCTGCGGGTCTGTTCTGGTATGGATGGGCTAGTCAGCCTGATATTCATTGGATTGTGCCGACTATTGGAATCACGGCTGCGGGTATTGGCATTTATTCAATTTATATGGCTGTTGTTAATTATCTGACTGATGCTTATGAGAGATATGCCGCGTCGGCTTTATCGGCTGCTTCTCTTGGGAGGAATGCTTTTGGTGCGTTTTTGCCGCTTGCTTCGCCGCAGTTGTTTGGGAATCTTGGGTTTGGTTGGGCTGGGACGTTGCTTGGGTTTATTGGGGTTGCGTTGTCGATTGTTCCTGTTATTTTGGTTTTCAAGGGCCCGCAGATTCGGGAAAGAAGTAAGTTTATGAGGGAGGCTATGTGGGAGCCTGAGGAGAGGGTTGAGATTGATCGGTCTGGGAAGGAGGATTTGGGGCCTACTTCTGAGGGAATTGCGTGAGGTTGTGTATGTCGGGGTGTTGTTTTGCGCTGCATTGCATAGTTGAGAGTTTTGTTGTTGTTGTCTTCAATTTTGGCAGATAGATATTTATAAAGACTTATATTTTGATAGAAATAGACTAAACACATGAATTTATTGTTTTATTTGTTTTTATGTCCATCTAATGGCCGTTATCGTACAATGCCAAGAGGGTAGTATAGAAAGACAAGAAACCAAAAACCACAACTTCCTCCACATGTTCTATCAACTCTGAATCCAAGGTGAAAAGGATAGTGGAAGAGGGTATCGGGGCAAAGGGGTCAGGGTCAGAGGTGAATGGCCGTTCACATGGATGTTGCTTTTGGGAAACATTTTCGCTATCAAACGTTCAACCACAAGCACGAAAAATTTATTTTTCATCGCGCATCTTGCGGAAGAAATCCATGACACCAGTGTAAACAACAAGCAGGATACCACCACCAGGGCCGAGACGCAGGACCTTGGGGGTGAAGCCCTTGTACAGGGCAGCGAAGCCCTCCTCCTTCATCACGGTGCCAAGAGCAGGCCAAGCCCAGTTGTACTTGGCGACTTGACCGGGAACCTTGGAAGTGTTCTGGATGCGGGACTTGACAACATCCATGGGGGTGTTGAGGACAGTACCGGTGATACCACCAATGCTACCGGCGATCAAGTCGTTGCGGGTCTGCTGGTTCTTGTTGCCGGGCTCGGCGGCAGGCAGCTGTGCGCGGACCTGGAAGATACAGCCGAAGTAACCTGCGTTCCACAGGATGTGGCGCCACATGGTCGACTCAAGGCCGTTGTACATTGCCAGTGGGCCTTCTGCGGCAACGATCTTCTTCACCACGTCGAACATGCCGTTGTACTTGTGGGCCTGGGCCTTATCCTGTAGACGGATCTTCACCAACTCGAAAGGAACCACCACGAAGGCTTCAGTTGCTCCGGCTGTGGCTCCGGTCAAAGTGGCCAGGCCTTGGGTCTGCTTTTCCACGCCGAACAGGTTGCGGTAGAAAGTGCCCCAGCTGTCGTTAGCGGCGAACTTGGTTGCACGCTTCGGTGCCTCCATCAGGATGGGTGCGGAGATACCACGGTATAAACGGGAGGCGCTATATACGTCGTCGCATGTTAGAGAGAGAGGCATGGCTGCTTCGCTGGGGTTATGACATACCCCTCGTTCTTAACAATCTTACGGAAGCAGTCGAACATGCCATTGTAGTGATCGACACCAGGAACAGGGGCTCCGGTCTGAAGCTGACTGCAAGAGGATATCGTTAGCTCGTGTCATGTGAGGTCGGTGTTTATTGCGACCGGCGGCTTGCTTACATTCGAGTCTTGAGCACGTCCAGGGGGTACCTGCGAGTCACACATCGTCAACTGGGTCCAATTTTCACACTATACCAAGCATATCTCCAATAGAAGCAGTTATGCGACCAAGGAAGGGGAGTGGAGGGCCGTACATGATCAGGATCTGTTCGTGCGGGGAGAGACGCGTTAGTCAATGAAACATCTCGTAGGGGGTTCCGACACAACGAATCAAGTCGGAATCGCTTTCCAAATCAAAATCAAGAGAGACATACCTCTGAGACACCAGCCACCGCACCGGCGGCGAACTGGTAGACGAAGGGGAGGGGTTTCTGGGGAATTTCGGACATGATGGCGGCTTGAGCAGTGGGATGTCAGTATGGGGCCATAATTGGCTAAAGTTGGGATCGCAAAGTGATCCAAAGCACAGCTTTGCGATCAAATCGGACATGTTCACTCACAAGACCTTTAAAGAACGAGGGTTGGGAGAAAGAAGAAGTGAGAAAAGCGGAGGTTTTGCCGGTGTCGGCGAGATTCGGTGATCAGGTCCGAGTGCAGCAGCCGGTAAGTCTCCGCCTGTACGTTTAGCCCCGATTACTAAACCCCCGTGGGGAGAGCTTCTATAAAATTCTCATTCCGTGCTGTTGGCAGATTTATTGTCATCAATTCATATGTATCATGTTTTATCGTATCTTTTTCATAATATCCAAACTCCCACACTCATTCCCAGCATCATCCCCAACATCATTTTGCTAACCCGATACCCCACACCATCTCCGTTAGTCGCAGTCGCTTGTTCCTTGGCGACAGTCGTCCCAGACGCGATATCCCTTGCAGTACAGCTAGCACCACAGGCGAAACCAATGGGACAGCATCCTCCGCCCACGGTGTCAGCACAGTGAAACCAGCCCTGAGCACACCGGTTCCCGCCAGAGTGTTGCGTTGTTGTCGCGACAGGCGCTATAATCGTCACGCCATCTGATACAATGGTCGTCGAAGAGGTGATCGGACATGAGGTCGTATCGCAGTCCCGTCCAGTTCGGCAGCAACCACCCAAGTAGACGGCGGAGCAGGCATAGAAACCAGTCGGACAGACATCATCGCTGCGGGTAACACTGGTTACTGTTGAGAGGTTCGTAGGCCGCGCTGGCGGTGCCAAGCTATCGTTTGTTGTTGTCTGGCTGCTATGGGAAGGGCTCGTCGAGGAAGAGGAGGGAGTGTAAGTGGAAGAACTATCCTGCGGTTTTGTCGAGTAGGTCACAGTAGACAACACCACGGTCGAATGAAGAGTTACTGTAATAACAGTGATGTATGCACCTACTCGAACAATTAGTAAAAGCTCTCTCTCGTATTCCCAAATCCGAATGACAATATGGGAACGAGAAAAAGAAAAAGAAATCCACTTACATCCCCCTTCAACACAATCATACCCCGGAATACAACATCCACCCCCCAGAGCCTGCGAGCAAACCGTATACCCACTCTTACACGACCCGATCATCCCAGAGCATGTCTTCCAGCTAGGACAGCAGCCCACGTTGCCGTGCCCCGTATCAGCGACGATCTCACATGTCTCCCCGGACCCACAGCAGCGATCGGATCGACCGATAGATGTGCACGCCGACGTCCCAGTTGGGCACTTGAAGTCTCGTTTTTCGAACAGATTGTTTGTGCTGTCATTGTTTTCCCGAGGAAGGAATTGACTGTCTCCACCAGAGCCCAAGGAATAAGATGGCCCGAATGGGTAAGATTGGGCCACAAAGCGCGCGGGGGAAAATCCATCTTCATCGGAGAGGTGTCGCTCAGCTATGTTACCTGTCGAAGAGACATCCCCAAAGCTCCAGTAGTCGAAGAAGAATTTCTCGCCTTCGTCGTCGCTCATTTTCTTCACGCCCAGGGCGGGTCCTGCTGCGAGCTGTGATGTTACCGCGGCATTACGCTGTAGGATGAGCTTTCCTGGTAACGGTGGAGAAGTGTCAGCCTCTTTGGATTCTAGATCCGCAGAGGGGTTTGTATATTCTGCTAAGGCCGGTGTTGCAAACTGGGGCAGTGAGCAAAATATGGTGAGGGCGTAGACAAGCTGCATGTTGCCGGCGAGCATCGCGACCAGATAGATCTCGAGTCTGTTTAGATTGAGACTAGTGGAAATAGTCGGGTTGGAGGCTAACTTGTAGTTGGATAGTTGTTTCAGATGTATGTGTCACTAACAAAAGCTGTGGACGAGTTGGTTAGGAATGAAATTTCGTGTTGGGTTGCTGGATGCAAGGGTGCAAAGATATATTCTTGTGTCCCTTCAACATGGAATTCGGTCGAGTTTGTCAGGTTTAACGTAGAAAGATGCTTGTCGATCTAGGAATAAATTAGGAATAAATTAGGGCGCATTGGGCTTTCTATAAACCTGCAAAAGCTGCATGGAAAGGTGGCTGGGGAGTGCAGGAGGCGCACACCGCTACGCATTAGCTTGCAGGACAGACAGGTCAAGGCATGGAGTACTAGTAGTTAGTAGGAACATTTGTATTAGCTAGCTCAAGCATTGGGGATTATTCTCTATCTCTATATTAGTCTACGTAGTACGGTATCAAGAGACAGACTACTTCGAACTACTACGGCTCCAAACTAAAGAACATCCCAACGCTAGCTTCAAAAGTGCTCATATCATTCGCAAAATCAAAGACCAAATGCTAGTAGCGCACCACAGAGTGTGGCAGGGTATCGTCAGTAAATGACATGAGGGGCTCTCGCACAGGAGACACGCCAAAAGGTATCAAGGGAAATGAAATGAACAAAACCAAGGCCCCAATGCGATGTGAAATGCAATAAACAAAGAAAAACAATCGTGTGAATCCAATTTCACTTGCGCTTGGCAATGAGAGGTTCGGCATGAAACTTCGGAGGGTCCGGGGATGATCAGACCGAGGATGGGATGGAGGATGGATGAACGTGCTTGGATCGATAAAAGGTCAATAAAGAATCATGTAGAGGGCTGTTCGGAGGTGGCGGTGTCTTCCTCCTCCGGCGCTTTGGGGAGTGGCTTTTCCGTGTCAGAAGATGGCGACTTGGGCTCTTCTGCCTTCTCTGCCTCATCTCCATCCTCCGGTTTCGCCTCTGTTTCACCTTCTTGCTGGTCATCACCACCCCCACCCTCGTTGTTTTGCTCCGCTGCTTGCGCAGCAGCGGCTTCCGCCTCTGCCTTCTCCATCTCCGCATTGCGAGCCTGCTGTCTATCCCAAACTTCTTTGCGGATGCGGTCGTCCTTCGCAGTACGGAGACGCTCAGTTTCTTCAAAACCACCGCTCTTCTTCAACTTGCCTTCGTCGACAAATGCTCCGAGTTCCTTCTGGAAAAGACCGATTCGCCGAGTCTCAAGCTCCTTCTTTCGTGCTTTCTCGGCTCGCTCAATGGCCTCGAGTCGGCCTTCGTGGTTTGGTTGCAAAGCACGAACTTCGCCCAGGACACCGTCCTTGGCTTTCATGGGATCAACGGTTGGATCAATTCCAAGAGTCCTGGATGCGGCTCGGACAGCGGTGCCACCGGTTGCATTCGTCAAGACCTGCTCCTTCGTAGCTTGCTCCACCAGGGCGAAGGTTTGAGTTGCCTTCTCGAGATCGTCTTGCAAGTCAGCAGCGAGATCCTCCTGCATGGTAAGCTGGTCTCGTTCTTCGCAAACCAGCTGCAGCTCCTTCTCCCAGATCTTGGTCCAGATGGGCTTCTCGCGACCCAGGAAGTCCTGCATTTTCTTAATTTCTTTCATGACCATGCTAATGTCGCGGCTGACACCCTCCAACTGTCTTGGAAGAGGACGAACACCGCGAGTCACAACATCCTTCCGAAGATCCTCGACCAAATCTTGGAGATCGTCAACGCGAGCGACCAGCCGCTCCGATTCACCTGCAAGTTCCTTCTTGCCAGTGTTGACGCGAGCACGGCCAGCATCACCTTCATAAGAGGGAGTGGTAACGTCATCGGCGGCGGTCTTGACCTTGCTTGCCTTGGCACGGACTGCACTCATAGAACCGGTGATATCAGCAGTAAAGTTGGAGTAGGTCTGTCGCAGGACAGCCAAGTCACGACGCAAGCTCTGAAGCTCAGCAATTTGAGTTCCGCTGCCGGCAATCGATGCCTTGGAATTCCCTCCAACGGCAGCCGGACCAGACGTGGCTGGAGGAGCAGCAGCCAAGCGAGCAATTTCTTTGGCAGCTTCAAGCTGGCGATCCGAAACCCGCTGGATGATATTCCCTTGGCCAGAAAGCGTCTCTTTGACGCCTTCCACCAGGAGGCGCACGCTTCCAAGGCTGTCATCGAAATGTTTCTTGACCTCATCAAGGTTATCAACGTTAAGCACCAACACAGACCGATCTTTGACGTCGGTAAGATCTTCTAGTTCATGTCGAATGCCTGAAATCGGGTCTTGGATATAGATTTCTGGCAAATCAACGCCATTGTCGTGGGTATTCCAGGCAAACTTTTCAATAAAAGCAAGCTGCAGGCGCCCGATGGTGAGCTCCGCAATGCCATCTGGGAGCACATACTTCTTAATTTTGCTTTTATATTGTAGGAACAGCGTCAGCTCTTTGCCTGGTGAGGGTTGCTCAGTAGCAAATTGAATAGCTGATAGAGGTGTTGCGATCCCGGTGGACGGTCCAAACAAGTCTGCCTTCGGGGTTTGGGGTGCTGGCTTTGCGGGCTCAAAAGCGTCTTCGAGTGTTGGCTTCTCTTGGGGCACGGGAATGATCGGAGGAGGAACGATGGCAGATTCCACGGTATCGTCTTTCTCGATATGAGCAACCGCTTCGCTGGGCGCCTCGGGTGCTGCGGTATCGATCCCTTGTGGCTCTAATGGAGGTGCAGCAGATGGAGTAGTGCGTTCTTCTTCCACTACATCCGGAATATTTGCGGGTGGGGGAGCTTGCGCCCCCTTGGCGGCTTCCTGTAAGCGGTTGTTCGATCGTTGCCTTGTATGAGTAAATGAGCCCCGTAGACGAACTGCGTTCAAGGATTCGCGGACATCACGACCGCGATTGGGGATGGGAGAGTTCTGAGTAGGCAGGACAGGTACGCCATTGGTAGATGTGCCCAAATGCTTCTGAATTTGATAAGCAGAGAATCGACGCGAGGCACGTCGCTCAAGCTCTCCACTTCTTTGCAAAGCCCCCAACGCGTCATCCTCCTTTGGCGGAGGTGGAGGCGGGGGCGCAGAGAAACCGGTAGGTGTAATATATGTTGAAGGCGCAGTGGTGTTAGATGCGGTGGCTCGGGGTGTTGTATCATTATCGAAGGGGGTGGGTTGAGACAGCATTTGCTGGGCCTCTCGCCGCGATAGTTCTCTTTCGGCGTAGTTTGTCGTGCGCGGTTCGGTTGTCGAAGGTGCTGAGGAGGTTCGAGCCATGGCCGGTTGATCCTCCAGCGATCCACCGCTGCCATACCGTCGGTTCGATCTTCTGGGGGACTGGGCTGTCGACGGCATGGTGGATGCTGCAGCATCATCATACAACTGACCAATTGCCTGCCCGTTAGCGATGCTTCCTGCACTGGCTTGCCGTGCTGGTGCGGGCCGGCCATCTTCGCGCTGGTGCCGGGACCTTAAGCGAGCTTGCTTCTTCTTCAGCCCTTTTAACAAGTTGATGATTATATCTCGAATTCGGGGGAGGTATCTATCGAGGCTCTGGGAAGATGCGTCTTGACTAAGAGTGTCTTCAAGTATGGTGCGGAGTAGGTCTGGTACGGGACCGAGGTCTGAGGTGTCGACTCCGATGGCACTGAAGGCCCGACAAGCCAAGTTGAATTCATATCCCAATCGAACGTATACATCCGACACGTCGTTCTCCGACGCTTGCTTCCGAGACCATTGGGTTAGGGTTTCGAGGAGTTGTTTTGTCGCGACCAAGAGGTGCGTCACGCTCTTTTCGATTTGGGATATTTGCTTATCGGGCTGTGCGGTGGGGGAAAACACCGGTTCATTAGCCACCGAAATTTACGCAAGTGACAGGCAGCTAGATACTTACCTGGTTCTTGCTGGACTGGGATCGAGACGAGGCGGAGGAACTGCGGCCGGACTGCTGGGAAGCCATGGATGTGTTGACACTGCCAGACCCCGAGGGTCGCTCGGGGGATGTTTGTTGATCCAACTGTTCGGGATAGGGGAACTGGGCTCTTGAAACGCCTGAGGACTGCATGAGTGTGGTAGGCCAAATCACCGAGGGAATGAGAATAGAAAATGAGAAATAGGGCAGAAGCGAGTGAGGGTGCCAAGCATGTGTGAAGATGATGCCCAGCCTCCTGTCCACTTGGCGCCTTACCGCACCCGAACCGATGACCAGCAGTGGTTTATCCCCCCAATACCATAAATACCATAAATACCATATATTACTGTATAGCCCTGTACTGATGTACAAGGGACCAGGGCAACGCGTTACTCGAGTGTTCAGGCCGCAGTAGCTAGTACATACATGTACTTGTGAGCCATTGATCATTGGAAATTGACCTCCAATTTGTTGCCATAAAATCACATGCTTATACCTAGGTACTACCTGCACTTTTGAAAACGATAATACATACAACATACAACAGAACAGCCATAAAAGGGACCTGGGCTCATCCCTCACCACATCCACTGATAAGTACCCGATTGATAAGGCCCTTGCTTTTGTCCCTTTCGACTGTTCCACTTCAGCTCCACTCTCTATTTATATTCCAGCATAGTACGGAGTATGTACACTCATTTGTCTTGTATGACGATAGGTTAAGTCATTTCTATTACTACTATATTCCTGTACTTGCTCAGGTCTTTCGTATAGAATTAGTTGGTCTCTTCTCTATAGTCTATGCCATGAATACCAGGCTCACCAAGCACAGCACGAACAACCCTGCTAACCCAAAGTACGGCAGCCCAAGCAACGTGACGCCTAACTTCATTCCCGTCTCGACCAACCACAGAAGGAGACTTGAACAATTTCATTGAAGACCCAAGAAGGTGCAAGGACTGAGACAGGTGTGACCTGAAGCTATCAGGCCCTGTCGACTCCGTATAATATTGTTCGGAGTTAGAGCCTCACTGTGATATAGTCAACATTTCGAGTACGAAGAAGAGTGGCAGAATGAGTGCGACTGGTTGGCAAAAATACTGATGAAGACTGGAACCCAAGGTGAAAATGTTGCCATGGGGTTGAAGGAAATAGCTGGTCCAACAGAGACACCTGCCAAACTGGCGAATACCATGAAGCAATGCCGATGCTCTTACATGCATTAGATATCACATCATTTCCCAAGGTGGGTGTCTATCACAGCATGCCCGTCCGACTGATTTACCAAATCCAAGGGCGCTAACCAACATTCGAATGCAACGCTGATTGGAAATCGAATCTATCAAGTATTGAGATTAGGTTAAAATGCATGCTATTTGCAATTCTACTTAAGCCGAACCCTACAAGCTGTCAATAGCAGACCGTTGCCTTGGGCTATGAGATCTGATACACACGTGGGCAATACCTCGGCATTCCATGCCTCGCCCTTCTCTTTCTCGCAGCTACAAACAATCCATGATCTCTTCTTGCTCGCTTCCCTATTATATATCTATACGGGGGGCAGTGGAAATCACATAAATTTTGCAGGAGAACAGACATTGAGCCATAATTACCTGATAAGTCTTTTTCTTAAACAACATTAACATATATATATATAGATCGGCGATCTGAGTTGTGCGGCTGAACACTATTCCCACTATACGGATGATCCGAGGCACCAACCTCGGAACTGCTTCATGTCAGGTGCCAGGCAGCTGCCGATTTTTTGCCTCTGCAATGCTGACAAGAAACCTTCCAAGTCAAGAATCCTGGAGGCCGCAACCCATCAGCCTTATTGTATGTAGGTACCTAGGTTCAGCTGGACACACCTGGAGCCCTGGGCCCCCCGGGGGCATCGGTTGATTAGATAAGATGATTTCACCACTCTGCCAAAAGATCATAGTATCAATTTGAGAATGTCCAATTGTCGCCGTAGTGGTATATATACTGGACCCAAAGGTCTGCCGGAGACCTCACTGAGTCACTGGAATCTACCAAGTTACATATGTAGGTAGCGGACCCAACTCTAAGCGTTATAAAACGGCAGCTAAGATAGGAAAGCCCCACCCGACGGAGGAAGTTCCCATGGAACCAGATATCGGGTAGAGTGACCTATGACCTCAGATATGACATCTGGAGGTAATGTGTATATACATACTGACCTTCAAGAGTGGTAACGAAAAGCAAGATACGAAGTAGTACCATACTATGTACCTAGTATGATCTGAGCAATGACACAAGTCCTTGGAACGGCCGTGACCGATAATGCAGTTGATCGTACAAGGTGATGTATACATATGTACCTATGCGGGTTTGCTTGTTTCTATTGGTAGTTCCAATAGCTGCTTTATGCATCGGAAGTAGATATATCTCAATGGGTTCATGGGTTCTGACCCTATATCGCACAAATGCCATCATTCTGTATTATGGTCAATATAGTCCCAAACTCTATGAGGGGTCGGACGTGGGAGCTACCTCAGCCTGACCCGTACTCTGTTCGGTAACATTGAGAATTGGCCTATCCTAGGGTTGGAGGCCCAAGAACACAATAATACTTATAATAACAATATATTATTATTCATTTGTGAATCAACAATAATATTTCCCATTGGAACATTTGAAGTCACAACGCCTAAAAAAAAAAGAAAAAGAAAGGGAAAAAAAAAGAAAAAGGGTGTAACACACAAATACAATACCATACGCGTGACTTCTTCGCTCCAGAGTCCCCTTCCCCCATCAACTTGCGACAAGCCCATCTCTCTTTCTTCTATTTTTCTATCTGTTCTTTCCCTTCCATTTCTCTTTCCTTATTTTCCTGCCATTGGCATTCCGGTATCTCCGCAGTGTGGTGATTGCTTATCCTTCCCCTCACTTCCCCCCCCCAGTCCTGTTTGTGCAGGCGGTGTGTTGTGGCATCGTGCCTCATCCTCGCGGCTTTCCGCCGTGCGAAGTTCCACGACGCAAGCTTGCCCTGACTGACACCAAAGTCAATCAATGGCTTCTGCTATCAACTCAGTGCCGGCCAACAACGCGTCTGGCAATGCCAGCGCGGGTGCCCCCAACCCCGGCAGATCTACCCTGAGATCCAGTAACAGCACCAAGGGGTCCGACAACCGTCGACAGTCGGGCAGCCCTGTCGATGGCGGACAGCGGTACGTTCAGTCCTTCCTTCTAGACAATATGTCAGATCAAATCCTTTTGAAGTTCCATCTCCTCTGGACTTGGAAAACTCCCCTTTGTCCTTATCGTGACCTTCCCTTGTCCTATTGGCGATTGAGCTGGTGAGCTCTGTTGCTTGCATCGACTTGTGCGCCAGCAAGAGCCAATTGAAGGTGTCGGATTCAATGACAGAAATGTTTTGTTCTCTGTTTCGTGGCCAATGACCGCTAACGCAAGCATGTTCTACTGCATAGGCGCACAAATTCCCACAAGGCCTGGACCCAAGGGACCAACCCCATCACCCAACGATCTTCATACACTTCATCGAACGGCAACATGACCCACCAGAAACAGTCTGGATCCCCGAGACCCAACCAGAAGGAGTCAAACACGCCTGATAGCCATGCTCATGACCGCCTTGTCTTCTTATTCGCCAGCTTCATTGTAAGCCCAGTCGCACCACCATACCTGTCTCGATCAATTCTAAACTGCTACCTAGGGCCTAAATACCACAATTACCACCAAGACCGGAGAGAAATTTACCGGTATCTTCTCCTCCACGACCATGGAGCCCAACGAACTTTCGTTCCTGCTCAAGATGGTCCAGCGAACCTCGCAAGAGAGCCAGCCCCGGACAAACGGCGTCAGCGATGTCGCAACTCCGTACATAGGCTCCGCACCCGAGCACATCATGTCATTCGATATTAAGGATGTCGTCGACATTGCCGTTCCAAACGTTACCACAGCCGAAGTTTCAGCCAAGGAACCAAACGGTACGGGTTGCTTTGTTTAGTCAAATTCGTTTGTGTATATACTAATCTAGACCGCAGGTGCTTCCCAGGGTTTCAGAACCGACAGTGATATCTCCGGAAACCTAGCCATGCGAGAGCGCACCTTGCAGCGCTGGGAACCTGCCGAGACCGACATTGATATGTCACTTGACACGAGCAACACTTCTGCGGGATGGGACCAGTTTGAGGCAAACGAGCGTCTTTTCGGCGCCAAGACCAACTATGATGAGAACATCTACACCACTCGCCTCGACCGTTCGGATCCCAACTACAAGCAGAAACACGCGGACGCAGCTCGGATTGCCCGCGAGATTGAGGGACAAGATGTGGACAACTCCCACATGCGCGAGGAGCGTGGCCTTGTAGCACCGGATACTGGCGACCAAGACGAAGAAGACAAGTACAGCGGTGTTCGTCGCGAAGACAAAGCCTTCCCTCCTCTGCTTTCCGGCCAGCCAAACAAGTACATGCCCCCCGGACGCCGCCAGGCAGCTCCCCAGCCTGCTGCGACTCCCAGTGCACCCACCAAACAGCCTGTGGCTTCTCCGGTCCCCACCGCTCCTATCCCCATCCCCTCGCAGGCCGTGGCAAAGGAAACTGCACCCTCAGACCAGCAAGCCGAGCTGGTCGCATCGCTACAACCCACAGCAGATATCGAGCAAAAGAATGCCTCGGGCAAGGGTGTCACACCCGCAGTATCTACCCCCCGGCTGCACCAGCTGCAAAGCGGGCTGCACCTGACAATGCGACCGCAAACGTGGAGGTAGAGGTGCTTGATCATTTCCGCCAGTTCGCAAATAGCGAGAAAATTAAGATGCAGGAGCGCCGTCGCAATCAAGCCTCATATGACCGAACTATGAAACTCAACGAGCTGATGAAGTTTTCCAAGAGCTTCAAACTCTCGACTCCGGTGCCGAAAGACCTTGTTCCTATCCTAGCTAAAGACCGGCTAAAGCAGGAAGCAATTATGCAACGAGCGCTGCAACAGGGGGACGACAAGGCCATGCCGAAGGTTACTACACCTCCCACAGAACAACAGCCACCTGCTCGTGGTGTCGGTCCTACTGGAGCCGTGCCCCCATCTGCACCCGCTGATCGCCAAAACTACAACCGCACTCGTCAGGGCTATCCTCCCACTGCCCCGCTCGCTGGAGCTGGCGGGAAATTCCCTCAGCAAGTTGTTCCGCCGGGACGTCCTGGTGTTGGCATGCTCAGTCATCGACTAGCTGACAATCTGCAACAACGAAAGGGTGCGGGAATGGGACCTGTTCCCACTCCTCTTCCCATTCAAGATGCCCGTGGACCCCCGACTGGTCCTGCCAGCGACCAGCAAAGAATCACCAGCCCTGTCAAGTCGCAGGCCAGTTCTTCCGCGGCAACCAAGTTCAATGTCAAAGCTATGGAGTTCAAGCCGAACCCCGCAGCGAGCACTTTCACGCCTGGTACCTCGGGAGCTGCTGCAAGCCCACGGCCTTTCTCTCGCAACCGCTCTGTGTCACGCGCTACAACTCCGACTGCATTCTTTGGCCCAAGGAAGCCACTGCCTATCTCTGAACGACCATCGATCAGTGACCAATTCAATCCCATCAAGCGCATGAAGAAGGAGAACGCAGAGTCCGCTGAAAGGTTGATTATGCTGAATGGAGGTATCCCACCACCCTACAAGACTTTGCCAACTTGGGACATCGCGGACGGCAGCGAAGATAAGACGTACGATCAGATGTTCAAACAGCCTGTCGGTGTACCGACAGTATCGCCCCAGGGTCGGTCAGTCTCCAATAACACCAATATTCCCCAGCAGCATCAGGTGCCTTTCCAGTTCCAGCAAGGCAACCCAGCCATGCCGCCATCTTCTGGTCCTTCGAATGGACCCCATGGTCTTCACTCTCAGGGCCCCCATGGCCCTCCCCATGTGGATGATCATCACCGCATGCAGTTGTCCGCGTCGAACTCCCAGGTTTTCCCGTCCCCGCGGATGCAGCATGGATACCCGTCCCCTATGGCTCCCCATGCCCAGCTTTCCTTCCCACAACCGGTCCCGCAATTTTACGGTGGCCCCCAACCCGGCCACATGAGACCTTTTCAGGGTGGTGGTCCTCAGTTTGTGAATGGCGCTCCTATGATGGCGCAGCAAGCCTCGAATGGACCCTACATGGGAGTCCCGCAAGGCATGACTCCGTATAACGCACAGATGCCCATGTACTCCCCGAACCCGGGCCACGCCTATCCCCAACATACCCCTCAGCCGCATAGTGGGTACCCAAGCCCGAGCCGCGGTGCGCCAATGATGATGCACCAGAACTCGCAATCCGGCCAGCCTCCTCAATCAATAATGTTTATGCCTGGCCAACCCGGATATCCTCAGCAGTCGGGACATAGTGAGTGTGGCTACAGTCCCCCATCAAGCATCTCCAGTTTTTAACCAACCCAGTGCCTCCCAACCGTGGCAACTACCCACAGCAGCCTCACTTTTCCTCAAGTCCTCATCAGTCGCATCATTTCCCACCTAACCAGCATCGGACACCCAGCAACGGCTTCAACCAAATGCCTCAAATGCCACCCCAGATGTCTGCCAATACCCCAGCAACAACCCCTGGAGCTTCCCATCCGGCTGAGGCAACGGATGAAGGAAAATGAACTACACGTATCATGAAGCCGTGAGTGGTTCGCTCGAATGATGTTACATCTTATCGCTCAGCTGTGACTTGTCCGCGCTCTGCATTATTGGCAACTGCCAACTCAAATACCCCGTCTTCCATGACCGCGTCTTCAAAACATTTGAATTCTGCGGTGAACTTCATGTCGTCTCAGGACTCGCTCGGTGAGTGAGCAGTTTCGTGGTGTTGAACAACGTCCGCTAACCCTGTGATCAGACGTGACAGATCAATCTACCAGTTGTGCCTATCTATTTCCCAGATCTCGATCTGGCGGTGTACATGAAACCTGAATTTCTAGGCGATGAACCCATTGAAATCAATCACTCGATATCCAACCTAGCTCATCGTCGTATGCCTACCTAGTGCACAACATCCCCACATGCGTCATCATCGAGTTGAAGTCTTGAGGAGCTCAATTTACCTGAGATGGTCTCTTCCTTCTGGTTTTCTCTTATCTTGTTTCTTTTTTGCGTTTATCTCTTCTCTTGCTTTCTTCTGAGTTGTTGGTTAGAGGTCTATGTGTCCCCTTGGTGGGCTCACTGGCCTTGGCACCTTCCATGGAGGGAAGTGAGGTCTGCGATGGGTTGCGTCTCGGTGTGGAGACGATGCTTGGTCGGATGGTGATGTGAATGAAGGTGATCGGTCTGGGGGAGAAAGCGGAGCAGTGAGGCGTGGTTGAAGATGCGTGAACTTGACAGTACAGATAGCTCCAACGAACCCATGGCCACCTGACAATGAAATGGTTATATCATGAAAATTCCTATCATTTTGCGTAAATATACAAGAATAGTCGGCCGCTTATGCGGCCTTGTGATGTTCATTTTGGGAGTCGTTTTAGATGTCTTTTTAGATGTCTTTTTGGTAGATATTTTCTCCATTATTGGCGTTGTAGCTAGAGTATAGGCGATAACGTTGGAAAAACGACATAAAAGCATGTATAACCTTTGATAACCTTTAATATAGAAACGTCCCAAAGTCACCACCCGTATCCATACTCAAAATCTGAATCCCATAATGAATCCAAACGAAAAAACTCAAACTAGATAACTGTGGCAGATATCAGCAGCTGCAAATCACCCCATTTCGAATGAATAATGAGTCAGGTGTAAGGGGAAGAATCTCCTCAGGTTGAATTTCAACAGTGTCATCATCCAAGCCACAGACACCAGACATCAACCCACCGCGGTGCTTCGTCCCATTGCAAACCCCTCTGACCACACTCCAGCCATAAACAAGCCCCAGAACAAACCTCCAAAACACCACCAAGCATCACAAAAACCAAACACCTCCAGCCCACACCCCAACCAACACACCTCTCCGTCTCCCAACTTCCAACCTCCCACAACAACACGCCCACAACACTCTTCACAGCAGATGAAGAAGAGAAAGGGAAGAAGAGAGAGAAAGAGCAGGCAGGAATGTCACTCCCAAAGCAGTCAGAGAGAAGACTAGAGAAGTCCGTATTCCGCATAGCCAACAGAACGCGGCCAGCAGAAATCCGTCTAATCCCAAGCCCCCCAAAGAACACCATAAGAATGCCATGCAACCACCCAAACCCTCTCCTCCCCTAATCCCCAAACCCTCGTACCCTTTACGCCACAGCCATTGGTCGCCCACCCGTCCTCATGGAAGCGAAGCGGACACGGCAACCCCAGATAGCGGCGCCACCTCCCCGTTTCCCATACTTTCTCGCGCAATAGACCCAGCACCGTGCACGCTACCACCTAGCTGCCTAGGATACGATCCCAAGTGGACCTCAGCAATCCAATACCGCAATATCACGGATATTACAGTAATTGAACGCGAGGCCCAGCGATAAGCGTGCACGCGCCAAGCCCAATTGCGGTACTGGTACAGGACGGACAGAAGCGAAAATATACACAAGGTCTCCCATGATCCAGGACCAACGCCGCTTTGTCCGGCGTGGCCGCGAGCCATGGAGGTGCTGACTAGGATCCCGCTGCTGCCTGCCAGCGGACCGACGGGAGACGTATGTGTTCTGCTGGAAGAGTGGGGGGAATGGTGTTATGTGAAGTTGGTTGTTGAGAGCGTGATCGGAGGATGTCGTCGTGGTCTGGGCACAGCGCTGTGATGGCGTTTCACCATCATGGCTGGTCCAATAGACACAGAGTCTATTGGAAAGAGATGGGTGGTTCGTGCGTGCGAAGTAGTAGCTCTTGAAGTTCGCTCCGCGGCCGGTTTGTGGTGTTTTGCGTTGGTTTTGGTGCTTGCGGGAGTACCATCGGTTTTGCTGGGTGAGTCTTCTTTTGTGGTGTTGTGATCGTGGTCTGACCTTTTACCAGAGTTCGCATCATTGGAGAGGGAGGGCGACTTGCGTCGCTGGTTGAATTGGCACACGTGAGAAAGGAACTGGGGAACTTACCGGTTAATCAATAGGAATGTGGACTGTCGACTGGTATGAGTGAGTGTTGACTGGGAGAGATAAGTGAAGTAGCATAAGTATCGTAAGTTTCAGTGTCATTTGGCGACAAAATTAGAAGCGTGGGACAGTGGCATGGAGGCGAAGAAACGGAAGATAAAGCGGAGCTTTATTTTATAGGAGCACGTGGTGGCCTCAGGCAGCCGTTGTTTATCACGATAAGGCGGGGTGAAAGGAGTTTGGCGTTTAATGTGCCTGGCTATTCCGACTTACAAGAATCCTGTATCTGGTCTCTGGGCATTTTCAGTCAATAGCTCGGCCTATTGACCTGACCTTGACAACCGGCCGCATATTAACCCCTTGGCCATTGGCCGCCCCGACTCGCGCACCCCGGACACCCCAAATAATCCCCGACCTGCCACATCGGCCACACCGCGGCCATGGATTTCCTGAAATCAGCCATCGGATCCGCCATCGCGAAGGGCGGAGGACTCCCATTCTCCCTCGGCGACAGAGTCGACATCGGTGATTCGGTCTGGGCACTGCACAACGGTACGAAACGGGTACGGTGGCTTTTTGGTTCCTTCTTCCATGCGGGACGAGCTTCAATGGCTGACGATGTCATGGCACATATAGGATGACGGTTCCGCTTGCAGTGTTTTTGCATTTGATGTGAATGCGAACAAGTCGCGCCTCCCTCTTGCGAAAAATGCGGTGCGCAAGTCTAGGACGTTGCGGCATCCTGGTGTTATCAAGGTTTTGGATACGATTGAGGTATACTTGGCTCCCGGACCTTTGGTCTAAATATTAAGATCATGGCGCAGAAGCTTACGACTTGACAGACGGAGCACAATCTGTATATTGTCACGGAACGAGTCGTGCCACTCAGCTGGCCGGTGAAGCGGAGGAGCTTGAGTGAAGAGACGGCCAAGTGGGGGTTGTATACTGTGGCGGTACGCTATTTTTGGAAATCTGGTATCATGGCATTGCTGACGGGGATTGCTCTGGACAGTCTACTCTCAAATTCATCAACGACGATGCTTCCTCAGTTCATGGTGCCGTGCGTGCATCCTCGGTGTTCACAAGCGAGAGCGGCGAGTGGAAGCTAGGAGGATTCGACATTCTGAGCTCAATGAAGGAAGACGATGCGATTATATATGTGAGTTGTCCTGGCTCGGGCTTATCCAGGAAACGCCCCGAGTCATGCCATATGCTGACTCCATGCATAGACGTACGGAAACAGTGTGCCTGATGCCGCTCGATACACACCCCCGGAGGTTGTAAAAACAGGCTGGGATACCATCAAGCGCAATCCTTTGGCAGCAGTTGATGCCTACGGGCTGGGTATCTTAATCTTCGAAGTTTTCAATGGGGGTTTCTCAGGCGGCGACCAAGCTGGCAAGACAACGAACATTCCTCCCAGTATGCAGCAAAGCTATAAACGCCTTTGCACGGCCAATCCGAAGCTACGACTGAGCCCGGGTCATTTCGTGGAGCAGGGAAAGAAACAAGGTGGATTCTTCCAGACACCACTCATTCGAATGACTGAAGACATCGACAGCTTGGGGCTCAAGAGTGACGCCGAGCGTGAAGAATTTATTAAGTGTGTATATTCCCAACGTCTTACATGTAACGAATTTTTGGCTAATATGTTACCACTTCAAGTGAGCTTGATAATCTTTCTGATGACTTCCCAGAGGAATTCTTCAAGATGAAGGTCCTCCCCGAGCTTCTGAAGTCCGTCGAGTTTGGCGGCGGTGGACCGAAAGTTCTTGGAGCTACCCTAAAGATTGGAGCAAAGCTGTCAGCAGAAGAATTCAACGCTAAGCTGACTCCTGTTATTATCCGCTTATTTGGCAACCCTGATCGAGCATTGCGGGTCTGCCTCTTGGATAACCTTCCGTCAATGATCGATAATCTTCCCCAGAGGGTTGTCAACGACAAGATCTTCCCTCAGATGGTAAGCTATTCGATTTTGGGTAATGCACGTTGTACTAACATGTCACAGACTTCTGGTTTCACCGATGTTGCCCCGGTGGTTCGAGAACAGACAGTGAAGGCTGTTCTAACTATCATCAACAAACTCAATGATAGGATTGTCAATGGAGAACTGTTGAAGTTCCTCGCCCGCACAGCTAACGATGAGCAACCTGGCATCCGGACAAACACGACGATTTGTCTTGGCCGGATTGCTAAGAACCTAAGTCAGGGTGTAGGTGATTTATCCTCAATTTTGGATCATGTCGCTGACATTTCTTGCAGACTCGCTCCAAGGTGCTTATTGCCGCATTCACGAGAGCCACCAGAGACCCCTTTGTCCACGCTCGAAACGCAGGACTTTTGGCTCTATCCGCGACTATCGATGTATTTAGCGAGGAAGATTGTGCTGTTAGGATTCTACCTGCCATTTGCCCTGCACTTTTGGACAAGGAAAAGTGAGTAATGTGGTCGCTCCCTAACTCTGGCCCGATTCTTACCGTTGAGCAGATTGATCCGCGACCAAGCAAACAAGACTTTTGATGTGTATGTCCAGCGGACACGGAAATATGCCAGCACGATGCCAGACACCGTTATACCCTCCGTTGCACCCACAGAAGTCAACAAACCCGATGCTCGTGTTGGAACCCCCAATGACAACTCATGGGCCGGCTGGGCCATCTCATCATTCACAAACAAAATCGCAACCGCTAATGGCGAGATTGAACCCACCGCCAACATTAGCAAGACTGTTGATCCCGATACTGCCCGCTCAGCGTCGGTTCCTCGTCCCGCCAAACCATCACCCTCAACCCCAGCCGAACTACCAAAACAGGTCCTCCGTCCTACCGCTCAGTCTTTGAACCGGTCAATGTCAGATCGCCCAGCCCCAGTGGTCCACGACGAGCCCGAAGAAGAAGAAGGTGATGACGTTTTCGATGCTTGGGGTGCCATGGACGACGACGAAAAAGACGACGATCCATTCACTGCCGCTGTAGCCTCTCCCAAACCCACATCTCCTGTTCCCTCATCGAACAAAGCCCCTGCGGTGCCTTACGATGATGGCGGCGAACCCGATTTCGCCGGCTGGCTTGCCGCGAAGTCTCAAACCAAGGCCAAAAACCCCCTGCCAAAGGGTCTGACCAAGGCGGCTTCTACCAACACCGTTACCACACGGTCGACGATAAGCACCGCCAAGCCTCGGACTGCTGTGGTTGCACCTAAGAAGATCGATACTAAACCCAAAGACGAGGAGGCCGATGATGATTGGGGGGATGCATGGGAGTAATCTGGAAATACACCTTGCTCTCTTTTTTTGGTTGCTTTGTCCATATCTCGTGTAATGCAAGTCTAGCGTGTCAATATCTGACAACCTTGGCATCGAGGGAGTTTTGGAGTCTGTACCACACTGCCCTGGTGGTGCCTTGATGATATCCCCTGTACTCGTCCCTAATAGATCTATCAATACAACCCATTCCTTTCCCCCTACCCAGCTCAAAGATGTCAATTCCTATTGTACATGATATTATCTATCCGCATCTGATGCTTCCACCATTTGCCGGCGCTTCAGACTCCCCCCGTTTCCCTTTCCTGTTCCCTTACCCTTTCGATATGTCGCTCCAACATCTTCTGCATCCTCTGCATCTGCGCAATACTCTGATTTCCTTTAAGTTCAGGCCGAATCTGAGCACCCGTAGTCCCCCGCTCTTCCTCGTCTAACATCTCCTTCAATTCTGATATTAGGCTTTTTGGCTTGCCAAACTCCTCCCTCTTTCGCCTCTCCTTCTGTTTCTGCCTCTCCTGCTCTTCTTCCGTTTTCTTCCGTGCTTCCCTCTCATCCCTCTCCTTCTGCATCTTTCGCTCTTCCCTTTCCTTTTTTTCTCTCTCCTTTTTTCCTTCAGCTTTTGATCCCTCTCCTGCTTTTTAATTCTCTTTCTTTCTGCCTCTTCTTTTTTCTTCACCATCTCCCGCTCGTACTCGGCCTCAACCCGCTCCTTTATCTCACTGCCTCTCGCCAATTCTTTCATCCATGAACCACCCCAGTACTTAGGATTACGTTCCTTATCAATCTCAACCGCCTTGTCGATCTGCCTGTTAAGTTGCCTGGATGACCGTACCGTTACCTCATCTCGGATGGAAGTAGGCGTGCCTGGATGTTCGCTCTCGGGACCCGATGATCTCTCCGGGTCTGATGATCTTTCAAGCTCGGGCGATGGCTCCGGATTTGAGGGTATCGCAGCATCGAGCAATGGCCCAAGATCTAGCAATCGATTGGGCTCTGATTCAAGCTCCGCCGACTGCTCGGGTTCCGACGACTCCTCGGGATTTGATGGCACCTGGGGCGCCGAAGATGACTCCTCCCGATCTGCCGATTCCTCTGGCTCTGGCGAGTTTCCCAACAGGCACAATTTACGCCGTTTAGCTTCCGGAAGGTCAAAATCGGGATCATCAGAGTCATCCGAGAACATGAAGTCGATATTCTCGTGAGCAGCAAGCGGAAATTCCTTGAAAAGCCTTGGATATCTCTTGCCGTCTATCATGAGAGGGACTTCGGGGGGGTTGATGTCGCATTTATGCCGGAGACGCGAGGTCCAGACGGTTCGGATTAATGACGATTCCTGATCTGGCCGTTCGAGTCTCGGCAACCAGCGCTGAGGTGAGAGAACCGGAGAAAGAACCTGAGACCGAACACGAGATCGAACTCGTGAAGCAGCTGGAGGCACTGGTGGAGACGACGGTAGTGTTATTGCTGTTGGAGATGGAGATATATCTCGAGATTCAGGTTCAGATTCCGCTGGATGGTATTCAGACGGGGCTACCGATTTTGATGGAGACTCGGATCCTATCATTGAAACCAATACTGATGAGGATGGCGATGGTGGTTTTCTCGTATCGCAGGCTTTACGCCTGTGCTCACTTCTGAAGCTTTGTGTCGTTGGCTCTGAATATGTGAGCCTACCTAATGATGATACGATAGACCAGGCGCGCTCTAGTGGCAAGATAGGTTCGGATTCAACTTCTGGCAGACTGTCCGGCGATGAAGGAGCAGAAAATGGTACTGCCTGGCGCCGGGAGGCATGGTGGGCGTTTGATCTATTCCGCTTTAGGGCTGTCGTCACGCATGGCGAGGGCGAAAAGGACGGTTCCGGCCCTGAGTCCGGTCCTGATTCAGATGAGAGTTCAGACTCATTATTGGTATCCGATGTCGATGATTCACAGGTCTGCTGCCCATAGTCAGGGCGGGAAATTGGTGTTGTCCTTTTGCGGCCCAGCGATCTTCCCGGCAATGCTGGCGATGGCAAGACTAATTGCCCATCCGATTCATGTGTTAAGACTGACTGTGACTCTTGTGTTGAATTTAACAACGGTGCCTCACGAGGCTTGTGCTGACGGTCATGATTAGAGACTCGTGTGGCATTTTTGAGGCCCACTCCCTTTTGCGGTGATGATGGAGGTGATCGCAAAGCCAATCGTGACTTCAATTGCGCCTGATCTTTATATTCGAACTCAAAATCGGATTGATAATACTCATCCACCATTTTCACTCTAGGTGGACGTGTACGCTGCAGTGACTTCGGTGAACGTTTGCGTGATGGCCCTGGCTCCTGAACCTTGGCTTGGGAGCTATTAAAGGAGCCTGGCTTGGTTCGCTCATGGTCTGTGACCGGGCGATTGGATGATCCTGCCTGTGGTGATTCCGAGTCCAACCCATGGTTTTTGCACGTTTTCGAAGATGATGGTAACCGTTTCTTGGCCTTGTGCTGGTTATCATGGCGCCGGGTTGGCTTCGTGGCTGGAGATGGCGACGAGCGTGCCGGTGACTGAGTTTGCGTGACGGGCTTTGCACGGTGGCGGCGACGTTTTCCTTTCGACATGGCTTTTGGCAAACGGGCTCCGCTCAGGGGGGAAAGATGCATATAATTGCTGGTGGGGATTGTCGGTTTTATATAGTTCTACCTATTCAGTCCCGAAACCGTTAGCGTGACGCCAACCGGTTCACCCGGCAATCAGAGGGCTGTACCTAATGAAAAATTTAGACTTAAGGTCTTTTTTTTCAGGAGAAGTAAATTAGTTCAGTAGGAAAAGAATAACATGCTTCTGGATATGGTAATTGGAATAAATTGCCCGATGTGGGCCAATATATGCATAATACTGTAGATCCAGACTGACACATTTTACAGCAAATTTATGCTCAATGTCCAATTTTGAAATTCTGATATAGCTGAAAGAACAAGGTTACGTTGAGCTTCTTATTCTTTTTCCCTTTAGCTTTGAGCTACTGCATGGCACCGACGCCCTAGGCTTGAAGAATAATGGCTTTTCTCTTCATTGCCCAGGCGAGGAGAGGACTAAGGTGAAAGTGGGGATGCTAAACTCTGCCTCTACGGGGTTCCTAGACATCAACCAAAAGATGGCCAAAAAATGGCCAAATGATCACATTGATATACTAAAATCAACGTTGGAATGTGACTAGCACTAGAATACACCTACTCAAGTCTCAAAATACGGTCCGGAGAGTCCGGAGATTCCGATATAAAATTCGAATTTTCTGGCAATGCCCAAAAATCTCAAGATATCCACCAGGGAATGCCCCTTAATCAAATCCCCCATTCAAAAAGACTTGAGTATCTCCCCAGCAACCCGTTCCCCCGAACTAATAGCCCCATCCATGTACCCAATCCACCTTAGCGAAGTCTCAGTCCCAGCAAAATGGATCCTCCCAACCGGAGCCCGTAAATAGGACCCATACTGCGTTAAAACCCCCGGCGGCATGAAAGCACTGGGACCACCACGGGAGAACTCCTCAAGATCCCACCTCTGAACGAGGATATCTGTAGCATTTTCCACACGCGAACCAAAAAGATTAGCAAAACTCTGCTTGACCTGGCGCTTGACCTCGTCCTCGCTCGCAGTATCCAGCTTGCGCATCTCATCTGCCTCAATGAACCCCATCATCGCCCCGAACGACCCATCCGCCGGCGAGTTATCGTATGTCACTCGGATAGCCCCGGTATCACTCACACCTTCTCCGTTAAGCCCCTCACCCCGCCACCATGCGCTCGGGAATATCGCAATGGCTTTGCCGAGTGCCCCCATCGGCATGCGCTGGTTTAATTGGTCTCGTCCGGCGGGGAGTAGGGGATCGAATGTGATGCGGCTGGCTAGAGGCGGGGACATGGCGACGACGACATGTCGGGCTGAGATGGTGAGTTCATCGGAACAGACTAGATAGCGGGATTCTTTGAGCTGGACTTTGTGCACAGGTGTGTTGAGGTGGATGTTTTGAGAGCCGAGTCGCTCGGCGAGTAGTGTTGCCAGTAACTGGGTTCCTCCACTCACCCGGCTATCCTGTGCACCACCGTCGACTCCAATGAGACGGTTGATCGTCCCAGGTCCTGTTTCATCTCCGGCGGCGGCAATACACCACAATGAATATAGCAGAGACGGCTCTCTCAGTTCGGTCGATAGGATGGCTGGGATAGCAATGTCGAGAAGAGCGCGAGAGTCGGAAGTGGATAGTTTGGAGTTGACGTATGTTTCGAGAGTCATTGAATCCAGCGCCGTGGCATTTGGGGTATTCCATGGTGTTTCCAGGTCGACTTTACTCGCCAGGGTATTGATGTCGTTCATGAAGAGTGCAAGTTCAACAAGCGAGTCTACCCCCACGGGAGGAATACCGCCAAGCGTATCTTGATAATGACGCGCGGTGCCGTTTCGATAGAAGGTGGAGTTTCCCGTCGTGTATGTCTTGTAGGTTGGTAGACCGAGCTCCGCTGCGAGAGCCAGAACGCGGTTCTGTGTTGGTCCAACATATTCGGCGCCTAATTCTTGGATGTTCTTTCCGGTGAGGTTGACATTGAGCACACGACCACCGACTCGGTCTCGTGCTTCTAGTATGATGAAGGATTTGTTCGCTGCTGCCAGCTCTTTGGCGGTGGAGAGTCCCGATAGACCACCGCCGATGATGGCGACGTCGACTTCGGGAATGGAGGGTTCTGCAACCAGTGCCTGGCAAAGGGGGATTGCTATAAGGAAGAGGTGCATTGCACTGAAGGGTGACCTGAAGTGAATTAGCCGCATATTTGTCTGGGTATTTGATCGATGGATGGTTTGATGATAGTATCACTGAGGCGATTTCCAATTGTTCTTTTATCTGTAGGGACCTCAACGGATGGATTCTATTTATATTTGCTTCGCTTTACTGCCGACTACTACCCAATGTCTGAAAGTACAGAATACTACAATTAAACCGATTCAGTGGGCCTAGAAGCAAAATCTTGTAATTAGAGTAGTACAAGCGACAGAGGAGGTCAGAGCTTGCGAATATAGCCCTGTAGGTATAGCTATTCAAGAAAAATTAGCGCCAGCAACCCTTCCAAATATTTCTGCATTACATTATTGTTGCTGGCATGGATCCTGGTGTCCTTGTTTCGTCCTTACCCCCTTCTCATCTTCCAAAATCACACGACGAACAGCCTGATAATGACGCACAAGAGGAGTAGTGATATCTCGCTTTATGTCTCCATCTCCGAGTCTTCTTCTGAGGATACGTCTTCCGATGACGAGAAGGATTGATCACTTGTTATTTCAGTCGGTTCTTCGGGCTTTTCCTCGCGTCTGTTTTGAGGCTCTACTTTTGCTGTCGGTTGCTTCTTTGGTTCCTCTGGTTCGTCCTCTGACTCTTCTTCTGAGGATTCGTCTTCCGATGAAGATGAGGATGATTTGGACTCATTATAATATTCCTCTAATTGGGTCTTTTTCATCATCTCGTCGCGTTCCTCTTGCGTATATGCTTCTGGTGCCAGGATATCTAGGTACTCCTCAGGTTCGTCATCTGACTCTTCGTCCGAGGATCTATCTTCTGATGACAAGTTGAACGATCCATCGTCTGACAACTGAATCGTTTTTTTCGAACAGTCTTTGCCTTCTTTTGGCGGCTCTTCTTTTGTTGTCGGTTGCTGTTTTCGTTCCTCTGGTTCGTCATCTAACTCTTCTTCTGAGGATTCGTCTTCTGACGAAGAAAAGGATGCTTCACTCCTCTCTTCCACTGATCGAATCGCTGTTTCCGCTTCCATGCCGCGTTCCTCTCGTGTTACTTCTTTTGCTGCTGGATTTTGCACTGTTTTTTTTTTTTTCTTCTTCGGAGTAGCCATCGTCAACCTCTGATGATGACTCTCCCGAGGACTGCTCCTGCGTGAGAGACGAGGATCCATCATTTTGTATCACGTCTTTGTGTGTCACTTCTTTATGCGTGACTGGCAGCTGATACGAAGTTTTGAGAGGCGACCTTTCTTGCCTATTCACTTCCACTTTGATTTGCGCCACTTCTTCGGCTTCCTCCCCGGATGATGACGCAGATACCGACGATGCCGAAGACTCCCCGTCTTCCGCCGCTCCGTGGTTATATTTTTCCTGTCGCATAACCTTTCTCCCTCCACACGACCTCCGCATTAGCATTTGTCGCAATTCCCGCGTCCGCTGGCGTTTGGCCACAGGTTGCTGCTCATCAGTATCATAATAGGCTCGCTTTGAACCGACCTGCTGCTGTGGGACGTCTGCAATAGGGGATGATAAAGGCATTTCGAGCTTCACCTCGGGTGCCTCAGAAAATGCACCCGCAAAACGCTGTCTATCTATCCGGGAATTGCCATTTTGTGCTGTAAGATAAAGACCCAACTCTCTTTCGTGTTGCAACATCTTCCCCATCTCGCCTGCTGGAATCTGCTCTTTCTTAGCAATATATAACTTTTATGGCCTATAGTTCAACTTACCATATCACAGGGAACCTGGATGCGTGTACAATGTTCGCATGCCTCCTGCCCTGGAATAGAATGACAAGGTGGGAACGGCCTTTCGCCTCGCCAGCGCGCAAAGCACTCGTAGCAGCTTCTGACGGATTTCTGGGTGGACCCAGCTATTGCGTCCATCTCACTAGAGAGCTGCATATTTGCTGTCTCTAGCGGCGCGATTGGTTCATGCAGGACATCTGATTCCCCATCGTCCATAGTCACGGACGGCGGATGACCATGGGAGTGGATCGCTAGTTGATCTCCGTCCTGAGAAACAGGAGTTCTTTCTCGAAGTTGATCAACCACTTGAACATCCTGCATGCCCTCGATGGGCAGGGGATTGGATGTCTCCACTGCATCCGGCTCGGTCTGCGGTCCCCATATCTGTTTGATGCTCTCGGCAAAGTCGAATGTTCCAGTGGCAAATGTTTGCACAGCTTCTGCAACTGCTTGCACAGTCCGCTGGAATCTCTGATCACTGGCCATATTGGAATGACACGTTGGTAGAGATGAACCCCCTGTGCTGGTCAATATGATGTAGGTGTTTTGATATCGCTTCGGCTTCCGGCTGAGCTTATTCTCCGGGACCCACTTTGGTCGAGATCTTGACATTCTCTTTGTTTTATAGGCGCGCTCGAAATCAGTTTCACTAGTTTTGCTTACTTCAACTCTTTCCCGATCTCTATTTTGAAACACGCTAGTCTACCTTCGGTTTAGCTAATTTCAGTGTGTGGAATCGTATTGTAAGTCAGAGTCAGATAAATCCGTCTGGTAATTTCTCTGGAAATACGCATACGAATACTACTCTTTTTATCAAGTTGGAATTGAGCTTGGCATAATGATTCCTAATGCAATCAAAACCTGACCCTTATGGACATATTGAGCATTGCAATCTTTGAACTGATAGGTTAGAATAGCTGCCTGTTGAGAAGCCATCTTACTGTGCCAAATACTACCGCACCTAGTGCAACCCAGGAGATTGCACCCCGAGCATACAGAATCCCCACGACCATTCGAACTTCGGAAGCATCGTTGCGGTGAGGAAAAGGCTCGTCTCTTGAGGCCTGCTTGCCGAGAAATACGCACAAAGGTTCCCATCCATCTTGAGGCTCGAATTCCAAGACCTCCCGCCCGCGCTTGGCTGCCTCGGCATGAATCCAAGCATTATGCGCATCATAATGCTTTACCGTCAAAAGCTCGTTAGCAGTGAGACTCAGCTTGCTTTTACAAACCTCCATAATCTCGCGCCACATGGCAGCCACATTACGGTCAGTCTTCCACAAGAAGCATAGAGCGTGGTATACTGGTGAGGCTGCGAAGGTAAGCAGCTTGATCGACTGCACCCACCCGGAGCCACCACCAGGCCGCTTGTTCAGCACGACCTTCGCGTCCGGATACATATCCATAAGATCATCCATGAACATAGACGCAGGGAAATCGGTGGTTGCTTGGAAACCATCAAACAATTTATAAAGTAGCTTGTGACGCCGTCTGGTATCCTTCTCCCGGAGTGCAGCTAGGACGATGTCCCCGCGTTCGGCGTTCGGCGCAATGTGCGCGAAGTGCATGCAAGGAGTCAGACCGATGTGTTGCGATTCAAGGGCGGCTTGCAGAGAGCTTGTTGCACAGCGAGGGAGGCCAGCACCAAGCACTTGCATAGGGGTTCGGTCCGTCTGGTTAACGGCGACATTATTTTCAAAGAAGCGCATTATGTGTGAATGGTTTTGGGAGACAAAACAAAGATAATTTTACTCCTGAGAGTGCGATTGTAGAAAGACTGAGGATGCGAAGTTGGAGTGACAAAGGGGATTCTCGAAGGTAAGGCTTTTTCCCCCCTCTTGCTGTCAGCGTCAGCACTAAAGTGGAACCTGAAGGCTGAGATTATCATTTTAGGCGCTAGCTATATATGGACCGTCCTTGGGCTAGTTAGCGCAGGATTTTGGGTTATGAAGCTTAAAAATTTGGGATTCCACTCAGCCTCGTATCAGTAACATTGGAGTCCATGCATAATACAGCAGATGAGCCAAGCGCTCTAGAGGTATCGAGTGGCCGTACTGTCGCAAAGGGCTCGACCTCAGTGGCAGCCAGTTAAGAATAAGAAGGAGATCGGATTATGATTGATACAGCGTACCCTTCCCTCACTCAGACAAATTTCCCGGTGGCTGAACTTGAAGGTCTTGAATTCACAACCTCCCACTTTACTCTTATCAAAATCAATCTTCTTAGCTGATTTCAAAAGTAAGAAAGAGGCAGAGACTTACGGGTATAGAGAGAATTGGTGAAAAGTAGGGATAACTTGGGAGTACGAAATTGAGAGGGATATGACAGAAATGAGCGGTCTGCGTGAATGCCCAAAGATACTGATCTGTTTTAGTATGTTTGCAAAGGCAACGATTCCAGAATACGCGTGGGCCATACAGCAGTGATACAATGTCTATTTTCATGCTGTTAATTACTATCGTACGAGATTACTGCCAAGAATACATTTCAGGGGCCGAGTAGCTGTGATAGGTATAGCGTAATGCAAGATAGAGTTCGAGAATAAATCAAAGAGAACAAAGTGGCGAAACTTATTTCGAGCGGCCCTATACACACTTTTTCAGGAGTTTGATATAAATTATCTAATTGATCAGCAGGATGGATTCAACTAGTCGGGCAACAAGCAACTGAGGTGCCTTTTCCCCCACATTTTCAAGTAGATCGCATTCGAGTTCTGATATAGAAATAGAGGCATTATATATATAGGTAGCTTCATTTCGCTATAGCTGAAAACCCATTAAAACCCCCTGTATGGTAATATTCTGGGACCATCGTACATAGCGTGCTTGAACCATTGTGTTTTTTTAATGGAATATTAGTTTTACCATTCCGGCCCTTGCTTTGTTTGTTATTTTCACTGTGTTAGAAGTCTAAGCATGATATCAAAAACATAAAATGAACAAAGAGTTGGAAAAGTAGATACACAACGGCATCAAAGGAAATAAAAAAGAGGATTAATATGATCCCCCCCCCGGGGCTTTCATTACTACTTACCTTCCAGTGTTACTGCCGTTTTGGCTTACACCTAAGAACTTCCCACCTGGCACCTGGGCAGTTTTGCCTCCGTTTCTGTATCAAATTTATCACTAAGATGGCTTCCTCAAAACTAGAATATCTGCTCTCTGATGCCGAGACTGAGGATGAGGACGGGGACCTGCCAGTGGTACTTCCAAAGCCGCTGCCAGAGTTGCTACGAGGGCGAAGACCAGTGCTAGAAATGGAGGTCAAGGTCAAGATCGAGGTCCTTAACAGGGACACGGTTCTGGAAGAACTGGAAGCAGAGAAGAATGAGATGTAGATAAGAAGCTTGAATGCGAAAACAGCTTTAATATTTCGTAGCTTACTAGATGTGTAATTAATTTACCTTGTGAGAAGTGATTGCAGCAGTTGACCCAAGAACGTCCTTATAGGGCGAAAGGAACGGCTAGCATATGGCCAATAAGTACTACAAAAGAGCGCCGGCGTACACGAGAGCCTTCTCCGTGTCTTTATCGACCCCGAGACCGAGGGTGCTATAGAGGCCAGCTTCAGCATGGACGGATCTGCTCACGACATCAACATTAATGACTCGATCAACGGCTTTTTCGTCGATGGCGAACAGGTCCGCCAGCACCCCCAGCTCCTTAAGCTCTCCATGCAGCGCCTAGGTGACTAGCCCAAGGACTAAATCGAGTACGAGACCCTGAACGCCAGCCTCTTTTGGATGTTCGGACCCGGCCTCCAGGGCTTCGGGGGTGTTGACTAATGGAACCTAAAGAACTTTGGCTCCGGCAAGGCCAACGGCAAGAATAAAGAGTAGCGAGAAAGAGATAAGCGAGAGACCATATTTGATTATATGCATATCCTGCTTTCTCATATCACAACGATCCTTTTTCTTTCCATTTGTGTTGATGTCCTTCACATTTCCTCTGTCGAAGATGGTCTATTTTCGATTACTTTACTGCGTGGATCATCACTTGTCGCCAACCAGTATATCTATACTGTGCTGTGAAAGACACCGAGTATATCTGTTACGATTCTAGGTTTGCATTAGGGCTAAAGGTCATATCAGGGTTATTTTGTTGTGGTTCGCTAGAGCATCTATGTAATTCAGAATATTACTGTCTAGTCTGGTGGCATTTTCCTATCACTGGATTGCATATATATGGCCCTTCTAACGTGTCTGCTTAGAACGGATCATACTCCTGGTCAACGAGCATAACCTGCTTTCTCTTTTCCCTGACTACCTGGGGGTGCCTGGGTATTGGGTACTGCACGTAACTGGCTGGTAGATAGGTTGAATCTCGCTAACTAGCTCGTCAGTAGCACTCCGTGGTGAAAATTTCGTGATCCAAAGTCATGCAGAGTGAGCTATGCAGCATGTTACCTTGACTTAATTGGTCCAACGTGCACGAGTTGCAGCCATCGAGCTCAGGGGCCTCGGCGATCGGCGCTCCGCCAGATAGTCTGAATTTGACACTCCCAAGCTGCCCACTGCTATAAACAAGTTATGTTAGGTTTTGTTTTTTGTTTTTTCTTCTTTTTCCCCAGTACCCCTCGAAACCTGCCCAATCACCGTCCCCGAGAGTATGAGTCACTAGAGATGCCAAGATCACCAAGATAAACAATCGGACATCCACGACCGATCTGCAACAACAGTTTTTGATCGATTTGTCTATGACTGGCCAAGTGTCTAAGGAAATATGGGCCACTCCGGATTTTTCTCTGGTACATATCAGCCATTAAACCCCATTCTCACGTCTTGTTAGGCGTAGAATGTCGATATGCAGTAACATCGCAACAGTATTGTTCTTCCTCATCAACAAGTTAAAATTATGCTACGACACCCAATAGACAAGAGATCGGTAGATCGGTCTCTCAGGAACCTGGTAGTACCAACAAATCGGTCTGGGCTGATTATTGTTATCTGGACTACACACAATATTGTGAGAAATTGGTGTTTACATGGCATTACATAGTACGGAGTAAGCTAAGTATGATACCTATATAGCCATGGCGGCATTAGTTTGTACAAAAGTAACCAGGCGTACGGTAGTGCTATATTCGCAGCAATAATCATCTATAGGAATGATAATGCTGATTAGGGTATGCTTGTGAGACCATGCAAGACCGACCCGACCCGACCCGGAAAGGGGCTTCAACCTGAATTCTTCCTCAGCCCCACCATATGACTAACTATGTGTATATGTAGCGTCCCCCTACAATGGCGTAAATTTGAAAAATTATCCCCCTACCAGTGACCCAGCTGGCCAGTCATCATGCATTTGCTCTCGATACTTGGCATAGTCACTCTTTCCCTCTCGGGGGTCTCGACGGCATTGGCAATTGAGGGAGAGCCAAACGTCAATGCCCCTCTGGTGCAACAGCATCTCAGAGACCGCGAGAAGCTGATCGCGTTGGAAAAGACACATCGACAGGGTTCGTTTCAGACAATTTTGAACTGTTCATTTATTTCATTTTAAGCAAATAGAACTGACCAGTCACGCAGATCACATCTTCCGGCAGAGTCTCTCCCCAACTGCCAAACGGGCTGATGAGATTGTTCAAGCAATTCGACAGGATGAGATTGAGCATTACTGGCGAGTGGCCGGCACGCCAGACGATGAGGAGAAGGAACAGTTCGCAGGAGAGGAGTTCCCCCTTGCCCGGCCGCATATCTCCAACACGACCCTTTGGAAAGTGATCAAGCGTATGCCCAAGGGTGCACTTTTGCATGCTCATCTATCGGCTATGCTGCCGTACGAAAAAATTCTGGAAATCATCATCCACACTGAAGGAATGGTAATTTCTGCGTCACAGCCTGTTGACACTAATGATGCCAAGGAAAATGCCACCATCACTTTCGCCCATAATAACGGCACTCTTTCGAGCAATCAGTCCAGGATTGACTCTGCTGAATACATTCCTAAAACAGAGATTCCTGTCAAAACCGCCGCAGCCAGCTTTGAAGGTGGTGAAGCGGGTTTCATTGAATTTATCAGAAGTAAGACAACCATTTTACCGGAGGACTCGACCCGCCACGAGTTAGGTGTCGACGAGGTCTGGAGACGGTTCCAGGCCTGTTTTGGTCCGGCTGATACCATGATCCAGTACGAACCCGTGGTCAGGAAGTTTTACCAGAAACTCTTCGAAGATCTGGCAACCGACGGTATTAACTGGGTGGAGATCCGAAGCGGAGGATCAAGTGGGCTGCTAGTCCACAATGGAAAAGAAGACATTGACCCTGATCTCGACGCTTGGTGGCATGTCTTAGTTGAGGAGATTGCGAAGTTCAAGGCCACCGAGCTAGGCAAAAACTTCTTGGGTGCAAGAGTTATTTGGTCGGATATGCGCTTCGAGAACCGCTCTTCGATCACTAAGAGTATGACAAAAGACCGACCCAGTTAACATGAAAGCTAGCTTGCTGACCTTCATAGGCATGAGAATCGCCATCCAGAGGAAGCAAAACTTCCCAGAGCTCTTCAGTGGCTACGACCTGGTTGCCCAAGAAGATCTCGGCCGTCCTCTTTCTGATCTGGCACCGGAACTGGTATGGTTCCGTCAACAGACCGAGGCCTTGAATCTCACCATTCCGTATTTCTTCCATGCTGGAGAAACGCTGGGAGACGGGAACTCGACAGATCTTAACTTGTTCGATGCAGTCCTGTTCAACACGCGACGAATCGGCCACGGCTTCTCCTTATATAAACACCCAAAGTTGATCCGTCAAGTGATTGAACAAAACATCATGGTAGAAGTATGCCCTATTTCGAACGAAGTGCTCCGTCTGAGCGAGGATGTTCTTCACCATCCGTTGCCGGCGATGATTGCCCACGGCATTCCGACTGCAATCAGTAACGATGATCCAGCCATCCTCGGACAGGATGTGGCAGGGTTGAGTTATGATTTCTATGAAACTATTCAAGCCTTTGATAATATTGGTCTCGCCGGATTGGTAAGTTGTCCTCCTTTTGAAGATTCGGGCTGCTTGCTTACACTAGAAAACAGGGTGCGTTGGCACAGAACAGCCTACGGTGGGCAAACTTCGAAGACCAGTCCGACAAAGATTGGATCCAAGATATTGACCGTGGTGAGGATGGAACTGGTACCAAGGCTAAGCACATTAAAGCTTGGAACAGGGACTGGGAGGACTTTTGCAAGTGGATCGTGGATGAATACGGGTCAAAGTACGGGACAGCTAAGATTAACTAAAGCATTTGGTGCATTGCAGGATTACTTAGATACATGTGGTGAGCTCATCCATAAATTAATAATTTAGCAATTTAACAAACAACAACATACTGTGGTCGACATGGCAAAAGTCAGGAAATGGGTGTCCTCTACGCCCGCCCTAAACATTGGGGGCGAGACCTGACAAGTAGCAAGCTATGAGACATCATGTACAATCATCCCTCTGAACTACAACAGCAAGAACTTGTGTAACGTTTAGCTGCATGTGAGGGCTTGGGAAATCTCAAACTGTAGCGGAGACATCCGCCATAGGAAATGCCGAACAATATTAACGTATCTTTCAGACCCACAACGAACTTTTCACTGTGCATCAATTAATTCGTTATATATGGGTTTTACTGTATATAAATTAAATTGCAGGGCCGCCCCCACTACGCCCTGCCGATCATGGCTGACTGTTCACAGTCATGTGACTTCGCCTGTCCCATCTCAATTATGTCACGAATGGATGAGTCAGAAATTCCTAACCAAATGTCAGTGATTACATCCAGCGCTATACCTGTTTGGGACTAGTGCCACTCTTATTGATGATGGATAATGATTCCATAATCCCGATGAGATGGATTTCCAAGGTTCTTGAGCCGTCTAGACGACTTGATCTTAAGCTATATAAACCCTCACACCCACATCTGATTTTTTCTAATCACAAAAAAGAATAACCTCAATCACATTTCAATTGTGCTATTTGACTGATCTAAAACTAAAACAATGTCGAACCCACTTGCCCACGCCAAGATTGCTCTCCGCAGATCCAGCGAACGTGGATACGCTGAACATGGCGGCTGGCTCAAATCTTTCCATACTTTCAGCTTCGCCGGCTATTACGATCACCGATTCCAGAATTTTGGAAGTCTGCGCGTTCTAAATGAGGACCGTGTTGCAGCGCGCAATGGATTCCCAACGCATCCGCATCGCGATGCGGAAATCTTCAGCTACATCCTAAATGGTGAGCTCACGCACCGGGATAGCATGGTTAAGAAGGGCTCCGAGGGGGAGCAAGGGAAACAATTTTACCGAATGAAGCGGGGAGATGTACAATTCACCACAGGCGGAACGGGTAAGTCTCTCGAACCTCCAATCTGCCCGATAGTCAATTGAAGCTAACGTGAGATAGGAATCGCACACTCGGAGCAGAACGAATCCAATAAGTCGGTTCACTTCCTTCAAATTTGGGCACTTCCCTGGAAGCAGGGCCTCAAGCCACAGTACCATACTATGACATTTAGCGAGGAAGCAAAGCGCAAAGCATTTGTTCCTATTTTATCCCCGCTTGCTGCGGGACCCGAAGCTACCCCAGCACAGGAAGATGCTGCCGTGCCCAAGATTTCCGGTACTATCCCCATTCATGCTGATTTCGTCATGGGGGCTGGAATTATTGAGCCGGCCTCGACATTTAAGTGGACTATTGGCGCCGGAGAAGCTGTCGAGTCCAGGAAGAAGCGGAATGTTTACATTCACCTGCCCATGACCAAACAGGGCAAGTCCAAGGTTATGATCGATGGTCGGGAGGATGCCGTTCTTGAGGAGGGCGATGGGGCCTTTGTTACAATGGTAAATGCTGGAGATGCGCTCCGCGTGGAGAGTGTCGGGGAGGTAGAGGCGGAGGTTATTGTGCTGGATAGCAACTGAGAATCACCTCTTTTGAACTGAGCTTTCGTTGATGACCTTTTATGTATAGTAGGAACTCAAAGACAAATATGAAGAATCTGTGCTCGTTTATCAGCTTTTTACATTGTTCATCTTCTCGTGCATTGTTTTTATTTGAGAGCGTAAGGGATTTACGACTTTCCCAAAGAGAAATTATATAAAACGGTTCGAGAAACAAAGTCGCGTGTGAAAATAGGGAAATCTTCTTTCGACTCTGACTACATGTGGCCATACAGCATAACTACTTATCAATGATCGTGGTACTGCAACAATCCAAAATGGGGCTTGGCCGATTTCTTCCCGCACTTATGATGAACCAAGAGCTCTAAGCATAGATCTGAGGGAAATAGGTTGATTAAGGAAGAGAAAACTATCTAACTAGAGAAAGATAAAAAAACCAGCGGGTGGTGCCTGAAAGCCTAGGCCAGCCAACAACTTGGCCAATGCAAAAAGTGCAGTAGTCCCAACCTGGTTTATATATCATGCTGAGCAGCCAGGTCTGCATCGACAATGAACAGCATCTTGCCCTTAGCGATACTTCCTGAGATCAGATCTTCATGTGCTTCCACAGCCTCACTCAACCGAAACAGCTTAGCAATAACCGGCTCCAGCTTCCCGCTCCGAACCTTTTCCAAAATGCCGTAAAAGTCAGCCAGTCCAGCATTACTGGAGTAATACAGATCGACACCATAAAAGCTCATGCGTGGTTGCAGCCGCGATGCGAGGATCTCCCCCACGCTTAGCTGCATCCCACTTCCATCCGTCGCAATCTCCGACATGACTCCGAACACAACGACCCTTCCGACGTCTGCCTTTGTCGCAGAGAGGCTCCTTTGGAGACTAGCCTCGCTGCAAACCCCATCATACGCAACGTCTACCCCTTCCCCGTCTGTCAGCGCCCGAACCTGCTCGACAAGATCGGGCGCATTGCGGTCTACCGGCTCCACGCCGAGGGATCTGAGGTAGTTGAATTTAGAGGGCGAGCAAGTTCCTATCATCTTGATATCCATGTCAAAGGCTGTGACTAGCTGCGCAACAGCAGTGCCGAGGCCACCGCTCGCCGAACCGATAAGGATGCTCGAGCCAGGAGGTAGTTGGACTCCGCTATGCTTGAGCATGCCCCAGGCCGTCATGTAGTTAAGCGGCAGAGTTGCCACCTTAACAGGATCATCGGTATGTTCAATGCGGATAAGTTCCGTGTACGACAGGACAATATGAGTGGCATGTGCACCGGTAATGCACACGGAGGCAACTCGGTCTCCAACTGCCAATCCACTCTCTCTCGGCACCGAGTCGCCAAGCGCAACGACCTCACCGACACAGTCATATCCCGTTGTAAAGCCCGGTTTGAGTGTTTGTGGGAGGGGATATCCACCTGCTCGTTGTATGTTGTCCACTCCAGCGATGCCGACAACGATGATGCGGACGAGGACTTTGTCGGCAGAAAACTCAGAATTGGGGTCCCAGGATTCCCATTTCAGTACGGATGGAGTTCCAAATTCGGTGACGACCCAGTGACCTGGTTGGTCAGGCGTGGTGCTGGTGTTGGGGGTTGATAAGATTGCAGACATGGTTTCAAGCTGATGATTGGAGTGTGGAATATGAGATATGAAGGAGTAGAATTTGAGTGAAGGTACTGAAGCAGAGGATGATGTCTTGTGAAATAGACTAAGTGGAATTTATCCCCAGGACGTGAAGACATCTTTTAAGCCTATAAATCGGCACCTACCCCGAGGACCTCTTGTTGGAGTATAAGCCGATTGGTAATATGTCTTAGCTAGTTAACCTTGTCCTTTGATTATAAACTATGGATCGAGATTAGCTAAATAGCGCAGTAGAACTCTAGAGTTCTGTGTGCTTCCATTGTCTTGTAGGAACCTATATCAAAATAGAAAAGGCACCGAGATTTCTACTTTGTATGAGTATGTAAGCATGGGAGCATCAAGAAAAATGTAACGTTTGATTTGTTGGTGGATCTCGGATGGGCCACCTTCCGTTCTGAAGTAAAGTTTAGCTTTATAGCTCCTTTCGGATGGTAGATCATCCGTACTCCGTACCCATCTTGCTGAGAATATGTCGTTGCTCATCGAAATCAAGGAATATAGGAATCCGCACTTCCTTGCGACAAGGCCTCCAAACCCTTGCTCTTAGCTGTGACTTTATCTGCAGAGTGTGTCATTATTTCGTGTGATAGCGGACAGAAACCAACACCTGTTGGCTAAAAAAAAGTTGAATTGGTGAGTGCTGAAATTGCCATTGATTGACTTGTTGTGACAGATCTGGCTCGGGGCACGTAAAAACGGGAGGAAATTCAGACAACGAAGCTACAAGTGCACAGCTCAGGTGTAAATAGCCCAGGTGAGCCAAAATATGGGTGACTGAGTCCGCCTCATATCAATCTCAAACATAATCTTCAAGCCAAAGCCTCTACCAAAAACTAAGACTTTTGCTAAGCGCAAATCTTTAGGTCAACGTAGCCAATATGCACATTATCCAAAGCTTCAGTCATCGGCACGGCACCCTTCACTCATTATAATCAACACCAGCAACCTCAAATTTGTTGACCCATTGCACTAATGTCCTTCACTGCCTCAAAGTCTTCCAGCAAACTCTCGAACTTGGACTTGGACATTTTCCAAGAAACAGCGCCTAGGGGAAGCCGAAGAGGAACGTGTTTCTCGCGGCTAGCAATTTTGAACAAGGTCTCGGCTATGGCGGAGGGCTCAATTCCAACGCCGAGCTTCATGCCAGCGCTCACATACTTCTCAAGCTTTCTTGCTGGCATATCATCTCCGACATAGGCGGGATGTGGTTTGATATTGGCTTTGCTGTGGCCTTCAAAGCTCGTCTTCACGCCACTTGGTTCCACAATACAGAAGTTGACTGCCGATAGTTAGTGATGAATGCCCTACAACACCAAGGCGCAGCTAACACCAGTCACTCACTATTCCAATCAGGATGCATCTCACGAGCCACAGATTCCGAAAATCCTTCCACGGCGAACTTTCCAGCGTGATAGAAAGCATGCCCAGGGAAGGCACACAGTCCAGCGAGCGACGAGATTTGAAAGATAAGACCACCTCGACGATCTTTGCTCTGTCGCATCACTGCAATGCTACGTGTCGTCACACGAACCGTACCAAAGAACAAGGTTTCCATCTCCTGATGCATCTCTTCCTCTGTTGCGCCCTCAGTGTCACCCGAAAGAGAATACCCTGCATTGTTGACCACGACGTCGAGGTGAAAGCTTTCGCCAAAGTGCTTCGCAGCTGCAGTAAAGGCAGCCTCCACAGAAACAACAGACGTCACGTCCAGGGTAAGTTTGAGGATATCGGAGTTATCGTCAGGAAGATAAGAGAGATCAGCCTCGTTTCGAGCAGTAGCAACGATACGTTGATTGGGCTTGCTTGCGATCAAAGTGGCTATTTCGCGACCAATTCCGGATGAACAACCCGTTACTGATATTGGGGTCAGTAAAACGCTGTGAAACCCGTGTGCTCGATCTTACCTAGCCAAGTAGCATCATCCGGAAGCTTGTATGGCTCAGTGTTGACTGGGTTCATTGTTGAAGTATCATAAAAACGCTGTATCTGATACTGGGAATTTCAATGTGCCGTTATTTCTGACAGTCAGTGGACGCCATGCTGGTTAAATATTTTTTTTGATCCTCGCATTGGCCTACACTCGTTTCACATCTTACGAAGACAATGTGGCTATCCAAGGTTCGTTTTCTATGCTCACGCCAATCCTGCAAGCTGATTGGCCATTCTCCATATTAAACTGTGCTCTGATTGGTTCAGATGTGATTTATTGAAGCACGTCGGCGTCCTAAAATGGTATAGCGCCCTTTTGCACTATATTCTCTTTCCAAAGCAAGTGTCCGACTTCACATCGGCGTCCAAGAAAAGCTTGACGTGTCGTCTATCTTATTTTGTGTTATAGAGACGCGTTTCTGAGCCGGTCTGTAGGCGGGGATTGCCGGCCTGATTCCATCGGAATACGGAGCGAGACCCCCCAAATCAGAATATAGCAACAAAGATTTCCTGGCTATACAAATCGTTAAAACTCAAGAAGACGACTAATTACGCACGGGAAGCTTTCAAATATTCCTCCATTTGGCGTGTTGTACCACATTCTCCAAGATCTCGGAATCCCCTTTTTCGAAGGGATGGCTTTTCTCAAAATCAACGACGAGTTGTTCGTGCTCCTTACTTCTCGGAACAAAAGCAGCTTTGTACGGAGCAAGGTGACTCAAAATTCCAGGTGAAAACTCAACAATCGGGTCGACTTCCTTGCCATCTTTTCCAACAAGCCTTCTAATGTCGAATATGGCGAGTGTATGAGCAATCATCAGGAAAATAGAAGTTTCAGCAATCAAGCGCCCGGGGCATACTCGGCGACCAAAGCCAAAGGCCGCATCTCCCGGGTCAACAGCAGGGTCAGAAGAAAGGAAACGCTCCGGTTGGAATTCTCGCGGGCTAGGGTAGATCGCGGGATCATTATTAAACCCCCTAAACATCATGTTAAAGGCAAAGCGAGGTCAATTGTATTTGAAAAACATACCAGATATTCGGGAGAATAATGGCGTTCTTTGGAATCAAAAAACCATTTATGATATCATCTTCGTCCGTTCTGTGAGGAATACCTAAAGGCGCAACACTGTGCCATCTGATGGCTTCCTTCACGAGTGCATTCACATAGGGTAACTTCTCTCGGTCGGCCGCTGTTGGCAAAGTAGGCATGCCGAATAAAATGTCCATCTCGGCTTGGGCCTTGCATTGAACATCTGGGAACAGCATCATTGCCAGAAAGAATCCTTCCAGGATCGCAACAGTCTATAGGTGAAGGAATGTGTGAGATATGGTCAGTCCCTATTGTAAAATTTTGAAAACACACCGTATCAGCTCCACCCCCATACATTGCCAATGCTGACCACTTGACAATTTCTTCATCTTCTCCTTGTTTGAGAAGCGTAGATACAAAAGACTGACGATCTTCGTCCTTATCAATTTGATATTTTGTAAAGGCAACCGGGCTCTCTACAAGTCTTGTGAGAGTTCGGAAGTGATCTCGGGCGACTCTTTGAAAATTAGCCCCCGGCATCCAAGCTGGTACATATTTCACTAAACTCAATTCAGCAACGATTCCTGCCCGTTGGAGTGGTTCAAATCTTACACGCTGGAATCAAATCGACAAGCCAATTTCCCGGGACAACAGCATCCGAGAATTGCTTCAATGCATGATCAGCTAGAAGCACTAGCGGGTCGTCACCATGAGGTTCGATATTATAGCCGTATGTGATGTTCAAAATAAAAGCACCAGCAGCACTATTATTTTCAAGCTATCAGCAAGTTATCTCTGAAGACGACATATCCACAGGAGCTTACGTCCGGTTGTGATCGATGAATTTCTCAGGCGCACGCAAAACACGGCATGCAAATCTTCGTGCTTCTAATTCAAGAAGGTTATTGAACTTGGACGCGGATTCTCGTGTGCCGATGATTCTTGTGATTGCGCGACGATACGCTCGAAGGAGCGGTGTGTTGTCTTGGCTTGAGGGCAACATGCCCCATCCAGATCTGGGATTATCAGTTTAGCTCGAGATAAGTCTACTCAAAGATAGGGTAGAGAAAGTGTGTGTGTGTGTGTGTGTGTGTGTGTGTGAGTGAGAGAGAGTGTGTGAGAGAGAGAGTGTGTGTGTGAGAGAGAGAGGACCTCCCAAGAGGCAACGAAGCCCGGGTAGACGTACAATTCATCAGCGAAGACGAGGCGCGGCCGAGAAGAATGTTTCGCGGAGTTCTTTTCCAGGATTTGAAAAGCCAAGCCTCTGTCATTTATTATGATAATCGTTTTGCCTAGGACTGTGATAGAACTGAGGGGACCTGCGCGGAATAATTAGATCCGCTCAACTGGTCAGAAGTGACGAACGTGAGACGGCACCGTAGAGGTCTTTGTGCTTCAACCAATGTTGCCATTCCTGTGCTCCTGGCGGTGGAAGATCGAATAAATTGCCGATAAGAAATTTGCCCTTTGGCCCTGGGGGCAGATTGACTCTCTTCCTTTCTGCGAAGGCCGTTCGCAGAATCGCAATCAGACCCAAAGTGAACCCTAAAACCGCCAACTGTCCAATCGATGCCATATCTTTGCCTACTCTAGGCGACAGACGTTGAGAATCGAGAGTGATAACCAAAAGACTGCTGGTATAAGGAAAAGAGTAAATATTTAGAAGAAGTGGGGTACGACGACATCAGATCCCGATCTGGTCAGATGCGGCGCTGTACTTCAATTGGTTGAAAATGTCTTTGATCTTACTGGATCATATGTGCATCACCAACTGTTCAGTCTGATAGTATCTTAATGTGTGAAGAAAAAGAAGTTTGATTTAAAAAAAAAAATCTAATACCACTATCTAAGCGGAATTGTCGGCGCAAGACCAGGCAGCCGAACCTCCGGACTTCTTGTAGCTTTTGATAATGCTGACAACAGATCCATAAGTACCTCCGATCATCAAGAAAGTTCCAGCTATTATGATGAAAAAGCACCATCCGACCATGAACATCCATCTGGGCGACCGGCGACCGTCTTTACGGTTCCAGTTGTCATACAGCCACATACCACCCATTGGCTGGAAGCACATGGGAGTACCAAGTAAAGCGCCCACAAGAGAGACGAGATCACTAAACACGGGAATAGCGCTAGCAATGATATAAGCGACCAAAGCAGTCCCGATAGTGCAGCTAAGCCAGACCACCCAGTGGGTCATAGTGTTGGAGGCCAAATGGCGGGAACCTTGTAGGATGCGGACAAAGACATATTTTCCAGTGATCTAGATAGCTGTTAGCTTAGGTAGACGATTTTTGTTATCAAGAGAAAATCTTACGTGAATGAATAGCAATGTGCTGACCAACAGGCCTGGCAGAGCAAACCCATAGCTCACTTTCTTGACGACTGGACCAGCAGACCCAAGAGCAGGGGATGAAACGTATGATCCACAGTAGTAGTAGATAACAATGCCGATCGCAAGATAGAACACCGTGACAACTCCCTGGCAGAGGAACAGCGATCGGTTGAAATGACGGGGCTCCCGCATCTCTGCTGCAATAGAAAAGAATGCTGGAGTACCGGCGTACGCAAACACGATGGTACATATAGCGGTCATGGCATCGGTAAAGTCTGGATTGTTGACAATTTTGTAGTCAGGAACCCAGACAGCGTCTTTCGGTGCGGCTGTTGGACGAGGTTGGAGACCAACGGCGACGGTGACGATCATGACTAGGACGATCAGATTAGATTAGGCGTGAAGAGCACGAGAGGAATACTCACTTGAAGTCAAGATAGAGAACAGACCAATCCAGGCGAGCCAAGAGAGACGACCTAATGTCTGGATACTACCGAGTATGCATGCTACAATAGCAGCAATGGCAACATAGACTGCCGTGCAAACGGCGTGGTCGGAGACAGCATTGAGACCGATAGAGATTCCTAGCATTCCCGAGCCGGCGACGAAGACCCACCCTATTGTGGTTCAGCAAGTGACTCTTTTATGACTTCGTGTATTGTTTTTTAGGATTCAACTCACAGAGAACGAATGCACCTCCGAGTAGGATTCTTCCCGTGGGGCCGAGTAACAGCTCGCCCACATCGTCAATACCGTAAACCTCGCGATGTCGAAGTTTGAAGACACCGATTATGTAGTCGGACCATGTTGTGATGGCTGCAATAGCACATAGGCATATTACGCCAGGAACTATGCCTAATGAATCGAACGCGACGGGGATTGAAAGGACACCGAGACCAATTTGGGTTTTCATCATCAAGACGGATGTTCCTAGCCATCCTACCTACATTGTATAGAGTGATTAGTACACGGCACCGAAAGGGTTACAAGGTTAGGCAACATACATCGCGATAATTCGGACCTTCTTCGGTGATTTCTCCAAAAACGGCATCATGTTGAGCCTCGAGGACCTGCCCTTCACGTGAAGGGACAGGACTTAACGATTTCTCTTGGTGCTTCTCTGACATAGTGGAATAATTGCAAAATGCAGATAATGGTAATTAGGGCGGGAATGAGGCCCTTTAAACCATCTATCCGGTGAAGTTTAAATTTCCCGGTCAGCCCGGTCTGCCCAGACCGGTGCGGTGTTTATCGCCATCAGCCAAGGTTTCAGGCTTCAGGGGCGTTCAGGGGGATCCTGAGATCGGGTGAGCCGTTCCGACACGCCACCCGTGCAGAGATAAGGCTTGACTGTTATCTTTGGCTTATGATTAGTCTCATTTTTCTTTAGTCAATCATCTTTATCTTGATCTATGAAGCATTTATCTGAACTACGATGAAGTAGTGTGAGATACTAGTATTTGGGGATTTAGGATCATCATGGACATTTTCCCCACAACACGTTTTAGTACAACCTCTGCCCACTTTTCTTAATGCGGGGAAACTCAAAACTACGTCGCTTTGCTTCTCAAATCCCGCATATTCTCGGGGAATACCTCCACTAATTATCTGGGGGTGGGGGCTTTCTATCCTTTCTCAGAAGGTGGTTCCATACTTGGCCAATTGAACTTCTCTAGACTTACCGCTCAAATTTGGAGTACGTGTCATTACCCCATTTTACGCCCCGTTGTGAGACAATTTATCTTGGTTACGGAAAGTCTTGCCTCGGACAAACTTAGGGCCGGATATGGAGACTAACCCATGGATAATCTACCATTACCTAAAAGTTTGAGGGAAGAAATAGGTTAGAGGTGGTGGCGCAAACCAGTGACTTCCAATGAGTGGTTTAAGTATTTCCTTGTTTATTGTGCTTATTCCGCGAAAGGTTGGAGTTCCGCATCTTTTAATCCTTTTAGGTGAAGTGGAGACTATTATATTCTAGACGGCTGGGTATGTATTAACTTTTCAAGATTCTCGGCCGTCAAGCTGATATGAAATCCATTTTATCAAATGGCTGCGGTTAATTGGGTGCAAAATTCCTCTGAACTGTTTGAGAACAATATATGAGTGCAACTTTGACAACCATCATAAGCCCCAAGCTTCAAATCTCTGCTAGTATTCACCGTGGAAGCAATAATGATCTAACTTGGTGAAATGTAAGGGAAACAATTGAACTTTCCACAACATTTAGCGGTCTGTTCGCCTCTAGAAATTTTTTGGTCAATGAAGCCTGATATATCAGGCCGTAATGCAGGCAAACACTCCAAAATTCACTTTCAAAGGCTTGTTTGAACATAAGTGCCAGCAGGATCATATAAAAGATTCCAATCTCATTTCGAATTTTAGGCGGTGATCCTTTTATAATCAATATGAAAGTAAATCTACTTGATCGCGACATTTGCCTACAACTAGAGTAATAACTAAATGAGGAACGAGGCACGAGGCACGAAGAACGAGAATATTACGTGCAATATACAAAAGCTGAGCAAGCAGCAATTAATGATGAGAGTCTGGCTTACAATTGCTTACAGATAATATGTTTACTCCTATCTTGATGGATGACAATATCAAAACGTGTTTCTTGTTGAGCAAAGAACTGTTTTCTACCGTATCCCTACGCCCGAATCGAAGCACTTAAATCTGACACTATTAAAAATAGCTTCGCAGCAGCTTGTTTATCCCCTTATAATCCCGATCGTATGATTTCAAAGCTTGATATTCAGCTTCTTACGCCGACACCCCCGGTAAGCCGGGGTAGCGAATCAAGCCGCAATTTCACATCAAAAACACCTCAAACGCTTAAAGAGCTACGTCGACAAGCTTCGTCAATCAAATCTTTACTTCATGCAAGATCGCAAAGTCCACAAAGTCCGTCCAATCGCGCGCTTAAACAATTAGTGAAAGGCTGCCAAATCGCGATACAAAGCGCTGCAATTTTAGCGAAAGAAAACAGCGATTTCCGCGCTGCAAAAGAGAAGAAGAAGAACAAGCGTACGCGATCTAATAAACAGATATCGCGCCAAGGAGGTCTCGGAGTTTCAGAAGCTCAAGAGCTAATTGGGGCCCCAATCGAGGCCCCAGTAGCACCAGTACCGCGCCGGGCAAGACGGCCATCGCCACCTTTACAGCCGCGTACGAGAGCCTTACTAAAGTGCGGAGCCTGTGGAAACTAGGGGCCTATTTTTATCTAGTAGCTATACTTCTTCTAGTATTTTTACTAGGGCGTAAATAATAGCCGCGTTCCGCGATACTTTAGCGAATCGGTAGGGTGTTACGCACTGCTAACTGGTCACAGTTAGGTTAGAAGGGTTAGGTTATACTTGCCTTATGCTTCTCAGGTTTCTAACGTCAACGATCTGTTCTCTCAACCGTACTGTTGCCTAGCAAGCCTTACTGTAGGATAGGTCCTATTGAGGAATCGAGGAACGATACTAGGTAGAGCGCCGAGGAGATCTATACCGAGGTATTGGTCTACTCGTAGGTGTTGTCAAGTTATAATCAAGTAAAGAGTCACTAAAGTTCTAAAGGTATATATAAGTAATAATATATGATTGAAGACGAAGAACTAAACTAGATATATAAATGAGTGTCCTTATATATCCTTAGGTTCTTCCTATATAGATAAGTAGATCGTAGATAAGTAGAATTGTCTTAGTAGATTCTACTAGTCTACTATCGACTATTCTACTACTTATATAATTATATAACGGCTAACCGTAGTATTACTAAATAGAGTATACTTCGGGACGGCTAGCGGGAGGCTAGTTATAGCTCCTATTAGTAGTAGAGGTTTACTAGTCTATATAGGTATATATATACTAGATATCCTCTAGAAGTGGATCCTACTTAGGGCTGATTATACTCTTACTTACTAAGCGTGATTATAATTTCTCTTTTTCCTAAATGCCTAGGTATCCTAGAGTATAGGATATTATATATAATCTAATAATAGATCGTTCGGTTAGCTCTTAGTAGCCTATTAGGAGTTATAGTCCCTATAACTAATTAGTGACTAGTATATTGTTACGGGCACTCCCGTCACCAATCAGCGGAGATCCATAAGCCACACCGATGGGCCACCGAGAGCCAACCAACCAATAAGTCACGTGACACACCACGGAAATATATGGTCTTTCCGTTGTACCCTTATGATATAGAATAACACACGGTGTTAGCGAACCTAAGATAAGTCATATTATAAGGAACCACGGATCCTACGATATAGGCTACCGCACGATAGTAACCATTATAGGATTCCTAGGGATCTAGCGGGTAGGACACGTAACCAAGGTATATCGTAGGACTAGGCTTATCCTAGGATAGGACTAGTCGTAGGATAGCCGTAGGATATACTTAGCTAAGTATAACCCCGGTATTTTATAGGAAGAGGTTGATTATAGGATACGCCTAACTAAGCGTGACTCTAGGACCTACTTTATAGGAGTATACCTTAAAAGGACCTATCCTATAGTAAGGCCTATTAGGCAATAGTACGGTTAAGAGAACGGATCGTTAATATTAGAAACCTAAGAAGTATAAGGTAAGTATAACCGAACCCTTCTAACCTAACTATAACTAGTTAGTAGTGCGTAATATATTAAAGACCGTCTCAAATCAAGTTTCGAGTTATAATAATAACAATAGCTCTAGTAACTCCGAAGCTATCGGCATCGACCCCTCGTCAACCGGACGATTAGTGTTACGCACTACTAACTGGTCACAGTTAGGTTAGAAGGGTTCGGTTATACTTACCTTATGCTTCTCGGATTTCTAACGTTAACGATCTGTTTGTTACGGGCACTCCCGTCACCAATCAGTGGAGATCCATAAGCCACACCGATGGGCCACCGAGAGCCAACCAACCAACAAGTCACGTGATACACCACGGAAATATATGGTCTTTCCGTTGTACCCTCATGATACAGAATAACACACGGTGTCAACGAACCCAAGACAAGCTATATTGTAAGAAACCACGGATCCTACGATATAAGCTACCGCACGATAGCAACTATCATAGGATCCCTAGGGACCTAGTGAGCGGGACACGTGACTAAGGCATATCGTAGGACAAGACTTATCCTAGGATAAGACTAGTCGTAGGATAGCCGTAGAATATACTTGACTAAGTATAACCCCGGTATTCTATAGGAAAAGGTTGATCGTAGGATACGTCTAACTAAGCGTGACTCTAGGACCTACTCTATAGGAGTATACCTAGGAGTATATAGTGACTCTAGTATCTACCCCTAGGGGGTAGATTAGGGAGTAGGTATAAAGGATATATAAGGACACTCATTTATATACTTAGTATAGTTCTTCGTCTTCAATTATATATTATTACTTATATATACCTTTAGAACTTTAGTGACTCTTTACTTGATTATAACTTAATAATACCTATAAGTAGACTAATACCTTAGTATAGATCTCCTCGGCGCTCTACCTAGTATCGTTCCTCGATACCTTAAAAGGACCTATCCTATAGTAAGGCCTATTAGGCAATAGTACGGTTAAGAGTATAGATCGTTAACGTTAGATACTAAGGCGTATTAAGGTAAGTATAACCGAACCCTTCTAACCTAACTATAACTAGTTAGTAGTACGTAATATATTAAAGACCGTCTCGAATCAAGTTTCGAGTCACTATACGATAATATATCTCACGTTAGTTCGGGTAAGAAGCCTATTAGGGAGTAGGTTACTCTAACCCTAGATAAACCTAACTCCGACGTCGAGCGAGATAATACTATCGCTAAGTAGAAGAAGAAGATAGGCGAACTAGAGTATAATATTAAGAAAATAATAAGTTAACTATCCGACTTAGGCGAACGAAGCGGCACTAAGTTCGGTAAGGTAGACGAGTACCTTAAATAGATCAAGTCTTAAGTTATCGCCTTTATACCTACTAGCGCTATCTAGGCACCGCGATTACCTAAGTGTAAAGGTATACTGTTTTCAGGTGTAAGGCCTGTCAACCGGGTAAGATACTATGACTGAGAGGGGAACACAATGTATTGTAGAGTGTGCCAAGACTAATTCTTGCCAGAATGCAAAGGATCCTTTGGGGGTCCTTGACTATAGGGAAACCAACATGATAGTGCTGACATTGATATCACCTGACGAACCCCTCTCGGATCGACATCGATTCGATGTCGATCTATTGATAGATCATTGATATGGCCCGCTCTGGGTATTCCAGTTGTAAGGATCTTTTATCCGTTACATACCGAAACCCCTAAGAATCTATCCTAGGTCGGTAACGAATTAGGAACTATTCCTCTAATCGAAGAAAATAAACGTTTAAGTGTCTAATCCTAAAACTAAGACCTATAGATTACGGAACCGAATCTTAAAACGGTCGCGGAAAATACTAGACGTGTTAAGGAAACACTTAAAGTCCTTAAAGCTAAAGTAGCACTTTAGTAAAGAATTATTACTACTTAGGAACTTATTAAGGTAAACCGAGAAAAGATCGAAAGCTATAATAAAGAAAGGGGATTGATATTCGTACCCCCCCTGCCTACAAAATCAGGTGCATACTCCTACCGCCTTCTCGATCTGGTGCGACACTAAATTCTGCCATATATTTCTGCCATTATAGAGTTTTCTGCCATATATTCTGGTTTATATAGTAAAAAACACTGCATTTTAATGAGAAAAAATCGTACATTCTGCCTGATTCCTACCTTAAAAATCTATATATTGATCATCCTACTTCTTATACAACCCCCTGCACGCGTTTTCCTCCCCGTCCCCGTCCTCGACCACGTCCCCGTTCTTCGGTGCTTATAGGTTTAGCACTACTAGTTCCACGTCTACGTCCCCGTCTACGTCCCCGTCCCCGTCCACCTTCCTACGAAAGCATATGTTCGAATGCTAATGGTTCTCGCTAGGTGGATCGATCCTAGGTGAGAGGATCTAGCGAAGAGAGGATATCCTAGGTGCTCTCCTATATAGCTTGCTAAGTGGTTAACTAGCTAATGATATTTCTCGCTCCTTAGGGACGCCCTCATCGTCGAACCTAGAGAGGCTCTTAAAGAAGAAGGATAGGATTGATTAGGGGAGTAGATACTCTATATAAATGCTAATATTGATAGAATAGCTTGATTGTATTAATTTTGAACTTTTTTTTTATCAAAGCTAAGAGTAACAAGGTGAGACCTTATAATAAAAATATTTGGGGGCTAAAGCATAGTGGTAAGTTTGGACATTGTCAAATTGATTCCAGCGTATAAGCAAAGATCAGAACTACCTAAGTTGAGCCTTTCGCGACCATCCGTCCTTTTTCGAGCTTTCGCCCAAGGTAAGTGGCATAGCCCTTCAAGCCCAATAGTCCCACCGCAATGAAAAATGCCAGATAGTTGAATCTCCGATCGCAAACCTCCTCAGCGTTCCAATGGCCACACACCGGGAGAGAGCCAAAGAGAAAAGCTAGAAGTGCAAAGGTGGTTCTATATTCCCAATACATTTAGCAATCATCACCAATGGTAGGTATTTATTTGCTTACAGGAAAGGATGCTTGGCAATCGGGGCCACGAGGTATTTGACAACGAGGTTATCGGAATAGGAGTCCGCAATCAACACGAGGGGTGAAGGAGGTAGCTCATCGTGCAGCTGGCTTCCCGCAGAGGATCCTAAGGATGGGATAGATGTTTTTTCGAACATGGAGTAAGGAGCTTCCTTTGAACGTTAAACCTCGTAATCCGTTGAGATCTATGTAGCACAGCCACTATCACTGTCGATACTCGATGATGCTACCTACATACATACCTTTGTGGAAATTTCGATACCAAACGGTATGTAGGGAGAAGCAGCCCAAAATAAGTGGTAGCTAAACTAACAAGAACTGACAATTATAGTTTTACAACCGCGACTTCTCTGCTATTTCCCAAAATATGGGATATTTATACAGAGCTAGGTTACCCTGCTCTATCCATGTATAGATGTATATCATATTTGAAGAAACTAGGAAGAGGATAGTACATATGTATAATCAAAAGTCAAGAGGAGCATATTCGTACACTATCCGACAAGAATCGCCGGTCAGATTCCGGGAAAACCGCAGAAAGAGTTGGTCAGGGCCGCGATTCCACTTCACAATATCTGCCTCCGTAGTCCCAGGAGGAAAACCATCCATTGGCCGAAAAGCAGCAATTGGTCCAATGCGCACCTCCTCTGGGATAAGCAGTGCTGTTGGTATTCTAGGTCCCATATCCGTATGAGCATAATATGAGATTGGGGCAAGTTCGGAGCCGGGAATTGGTCCACCTGATGGCTCCAGTGCACTAAGATTGGATGTATGATGGGCTACATTCATCGCCATTGCCCGGGATTCTTCTATCTCCATGATCGTTCGCCCTAAGGCTGCCCAGATTGAGCACTGGTAAAATCCTTGCACTGTGGGCGCTTGGTAGAGTAGAGTCAGTGCCGCGCGTCGGGTACGCGGTTCACGGCATCGGAGACTGGTAAACCAGAGTGGAAGGCCAACATTGACTTCAAAGGTAAATGGAGGCTGGGTGCCGTCTGGTCGCACCGAAGCTTTAGGTGCATTCGCACATTGTTCAACGATATTTTGGAAGTTTTGGAGATAAGCGTCGAATTGCATCAATGACAATGATGTGCAGGTCTCAAGCATGACATATAGCATATCATGATAACTCAACAGAAGGGCACCAGTACCAATCTGTTGCAGCGATAACATGTCTTTAGCACGAAGCACTCTCATCAACTTATCGAAGCCAGTACGCCAGTTCCTCAGTCTGGTCATCAGACTGAATAGTTTAGTATTGAATTCCTCCGGTACATTGGGGGTATTAGCCCCCATTAAGTGTTCGGTGCAGGCGCGTTCAAAAACGGGGATTTCTATAGCTAAGAGCATGATCGCCTCCCGAGCAGACTTGAGTGTGTCAAACTGTTGCGTCAAGGCAAGTTCAGAGTATCGTAGTGAAGCAGTTACCGGAGCCCCGCCGCCGGCGAGAGCGAATGCTCCCAGACGGAGAAATATTGGGATAATCGTATCCTCTAGCAAGGAAGCTTGACTCGCAGCCCCGGACGCTATTTGGGGACGTAAAGCGATGATGAGCTGCACACCTTGACTATAGAGCTGCATTGCCCCGTCTGCATTTCCCTGGATAGCCTCGATGCAGATGAAAAGGACACAACTGATCAGTCCAACAAAGGCATCCACGCTACCCTGCTCAATACGCCGACGAACAGCGGATACCGAGCGTGAGTACCAGCCTAAGGCGTCTTGATGATTCTGCGTCAGATAAATAGTACTACCACGGCGTTGTGACGCGGGATCCAGGCATGCTTTGGGGCACTCAAATAGCGCACTAATGGTGATAATGGCATCCCACACAGCAGGTTCATAGCGGCAGACCTGTGGGACGACAGTGCGCCAGAAATCAACATCCAATCCCCCGCCGATGGAGGGGGCAGCATATTCGAAATAGTAAGCAAATGCACGTCGCTCTCGCCACACCTTATTGGTGTTTGGTGATAGTGATAATGGGTTGGCGATAACCGAGACTGTGGAAGAGGGTGGTGTGTCTTCAAAGTCACACTTGCGACCTGTACTGGTACATCGAACACAGCTGGGCTTTTCTTCTCCGCACTTGACTCGTCGAATTCTACGACATGCTCAATATCAAACTCTGCCTATGGAAAAGAAACACTTACTTGCAAGTTTTGCATCCTAGCCTTGACCTCGGGAGGACCCTTGAGCGACCATTTGAACGGTCCAAACGAGCGGGCATGTTGATTGCATTCTAGATTTGGCTTGCGCCCAGATACCTCAGCGGGGCAAACACAAAATCATCAAGTGGCTAGAAGTCCCTCGTCGACCCGCCGGGGCCCGTATCTGATGACTAATTATTTGGTTAGTCAGCTCTCCTGTTCCTTCCAAGGTTGGAAGGTTGCCCGGGCGGGCCTGGCCCGGGGGCGCCAAGTCGGAGGGATGTAACAAGCCAACTCTTTACTAGTAGTAGTAGTAGTAGTAGTAATAGTAACAGATGGATTTGAGATTAAGATAGGCTTATTAATATAATACCTAGATGGGGAGAAGAAAATGAAATGGAAAGACAGTTTGGTTTAAAAGAGGTAAATGGTCCTCAGCAGCGAAAGGTCTCAAACAATATGGAATCCCGTGGCAAAAATCCTAGCCTAGCCCAAAAAGGCAGGGTAGGGTGTTTATAATACCCGGGAAGTGCCAGATTTAGATGTCAGACAAACTGGCCGTCACGGTGAGCCCATAAGCATTGGGAAGAGAATCATGTCCAGCCGTGCTAGAAGGCTCGGTGCCCAGAAGCTCTCGCGAGATATGAGATATACACCAGCTGGGGACATGGGAGGAGTGACTGCCTCCCTTGAGCTAGATCCATATTTCGGACATAGATAACATATTACAATCATGAAATCGCCAGATCGCTCAAGTTGTAACAGCTATGCATAGGAATGCAATTTCATTCTCGCCTCCTTACTGGGGACGGTATCGTATTCCAAGGTAATGTTGGAAGGGGCGTTCCTAGGAATAGATGCTGCGTTCCTGGGAATAGATGCTGTGTTCCTGGAATAGATGCCACGTTCCTGGAATAGATGCCACGTTCCTAGGAATAGATGCTACGTCTTGTATCTAGAGTCAACTATAGTTGTTCTTAATATTGATAGTTCATCTGAAACACTATCCACCTCTATGTATACGTGAGACCCTGTCAGCGTTCCTGGAAATAGACTGGGATCTATGAAACCACATGCCAATCGATCGAGCGATTGATTCATAGTTTGTCCCAACCTTTTGGAAACATTCCCAGCCACACTCGGACAACAGCAAGACTATCGTTTTATGGGTCTGGCTCCATGACCGTGTGTATAATAAGTAAGCACGTGGAACTGAACAAGGATGGGAATTATAGATGATGAGAATTCGTGAAGCCTCAGGCAGCAAGACTACTGGAAGGACCAGGACCGTGGTTTTCAGGACCGTGGTTTTGAATGAGCTTGTTCTAAACCGCGAACTTGAAAGTATCCTTGAACCCCAAGTAGACCCTCGGCCACACGATAGTGGGGAACTTGTGGTTCTCCGGAAGGCTGATTGGACACGGGTATTTGGCGGTTTGAAATTGCGACCCCTCGAGCCTTCTGATTCAGAGTCCCTACTCTCTAGTGCGTCCCTACTCCAGAAAGACCGCTTCTCAATAATGTAAAAAGGGAAACATTAAATAGCCTGTTGATATTATGAACCTAGACATGCTCATAAGCATAGACAACATACAATACTTCAATTGACAGAACACCTGCAAGCCTCCCAATTAATCGGTATCAATGTCCGATCCCATTTCTTCTTTGGTGTAGTATTTCCGTTCAGTGCTGAGGCGATGAACCTCTTCTGCATGCCTGCGAAGATGCATCTCATGTAGTAGATCTTCGTCATATATATGACACCTTCGATCCTGTAAGTGCTTCTCTCGAAAGTGTCGTAGAGTCGACTTATATTCGCTATATTTCTACGTGCGGCGATGAATAGGAAGTTCGGTGTCGCCATAACATTGAAAACATCGGCGGGGCTTCTTAGCCTTTTTGATATAATTTTTGGCTTTTATAAGAAGAATATCCTACTGCGAAGGCTCCGGAGAGCTGTAACTCTTCTTAGCTAGCTCTAGTAACACGCTAGTCTCTTCTTTATCGAACCTATCACTTGGTGCAGCCCGTTTACGTCGCCTACGTAATAGCCTACCTTTAAGGAAACCATAGTATCGGGAGATCGTAGCCACGGTAGCGTTCCTTCTTTACCACTCCGCCTCTAGGGATTAAGAGGTAGGCTATATAAATAATTTCTTAAGAAGATTAATCTACTCCGGTAGCATCTAGTCTTCTACTTAAAGTACCTTCTTCGCCTCTTTATCATTAATAGCAGCCCCTAAGAGCTATCGCTCAATATCTATAATAGTCTATTTACGGTCGAACTTATAGCGCACCTTCCGTCTTAGTGCTCTTTCTAACCGGCCGAATATATTAGAGGTTTCGCGTGTCAATTTCTCTAATCGCGATTATATCGCTACACTAGGATCGTATTTACACTCCTCGGCTTACTCCTTTATTCGCCGAGTGGCCTTAATATATTCTAGATATTCGCGAAGGGACGCTTATTACTCCGAAGTGAGGTGTCGAGGGCGTCTCTTATCAATCCACCTACTTATCTAGGTGATAGCGCGCATTAGAGACTTATTAGATTCGCGGCCGTTTATAACGTTCTATATATCGGTATCGATATATCGTGGAAGATAATGATTTAAGAAAGTGCGAGTGTTAGCGTGTTTTATAATCAGATTTTGCTATGCTTCGCTGACCGCGCTACTTTCGTTTAATATCTTTCCCCCTCTATAGCGAAAATGATAGGCGAATATTAACTAAAGGAGGCCGTGGATCTCCCCTAGATTTCTTAGACGCCTAGATATAGCGCTATCGGTTATCGGCTAGTTCTATTAAAGAACCGTATATCTATTAATTACGTCTGTCTTATAGAAGATATAATAGCCTTCGACTTCGCGCTTTAAGGGTAGTTCTATCTATTGTCGGCCACCTTAAACGAATAGCTTTCGAAGGCGCTCTATAGAGGAAAGCGTAGGGACTTTGAAGGCTTGGAGCTAAAGAAGTATACCGAATATAAATGTATGAGGGCTGAAAATAAGCGACGGATCGTTAATGATTTTAGGGAAAGGAAAATTGTTACTGAGAAGTAGTGTTAATATTAGGATCATTATTATATGGGTTTAACGTATAATATATACATTTGGGAAGTTCCGAGGAATCGCTTTCTATTGCGTAGGTCTGAATAAATGCTCACTTATCCTAGCGCTTTTCTATTCGTCGACCCCTAACCTTGGTTTGTTCTGAGCGCCTATACTCAAGTGGTACGTTTGTAATATCCTCGTCTGTGTCGTCATTAGGGTTATCGCTGAAATCGGGCAGAACACTAGCGTCCGCTAGGCGACGTATAGGTCGTTTTGGATGGGTGGAAGGCCTACTACGATTATTAGGAAGATAGGTGGGTTCCGGAGTTGTTAGCTCGGTTGAATTTGAGGCTTCCCTAGAATCGGAGTTATCGGTCGCATCGATATTAGGCTGGAAAGACACCCCGGAAGTGTCACTATCGGTCGTAGAGGATAGATCTATAACGTCGCTTATGCTGCGTCTGGGGAAACTCTAGGAGGTTATAGGGGTTAGATGGTAGGAAAGAAAAACTAAAGATGAAAGGTAAGAAAGTAAAGAGATAAAAAGGTTGTATTTAGTTAATTGAAGTATATTCAATATAAAGAAGATATTAACCGTGTTTTAAAAAGATTATTATCTCGGTGGTTATAGTCTTATTTATCTCTTTTGAAAATAGATCTAGATAGATCTAATTAAATGTGTTATCGTCATAATGATAGATTTAAAATGCATTGTATAGTTATATTATTAAATCATATGTAATGTTGCATTTTAATAAATTCATATATGGTTTATATTTATTAAATCATTATTTGTAATGTTGCATTTTAATAAATGCATTGTATGGTTATATTGTAATGTTGCATAATGCATTGTATGTTCACATTATATTTTACATTGTATGGTTATATTATTAAATCATTATTTGTAATGTTGCAGTTTTAAACTAAAATGCATTGTATAGTTTAAATCACTTACATGTTATATTAAAAGGATTATAATAGTAGAAGTATTAACTTTTAAATATGATAGTGCTTAGTCTTATTACTATCTATATAGCCTTAAATAGAGATAGGTTAATTTCACTACCGCCTATCTTAATGCTTCGAGAGATAACGCTAAAGTTGTCTATATAAGGTAACCCACTAGCTTCGAGTACTCTAATGTTAAAGGAAATTCTAATTAGTGGGTATATATACTAAACTAGGCGTTATTCGGTCTTCGAGACTCTATATATTTATAGAATAAAGATATATATTATAAGCTACGATAGATCGGTTTCCACCCGCTTAAAGATAACCCCTATATCTATATTAAAGGTAAGGGCTCCTAGATGACTATTATAATAATCTATATTAACGATTTTATTATTACTACTCCCACTAACGCTAAGATTGAGAAAGTGGTTAAATAACTACGTTAATTCTACGATATAAAAGACCTTAGTGAGCCGAAGTAGTATCTTAACTATACTCTCTATCGTGACTATACTAATAAGACGATCACTATAACTTAGTTAGTATACGTGTAGAAAGTGCTATATATAGTAGACGTGGTAGGCTTTAAAGATACTCCCTTACCTCCTAGCTAGAGAGAGGATAATACTAACGCTTCTACCGTACTCGACGACGATAGCTATAACCACTACTAAAAAGTGGTTAGTATACTAAACTAGCTAGCTATTAAAATAAGACTAGATATCCGATTTACCGTTACTAGACTATAGTATAGGCTCGCTACACTAATAATTCACGATATAGAAGTAATATAACACGTTGTTAAATACCTATAGGGAAATAAACACGGCCTTATCTTTAGACGATCAGATAAATTATAGTTCTTAATATACGCTAATACCTTATATACTAACTAGTAAGATAGTAAGTCGACCGAGGGAGTGGTATAGTTCTTTATAGGATCACTAGTTACTTAGTCCACTAAGAAGTAATCAATTACTATAAACTTAACCACTATTATAGAGTGGTGTGCTCTTAATCAACTATCCTAAGATACTATATAGCTAAACAAAATAGCCGACTCTCTATAACTACCGAGGCTAGATACTACCACGATCTATACTAATAATATCAATTTATAACTACTTCTATTAAAGAAGGGTGGTAAATCGGCTAATCGCTAGTTGATATTAAGATACTTCTTCGTAAGAGACGCTATCGCCTAAGGCTATATTAATATTCACCGAGTTGATACTAAGAAAAATATAGCTAACGGTTTCACTAAAGCACTTATAAAAGAGTAGTTTAAAGCCTTTATTAAGCTACTTAGAATAATCTAATTCGATAAAGAAAAATGGAGTTTTTATAGTATAAACCAGAATTGATTCTCGCTTATTTTTTGATGGACTAGATTAGGATCTGTAAGGGGGATGTTAGGTGCCTAATTCTGCCTTAGGTAGTAGTCCCTATATAGGACAGATCCCGATAGTAGTAGATAGTAGATAGCTCTCTCTCTCTCTCTCTCTCTTCTTCCTTTCCGTCCCTTTTACTCCTAGTTGAATCTACCGTTCTATTTCTCTATCTCTGGATCATCACATCGTAGATTCTCTATTAGTAATATTATACTTCGAGAAGTACTTTGCTCCTTAAATTCGGTCCTAAATTTTATAGATTAAAGGTAGTGGGTGTCGATCTTTAATAGTAATCGAATTTAAATATCGATAATCTATATAAAGTCGAAGACTCCTATCTTTCTTTAGTACGAAGATGATCGGGTATCCCGCCGGTGACTTAGAGGCGCGGATATAACCTTTCTATAGGTTTTTATCGATATAATCCTTAAGTGCTCCGGATTCTTTTTAAGATAGTTAATAGATAGGTTTAAAAGTAGGTTCTATACCCTCTATTATATTAATCTCGTGATTAAAGATTCCGTGTTCTAGTAGCACTCTATCGGCCGGTGCTATAAAGATATCCCTAAACTCTTAGTATTCGTCTGGAATCTAAGGTTTATCGCTAGTTATATATAGCTTTTTATATTTAATAATTATATACTCCGCTAACTCGTGGTCGGATATATCTAGTGACTATTCTATCGTGTCTAGGGTAACGCCTATAGCTAATACCCTAGCCCTTTTCTTATAGGACTAGTTATTACTACTATTATTTTATTAGGCAGACTTCTTCTAACGCGTTTTATAATCGTCGTATTATTTCGTATACTCGTATCTACTAAATAAGATACGTCCTATTTACTAATCGATACTCGGGTTATACTTCCTAAGCTATAGAATACCTAAAACGAGGTTATAGTCTCCCATTTCTAAGATATTAAACTTAATTAATTCTAGGTGTCTATAGATAGATATAGGTAGGGTGATAGTTTCTTCGCTAACTCCTCTAGAGAGGACTTCTCTATCGAGTCCTAAAACTAGTATCACTTATAATAACTTTCTAGTTAATACTTATCGGTTTTCCTAGAATCTTAGGTTTATAAAGTTATTAGTGGCACCTAAGTCGATAAGGGTCCACGCCTTCCCTATAGGTAGAATTACGAATAGTTTGATATAAGTTCCTAATAAGGTTACGGCTAACTACGTCGTTAGACGATTCTCATAATTATATAGTTATCTTCCGTTATACTAAATCCCTTAGTACTCTTATTTCTATTATAGCTTCTTTATCCACTATAGTGGTCTTAGTTCGATACCGTAATCTAACTTTACTAACCTATAGGTTATATACGTTTCGTCGTAGTATATAATACTAGCTATTCTACTATATCCTAGGTATCGTGTATATCCTTTATACGTGTAAGTGGAATCTTCGTAAGGGTATCTTATTAGGTCGTCGCCTTCCTTAATTACTATAATAAGGTGCTAGTCTAACCTACTAGTCTAAATCTTATCCTAGAGATAATTAATAAGCTTATCGGCTTCTTTATCGTTACTTAGTTAACGATAGTTCCTAGGACTTTCTAGTGGTGTCTCTAGGATCACTTATTATTTTTAAGAGTTATTAGACTATCCTAGGGAATAGTTTAGTTCCTAGGGAATATACTAGGTCCACCCTTAACTCTCTATAGTATCCTAGTTAATCTCTAGATAATCGATATATTGCTTATTAGCTAACCCTTTAATATATAGGTTACCCGCTATTATCTCTTCTAGGCTTATATCTTCTAATTTTACTAAGAGATCTTCTAAGGTTTCCTTTCTTAGGTAGTCCTTTCTAGATTGTTAAGTCGCACGTAGTTCTTCGTATATCGCTCGTATATATTACCGTTTCTTATACGGTTTCTTCTATTTATATTCCCTTATATAGTGTCCTAGTTTCCTATATATAAAGTAGAGGTTCTTCTTATAACGCTCATTTTACTCGTCTTAAGTGGCGTCTAACTCTATTAGCTTTAGGCTATATAGGTCGCTATCTCGTGGTAGTGCCCTATCGCGGCGCCTATAACTAAATCGGTTAAAGCTATATATCTTACCGCGCTTCTACTAATCTATTTCTCGTTGTTCGTACTTTCGTTCGTTAATACGGTTGTCGATCTTAACCGCGATCTTAATAAGTTTATCTAGGGTATCTAGCCTATCGATCCTAGCTAGTTCCTCCTTAACGTTAGGTTTAAGTCCTACCTCGAAGTATAGGATATACGCTCGATCGGGTAGATCTAGATACGAAATGATTTACTAGAACTCGGAGGTGTATATCGATACGCTAGTTTATTATCTGATTTTCTATAACTTACGTTTAGCCGTTCTTACTATATCGATATCTCCGAATATTCGCTTAAGGTGCTTACGGAAGTTATAGTATCCTCCGAAGACTTCGGTAGTAGTGGTTAACCACTCGTTAGTTTCCTTCTCGTAGTAATCTCGAATGTATAGTTTAAACTAGCTCTATACCTAGCTATATAAGTAGGTTAATATAAAGATCACCTTACTAGCTTCGGTAGGTAGCTTAGTTTGATTTATATCGAGGTGTATATCTATCTAAGTGAGGAATCCTCGAAGCTTAGTTCGGTTTCCCTCGAAATATTTAGCCTTAGTGTAACGGATAAAAGATCCTTACAACTGGAATACCCAGAGCGGGCCATATCAATGATCTATCAATAGATCGACATCGATTCGATGTCGATCCGAGAGGGGTTCGTCAGGTGATATCAATGTCAGCACTATCATGTTGGTTTCCCTATAGTCAAGGACCCCCAAAGGATCCTTTGCATTCTGGCAAGAATTAGTCTTGGCACACTCTACAATACATTGTGTTCCCCTCTCAGTCATAGTATCTTACCCGGTTGACAGGCCTTACACCTAAAAACAGTATACCTTTACAATTCTAATTCTTCTTTTTCAACTGCCTAAGATATAATGGCTCCCTCTACTCGCCGCCACTCTCGAAGTAACACCGAAACCCCTAAGAATCCATCCTAGGTCGGTAACGAATTAGGAACCATTCCTCCGATCGAAGAAAATGAACGATCGAGTGTCTAATCCTAAAACTAAGATCTATAGATTATAGAACCGAATCTTGAAACGGTCACGGAAAATGCTAGACGTGTTAAGGAAACACTTAAAGCCCTTAAAGCTAAAGTAGCACTTTAATAAAGAATCATTGCTACCTAGGAACTTATTAAGGCAAACCGAGAAAAGATCGAAAGCTATAATAAAGAAAATATATCGTCTCGATCACGAAACACCTACGATTCCTTATCGGAAGGCGAATATAGCTAGAGAGGAGAGATTAAAAGATATATAGATAAGTTTAAAGAAGACTTCGGTATTAAATAGAGGGAAGACTAGTTGAATGACCTTAACGCTCTATTTAAGGGTGCCCTAAAGAAATACGTCTCTAGAATATAAAAGGTCCTCGCCGCTATAAATTACCTTTATACTACCTATAAGAGTAAATAGGTGTCTTACGAGTAAAAACACCCCGAAGACGCTAGCAATTAGGGAACATTTAAGGAATAGACGAAAACACTACTTTAAAACTCCTATAATATCGTTACCGATACCCTTATTCTCTTCTAATAAGCCGAAATACGTCCTTACTAGGACCCTCGTACCTTCGAAACCTACCTCGAATCACTAGAGAATCACCTTCTAAAATAAACCGAAGAATAGAGGGCCTAAACCCTATTTATAAAACTCTAGAAACCATTAAGAGATATAATAATCACTATAAATAATGGCACCCTACTAGAGATAAGGGATAAAATGTCAAAATTAGTAGCCACCCTTTTCCACATACATTTCGCACCTTTTAAAAGAAAGAACCACTCCTATCAAAATCAAGATAGACGAAAAAGGATCGATTCGGCATCGAACTAACACCAATCCGGTATCTTAACGATAACGACTACTATATTCCGTGGAGGATGTGGAGGTTTTAGAGGAAGGGGCAACCAAAGAGGAAGAGGCTAAACTAGAGGTAGAGGCCGAGGTCGCGGGGGATTTAATAACTAAGGAAGACCTCACGCCTCTAGAGTGAATATAATATCCACTAAAGGAAGAGGAAACCACACCGATTTAACACCGAATAGAGCCTATTTCCTCTACGGAAACAAAAACCATTAGGTAAAAGAATGCCCCTAGAAAGCAACGATTCAATCGTTAATATAATCAGTTCGTTCAACCTAGCCACGACGATCGGGAAAAGTAAAGGAGCTAGAGTGAATCCCGACACCCTAGCTTAATACCCGCTAATTAGGACCGTAGTGCGGCTTTATATACCGATTACCCTATAGAACGGTGACGAAACGCACGCGGATCTAGACACTAGCGCGGAATGCGATGTTATTAGTAAGGAATTCGCTTATAAGAATAAATTACTCGCTACTCCATTTTTATCTCCTTCACTAAAGGGTGTCTCCCCTAAACGACTCTATACTTATGGTATATTCTAGGTCTTATTTATAATAAGAGATTCTAGAGGGACTAAGAAAATTATAAAAAGACCCTATATAGGTATTAAGAGGGACCCCCGCCTAGAAGGAAGCCCTATACTTCTATCTCGCACCTTTATCAATGAATTCGACGTTATCCTACGTCTAAGTGTGGACAAATGGTGGTTCGGAGTCAAAGACTTTGAACTAATAAAACCCTACCGATTCGCTAAAGTATCGCGGAACGCGGCTATTATCTACGCCCTAGTAAAAATGCTAGAAGAAGTATAGCTACTAGATAAAAATAGGGACTATTTATACCTAGATTCTTCTTAGATCCCTCCCAAACTAGAGGCGTATCGCGATATATTCGACTATAAAAAGGTAGGGACTCTCCCTAGGATAAAAACCTTAGACTATACAATTGAATTAGAGGAAGGAAAAGCCCCTCTATATGGTCTAATTTACCCCCTCTCCTAAATAGAACTTAAAGAGCTATAGGCCTACTTAGTAGATAATATTAAGAAAAAGAGGATCCGACCTTCGAAAAGCCCTACTAGCGCACTAATTCTCTTTATTCTAAAGAAGGATAGTGGCTTACGCCTCTATATAGACTACTAAGGACTTAACCGCGTTTCGGTTAAGAATCGCTACCCATTACCCCTTATTTCGGAAATCCTAGACCGACTTTCTAGAGTAAAATGCTTTAGTAAGGTTGATATTAAAGATACCTACTATCGTATCTATATACGAGAGGGTGATAAATAGAAGACAGCTTTTCGTATAAGGTATAGCCATTTTAAATATATGGTTATACCTTTTAGACTATTAAATACACCTGCCACTTTCTAGAGCTATATCTATATAGCGCTAGGTGGACTAGTCGATATCGTTTGTGTGGCGTATCTTAACGATATCTTGGTTTTTACGCTAGATCGAGAATCATATATAAAGGCATTATATTAGGTTTTCGAATGCCTAAGAAAAGCAGAACTTTACGTCAAACCTTTAAAATACACCTTCTACTAGAAGGAGGTTAAATTCCTAGGATTTATCGTTAATAGTAACGGTGTAAAAATGGACGAAAGCTGGGTCCGAGTTATCTAAGAATAGGAGGAGCCTCGAAGCTACCACGACGTATAAGTGTTTCTAGGATTCTACAATTTCTATAGGCGCTTTATTAAGGGGTATTTATATATTTCCTTACCCCTTACCTTAATACTAAAAGGAAGCAAAAATGGGAAAAAACTAGGCTAGGTCAAACTTAACGGCGCCGAGTCGATAGCGTTCCGACGCCTTAAAGAAGCCTTTTAGTCAGCGTCTCTCTTACACTATTTTAACCCCGAATAACTAATTAGGTTAGAAACCGATACTTCAAATAAAGGAATGGGAGGAGTTCTCTCCTAACTAGATTTAGAAGGACGATAGCACCCTATCGCTTTCTAGTCAAGGAAATTCTCCGGAGTAGAGTTGAACTATATAATACCGGATCAAGAGCTATTCGCTATCGTACACTTATTTTAATAATGGAGACACTATCTTAATAGTAGTAAGTATACTATAGAGGTATTATCTGACCACGTAAATTTATATATATTTATGACCTAGTAGAAACTTAATAGGAGATAAGCACGTTAGTATATATTTCTAACGCCTTTTAACTTTATTATAAAGTATAGGCTAGGAAAGATAAATCCCGTAGATAGACTATCTAGAATTCTAAATTCCGAGTAAGTAGCTTTAGGAATGGAATTAATGACCCCGATTTAGGACCGAATCGAGGGCGTAGAGCTCCCAATCTAAAACCGGACCGAGGATACTATAACCCTTATAATCTAAGAGATTATAGGGATAAAAGATCTAGATGTAGATCCTAAGTATGATTTAGGGGAATATAACTCAAAATTCTAATTTAGATTTAACGTAATAGCTATATAGGAAATTCCTAGATCTAGTGCACCTATAGGTACGAATATAGAGCGTATTAGTATAGAATTAGATGATTGGTCTGAATAGAGAAAACTATACGACGAACTAAATATACTATTCGACGTTAAGGATACTACTATAGTAGTCATCTAGTCTATTAGTATAGACACTAAAGATATACTCTAATAGGTTAATAGGCTCTAATAGAGAGACTAGGAGACAATCCGCCGAAAAGGTGACGTTTCGACCTAGAAACCTAGTAGTAAAGGTTGGGAAACGGACGCCTCTAGATTACTATAGTACCGAGGACGTATATATATACCTAAGAAAGAAGGTATCTATATAAAGCTTTTAAAAATGCACTATAATGATCCTACCGTAGGCCATTTCGGCCGCGTAAGGATAGAGGAGTTACTAAAACGTGACTACCACTAGGTGAATATATAAGAAGACGTGAAAAACTACGTTAAATCTTATAGAATCTATCAAACCATATAGACGCTAAGGCATCGCCCCTTTAGTAAGCTCGAATCGCTACCGATTCTATCCCGACCCTTTACGGAACTATTAATGGATTTTATTATAGGATTGCCTTAATCGATCTAGAAAGGAAAGATAGTTGATACCATCTTGGTGGTCGTGGACCGTTTCTCGAAATAGTGCCTTTTCTTCCTAGTTTTAACCACGATAGACGCGTCGGAATTAGCCGAGCTATTCCACAACGATATTAAACTAAGATTTAGACCACTAAATGGTATTATATCTGACCGGGGATCTATTTTTATAAGTAGGTTTTGGTCAAAACTATATTATCTATCTAAGGTAAAACTACGCTATTTAACGGCGTTTCATCCTTAAACCGATGGCTAAACGGAACGGATAAACCAGATATTAAAACACTACCTTCGGTGTTTTATTAACGAGCAATAAAAAATATGGCCTTCGCTACTCCGTTCTACCAAATATGCTTATAATAATGCTATAAGTGTAATAACTAGAATGTCCCTATTTTAGGCCCTCCTAGGTTTCAATCCTAATTTTCAAATACGCACTAAGGACGGTGGTGTGGAAAGGGAGGCACTAGTAGCACTACATAGATTTGAAAAGCTAAATAAGCTTCATGAAAAGCTATAGACTTTATAGCGAAAAGCCACTAAATCATAGGCGAATCATTATAACAAACGTCACTAGGAAAAAATATTCAAAAAGAACGATCTTATAGCCCTATCAATAAAGAACCTAAGGTTGAAAGAAGGGACTATAAAGAAGTTATCTCCACGATAGATCGGACCATTTAGAATCCTAGAATATATAGGGAAATAGGCGTATCGCCTCCGACTCCCCGACTAATATATAGCGATTCATAATATATTCCCTATCTCCCTCCTCTAACTATAGGAATAAAGGAAGGGTGAACCATAATAGTTACCCTTATTAGAGCTCGCAGATAATGATAAATAGGAAGTGGAAGAAATTAAAAATGACTAAGTGTTTAAAGATAAACTCCACTACCTAGTGAAATAGTGGGGATGGCCTTTAGAATATAACCAATAGGTCCTAGAAAGCGTAATGGTAAATACCCTAAAAATCATTACGAAATACCGAAGAACTTAAGAGAAATCACGATGATATTAAAGGCCACCGAATCTATAACGGATCGGCACCGAGTAAAAAGAACTACGATAATAGATTAAAACCGCCTTACCACGGTATAACCATAATAAAAATCGAAAAAGAAAAAGAATATAACCTAGGGGCTCCGAACTAGTAACGAATCGGTATCGGGAAGACGGAGTTATAGCACCTAATCGAAGGGGAAGTAGCTTAGATAAATACGTAGAGCAGACTGGAGTATAGGGTCGGTAATAAGCTCACCGATAGTAAGAATAATAGCATTCTTAAAACCTATAGCGGCCCCGTGCTAAGCGTGAACCGATTCCTTAGAGTTAACGAGTCGGCACCGATCCGATGCCTAAACGGCTAATATATCCCACTTATAGGAGGTAACACGGGTATTATATATAAGGTTCTAACGACGGGCGGACACCCACTAGGTGTAAGAATCGTGAATAGCCTAAAGGGACGCGAGAAACGTTAGCGGAATCCCATCGAATCGATACCGGACTAATAGTAACTCACCCGCTTAATACGCGTTCTAGTAAGGAAGTGATAATGTCTATAATTCTTCACTAGGTTATCGAAGCTGGCGATAAGGTCACGAATCGCCGCTAAGACGCGTTCGATAAGCTTAAAACCTAGCGTGAACTCGATAGGGTCACCTTCTTTATCCTCCTCGTCTAACAATACACTATATTCCCCCTCACTAGTTAGCTAAAAGTGGCGTGCCTAAGTAAGAATCGATAGGAGCTTAAAACGGTTACCCTTAACACCCTTAGGAACCTAAAAAACCAAACGATATAAGCACGAATTATAGGCGGAACGGGATCGAATCGATATCGGGAACTTACTAACTCGTAAACCTTATATAGTCTGGCATAGTACGTATAGGACTTTAAGTTAGGAGTGTTAGAGATATAGTCTATAGTAAAGGGTATACGGAGGCCATCCGGCTTCGAGTCCCACTCGCGGTTTGTAAGACGTAGACAATATATACACTAGGTCTACGCACGAGTAATCGGGATCATTATTTGCTTCCGCCGGTTTCCTAGGGAACCTATAGTTCTAGTACTAGCTCTTCTTCTAGGCATCGCGTATTATTAACGTGGAGTCTATAAAACAATGTTAGTCCGACGTCGAATCGATAGCGGATCGATCGTCCACTTACCATATAAAATTAGAAAAGGAGTTATATAGGAGAGAAAATGAAATAGAGAAGAGCAATTCAAAAAGTAAACAAACCCGCGTGGAGACTAAGTGTGACTAGCAACCACGTAAAAGTGGAAAGTACGAACTATAATATAAGGAAACTACGAGTTATCTAAGTCAAAGTCGTACCTTCCAATTTTAATATTACCGCGATTCACTATATAAACACTATTAAACTAACGCCTCTCCGCCTTATAACTCGGGTAATAGAATAGGAAAAGAATCTTTAAAATCCTCGAGTAATTCTATAAGCGTGGAAACTATAGTAGGGCTATAAGTAGAGGTAGTAGCCGCCTACACCTTAAACAAAAGGTCATGTTTCGCTTAAGACCATTATGTATACCCCTTATCGCCGGCCTAAAGACGCTACCCCGATTTATAATAGTACCGTTTCCAGACCCTTACTAGAGACGAGACTAGGGGGCGAGGTAAAGGATTTAGGTATATCGCGCGTCGTCTATCCAAATACTTTCGATATCTAGATAAGACTTTCTTCGAAACGTCAGCGAATCGTAGTCGGAACTATATAGAATCGATATCACTTACCCTACTTATATCCTTTTTCGCACCTCCCAATTTATACGAAGACTTATACGCTTTATATATATACTCGAAATCCTTCACTATCTTAAGAGTCGTATTATTAACGGCCACTAAAAACTCTTCATCCTACGCAAAGTAACTATTATCATCTAAAAAGGTCCACACAACCTAATCCAGAAGCGATACCAAATCGTGAGCGTCTCCCTATATACCTTCGCTAGGGCGAGTATATAAGTCCTTATAAGACACATATTGTTAGCATCGCTTTAACCCTTCCTTATTAAGGAAGCACTAAATCTCGAACGGTTCGCTACCGCCAATATTGAAAGCCGCGATAGACGACCTCAAGCATTTTATACACCAAGTGTTTTTAAGTTAAACACGTCTTATCCGGATAGTGGGAACCATAGTGGATTGAAATGGAAATTCCATATAGAGTTTTCTAGGGTCTATATAGATCTATTCAATAAAGGAAGGATGAAACGTCATTCTTTAATATTGAAAGGTGGTTATTCTAATTTTGTTCTCTTTGATCGCAATCGCCACTATTTCACCTTTACTTTATAAATGGTTCTATTTCTATATACGGATGAGGACATCCTCTTTATGAGAGAGAGGATAATTGTAACGGATAAAAGATCCTTACAACTAGAATACCCAGAGCGGGCCATATCAATGATCTATCAATAGATCGACATCGAATCGATGTCGATCCGAGAGGGGTTCGTCAGGTGATATCAATGTCAGCACTATCATGTTGGTTTCCCTATAGTCAAGGACCCCCAAAGGATCCTTTGCATTCTAGCAAGAATTAGTCTTGGCACACTCTACAATACATTGTGTTCCCCTCTCAGTCATAGTATCTTACCCGGTTGACAGGCCTTACACCTGAAAACAGTATACCTTTACACGGTATTACTTCGAGAGTGATAGCGAGTAGAGGGAGCTATTATATCTTAGGTAGTTAAAAAAGAAGAATTAGAATTATAAGGGTATACTATTTTTAGGTACAAGTAGACTTCGGCAGAACCCATTTTGGGTCGGAGCATCCGACCCAAAACCCAACCCATTGGGTTTTGGGTTCCGCCTTTCATAACCCAACCCAACCCAAAACCCAATAACCCAATAATAACCCATTTGAACCCATTTCTGCATAAAATACATGTCTTAGCGTTCATAAAGATGCTAACTCAGCAGAATAGGATACTATTATTTACAATTGTTTTGGTTTTTTAATTAAATAACTTCATTTCTTCGATTAATCCCTTTAAAATTATAGTTTCTAAGCTTAGAATAATTATAGATTAGCCTGGTTCTACATTTTTTATATAGAGAAATAATATTTTTAGGGTAATATAGTGATATTAATATAGGTAAGTTGATCTAGATATAGAAATATATATTTGACGTAGTTAATTGTAAGTGTATAATCTTAGTGAAATATTATATTTATAGTTTATATATATAAAAAGAGTTAAGACTAGTATTCGATGATATCTACTAAGGCCTCTAATACTTTATAAGTTTTCTATTAGAGAATCGACGCCTCGAGGTAAAGTATTTTTAAGGGATCTTCGGGAGGAATAGGTTAGGAATAGGTTATAAATGGGTTATAAATAGGTTATAAATAGGTTATAAATAGGTTATAAATAGGTTATAAATAGGTTATAAATAGGTTCTATTAGGTTTCGATAGATTATAATGGGTTATAAATAGGTTCTATTAGGTTCTATTAGGTCGGACCTATTTAAATAGGGCCTAAGTAGCCAATCATATAATATAATAGGATATTCCTTTTAATCTATCTACTTTACTATAGGACTTAGGTATTTATCGTTTATATCCCCTTCTCTTATAAGTACGTACTCTCTCTACTTCTCCCCCTTATATTTATACTATTCCCTTTTACGGTCGTAATATCCTAAAGCTAGTATTCTGACTTTCTACCTACTCTTTACGATAGGGATATAGATAACCTTAGCTATCTTATACCCTCTTCTTAAGTTCTAACCCTACCTAGTAGCTAGCTCACGATTAAGCCTTTTAATACTATTAATACTAACTTCCTTCAGCCCTCTAACCTTCTACTAATCCCACCCTCACTTACCCACGTTAGCCCTAATCGGAGAAAGGCATATATATGGGTTACCTAATAGGTTTTGGGTTATTAGCTATAACCCAAAACCCATCGTTGGGTCGACGTAATGGACCTAAAACCCATTTTGGGTTGGGTTGGGTTGGGTTGGGTCCGGGTTAGAGTGGGTTGTGCCGAAGTCTAGGTACAAGGCCTATCAACCGGGTAAGATACTATAACTAAGAGGGGAATATAATATAACATTACTAACATTGACATCACCTAATAAACCCCTCTCGGATCGACATCGAATCGATATCGATCTATTGATAGATCACTTGTATGGCCCGCTCTGATGTTCCAGTTGTAAGGATCTTTATCCGTTACAATAAGTTTCGTCAATCAATAGATGCGTCAAAAAAAGCTATCAAAGCCCACTAAACTGTTAACCTGCTAGCTGATTAACTATCGGAGCTACTAGTAATTGGAAGAACAGTGCGCAGCACCCTAGGAGAAACGCTAACCGCATTGCCATTCTCATCCAAGTTAAAGACAAACTCGTCAATTCCCACGTTGCCGTATCTCTGCGAATCAACAGTCACCCAGGTAATGCAGGATGAGGTGAATGGCCCAATTCCAGCCGGCAGCGTTAGCGGGATTACAGCCCGGAAGGAAATCTGTCCTGGACTCTCGAGTCCAGTCGGATACAGGCGGATGCTGAGCTGCGAGGGATTGGAGATGCCGTTCAGGGCCATGTAGCCTGGGAACATGTCAGTTCCGTTGTTGAACCAGCTCGTGACAACTAGAGCAGGTCCGTCGTCTGTGGTGATGGTGATCGAGGAGTTTCCGGTGCTCAGAGCGTATCTTCCTGCAAAACGCTCGTACGCTTGGTTCTTGGCAGCTTGTTCAAGTGCGGGGAGCATGCTTGCAGAAACGAGATCCGAGGCGAGGGCAATAGACACGTGGGTGTTGCTACCAGCCCCGAGGATTATAAAGCCAGCGCCGTGATCTGGGTCCAGAGCTAGCGCAGATGAGTATGTGCCGATGTCTCCTGACTTGGTGTAGAGATCAATCGGGCGCTCGTCGCCGAATGACAGGATCTCCCATGGCGCGCCAACAGCGTAACCCAGGGATGATGTGTGAGTGAGCGGTTTCATCCACCGTCTTGTGATTGACCGGGGAAGAAGAGTGCTGTTGAGAATGGCGCGACCAAAGATTGACATGTCCTTTGCGGATGAGTAGATTCCACCAGCACTAGAACTATGTAAATTTTCTATCTAGGATCGGTGGATGAGGTGAAGCTACTTACGGTGCCTCTTCGCCAATATTGAAATTCCACCAGTATTCGCCCTGCGAAATAGGGATAACACCGAGCGATGTGCTGGGCGTGTTATAGAATGTGTGAGTCAGATTCAGTGGCTTGATAAGATCCTTCTTTAATACTTTCTCGAAGTCTTTGCCAGCTATCGCCTCTAGGACATATCCAAGGATCTGAAAGCCAGCATTGGAGTAGATTGGTGTCGAGGATGTAGGGACAATAGGATGGGCCTGGAGTAACCCATTGAAGAACTCTTTTATCAGAAAATCTGTCAGCGGAATCGAAAAAATGTAAAACACGCTTATCAACATACGCTTTCTGCTGCAGGGATTCGGCACACCGCAGGGCGGAATCTGCGCCGGGGGCAGGGTAGGAAATCCTAATGACTCAAGCAAAGGAGCTTGCTCAGTGAGGTCAAGGATACCATCTAGAAATTGGCAGTTGAGTTGTCTCGCGCGCGCGTAGGGAGTCCAAGGGACACTCAACAAGAACTAAAGCAATACTCACAGTCTCTTGCTATACCAGCCAAGTAGCTCGCCAGCTCTCCAACCGTCACTTCATTCCACTTGGTAAAGTTGATCCCGTCACGTCTTTTGGTGGAATTCCGGAGAAGATCAACAACGGCCGCCTGAATTTCAGGAATGTACTTAGCAACCGGGTCTTGCAAGATATTGAAACCGTCTTCAATCAGAAGCAGAAGCATAGTGAAAATCTTGGAGGCGCTGCCAATGCGGAAAACCGTGTTCTCGTCAACCTCGCTCACGCCAATGGTGGTATTGATAGCCTCGGCCGTGTGGGACAAAGTAAGCAATGAACGGGAACTGCTTGTGTCAAATATCTGTAAAGACAGGGAATTTCCAGAGAAATTTCCAGCCCTGATAGCATCCTGAATAGTCGTGGTAATGTTCTGCAGCGCCGATTGGACCGTGGGATCGTCGGGGAGATGTGTTGGAGCAGGCCAGCTAGGTCCAAGGAGGGGACAGAGGTGGACAGCGTTTGTGAGGGCAGCGCAAAGCACCAGCAACAGCGGACAAAGTGTCATGGTGAGAGAAGCTATGTTGGTCAGGCCACAGTTGTCTGTTGTTCAGAGTAATGTGAATGAGATGATTGTCAAGCTCAATGGTGACCAGTCGTGATATTTATAGGGCGCGCCAATATGACAAGTCCATTAGCAGTTAGAATACTAAATCAAGCTTGATGCATGCGGAAGTCTACCTTAGAAATTCTATCTACCTAGCTGGATTGTGCACGGACTGAAAATAGGAAGCATACCAGCGCAGGCAGCCCCCTATCAATGGAGGCAGGCTTATACATTCTACTGTACCTAGAACCTTCATTTCATTCCCACGCCTTGGTAGAATGGCACCCGCCCTTGGATACACGCATGAAGTCAGGTGGATAAGCTTATTTGCTCTCCCGTAATGAACACGTAAGACCAACTTATTTTGCTTGATTGGTTCTAGGGCTAGTGACCTTGCTACACTGAATTAGCTAGCCCCGGCGCGACGGTTCGTCTCATACTATACGGGTGTTCTGTAGCACAGGATGTAGAACCCAAAGTGACGAGCATGGATCATACCTGCTGGCCTATGGTCATGAGTTCGTCTTCGCCGTAGAGTCTAAACCAAAGTATTAGGCTATTAGCCTTTTTCGAAAACTGAAGTACGAACTATTGTTGATCAGCTGCACATGCCTTGAAATATCGCGCAACAAAGAGAACGCACGTGTATCAGTTTTGGTCCTAGGTGAATGCGCTAGAATGCTGGCTTGATCAACTGTCCCTATCAGCCTTTCGATCGCCGCAGGTTGTTTAGATAACTGGGATTACTGTTCAGACTCGCCAGAGTTGCGGTCAAGAGCCAACGAAGGCTGTTGTCGCTACAACGATGTCCTTAAGACTCAAGATCTCAAAATCCAGTAGCACAGCGCTGTTGTGTTCAGATTGGGACCGGGTAGAAGTATTGTCGTTTTCCTCACCGAAGTCTGCGGCTGCGGCGCATCCAATAATGGAATTCCCAGGTATCTCAGGTGGGCGTGATTACTTTATGCATGTGAATTTTTCCCGGCGTCTGTGTACGGCACATAAGAAGCTGTGACTCGGACTATGTGTCATAGGCAAGCATCTAGACATGGGCCCTATGAACGATAAGCTAAGCAACCACATTCAATTCCCAGAAGATTAAAGGCGCAGAGGGTATTGGCAGGAATGAAAGACTTTTCTGACATTGATGGGGACCTGGGCACCGTGTGGTAACTACATCAAAGTCTTTTAGACATTAGTCACTTTAAGATCCGATGACGACATAGCAGAACTTAGAAGAACGGTCAGTGTAACAGTCGGGGTGATCCTGACCCAGCTTCTACCGAGACTTTTGTACTCCCACCCCTCTCCCACACAGGGTCCAACGGTCATATTGAGAGGGTTACACCGGGAAGCGGCCACTCGAGTCCTGGTTGCATGTGCACCACGCGTTCGCCAATTTGTAGTTGGCTAGTGGGCTACCCGCAATTTATGATGTACCAATCAAAGGACTGCGACCAGAATCACTATCCGATCACTTGCAAAACTGTTTGGTCTATCCCCTTGGGGTTATTGGAGTGCGGTGTACTCGATTTTAACCGGTCCCTATCATAAATTTAATATGGACCCTCGCTATGCGAGTGTCCTACGCAATATTTACAGCCTCACCTATTTAATTCGCCTAACATTCGCGTATATCGATATTTATTAGAAATGCTTGTGTGGCGATAAAAACGCGGCCTATTGTGCTCGCCCAGTACAATCAAAATCGATGCGTGATTTGTTACCAGCTTGGCGCACGTGATCTAGTCACGTGGCTCTAAGCCCCTCAAATGTAGCTAGAAGCACATAGTCTAATGAAGCACCTTCCTCCATCATAGCTTTCCGTACCAGTTTGGTAGCACGTCAAAGTTACGATTTCAGTGGGCCTCCCTGAGCCAGATCACAAATTTTCAACCCGGAATACCCTCCCAGCCAACCAGGAGGACCAGTTCCGAGGGCCTGCCAAGCCGGCATCTCTACGCCAGTGCAGGCCCTGGCCCATCACAGCCATCCAATCAAAATCATCCAATCAAAACTGAATCCGCATGGACCGTCAGGTCAACACCGCAATACGACTTGCCTATCAACTTGATAGCTATATACAAGCCGGCCACCTTCACGCCGACGAGTTTGACGCTGACACCCGAGCGAGGATCGCGCTCCTGCTGAGTCAGCATCCAAAACCCCACCTTCCTAAATCAGAAGACCCGTTCCCATCAGACTGGCCCATTGACAGGCCCGCTTTACATAAAGCAACCACAGCTTTTCTCAAGGCTGCAAGCTCTATTGTCATCGAGAGCACATCACTAGACACTGCTACAGACCCTAAGAGACCACTTGGCCCCAAAACCAGAGGCAGCTATCACAACATTGCATCAAAGCTCTTCCCCGCCAAACCCAAGTCTAGAAAGACAAGATCAAGCCTCATTAGGACTAGTCTCCCTCCTAACACCTTTGGGCGATAATACGCCTGACCCGGAGCCAACTAGCGTTGAGCCTTCTGAAACTCATCAACCAAACCCAACACACCCGGACCTAGCTAGCTTAACTAGCTTGGAACAAAAATCCGTTATCACACAGCCGGCTCAAAGCAGACGTCCCACGCTAACGCCTCAACCGCGCCCACAGCTCCTGAGGAGAGCACATTCACAGCCACTATCCATCAGACCGAAGCTCCGACTTGGCTTAAAGCCAAGCCTTAACAGGCAGCCAAGCCAATCATAACATCGGACAGCACTAGTACGACGGCTTTCGAACTAGGAGCAGCTCTAAGCAATGGCTTTAGGTTCAGGCTCGGGACATGCTAGTTCTTCCACCTCCGGCCACGACCCGGCACCGGACGGTTTCACGTTAGAATAGAGAAACGTGATGGCATATATAATACAGTAAGCGGTATCTAACGCCCTCGCTAGTTTACCTCTCTAAAACAACGGTGAGGGACCACGTGGACCTGCCGGACCCCCGGACCCCCGGACCAGCAGGCCTAAGCGGCGAACTAGCCACGCCAGACACAAGCTGGAAAGTATCAGACAGAAATCGGATGCTTTGACCCCGATCATAAGGCCACATCCAGCGTGAAATCCGTTAACCACGTCAATCATTACACCAACGTCTACTCCTAGATAGACCATATGAAAGACATCTCCAAGTTGAAATCCGAAGAAGTCGTGAGATCGTATATAAGCTACTCGCTGAAGAACAAAGCCACAAATTGGTATGACTCCGAACTTACTGACTTCGAAAAAGACGCCCTCCGCATCCTCCCACTGGAAGACGGATGGTACAAGTAGCTCACGCAACGTTGGAAGCCACCCCTAGCCGAAGCATTGCGCAGCATGGATATAACAAAGTACAGCTGGGACGACGTACGCTCCGGTAAGGAACCACGTGAATAAGCCTAACAAGTGATCCGCCACGCCAGAGCGGTAGGGCGAACTAACCTGTATAAGCAACTACTCAAAATCAGGGAAAACATCGAACTATCCCTCCGTGGCGTGGTGTTGAACCCGGATACCACTATAACGTTGGCCGCCTTCTTGAACACCTGGATCTTAAATTCCTTGACTGGCAAGACCAAGTGTTCCTTCGAGACCAACGTGTCTAAGCCCGTAAGTCACAAATCTAACCCAGGAACGCGCAGCAAAACGCCCAAAACTGGACATCCTATCAATTTAGGGCTAACCGGACCGTCTAGAGACCTAATTCTTAGTAGCAACCGTAACGTTAAGGGAACTTTCTAAACCAAGGAACCTAGGCTTACTAACGCCAGAACTGGTAGAACCAACGTCAAAATTGGCAAGGTCAACATCAGGCTTAAGGCAATTTCTAGAGTCAAAGCTAAGGAAGGCAACTTCTAAGAAATCAGCTACGCCTACCCCTGGTCGCAAATCAAAATCAAAACAACTAGTACGTTCTAGACTGCGACATCGCCCGTCCACGGTGGGTGGTGGGCTATTTGGATTTTCGAGTGCCCGTCTATAACGCCCACCGCCCACGGGCATGCCCATCGCGGGCATGCCCACTATGCCCACTATTGCATCAAGTCACCCAAAATGGACGTATAACTCGCTAACTTAATATAATAAATAACTGTTATTTACAGCTGTTTTGCCAACTCCATATAAAATCGCGGTTTTAATCTATAATATCTATAAATTTTATTAAAATATCTGAGTATATGAAAAACTATAATATATATGATACGACCTAGAATAAATTCCTTATCGAAATACACTATATTATATGGTATTTTTATTAACTTATTAAATCATACTATAATAGTTTGAAGATATATATTTAAGTTAGTGGTATATGCCTACTATTTTCTATAAGTAGAATTGCGATTTGCTGGCCCGCCGCCTGTTTCGGCCCCCCCTCCGTCGGGTTTAGCGCCCGTGGGGCCGCTGCCCGATCCGGGATCGCGTCCGTCCACTTGGGGTTTAGCCCGTCCGCAACGGGTTTGGCGCCCCACGCTAGCCCCGATCGGGATCTGCCGTCTCGTACCGCCCGTCTCGCGACGTCCGCCATCTATATAACCCGCGATGCGTCGCTCGACGGTGATTCTCTTCTTTCCCACACCCTTTCCCCCTTCCCCTTCTATTATGTTCCACCGTCGCCATTCCCTAGTCGGCTGACGTGGCCCCTATCAGCTAAAAAACCCTGGGTCCTGAGCATAGCCTGCTTCCCCACTCGCGGAAATTCGAACGGGTCGGTCGGTCTGGCCATGCGAGTCACCCGGATCGCCCTTGATTTCCCAGTTCTATATGGCTCAATACATTCTTCGTTTCATACTATACGCTATATAGGGTCGCTGTTTTAACCGGTATAGATAATATCCTCGGACTGCTTGATAACTGGACATTTGAAGAGCAATATAGGAGGACTACTAGCCGCTCTTTATCCTAGGCTTCGGTTCGCGAATGCCATATAGCGCGCCGTAGAACGGTCACCTTTGCTCTTTTAGCCGACCCCTGATTAAATAACCGGCAAGTCGCTCACTAGACCCGCTTCCGCTCTCTAGCCAACCGTAAAAATGCCTTAAGGAGCTCTGGCGCTAAGCTGAGATATCGCAATCATCCTAATAACATGAAATTGATGGCTTATATGATCGGCTTGATTGATCGGCGAATCCTAGGCTGCCGCTCGGATTGAGGGAGTTTTTCTTGCTAATCTCTTCCCAATCCTATCAATTGTCAGCTAAGGTGTCCTAGAGGGTGTAACGTTACACGGTGGGTACTACAAACCTAAGGCGCCCTTTAACGAGGCCGGTTGGCTAGATTCGCCCGGAGAACTCTCTAGTGATCGCCCGACGCAAGTAGCGAGTAGTATTAACGAGGTAGTGCTATTGTAGTTCTCGGTTGTATGGGGTCTGTAAGGCGATATACTATATGATTCCTTAGCTAGTAATGCCCTAGCGGCGCCTAGGTATTAAAAAGAATGACTGACCTCTTTTTCCCATTCTTTAGAAATCATTCAGAATGGACGTGGACACACCAGCCTAGTGACCGCTGCACTCTTATTTAAGCTTACTTCATTCTCTGTTGGTTTCTACCTCCGCTATATCTAGGCTATGTCTTACCACTTTCTGGGAAATGAGGGTAGATCTTGATCAAATCGAGTTCTACTATGGCCTAAGTCGCCCGCCGCTTTCTACTAGTGTAAAAAGCGTGCCCTCTAAGCACGCCCTAGCTTATATGCCACGATACCTCTAGCAGTCTTTTCCCACTGGGTTCGGCTTCTATCTAGGACCGTGTGAGGCACCCCTAGGATAGTCACCGCCACTAACCGGTATAACTTATAAGTGGAACATGTTTGACTTCGAGATCAATCATATCTATAGACCCACTCCGCCTGAAATGACGAAAGATGTCGAACCCCTAGTGATAACAGATATACCAGCTGCCTATGATATTCTGTTGGATCGTGGAAGTTCCGCGCTGGCTTTCTTAGAGCCAGTGCCATCGACAGACTCCGCGGGAACAATTCCGTGTCCTATAGGGCCAAATCACCTAGACCCTATTCCTCCTAATATGCGAGGAGATGATCTACCGGGTAAGTTGGCATAACACATTGAAAGTCGGCCATCATTCTCTCATTATCTAACTTCTTTTTATTATAGACGCTGTTCCTAATACTAAAAAAATGGAGACTTCTCAACTCTCGTGCACACCCTATGTGACCGCACCCGTGCCTACACCTGAACAAGCGAACTGTGTCTCTAGCAACCTATCTATGGTGGGTGATTTTCGGCAAGAATTAGCCAAGCGGAGGTTATCTACCATAGAGCCCTCAGATAGTGGGGACTACGAAAATGATTCGGAGCCGAGTCAGATATCTAACCTAGGTGAAGATCCATGCTTAAGGGCAAACAAGGCTTCGGGGCGGGCTAAAGATCCTAGCACTACTAAAGACACGTTAGCCATATCTAGCCCGTCCTCTCCGCCTCCGGATCGCTCTATATCAATATATTCTCGAGCTCGAACGACACTAAGTTCCAAACCCCTAATGCGCTACCCGTCGATAGCTATGATTATACCGTTAACGTCTTGGAAACAAGGAGCCGCCAGGATAAGCATAAGGGCCGCTACGGCAGTATATAAGAAGCGACTCCGCTCAGGTCGAGGCACCAGCATCCACTAAGACGGGAACACCACCTATGACATAGCACAGCCGTGTCAAAAGAGGAAGAAAAGGAGACCTTCAATCAGGCCACTTTCTAACCCTTCGGAATCTTCCGTTCCTATTTCATCTCATTGCTCTGGTGCTATCCAGGGTATACGTGGGAGTGCTATCCTCACGGTCGAATCTAATACTAGTCTGAAACCGGCATATTTCTTTACTTTCATACCCGATCCTAGCCCGATGCTATCTCGAGCCCACACGGCGGTTATCCTAGGGAAACACACATACACGTCGGACGAGAATGCGCTACTCGTGCGGCTGAAGGAAAAAGAGGCAATGTCATGGTCTGAGATTACGACTCACTTCCCAGGCCGAAATATGTCATCCCTTCAAGTCCACTATTCAACCAAATTACGCCACAAGGCCAGCTCTCGGTATGGAAAACCGAGGAGACGCGAATAAGAGAGGATATACTATCGGGATATTTCTTGGTTCGCGCCTGTCGACCTTTGACTGTATACAATATCCTCCGTAGCCATCTGTTTCAATACAAGCATTAAAGCCAACTTAGTGTACTCTGTAAAGAGAAGCCACGGGTTTCAACAGGTCTCAAACAAGAGAGGTGTCCTCAACGCGTTCTACCAAGCAGAGCACTTGCGCAACAGAAGGAGCCGAGAAGCCTATAAATACGTCCTCTACCCCCGGCAATTTGCTCTACATTTTATTCACTTGACTCTGCAAAATCGAGCAGGCTTGTGTCTGAGTCACCTGATAGGTTCTCCCCTTTGACCCAGAACCGAATTTCCACTGTGCTGACATTGATAGGATACATCGAGGATACAAGCCAGACAGTGCCTGCGAGAGATACAGGTATGATTCCCACCAGATGCACTGCCATTCACATCAGCCGGTTAAAGATACGAGTTTTGGATTAGCTGATCAAGGTGTCTATGCGCAGATGCCTCCGCCACAGCAGTCGACTAGCTGATCTACTGTACAGCCACTGTGTGTGCTCCCAAGAGATAGGCGAATATCCGCGTCGCAGGTATGTCAACAGCAATGTATGAAGAGATGGCCAGCTTGAATAACGAGAACTCTCGCCGCTGCTCTCTTCCGTGAGTCACCTTGCTATGATGCTTTGAATATCAAATGGTGCTAATATAGTTTAAGTTCTTTCAAATCAACCACCAGCATGGGAGCCTCCGATGTGGGCGAAGAGCGCCGACTGCCTCCTCTTCCCCAGATTTTGCCTCTTCCTTCTCCCGGTCCTTTCAACCCGTTCAACACAAAAGATGCCCTAATTCCCACCACCCCTAGACCTCAGGACACCTTCCAATTCAAGTCACCTTGGGCGGCTGCCAATCACATCGTCGCTCCCCCTTCACCAGCCAACCCGGCCGAAAGTTCCTGACAAGAGGGCTTTGCCATACAAAAGTCCGGTGCAAGAGACTGGCCCAATGACCTCTCTCAGAACGAAATCATGGCCCTTGTGGCCCCGCAAAAGCTCAACCGCAAAGCGTCGCAGGTATATGAATCTTAGCCTGGCCTGTCTCACTGATCCTGAAGATGATGCGATTTCAATAGAACCGAGTACATTCGAACAAATGCACGAGCGCAAGGACCACAGCTCTTTGCCGTCTCTTTGTCCCAAGACTTGGCTACCAGAAGATGTGAGTCATGGATTGTCTCCCCGATCTGCAAGCTAATGATTGACAGTGAACCATTAACATCGCACCAGAGGGCCCGAGAATACAGCACCCCGTTAGTGGCAAATACAAAGCCATGGCCTACACACTATTCTTGGCCCCGACGCTTCAAACCACGCAACATACCCTAGATGAAGAATATAAACCAGAGGAGCAGGCCAATAGCGGGTGCGAACATCCGAGTGCGAGCTTCGCTACATGGAAGCTTGAGACATCCATTCTTCCTTATAGTGTGAGTGACTTACCGCGTCCTCCGCTGCGCTACATCAGTTATTTGTGCAATTTCTTGTGCTCCAGAACATCAACACAATTGCTGATTTTCGTGCCGTTGTACATGAGGGCAGCCCATCGCCACCGTGAAACATCCCTGTTGGAAGTCCTATCGCCGGATCGGAGATAAGACTAGGTGGCACTACGACGCGTGCTCCATCGCGTCTTCGCCCTCACCGCCTTCACTCCATGAATGGCGGAGTGTCTGGCCGTCCGCATTGCGAAACATTCATCCATCACGACTATATGATTGCTTGTGCCTGGTGAGGTTGTCACGCCCTATGCTGCCCGAGAGAATGCGCGTTGCGCCACAGCCCGGCTTTTTGGAGCAACGGCCGGAGAGTGCGACGGACCAGAATACAACATGGCATGAATCGTGTGCGTTGTTTTGCCGAAGAGGATTGTAAGTGATCTGTTTGGCAAGTTCATATGACCACGAAGAATCAATGGATTGAAGACTTCCAAGGTGCTCAGATTGTGTGCTTACCCTGCATACCTGCATGTATAGTTTCTGGCCTGATTCCGTTAATAAGCTATATAGTACATATATGGCTGGGTCCCAGATAACACAGAACAGTTTTGTGCCCGCAACCTACCCCAAGCACGGAAGAAGATTGCTCGCATCCAGCAAACGGTCGATGCGAATGTCAACATATATATGCACCCACAATCTCCTGATCTCTGGTCTCGGGCAGAAAGAAATTTAGCAACTTCTGCAAAAAAACATAGTGGCTCTAGGGCCACTTTCACCGACGAGCACGTCTTATTCCAAATCATGCCAGGAAAAGCGTATGAGCAGGTGATCGTGTTCTTACAGCAAAACTTCGTTAGGGCAATGGAGGCGGCGAACTGCCCAATGACGAAAACCATAGTAGGAATTGGCGCAACCATTTCAAAGGGACAGTTTTATAGAAAGGAACCCGATTGGGGTATAAGGCCCATCGGAGAACTTCGGGTCATAGTTGTCATTACATTCCCATTGAGCAAATTGTAGATAGATCGGTTGGCTCTCAGTGGCCTATCAGTAGTTGCAGGTCTCCATATGTGATTGGAGACTAGTATGTCCGTAACAAGACGCTATCAATGAGCTTAACAGAATGAATTGCCATTCCATGAAAATAAATATTGCCAATGGATTAGATCTCGCAGACAGCAATGATATACTTCTAAGACTTCCGGCGTAATGAAGCGAGCCGTTCTTCTTCAACGTTCACTACGCTGCACTCGTCAATCATTATAGGTGGCCGTACATAGAACGCCTCCCAATCCGAGGGTACTTCCAGAGTATCAAACCACTGCACGTAAGAGTGTATGGGGATATACATCCATCCAACCATTTCGAGTTCGTCGTCTGTCTCACCATCATGCCACTCCGGATGTATCTTATATTCCCTTTCCTGAGGGGTCAAATTACCCCACGGCTTAGACAAAATTTTGACAATAGGACCGCAAAGGGAATTCTTAAAAAGCTCAAGCGACTCTAGACAGAAATCATCCACAAAGAGGCAAAAGTTATACCGTGGGCCGAGAAAGTACTGTGGACCCTGCCCATTATTATCATCAGATTGAAGGTTTTCGAGTACTTCAGGGCTGGCGACGATCTGAGGTAGTTGGTCTGTAACCCATGCGTTGAAGTGGTCACGAATATCGTGGGATGTAGCTCCATTGAGTTTCTCGATATCGTCATTGATGACCAGCTGATGATGCGACAGAAGATCCATTCTCTGGTTGCATTCAAGGTCGCTTTCGATCTTTTCTCTTAGCTGTTGAAGTAGGCGACTCCACGCGCTCTCGTCCTTATAAGAACAGCGGTAAATAGAGAATCCCCAGGGTAAACCGCGCTTGTTAGAAAATTTATCGGAGAGGGAAGCATCGATGTTCTTGTAATCGTCAAGCATACTGCGCGTCTGCTGATCTTGTGCCTTGCTAGTGATCCTACGGACGCTGGTTGGAGAGCTCCGTGGTAGACAGCGCTGGGGCAAGACCGCGGAGATATGACTGAAGATAGGATGCCGAAGCAACATGGATCCGGGTTGAGATCGGTTGAGATCCGATACACCGGACAAAATGCCTTCAATCCGGGAATTGTAGAAAAAGAGACGGGTGTTTGAGCCAAAAGGGGGTTTGCAGGATTTGCAGGGTTTGCATCTCCTCAGCTTTCATGTCAGATGATCTCTCGGCAACTGGCTAGTATAGAAATACGATCCTCACACTTGGGCACCTGGGCAGATTTTTTGCCCATATGTCACACCGGAAAAGGGGTTAATTCTAAAACCCCTGCCCATACAATTCGATTTATAGTCACATTTGGAAAGTCAAGACATCCATCGGCCGAAGGGTTTGTTTACGCCGGCATTGCTGCCGGCTCAAGTGGCACATGAAGAGCATGATGCATTCAATTTTGGAACTTCCCAAACCTCACACTTTGAATGTGATCTGGTCGATAGCTTTTTTCAGTTGCTCCGCTTCATAGACCACCTTTGATACCACATCACCTGTTGCCCCTCCTAAGGGAAACTTTTGGTGAATCAACCCGATTCTGGTCGTAAGGTAATTTTGTCCATGCTGCACGAGATTTTCATAGAAAGCAGGCTCAAACTCTTTCCAAATGGCGAGCATGCCCTCCAACCCTGGCATATTTATCGGCATATCCAAACTCCTTTTGCACGGCCGCCCGTGCCTCATTTAAATGAGGGCGAAGCTCGGGATAGTTCAAATAATTATAGACACCAATTGTCTGCTTGCGCCGATTAGCTCGTAATGTTCAGAAACCGTTTTGTCACTTAACTCAATGGACTTACTTTCTGCAAAACGCCCAAAAGCTTCTTAGCGGCGTCCTCGGGACTCTTCGAGGTGGCGCCAGCTATAGTTTTAAGATGATCGTTGAATACGCCGATTGCCATAGGATTTTTATCCATCCAAAGAGTCATCTTGATAATGTTCATCTCAGCCTCGAGGAAAGACATTCCCGTGCGATAGGCGTAGGAGCCTAAAATCTCAAAGACACGATCATTTGGAGTCATTGGGGCAGCCCAACCCTTGACATCAGTGACAAGCTGTCCTGCCAGCGGTAAAGATACATCATATACTTTGTTCCATCCAGCCAAAAGGTTCGCTGGATCTATCTTTGCGGCTTTCATCAGATTCCCGTTTGGCAAAACTCCCGACAAAGTCGTTACCAGGAACTTCGGGATCATATTCAGCTGGATCGTCTGGTCAGCCAATGCTTCAAAACCAGGAGGATGCAACAGAGTAGTGGTACTCACCTCCATCATATGCTCCGCGTGAGAACCCTTTTTTGGAAGATCGGCATACTTGGTGAGTTGAACAGCAGTGGATGAACAAACATCTTGCAACATGCTAAGAAGTCTGGTCAGCTGGTTTGACCCCGTTTCGGAATGTAAGAAAAGTGACGCACCTGAAGCCTCCAGCGAGACCCAAAGTGGACGATCCGTCTCCTTTGAATACCTTGAGCCCTGGTGGGTACGGTCTGGATAGCGTCTTCATCCCGTCCTTGAATAGACTCGAGCCCGTGATCGCATCAATCGCTATCTTGAATGACCTCGCCTTGCCGGGTACTGTTGCCACTCTTGACTCAATGACATGAGGCGGTCAATAACTCCACATTCTTTTGCCATTGGAGAGTTCATAGGAGCGCTTGCTGAGCAGGGTATAATAACCATCACCTTCACCTACAAAGCCATCCTCCTCGTCGCAACCCTCGTCAAAGTCACTGCACAAATCGGCATCGCATGTCAAAGTCTCCAGGGCCGTTGGATTGGGAGAGCAGCAAAGTGCCTTCTTCCGACCCCCTATAAAATTGGATTAGTTCAGGGTCACCCCTCGGTGCCTAAGATTAGAATGTGAACTCACAGCTACATGCACCGTAAGTGTCTCCCTGGTCATTCGTAGCTAGAGTGATCTCTTCTGGTTTGCAAGTATTATCGGCACAATCACCTTTGCCAACCCAGTGGCAATTTTCAACGGGAATGGGCTCGCTTTTAGGGCAGCAATAATGATTGCCATGACTAATCGTTGTGCCCCATCCAGTGCGATCCCACTGGTACGCGACGCTTTCCTCGTCATCTTTGCACTTGCTGTTTCTGTTTTTAGGGATGATAGTGTTAGGAACCCGCCCATAGAAACGGAGAGGCTAGAAACGATCCGGGAAGAGACTCACACGCCCTTAGACCAGTAACAACTTCCTAACAGGAGATCATATGAGCCCATCTCACAGCAGAGAGCTTTTCCTCCTCGGCCACACTTCCCGGTCCCAGACTGGCCTGGGATACCACCCCAGCTGGACGACGAAACTTGGACTTCGCCGGCATGACATTGCCCGTTACAGTCACCGTGGGCTGGACCACCCCGCCATTGGCAATTCTTTAGGCCGCTAGTCTTGGGGCAACAAATAGGCTTCCCACAAGTGCCTTAATTGGTGTTAAAATATATCTCGGAGACCAGTCTCGCACGCAATTACATCTTTTCCTTTACAGCCTGCCTTGTCATGGCCAACCATGGTCAGCGGGGAGCAACTGGCTGCCTGAGGGTTGTCTAGATCAAAACTTTCATGAAACTTGTAACACCCACCACCAAGGTAAGTCTCAATGACGTCGACCAATGGTTGTTGCTCATCTGCTTGAAGCAAGCTGACCGAACTACCTAGATCATCCTTCCCTGTGAGTGCTTTGTGGGCAGTCCAGTTGTAATCATCTAATATATGTTAGTGCACTGCTCTGAAAAATGCCCTTTTTTGTCAGATGTTTGTATACCTAAGTCCGAGGCCCAAATAAGAGAACCAGAGAAGCCAATACTGTTCGCCCAATCAATCTTCTGCTTGAACGTGTCCTCGTCGTCGTATGAGATCCACTGGTTGGTATCCCATGTGAAGTACTTGACGGCTGCTTCTTTGTCATGGATGACCTTAATATCGGAATTGTTTGACAGGATCTGTTGAATCTCATAGTAGGCAAGATCTTCACGAGTTAGAACCCAAAGATAGCAGGATTTTTCAATAAGTCTCAAACAGCTCACTCACAGCCACTAGTATCCGTACAGATACCTGCATTCCCGCCACCGCTGAAAGCACAGCCAGGTGTGGTGCAGCTACCACTCTCAAGGGTAAAAGATCTGCCGTAGAACCCAAAGCCCATTGCAACCTGAGATGGCTTCACCTTGGCTCGCCAAAGAAGTTCGGTGGCCAGTTTGATCTCGGTCAAGTTCGTGTGTGCCTGGACAACCGAGCCACTGCAAATCTGGTTAGGTACAACTTAAAATGCCTTTGGCGGGTGAAGACAGGACACTTACATTGGGTTGCTACTGTCCCAGACTCCATGCAAATCGTACGACATCTTTTCATGTTAGCTCACGCGTCATACTCCTGCGGTTACAACTTACCAGATTCATCCAATCGGCGTACTTGAGCATGCCTGGTAAATCAAACCAGCGCATATAAATAAGACGAGGGAGCTGTAAATGTGATACCCAGGTCCCGTCCGGAATCTTTGAAAGTGCTACGAAGCTCTTTGAGCAACTGCACATAATTGTCTGTGTCTTCTTTGCTTCCCCCACGATCTCCAGCACCAGGATACTCCATGTCAGATATCAGTTAAAAGGTATTCAAGTGGAAATCTCAGCCATCATACCAATCAATGTCAACACCATCAAAACCGTATTCATTCAGGAATGAGAGCACATTCTTCGCAAATGTCTGTCGGTTCGTGGAGCTCTTTGCAATGTTTCCGAACACAGCCTGGGTAGCCATGTTATTGTCAGAGAACGTCCATCCACCGATACTGACGAATATCTTTAGATCTGCCTTGGTCAATTTGAGGGCCGCAAGATCGTCAAACAGTGACACAGGAGTGGCGGCATCCATTGTCATAATTTGAAATGTCGAAGGGTTTATATATGCAAATGCATAATTGAGATGGGTGAGGGCGTCCACTAGGCGAACAATCAGAATCGCCCTGGGAATATTTCCTGATGATATCCTAGGGGTCTGAACAGAATCTTACAGGGTAGATCACTAGGGGAAGTCTGATGACACTTCGATCGATCATTCCACGCCTCGTAGTAGCCGATCACTACATTAAGTTGTCAGCGGTGGTAGTGAGACACAGAATGATTGACACTCATACCTTTCGAAAGGATCTGGTTTTTTGGAGATCCACTTTGGGGAGTGGGATGCAAACCACAATTCGATTGACATGTAGTATCATCGCAGAAGTCTGTTGACTTATCATTAGAGAGGAGCCCGGGAGATTGAGAAGTGAAAACTAACCACTCGTTGTTCTATAGAAGCCATATTGAGAGCAGCTTCGACAAAAATTAGCTTTCATACAACTGAGGGGAAGAAAAAATCTAACCAAGTATTGAGTGGGCAAGTGGTATTTGCCGGGCTTGAGTCTTTGCCACATTCAGCAGTAGTATGGCAGTTACTCACGCAGCCAGTACCACAATAGGTCGAGCCATAGCCACAATAGCCGCCAACTGGTATTGACAAGGAGGTTAGCTTCATCACTAACCCTCAGAATTTGAGAAGGGGTCATACCACCACAGCAAGCTCCGTTACTACAAGGATCTGGAGAAGAAATCTATCAGCAAAGAAGCAGAAGGGGCAATATGATACGCCATACTGGATACACTACAGCTGTAGTCATCCCGGCGATGTAGAAAATCACCAGGATGAGTTTCTAGGAGAGATCGTTCTGCGATAGCTGCATATTGGGAATGTCCACTATAATGACCATATGCAAGCCGAGCATGAATGTAGGGAGAAAAAGACAGAAGCTAGATGATATGGTAGAATAGCTTCATTTCGAACCCCTCTTAAGGTTTAGTCCCATATAGTGGGTGTTTCGCTTGGGAAGAAAGAGAATATTCGCGAGTGAGCAAAGCCAAGAGGAGACCTGATTCCCTTAAACATAACGTATTTTACTTCTCTTACGCGGGAGGTCCGTACATATTATGGAAATTTCCAGTTCCGTGTACGGAGTACGGAGTATATAATAATTCCGTGTTGAAAACATACTATATTTTCACGCTAGAGTGCATCTCGGCAAAGCACCGACGCCGTTATCAATAGGCATCTGGAAGAATCGTGTATATGAAACGAGCTAAGGAAGGAGGCGAGGGTCTTTGTACCTAGTGGTTCGTGGTATGGCATAGCGATTGGCTCAACGATAGTTCAGTGTTGTGAGATTGATATGGCAACTTGGGATAAACGAACGAATCCTGTAGCGCTCTGAAATTGAGTGAGACATAAAATACCTAAAATCCACTTAGCCTTAGCCTTAGCCTGCTAAGCGTTCCTTGGAAACCAGGGCTGGTCCCACTATACACCCGGGCCGCCGCCGGCCCGAATCGGATCTTCGTGTTTGTCCACTAGTAGTCAGTTTCTGTCTCAGCCTAATTTCCGCTAGAGTGAGAATTTCGGCTTAGTACTCCGTACCGGAGTACTTCTGCCTTATGGTTATAGCGGTATGGTCCGCGTGGAAATTAATTTCCGCAAATGGAGTGGGTCGGGGTCCTAAACGGATGTATGTGTCGGAGCTTAAGTGTTTTTCACGAGGCTTAGCGTCAAAGTACTCTTGTCAATTAACTCAAAAATTCGGTGAGTTACCGGAATCCTTAGAAGTGGAAAAAGGAGAAAGCATAGGTTGGAACCCGTTATCAAATTGCTCATTTCATATTTTCCTTCTCTTCTCGGTCAACCCAAGTGTCTGTAACCCGAACGAAGGACTACAATAATCATATTCCTGTGTCTTGCGTGGGCTGTATTGGCGCTGTTCGCCAACGGCCAACAATTCGATGGCTATGAAATGCCATATGATGATCTGGGTCTGAGCGATGCCTGCTTCGACGCAGTCAACACCACAATATCATCGTGTCCTGCCTAGGTTACCCGGTATACCGGAGTTGAGTGTGTATCCTAACATGGTACTCAGAGGAATCAATAGGTTCGGTTTTGCTGACACTTGTCAGAGATTCGAGCTTTGATATTGTTCTAAGCGAACAACTTGTGGTCCTGTGTGAAAGTACATGTCGCTCTGATCTTGCTAGTCTGCGGCAATTAATTCAAACTGCATGCACTGAAGCAACGGATGTGATGGTTCTAGGTGGATCAATTGCATATCCTGGTGAGATACTTATTGTCGGGTTTTTCTCTATAACTGCCGTGCTAAACCACAATCAGCCACATTCATGACGGATCGCTACCTCTATTCCACCGGTCTATCTTGCCTCACTGATCCGTTACGTTACAAGCAGATTGGCCTGTATTCTCAACAGTAAGGTCCCAAACCTCTATTAAACTACCTATATTAGCCATTTGCTTCTTCGATTTCTCCCTCTTTTTCGTCTGCTTTCTGTTTCCCTCCTGTAAACGCTTGATTTCATCCCGCATTAAGATGTGCTCGTGAACTAAGTTAACCAACATATTGTAAAACTGTTGAAGATCACGTTTTGTAGGCGAAGTGATCTTATCAGCAGCTGAACTTAGACCAGAATTGAGCCTAAATTTGCGTTTTTCTAGCTGCTTAGTCGTCCGAGGGATGCCGTTAGAGATATTGCTGCCTGATGTTGGACCTTGTGAAACTGGTCGATCTGGTAGAGGCGGATATCGAAGACGAATATTAAGCTTTGATAACACCCAATCGGGGTCTAATGGTACTAAACCAGTATCTACGAAGGCAGTCTGAATGATGGACTCTTTAAATGAGTCGTCACGAGCCGTAGGAAAGATATCAAGGAAGTCATCTTTTTTGATAGAATCGATGCCTAATCGGGTATATTCCGCAACCCGCGTTCGATAAGAGCGCTTTAACATAGCAGAACAACCAATATCTAGAGGCTATAAAAGATGAGAGGCATACGGAGGTATACAGATTGGTATAATGTTGTTTTCCTAGCAAATTTTGTCGAATGTTGCTGTAAGATCACTGTCGTGGCCATGAGGACCAAAAGACGATGTTTTCCTCTCGTCTGACTTATTGTATGCGGCATAAAGTGTTTTTGGAGCTAATCAACGCCAATTTCATTGCTTGCCTAGCCGTTTGGACTAACGTTATGAGCCCAATACTTTGTAAGGTCGTCAAACCATCGTACCATAAAGTATTTCCCCTTGAAGATAACGTATAGTGGGAGCGCTCGTCCTGAGGCGCAAATTGATTCAATAAAAGTCACCCATTCACGATTGCCAACTTGTAAAACACCCCTCCAACCGGTGTAAAATGACTACGTAACAGCCTTCGTCGTCGCACTGACTCCCATCGCAAACCCCGATTCGTCTAAGTTGGAGATATCATCCGAAGTAATACCTTATTGAGCAATCGTCCTTTCGACAAGCTTAAACCACTCAATAATAGTATGTGGGTCTTCCATTAGGGCGCGTTTATAGTCATATTTGTGAGAGAATCGAGTAGTAAGCTCAGGATGTCGTTTGATGTATTGTGTTGGCCAATTTTTGCCAACGGTCTGGGGGGCATTATCTCCGCCGTGTTCAAGCAGTAAACTGGCCATATCTCTCAACATCGCGTTTGTAAGCGCAGCGCCTCTCTGATCCATAAAGATTAACCAATCTTGAATTGATTCCTCTTCTAGTTGCGTGAATTTATGGCCTGTACCCCTTGCTTCATATAGATTAGGAATGCCTTTCATCCGAGCTGCAAGAGTTGTACGGGGGATATCAAGAGAGCGAGCAGTAGCAGCGACCGTGGTAATTCTGCCATTTTGAATAACCTTAATAGCTAGCAAGATCCTGCCTTCCTGCTCGACTGATTTTCAAACGTTTTGGCTCCGTTTTGGGGGCATGGTAGGCGCTTAAAGATAGGTGGTTGGGTAGAGGGTGAGAAATTGAAGTGGGATGACAGACCCCGCCGGGATCCACGTTAATGTAAGCACCTTATTTACGACAGAAGTATCGACAGGCTCGAATTTGACCCGCAGAAAAACAATGTTGCTGTGTTCTCTCGCCCCACTTGTGATGAGCCAAATCAATCTAATCAGGAAGAGTGCATTACAACTAAAATTCTAGTAGAATGGGGGAAAGGAAAGAAGAGAGATGGGGGATGGGGAATCAGCGATCAAGTATCTCCAATCGCCTGACCCGGTCTCAAGTCTCAACGCTTTCAACACACAGATGGTTACACAAGTCGCATCCAACGCTCTCAACACGCAGCTGGTCACAGTGGATAGCCAAGCACGGGTTATCCGTAGTGTCCTCGTTGTAGCCTTGAACTTGAATCCTTCCTACGCCCGGTGAGCTTTAGTCCAGTTGACAGGACACAAAAGTACGATTCGGAAGTTATCGGTTGCTTAACGGGCGATATGCGCAACCGAGGGCCAAAAAAGGATGCTGCCCAGGGTGACAAAATAATTTTAGCCTAGGTCACATGTGCATGCGAGAGTGGAAATGGCCCCCAAGTAGTATCACTAAACTAAGCTTTGTTCGAAGTGATGATCCCTCCTATAGAGCACTCTGCAGTGCAATTTCCGTCTAGACCCTAGGAGCCGACACTACGGGAATACAAACTCTTTCGATGGATTGATTCATAAATCTTTTTAGATGGGATCTCACGATACAGTGATCAAGCTACTGCTTGCGGCGGAGAGTCGATCGGGACTCTAAAAACGATATCGGGTATGGTCCACTATCGTTAGCTGCAGGAAACAAACATAAGACGTTAGTCAAGCTGCTGCTTACAACAGAGGGAGTCAGCCTAAGCACCAGGGACTCTAGTGGTTCTACACCCTTGTTCATTGCGGCTAGTGGTGGATACCACAACGTGGTCAAGCTGTTGCCTAAGACGTATGGAAGGCAAATCGCGTAGGGCTCAATACAAGAGCAATACTACCCTACAGCGATTAATATAATCAGTTTTTTTGGCCCCGAAAGTCGATCGAGAGAGCGGAATCCGACCTAATTCAATTCGGTGTAAGACTGTCAGCGATAAGATCCCCGCCCTTTGGCCCCTACTCCCATGTGCGTCAAGTGTACAAAGTCATATTTTATCCTAATGCTGATCTTTCCCAATAACCCCTTTTGAGATCTGCTCGCCTATACTACGGGATGAGTGAACAAACCACAACCAGCTCCGCAAATGGCCTCACGGCAACATCCAAGCCCACCAAGCTCAAGGCAAGCTGTGACTTTTGTGCTTTGACCAAGGTGAAGTGCGATAAAACGCGCCCACAATGTCTACGATGTACCAAGAGCGGCGTCATGTGTCACTACAGCGAGACTCGACGCATTGGAAAAGCTCGGCAACTCTATGCTGCGTCTCACAATAGTCCCAGAAACCCTACCATGCAAGGGACTTGGCGTCCGGAGCAATCGAACGCCCGGCAACAACCACAACAAGCTCCGATGAACCTCACAGCCAGTGCCTCTCGTAGGATGTCCAATAGCCGGCCATCCCTGCATGACCAGTGTGGGCCATCTGACTATATGATGTCAATGAACCTGTTCGACGATTTTCTTTCTCAGGTCCCCGAAACGACACACCCGACGCTAAACCACGCAGGATACCGAAGAACGATGCCTTACTCGATTGAATGCGAGGGGGTGATGTACCCATTCCCTAGCCCCGAATCGCCGGAGGGCCTGTTGCCGAGCCTCGAGGGGACGGGAGAAATCGAAATGGAGGACATGGACTATATACAAGAGATGGAGTTAGAAGGTAGACAGACACGGGACACCACAGCGAAGAGAGTTCTAATGCCTACCGCACGGGGACACGGAGGACACTGCATTAAGCGGGCATCCACCGTGCTCCAGGTCCTCCATGTGATGAGGGCATCCTGCACTTGGTCGGGCGGCCCACCAGTGATCCCGGTGCGAACTTTGGATGCGGCGCTTGAAAACAACCGCATAGCAATGGACACGGTGTGCGAGATCTTGGAGTGCCCCTGCGCGCATAGCATGAGCGTTACACTCCTACTGGTTATGATCACGCACCACGTCATGGAGTCGTACAGGGACATCCTCGTACAACAGTCAAGTCCGCCTTCTCCTCGCGAGCACTCGGCACCGGGGACCGATCTCCTCGCAGGCGACATTCCCTTGGCCATTGGTGGATACCGTCTGGACAATGATATGCGCACCAAGCTCATTTTGCAGGTTATCCGCTCCGAACTAGAAAAAATGGCCTCGCTCTTCAATACTTTCGCCCGATACGCTGAGGGGATGAGCAAGCAGCCTGAGGAGGCCGTGCTGGATACTTATATCAATGGTTTACAAGCGACACGAGACGATATTCTTCAGTCTCTCGAGAAATAGATAGTGCATGATAGAATTACGGGAAATGCCGTTTTGAGGAGCTCTGGGATTTATTGCCTAGTGTTTTGTTTATCTTGCTTCTGTTCTGAATCCTAGACCTCAAGAATTACTCTCAATAGATACGTGCTTTGATAGAGCTTTCAAGAACAATTTAAGCTACCTTCATTGATTGGACGTCGTCTTCCTGGAAGTGATTTCAATGCCGCGATGGAGACTGGCCGTAGCCAGTGGTAATTGATTCTTCGGAAAGAGCTGGAAAGTTACCGCATAACTTAGCCGGTAATATTGCGCGAACGGCCCCCATTCTTAAACCAAAGGGCGGGCCACGGCGTGGCCAAATCCTTCGGGCTGAAAGGATCTGGCTTGCTGCATGTCGCTTACAAGCCGTGGGACGGCTTTCTCGGTCTCGCACATCGGTTTTCGCATAAGTTTATCCGTCATATCGCGCCGAGTGGAACACGATGCTTACGTTCCGAGGTTAAGCGAGCTGAACAACTTAACTGACACCAAAGGTTTCTTCATCGAATTATGTCGAGAGCGTAGCACCGTCCCTAGATTGGCGGTTTGCCTCACATGCAGACTCATTAGGCTAAGATTCACTTGAGGACAAGCCTATGAGCCTCTGCTCATTAATCGCACACTTCGAATGTGAATTCTCCATACGACGACTTATTCGTGAATTAATGTGAATGAGCCTCACTAGTCGGGAGAATAATATGAGCTCCGGGGTCTAGACACGTGGAACGGCATTTTACTACAGTAGCGAAATATGTATGCAATTTTCAAAATTCAATCACTCTATTTCAATTTTCGAACAAATTATCGCACAAATGACGTCTCATACGAACAAATAAAAGACATTCAATCAGACATAGCCTTACGCATGATTCGGGCTAAAGTTGTTGCTGCAGGCTCTCGAACCATCGTGAAGTGATTGGCGTTTTCAACACTTTCAATACGAATGCTGTCCCGCCCAATTAGATGGTCCCACCCATTTGGCCCCAGGTCCGTCCGATTCTCCAGCAACCACGTCATTTCTTTGGGATCATCATCTTGCGGGTCGGGCCGTGGGTCGCTCGACAACTTGCACACACCGTCTTGGGCCCAGATGATAGTCGTTCGAGGTGTCTTATAGGCCGGCTTGAATGGGATAGGATGATACTTGTCCAGAGCCTCGATAAACGCGAGGAAATGCTGAATCAGCCATGCAGGAGGCTTTTGTCCGCCGTGGCTGCCGAAGACCCCTGCTTTCTCGAGGAAGTGGTAGAAACGTGGTGGGAGCTTGTCTAGTCCGATCGGGTTGGGTGAGTCCAGAAGGATGAGGCGTTCAACTGCTTCGCCCTGCTGGGTGAGGTGCTGCGCAGCATCATACGCGGCGATTCCGCCAGCAGACCATCCTGCTAGGTTATATGGCCCATGCGGCTGGCGACGGCGAATCTCGGCGACGTAGGATGGCGTCAGATCTTGTAAAGCGCACTTCAGCTCCTGTGGAGTCCGCATGTATGGACAGTTTAGACCGTAGACACACACGTCTGGAGATACGTTAGGAAGCATGGCGTAGGATGTCGAGGAGCCAGATCCGTCCGGGAACAGAAACAGAGACTGTGGGCAAGACGATTTACCCTGGAGGAGAATGGATGTTGCGGAGGGATGTATAGCGACCAATGGAACTGAATTGACTTCTGGGGCGGATGCAAACTTTGGCTTCGAGGTAACTTCTTCTATGGATCCAAACATCGATTGTAGAGCTTTCCTTACGGCGGAAGCATTGTTTGTGTCCATGAAGAAATCAGGCGGCAAGTCCAGATTCATCTCTTCTCTCAAACGGCCCAAGGTCAGTAGAGACAACAGTGAATCTACTCCCACTTCAGCAAAATCATCAACCGTAGCCAGTACATCGGCACTGATGCCAATCTCTTGAGCCAAAATGGATACGATCATCGCCACACTGGTATCGACACGACCAATTGCAGTATTCCCCATTGGATCTTCACCATGTGTAGTGCGTGGCGTGGAAGCAGTTGTCTCAATTATACTTGATGTGATACTGGCGGCATCACTGCTTGTTCCAGATGAAGAGAGCCCTAGATAGTCGCGCAAAGACTGAACAGATGTACAACCCTCAAACAGAGACGGTGGTACGTCGAGATGAAGCGATTCGCGCAGGGTACCGAGAATGGTCAACGACATCAGAGAGTCAACGCCCATGTTGACAAAGTCCACATCATCCGTGAGCTGGTCGGGTGAAATTCCAATTTCGTCAGCAATAACCTTCAGCACTTGTGTCCAGACAGTGGAAACGGGCGATTCCCTCTCTCTTGCTTTGAGTTCGAGTGCCAAGCCAGGTCGAGGGAGAGAGATCGTTTCAGGTATTGTGCGAACATTGACGCTTTTGGGCTTGGGTGCTGGCAACAACATGTCCAGAACTCGACGGGCCACCCGTTGGAATGTGACAGCGCCATAATGGGCGACAATGATGTGGTCGCGGAGAACATAAACATCACCCGAATATAGATTATTGTTGTCTTCAACAGGTTGCATTTTGACATATGTTCGATAGACATGATCGGTTGAGTACCTCTCAGCGCAGCGCATGAAGCTCCAACCATGGTTGACAAAAACATGTTCCGTCAAATCGAGAGAGTCATTGGAATTCATGATGAACCCAGTGAGGTGCCCGAAGCTGTCGCACCAGAATGGGTTTAGCATGTACTGACCCTTACTTGGTTTCAGGCAAATCGTGGCCGTCGCCTCAAGTCCTGCACTGTCGAAAATGATCTCCTCCATGCCATGGTAGGAGGGGCCATACTGCACAACGGACGAAAAAAGCCGATAAGCGAGACCCCGACGCACTTTGTGTGTCAATCCTGTGTCGACACCATTTTGGAGGGCGTCAATACTGCGCTGAATCAGGTAACGCTGTCGTCGCCAATTGTCTTGCCACAAATCGGCTTGCTGTAGTTCGACTGTGCACTGAGCATGGCTGATAGTGCGCTTGCCAGAAATGTCGATACTGTAGATCTCCATTTTACCGCAATTGATGCTCCAATTGAAGTCTAGAGATGCTTGGAATGACTGTGGGCCAGTTTCTTTGACGACAAGGGCCTTTTCAACAACCATATTGGCAACATCCGGGGTAAAGCTCTTGTCATATCCCTTCTTCTCAGCTAGATAGTTACCCAAAGTGTAGGCAATGTCTGCGTAGAGTGACTAAGATAGAAAAGATTGTTAGGATGAAGCAGCTTTATTTTGGGCAAGTTCGTACTCACGGAAGGACATAGTATTAACCCGTTCACTTTGTGATCCAGAGCAACCGACAGAAGTTCTGGGTCATGGAAGTCGGATTCGATGATAATGCGCCCATTTGTGTCATTTATTTGCTCATCAACAATCTTTTGCACCGATGGGCTGATTCGAGTAGACACTCCAGCTAGGGGGCTAGCAGAGATTGTGTTCTGAAGGCTTCCTTTGGTTAAGCAGAAGTTATTCTCGTATTGAATCCAGTAGTTTTCAAGGTCCCAGCTGTAGCATGGGAGTGTTAGAACCTTGTGGCTCATAGTAAAGTCCCGATGATACTCCTCCCAGTTGACTGGCAAACCAGCCTCGTGCAAAACGCTCAATGACTCCGAAAGGGTTTTGAAGGTATCTTCCTTCCGCCGCAAGGATGGGCATATTCGGAAGTCTGGACCCACAATATTCTTCATCATACGAGTGAGGATGGGATGAGTGCCAATTTCGATTGCCAATCCTTTGGAGTCGATAATTCCAGCGGCTTTCGCGGCCTCCACGGCCTCGTAATACTTGACAGTCTCGCGACAATGCTGCCGAATATATTGCGGACCAAGGATGCCTGCCTCTGTCACGACATTTCCAACCAAGGTTGACACAAACGAAATAGTGGGCGGGTGGAACGTCAGTTGACCAGCGATCTCTTCCAGCTCGTCAAGCATTGGGTTGACTTGCGAAGAGTGGAAAGCAAATGGAAGAATGAGCTTGGTGCATTGGAAGTTGATTCTCGAAAGCTTTTCGCTAACTTTGTCGATATCCGAATTTGACCCACTAAGAACTGTGTCCTGTGGCCCGTTGATGCACGCTAATTCCACTGGCATCTCATTGAGGACTTCCTGCAGTTCTGAAACTGATGCCCTGACGGTCAGCATTCCATGAGAGCCTGGAATGCAATATTTCTCCAATAGCAATGCACGCGAGCCCGCGAGGAAAATTGTGTCGCTTATGCTTAGAACACCGGCCAGATTGAGGGCTGCAAATTCTCCGAGACTGTGGCCCAGAACATACTTTGGCACCAGCCCCCAGTTTTGCCAGAGCCGTCCCAATGCGATTTGGATGGCAACGGTACCAATCTGGATGATTGTTGGCGAGAGGTCGTCTATGTCTACCGAGCCTGTCACCAAAGGGAGGAAAGATGGGAAGCCATAAAGCTGGCTTATGGCATCAAAGTTGTTTATGTCTGCGCGAAAAGAGGCCACGTGCTCATACAACTGCCGCGCCATTGCTGTTTGCTGTGCCCCTTGCCCTGTAAGAAGGAAACCAACATGGGGTACCTTTGCAGGACATGGCCTGATATCTTGCAAAGCAAAGTCAAGTAGACGGCGCTTGATCTGGGATAGATCACTACCAGCGACGGCCACTCGTCTGGAGTGATGCATCCGCCGGGCAGTCGTTGTATATGAGATATGTGCCAAAAGATCTGGTGAGATTTCGGAGCCGATGAACATTGCGAGAGATTGCAAGTTCTGTTTGAGCGACTTGGCTGACCGAGCTGAGACGACAACAACGTGATGTTTGCGTGGATCTGGCTGTTCAGTTTTCTCAAATGTAGCGGCATCCTCAAGCAACACAGCGGTGTTACCTCCGGCAGCAGAGAAATTGTTGATAAATGTGCGACGCTTGTCATCTTTTGGACGTTTCCAGTCAGTATTGGTCAGGGCGATATGGACATTTCGTTCATCAAAATCAGTCGGAAAACCATGATTTATCTTCGTCTTGATACCGCAATGTGGAGGAATGCGACCTTTTTGGAGCATAAGCAAGACTTTAATCAATGCTGTGACTCCCGAAGCCGATTCACCATGGCCAACATTGGACTTTACCGACCCCAGGTGCAACGGCATGTTTCGTGGGCGGCTTTTGTCCCAAGCAAAAGTGTCCAGGACAGACTTCATTTCCACAGCATCTCCAGCTTGCGTGCCGGTACCATGCATCTCGACATAGCTGATCTCATGAGGGTGAATGCCGGTCTCACTAAGGAGCTGTCGGAAGAGGTACTCTTGTGCGTCAGCCAGCGGCCGGGTAATAGAAACCGCCTCCGCTGAATGCGATGTGTGTGTGCCTCGAATCACCCCAAAGATGGGATCCTTGTCGGCAATCGCGTCTGCAAGTCGCTTCAAAACAACAGAGCCAACGCCGTCTGCGCGACAATATCCGTCCGCACCGTCGTCAAATGTCTTGCAATTTCCAGTGGGCGACAGGAAGTGTCCTCGGTCCAAGCCGGCAAAGTTGTCCGGGTTTGTCATGACGTTCGTACCTCCAGCAAGCGCTGTATCGCATTCCCGGTTCAACAACGCGGTGCAGGCAACATTAATGGCTGCTAAGCTTGACGAACAGGCTGTATCCACCGACACACTTGGTCCGCTAAATTTGAAAAAGTAGTTGATGCGACCAGGAATAAAAGCTCGGTTGCCCCCAGGGATGAAATAAGTATCAATACTCTGACCACTGTTGATCTCACGCCAGTCATCACTCGTGGTGCCGTAGTAAACACCCACGCGATGGCGCTGACTTGATGCCGTGCGATCAGTAACAAATCCAGCCATCTCGATAGCCTCATAAGCTGTCAAAAGAGCCAATCTCTGTGCTGGATCTGCCTGGCGGGCTTCGCGAGGCGAAAAGTGGAAGAAACGAGCATCAAACAACCCGGGGTTGCGAATCCAACACCCGTGTAAAATGCGACTGGTGTTTCTCTTTTGGAGTGTTGGATCGTAGTGTGCATCGCGATCAAAGCGATCTGCTGGAATGGGCTTATGGACATCAAGCCCTTGCTCAAGTACATTCCAGAATTCATCGAGGTTATCGGCTTCGGGGAAACGGCCACTGAAACCGATGATTGCGATCTTCGAAGAGTCGTGACTGGGGAGGTTCTGTTCCGTTTTTGCAAATCCTGATTGAGGGAAGGGAATACTGATGCAGGTCACGTCGATACCCCTTTGGCGCAAAGATGACAGCACACTAGAGCCAATCTGTGTGTGAATAGGAATCAACCGGCTGGTTCCATTGGAGTTTATACCTGCAACGCCGTCAATCAGACGGTCCAGCCGCACTTGACTGGTCAATATTTCCATGATCAAGCTGTGAAGCAAAGCACCAAAAGTAGGCTCATTCAGGATTATCCCAGAGGCATTTGAAATTATCGGCTTCTGGGGCAGTCGGCTTAGTGAGATGCTTCGAGCACTGGAACCCAATATCGTCGTAACGTCTCTTTCTGTATACAAATGGAAGGCGTGATAGGGTGCATATATTGGCAGGAACAAAGACTTTCTGCCCTTGAGGACTGAAGAATGTTGGAAAGCCTCAATGATATGTGGTGGGCCGCTGATCGTGACTGAGTGGGAGCTGATAGCACTGATGTAGGGTGTCATTGCGGCGGGACGCTTCTACAAAACACACCGAGAATGAGCCTTTTGCATACCATAATTTGCGGACTGAACTTACCGACTCATCACAGAAGGCTTGAATAGCTCTTTCAGCATCCAGTTCCGTAAGACCCGCTATGGCGAGAGACCATGGATTGAGACTTGCAGGCCCTGGGGAATTTAAGGCATTGGCTTTGCGGGAAGCATGAATCCCCACCCAGAAAGCCACTACCACTGCCTCGATACCTAGTGGAACTAGATCAACAACAGACCGAGCACAGCTAACAGCTGCCGCAGCTAGAGATCCGGTGCAGAGGCCGACCAGAAAATGGTCGGCAGGAGAGTGTTCAACATCGGTATCTTGCTGGAGACTATGGCAGGATAAGTCAAATATTTCAAGAAGCTGTGGAATGCATCATACCGAATATACTCTCCAATTTCATAGAGACACACCAAGGCACTTTCGAGGGCGGGATGCCGTTTCCCCCTTCTGGTGGCATCGAGAAGAAGCCCGAGGGTTTCGGGTTCAGGGAGAGACGCCCGTTCATTAGCTGGGAGATGGGAGATTTCTTGCCTGATAGCTAGGTAGGCTTCAAATAGGAAAGTAGATAAAGTGCTGTTGTCACTAACATGTAGCAAATCTTGAAGAGAAGAATCCGCATGGACCGTTTGGTCACCAAAAATATATATTTGCGCCATGATGATCCTTGGATATCTCGAGACCTACTTTGATCAGTGCGAGACTTTTCGTATTTTTAAATAATTTTAAAAGCCTTTTGAAATTGATTCACTCGGGGCATACGGGTCGAATCGGCAGGATGGGGCCCAACCCGCGACTATGTGGGTGGATGATAGAGGCCACCCCGAAATGTCCGACTAGTCCGGGTTGCCCGTACATCATTCCGGGGTCGGATTAAAGATAAGAGACGTAGACCATTCGCAGGGGTAAAGAAAAAGGAGAAAAACGAATTCAGCTATCTCTTTACTCCAGTCACTTTAACTCCAGACCTTTAACACCATGTCGCTCTGTCTTACTATCTGTGGATACAAGAAGCCCGGCCTGAGTGAGGAGGAATACCATGATTATATGGTCAACATTCATGGCCCTTTAGTTCGGGATCTGATGGAACAATATGGCATCAAGAGATGGACTATGGTATATACCGAAATTCGTTGCAATCTATCTCTCTGAAATGTTGATCCTGATGTTGAGGGTTACAGACACACAATCTCAGCTCCACCCGGGACCAAATGACCCAGCTGTTTGACCCCCAGTTCGCCAATGTGGCTGACTACGACGCTTTTATCCAAATTCTCTTTGACGATGTAGAAGATTTTGTCCGCATGAAGGCAGATCCGTTCTTCCGGTCTAAGGTGGCGCCGGATCATGAAAATTTTGCCGACACCAAACGAAGCAGGCATGTTTTCAAAATTTGTCACCACGCCAATCACTGCTGACAAGCTCATAGAATGACTATCGGTGTAGTCCATAACCTCTTGGTTGATGGAAAGGTGCTGAGTAAAGATAGGAGTGTCTCGAAAGGCCCGAGTAAAGCAAAGGACGTTCTTACGGAGATTGGAAATGTACAAACCTTGGGCACAAAACTACGTTAGTCCGCCGGGATTAGCCTTGAGCCCTCTTGTGCCCATATTAAGTCGATGAGAATAGATACCCCGGTTCGGCCGGGGGTGGAATTAGCACTGAAAATATTTCTAGCTCATTATGTGTACTTCGATATCCTTGTTTACTGGGCTACCATCACGAAATAGCATCACAGTGGTGGTTAGCATTTTGCCATACGCATATTGTTTGTTAAACGGCGGCATGGAACTTGAAGGGAAACAGCTAAAATAGCAAAATCATATGAGTAGACTGGCTGATATGTAACGGAAAACGCGATATCTTCTGTGATTGCCCATTGCTATGATAGTCACAACAATACTTCACGTACTACTCCACAACCAACACGACTAATGAAAGAACGCTCCCGGCAGGTTGTTCGATTTTCTGCACTTTCAAGCGCTGATCAACCTTGGTGAAGATCTCCAGCCAGTCCTCGAGATGTCTCTCCTGACTGTTGAATACTTGCATCATTGTCAGATCCCGCACACGCAACAACCGTTCCTTTGATGCAGGAATGCTACCCGGGCCAGGAAGTACTGTATCCATAATGATGATGCGCGCACCGGGTTTTAGTGCCTCTACCAGACGGATCAAAATGCGAACCGAGTCATCAAATGCCCAATCATGTAGAATCATTCGCAAGAGATAGACGTCCGCATCATTGACTGGCTGAGGATCGAAGAAGCTGTGTGCCTTATAAGAAATGCGAGTTGACAGTTCTTGGCCATTATCTTGAGACGCAAGGTATGCCGGACCTCCGGCTGCCACCTCGGGCAAGTCTTCAACAATGAAGCTCAATCTGGGATATTTCCGAGCCAAAGCAATCGAGGCGTGACCAGTCGAGCCGCCAACCTGTAATTTTTAGTATCAAGCATATTGAGCAAAAGGATCTACTCACATCGACAACCAAGCCATTGCCCACTGCTGCCCAGTCCCAGCCATCTACAAGTTGCTTAAGACCAGTTCCCTGGCTGCTAGTGACGGCGCGCATATACCCAGCAAATTGGCGGTGGCGCTCTGGCTGCTGGCTGAGATGTTTGAAAAAAGGAGTATCTGTGTCGAAAGCGACATTGTATGCGGTGTGAGTCGCATCTAGCGAATCTTGCCACTTGTCATGCACATCAACCATAGACAGAGCAGTGGGAGCGGAAATTTCACTGTTGAATACAGCCCAGTCATGGAAGCCGGAGTTGGTTTGTAGTACAGCTGAAGTTGCTGAATGAGCGAGGTGCTGCGGTGGCTTTTCAACAAAAAGCCCATTCGTCATCGACATACGAGCGATGCTTTTCAAGGCGCCTTCTGGGACATTGGCAAGGATAGCAAGATCAGCATAAGATATGGATCCCTGCAGCGGGACAAGATGGAAGATTCGAAAGTGGCAAAGCCAGCGCAGGCAAGAGATGTAATGGTACTAATCGATTACAATATAAGCATTGAGAATCAAGCGGGGAAGGCATATGGCCAACTTACACCTGTTTGCAAATTCGCCAAATACTCACTGGGGCCAGCTACAAGCTGGAAGAGGCGCAAACAGTGGTCAAGGATACGCTCCCGTGCCGAGTGTGCATCCGAGGAGGCATTCTCCGGCATCACAACCGTGGGAGTCTGGCGATCAAAGGATGGCAGGGGATGGCCGGTAGATTGAAGGTACTCTGTCAGAATTTTCACATCTTTCTCCAGGGTTTGACAGAGGTCCTCCATAGTAGATGACGAATAGAACGCCATTTTCAAAAGAGAGGTGTTCGATGGAGTTGAATGACTCAGGTCGGCTTTAGATCGTCGAGATGCTTTTTCCTCTCAGACGTCACACAGGCTCCAATCCAACTGAGATATATGCGGCCGGGCAACACTTAGTTCCTATGTCTTGAATTCGGGCTGCTCGGAATTCGACGGGATCCGAGAGTTACCTGCTAGGATTACGCGAGAATCAAGTACACAGTTCAGGATTGACGGAGACCAAAAGTATTGCATGAAATCAAAATTGCTACACGCTAATCCGTCTCACGGCTTAAGCAGACCGACAAAATCCGGCCTTCCAGCACGACACGGTCTTCCAGGCTACTTCCAACACTGCCTTTGGATCGACCTCCACCTCTTCCAATCTCCACGCGATGTAGCCATCTGGACGGACGAGAGAGCATCCACGGGCGGAGATTCCAAACGCTTCACGGAATCTGATTTCTGCTGTCATGGACTGGCGAATATGGATGAAGCGCGCCTTCATTCCGAGATTTTCTTCTACCTCCTTGACGATACCCCTCCACCGAGGGTCCTCCGAGAGTATCGCCCAGTCTCCCTTTAGTAGTTCCAGTGTTGAAATGTTGCGGTCACCGTGCTCGACCCAAATATGAGGTGCACGGGTACCTGGCTGTCCTTTCCACTGGTCGGGTGTCAGCGCATCTGGTAGCGACTCATCCGCTCCTATAACTCCGTCCGACCGATAAATCTGGCCAAACTCCACAGCCCCGTCTGGTAGCGCTTCTTGCTCTGGCCTTCCATTTTTGTTGAGAGTTGGCTTCTGTCGCAGCGTTTTATAGTCCGAGCGTGCAAAGATCTGATCATGTCGCAACCAGGCCACGGGCAGCCGTTCAGCTTCGTAGGTAGCCAAGAGTTGGGCATCCGAAGTGCCTTTAATGACTTGAGACAGTTTCCAAGCAATGTTGTGTCCGTCTGCAATGCCGGTGTTGGCACCGTAGCCCCCGCGATTCGGTGGCAAGGAGTGGGCAGCGTCACCAATCAGGAACACTCTTCCTCTGGCGAATTCGTCGGCTATCCAAGCGCTCATATCCCACCTGCTGGTGGCGATAATTTCTAGGGTGACCTTTTTTGGGCCAATTGCCTGAAGCGTTGCTTGGTGCATAAGTTCGTCGTTCCATTCGCGATCGTTGGGAAGATGCAGCACCAGCCTTTCATCTTGGTAGGCGATCATGAACGCCTTCAATTCAGGCTGATCTATGGTGAACTGGTTTGCCCCTTTTCTCAGATAAGGGGTCAACTCGGGTGCCCGGAAGAGAACACTCTGAATTGAATTCACAGGGCCATGGCCCTTCCGAGGAATTGCCAAAGTCTCGCGAATAGCGCTGCGATGGCCGTCGGCGGCGATAAGATATTGTGTCTTTATGCAATAGACTGAACCGTTTGTAATGTCTTTGATTGTCACAGTCACACCTTCCGCATCCTGCGCAAGGCCCGCAAATTCATGGTGCATGCAAACGTCAACGCCCACATCGATAGCATGTTGCAACAAGATGGGCTCCAGCTGATCTTGAGGTGTAGAGGCCCCTCTATAGGGCGAGTATTCGGGCTGCAGGGGCGCCTTCTCTTCGGCTTTCTTCTCCTGTGGATTCCATGCCAGTTCTTCGAACCACTCGCCGGTCAGACTCTCAACTCGTGTGCGCTGAGTCTTGAATCCCGGGGCGGTTTCCGGCAAGATATCGCTGTCGATGCCGAAGGATCGGAAAATCTCGACAGTTCTTGCCGTAAATCCATCTGCACGAGGATGCTGCAGGGTATACGGTCGGCGTTCGATGAGGACTGTCCGAATGCCGTAGGTACCGAGGGCCATGGCGGTCGTCAAGCCGGCCAGCCCTGCACCAACAATGACAACGGAAGCATCCTGATGATAAGATCCCATTGTGCCTTCTGAATGAATATTTCGGACGTTGGAAATGAGTTGAGGGGTGAGAATTAGCTGATCCCGGCATTTTGCTTTCTGTGATGATACTTAATATCGCTCGTTGTCGGGGACATCGGTGTTGTTTTACTTAGAGCGTAGCTGACTCCGATGTACCCCGAATGTCCCGAAAACCTCATCTGACTGCCTCATAAACTACATTTGTGACTGAGACATGTCTATCGTTCCGAAATTTTTAAGTTTGTGAAAATGTCTCCGTCTGCAATTGCTCAACATTACCGGGTGGCGATCGTTGGTGGTGGGATCGCTGGGTTGACACTGGCCTTGGCACTCGAAAAGCAAGATGTCGACTATATTCTCTTCGAGTCTCAAGATTCCTTAACTCCTGACAGGGGTGCAAGTGTTGGTCTGCAACCAAATGGCTTGCGCATTCTCGATCAACTTGGGTTGATCGACGAGATCGAGAAACACACTGGAACTCTACAGCGTTGGCGCCATCTAGATGGCGAAGGAGAGCTGATTTCAGAGATCAAGGCTTTAGGCTACTACAGGTCTCAGTGAGTAGATGTCCGCAGAGCTTTTTGTACGTTTACTGACACTTGCAGGATCGGATATGGTCCTCTTTTTTTGGAACGTCGCAAACTCCTCGAGATTATGGCGGAAGAATTGAAAAGCAAGGACGCCACCAAAACAGGCATCCGTGTCTTGTCGGTGGAAGAATCTCCGGAACTTGTCACGATAGGCCTTAGCAATGGCTCTTGTATCACAGCTGATATTGTGATTGGAGCTGATGGCGTGCGCAGCTGCGTCCGCGATGCCATTGATGTTGCCCAGCCGAAGCCATTCCAGGCAGATGAGTGTAAGCTTAATGCAAGTCAAACTCGAGCCACACAGACGCTAAAAAAGTTTAGACATCACAACTCAGTTTGCTTGTGTCTATGGTATTTCGACTCCTATCGACGGCATTTCAGAAGGCGACTGCTTCTCTATCTACCGACCCGGCGCTACGATTCTCATCTTCACTGGTCAGGCCGGTGCTATCTTCTGGTTTGTTTTTGAAGATTTGGGTCATACTTATAGTTTATCCACGACGCCTCGGTATACTAGTGATGATATTGATGAGGTTTGTAATTCAATCGCGCATTTACGCATCACTCCTGCAGTTTGCTTTGGTGATGTATATGCCAAAAGGTCAGTGGCCATGAAGGTTCCTCTGGAAGAGGGTTTGGCCCCATCATGGCACACTAACCGCATGGTCATTGTCGGTGATGCTGCGCACAAGGTAAGATCATCGTATCGTTTGTATGCATAGATTGTGTCTGATAATACAATTCCTAGATGGCTCCGACGGCCGCGATGGGTGCCAATCAAGCAATTGAGTCATCGGCAACCCTGCTCAACGAGCTCCAGGAAACGTTTTTCAAGTCAAACGATGGATTCCTACCACAGGGGCTTCTCACAGCTGCCTTTGAACGGTATACTGAGAGCCGCAAGCCACGTGCTGGTGGTATTGCCCGAAAAGCAGGTATTATATGCAGAGCCCAACTTTTGCATGATGGCCCCTCTGCAGCTGTGCGGGATGAGCTACCTTCCTTGACTGATGGGGACTGGCTATTCCGTGGGTTCATGGGATTGGCAGATTCACCAGTGATTGCAGTGTTACCGCTGTCATCACGGGGAGAGTTCTTCGGACAAGCAGTGGAGCAGTTCTGGAATCGAGTTCGAGCTCGGCAAAATTCGGGGTTGAATATGACCAACTCGGATTTATTCGGCATTGAAGGTTGAATATTCCTTACGAGTACGTAGCCAGAAATTTCAGAGTGATTCAGTCTTGTCGAGCGGTCTATCTTTGCCTATCTCGTAGCCATGCGCACCTTCAATTAAAGTACCCCTTTTGGTACTGATTTTTCTCATTATCACCCTGGGCTTTGTATTTCCCACTTTCTAATGTCCCGTGATAAACCTCTCCTGGAATAAGCTTTGGGCTTGATTATAGGATATCACTAGAGAAAAGTATCAAGGTCCATGACTGGTTACAGTGTAAAAATCAAGGAATAAGCCGCCATCATAACAAGATAACAAATTGTCAGAAACCAGAGTAAACGAAGGGGTACCGGAATGCATACTAAGTTCTAGTTCCTCGCGATCTCGCCGATATTTCCTCTTATTTAGAGAGAACTTAATACATTCTGGTGATCATACAAAAACCGTTCCACTTTGCCTGTCACAAATGCTATTTCGTCAAAATACTTCGCGACTGTTTCTGATGGTGATCTCTGTGAATAAAAAACATATTTATCGAACATTCTGATTTTCAACTTTCATACCCTTGGTGATCGTGGGACTCTGCATAAGATTGTCCCAATTATGCACCTTCACGCTGTTTTCCTCGCTCAAGCGAACTTCTTCGCCGGTCCGAGCAATCATCTCCTCTTCATACGTCTGGATTGCGGCGGCACGCTGTTCAATAGTAAAATCGCCCTGGTTCCAGAAAGACTCGATTGCCTTGCATGCGGTGTAAGCATCCTTGATGGCGTGGTTGAGTCCTTGTCCGCGTTGGAAAGTCATTGGATGGGCCGCATCGCCTGCCAATGTGACCCGGCCCTGACGATGGTTCCACTTGTGCTCCGGTAGGGATGGATCCCAGTTGCGAAGCTTTGAGTACCACACCTTGCTATCTTCAGGCATCCATTCGAAGACACTGCGCCAGGGGTCGACAAATTGACGGGCCAGCTCTTTCTGGTGCGCAACTTGCTCACGCATGGTACGCATGTTGACATAGTCACGCGGCTCTGGGAATGAGATGTAATGGAAAAATGTCCAATTCTCCGGGTGTTCGATGTCATCCCCGTCATGCAGACTCAGCCAGGCGCAGTAGCCATTTGGATGAGGTGCCACTTGATATAAAGGATGATGAGGTTGAGCCCGGAGGAATAGAGCGTGCTCACGCGTGTGCTGGGTAAAGCACATGGTCGAGGCGAAATCAATAGGGGTCACTCGGGCAGCCTTTTCTCCAACGAGCAGGGAGCGGGTCATTGAATGCGGGCCGTCGGCGGCGATCAGCATACTGCCTATAACTTCACTGCCGTCGGTGAATTTGGCCGTAACTCGTTCGCCAGCAGGAGAATACACAATTTCAGACAAAGACTTCCCCCACTGTACGTCGAGGCCTTGTAGCAACATTGCCCTGAATTTGTCACGGCGTAAGCGGTAGAATTTCGAGGACTTGATTTCGGTAATGAGAGCACCGGTCTCGCCGTTGATGAGAGGAAGACGGTCGCTATCCTTAGTCGGGACATGGGGATCAACTTGGGCTTGTTCAACTTGGGTCAAGATCTCGGTGGGCATAAGATACTGGAGGGGTTCAAAGCCCCAGTGTAAACCCATGCTCCAGTTGCGCTCGCGGACGGGGGTCTCATCTTTCTCGAAAATCAGGAACGGAATTCCAGCCTAAACAATGACTGTGAGTTGGGCAATATTTCATTCGGTTTCATGTTATTGTTACCTTCTTCAACCCCTGAGCCAATGCGAGACCCGTCGAACCTGCATTATCAATGTTAACGAAGGATTGTTGTGTGTAATACCGATCGAACACTTGCCGGCGCCAATAATCAGAACCTTTCTGCGGCCTCTGACATTGGATGAAGATGTGTTTTCAGAGCCATTACTTGCTCCATTCATTGGGGTTGTGTTCATATTGGGCAATAATCAGAATTGTTGGAATGATTGAGTGTATTGGCCTACAACAGGCGTACACCTTCGCTTCTTATTATCGCATGAAGCGGCCCGGGCTTTGCTATGCGGTGCGGATTCGGAGGCCGAGAAGACCGCTTGAGTCCGTCGGGTTTTGGAAAGGAAAGCCTACCCGGGCCAATATTTCTGGCATATTGGAGTTGGCCTTTACGACTGTCACCGCTGAAAATCGCGGCTGGATCTGTAGAGACGTGTTTATGTTTATGTAGGTTTTCCAAACTAACAAATCATTATATTCTTGGTATCCGGTTCTTTTGATGCATGTAGCATATTTGAAATATTGTATCCAAGAAAATTCGATCTCCACGTTTAATGTTGCATCCCACGAACTCGCCTAGTGAGCACTTCTCCTGACATTTTGATTCATCCAGCTCAAATATGTCTGCCAAGCCACTGCAATACATCCGGAAAAAACACTTCGGAATTGAGGCGGGACATACATGAAGCTGATGATAGCAACACCCGTCCACACCTTGACACCATTGGCGATACTTGTCGGGAGTGCAAGCTGTAAGCGCACCAGAGTGTCTTCAACCGATGCACCTGATAGCAGAGATTGCATGGTGAAAAAGTAGGTGTTGAAGACGGGCGTGAAGACGGCCTGTTGAACCACGACCTTGGTGGCAAGCGAGGCGATGCTTGAGGCAAAGTTGAACCGGCGGTGGAGAAACATGAACCTGTTATCATTAGCGTATTCCGGAAAACCTTTTGATTCAGTGTCCCTTTTACGTACCATTCATACGATGGAATACTGGCCACTATCCCTACAGTCAGGTGCCGTGCTGTGCGCCACGGATCGTAGCCTTGCGAGCTGGGCAAGTTCTTCTGGATCTCTCCACGCTGAGTAGAACTTTTGATTTCCTCATCTTTCACATCATTCGAGGAGAATAAAAACTGAGCACCCAAGTCACCACATAACCAAACCACTATTGTGGTGCATATTTGTGTTGTGTAAGGTCGTTTGGCTTGGATTTGAGAATATGCTCCAAGGCTTTTTCCAATGCCACTGCGGGCTAAAAGCCCACCGGTTGAACTCGATGCTGAGGCCGAAGCTGCAGGAGAGGCAGGGGAGTTCGATGGCGGTGGATTTGGCAATCGCCAGGACCGTGAACCCGAATATGCTCGTCCTCCGAGGCGATGCGAGGAGATGGTGCGCCGGGAAAAGAGTGCTGGCGAATGCTGTAAGCACGTTTCCAGCGTCTGCAACAACTTCATCGTGAATTCGGTGAGAGGCCTCAATATCCGGACTCATGCTGGACTTTCCGACAGTAAATCCCATTTATTCGGAATTCGGGCATACCGGGAGATCGCCTGTCTTCCTGGCCAATCGGCCCCTCGTTGCTTTCGGCCTCGCATAAGCTTATCCGTCTCCGCGTATTGCAAAAATGCCAAAAAAATACAGCTCAGATTCATTGTCCCCTCACATCGCGTCTTTCCCTTCTTCAACAAATTCCAATTATCGATTCCCAGCGCCTTTTCAAATCGTTTCAATGGACTCGGAACTACATACTTTGCCGCCCAATCTTTCCCTCTCCTCGTTCAACCAAGGCAGGAGTAACGTATCCGAGAGATCATCGGACCACCCCTCGCCGGGAAGGCTCCACACGCTCCGCAGTTGTGGTTTTTGTCGATCTCGCAAAATAAAATGCGATCGCCAAAAGCCATGCGCTAACTGCCTCCGCGCTGGGTCAGAATGTATTTATCCTGCGGGGCCAGGCAGAGCTCCGAAGCGACCACGTCGAGCTCCCGATAAGCATGTGCTCGATCGGCTGGCGCATCTTGAGGTGCTCGTCAGGCGCCTAGGTACCGAAGTGGAGGGCGGTCATTTACCTTCCGTCCCGCCATCAGAGGAACCAGCGGCCAACGGAGGCCCCGGGTCGGGGGATGAGTCAAGCCAGGTCGAACAACAGTTTGGTCGGCTTGTGATCGACGAGACGCGCAGTTGCTATGTGAGCAATATTTTGTGGTCAAGTTTAGGCAACGAAGTATGTACTTGTCGATGTGCTCTGGGCATGTTACTTGTTACTTGATATTCACTGATTGACTGTAGATTGAAGAGCTGCGCGATTTACTGTACGAGCCAGCATCGGAAGACGAAGACATCGACGCTGCCACAGATTCATCTGTGGTAGATTCAATGACATCTCTGGGCTGTAACGCCACGATAATGGGGTTTCAGGCGCTAGCACAGACTTTGAAGGCGTATCATCCACCACTATCCCAGTCAGTGGCCTTATTCGAGATCTTCAAAGAGAGTGTCGCACCACTAGTACATATTTTTCATATGCCGACGTTGATCAGTTCTTACTGGGATGTAGTTGCGTCGCCGGAATCATTGGATCGCAATACTGAAGCATTACTGTTTGCTATCTATTACTCCACCGTCATTAGCATGGAGTCACGACAATGTGAACATGTATTGGGATGTTCTCGAGCAGCAGCAGTCAAGCACTATCAATTCGCCGTGGAACAAGCAATGGCACGGGCCGATCTTCTCAACACCCAGAGTGTGGTTTTGTTACAAGCAGTAGTCCTGTTTTTGTCGGCTCTACGGAATGAAGATGCCTCACGCACAGCCTGGTCACTGACCGCGCTGATATTTCATATTGCCCAAGCTATGGGTTTGCACAGGGATGGGAGCGCATTTGGCCTCCGACCACTGGAGATAGAGATACGGCGGCGCCTTTGGTGGCATATCTGCTTGCTAGATATTCGGTCGTCCGAATATCATGGTTGCGAGCCGATCGTGCACGAGTCTATGTTCGATACTAGGATGCCCCTCAATGTGAACGATAACGACATCACAGCTGATATGACAGCCCTGCCTACGGAACGCGAAGAAGCTACTGAGATGACTTTCTGTCTCATTCGTTGCGAGGTGATGCGCATTGTATGGAAGACAGGCTATGCCCCACCCAGCATGCGGCGGCCTGGTCAACCCGCCGAGGGGCTCTCTCTTCCCGACCGTGCCGCCTTAGCCAAAGACCTGCGGCACCGATTAGAGGAGCGCTATCTTAAATACTGCGATACCACCATCCCATTCTTCAAGGTGTGCGTAACTGTCGCGCGTCTGATCATCGCTCGCACCTGGCTGGTCGTGTACTATCCGCTCACTCAGAAATGTGATGGTCCCAGCTTGCCCAGCACTATCCGCGACCGGCTGTTCATCACCTCAGTCAGAGTACTTGAGTTATCAAACGTCCTACTTACCAGTCCGGACATCGCACAGTGGACATGGCACTCCAAGACTCACGTTCAGTGGCATGCAGTAGCTTTCGTCCTATCTGAGATTTGCTCGCGTCCACCGTCGGAGGACTGTGATCGCGCCTGGGAATACGCGCAGACAGTTTACAGTGGGTGGAAGATGAAGGAGAACAAGGGTAGCCTCTGGCGGCCCATCAAACGGTTGATGGCCAAGGCACAATATGTCCGCGAGATGCAAGATAATAACAACCCGGCTCCCAAGCGACATTGGCGAGTGGCCGGAATGACTACTGCATCACCCACTGCTCCTTCACCCAGGCCTTCAACGAGGCCTAGTTCTATGGGAACTTCTGGCGTGACACCTGAGGCTATAAGGGGCGAGGCTCCGGGACTCATTGATCGGAATGGCGTTCTATCCACAGAACCACTTGACCCCTTTTTCGAGGATTTCGCAAAACCAGAGTTTCTCTATCAGGCTTCGGAATATCCACGCCCTGCAGACATTGATTATATCATGAGTAACTGGATTGGAAGTCCTAACGATATCGACCTTGGGCTCAATGGACTCGCCCATAACACCTAGGTAGTTCAATTCAAGGAACCCATAAATTACCGCATAATATCAGACAAGCAACGAGTCTATCAATAATTGCCGCCCCATGTTTGAATCATATTTCTGTAATCCATATGCGCCTTCAATCCCACGATATTAAAAGATATCCCAGGTTTATACTTTGCAGTCAGTAAACTGCAGACACCCCGGAAATCCCTTTGTAGTCTTGAATATAATGCACCAAATTCACCTCCCAGTTAATGAATTAGCTGCCTCTCGTCGTTTGACTTTGCACATTAAAGGGACCCGGTGCCATGCTACCGTACCTTTCTGGGTGTCCTGCCAGCCCTGCGATTCCGGCAAAATTTCAATTTCAAAATGCCAGAACAACTTAGCAAGTACGATTCGTGTCTCCGCCGTTGTCAATCTAGTCACAATAATGTTGGCGAAGCCTCTTAATTTCTTCCGTTTGGAGACTCACCTATTACCCAAGCATGTTCTAGGGCCGTAACTGAATGGGTTAACCACAGATAACCGATCATTTGCGAATGGCGAACTGCTTTCCTGAGCTTCAGGTAACCATCTCTCCGGGCAGAAATCATCCGGCCGATGGAAATTTGAATGTGAGTGGTAGGCCGCATGCTGGTGGACTCCGACAGTAGTACCCGCCGGGACAAACTTCCCATCAATCGTCTCACCACCAGGAGGCACAAAGCGACCGGTTGATGAGGGTGAGGGGCAGTGAATGCGCAAAGATTCTTGCATGACAGCTGCCAGGTAAGGCAGTCGAGCGACCCGTTCTGATGTAATTTCAGAATCGGATGCAAATTCTGCACGAACCTCCATTGCCAACTTCCGGTAGACGTCGGAATTAGTTGCAAGGGAATGCATGTTGGTTGATAGCCAGGTTGCAGTTGTGCCTGTCCCAGCGCCGATGATGGTAGCAGCGTTGAGGCGCATTTCCATCGGGGTCATCCCGTCTTTCTCGCCAAGCATATAGCTTAAAATGTCCCGACGATCCGTGTTGGTCGCTAGACGTTTCTCAAACTTTGCACTGATGATTTTGAAGTTCTCAAGCGCGGCTTGGACCCGGAACTTGGGTAGCAAATATTCCCGCCATCCCACCAAGTTATATGTTTCCAGTGCTTGAATCCTGTTCATCGTCAAAAATTTGTTGCAGGCCCCTCTCATACGAGGATATCTCACCAAACCTGGGACTGAATGGACTGTGTCAATATATCCAACCATCGACCACCGTTTTCTTGTTGCAGTGCTCCTTCTGGTTGGCCGCATAGCAAGTCTCCAATGAGGTCCATCGTAGTCTGTCAAACTAATCAACCACATTGCACTCGAATCAGTGACCATTGCAGCTCTCACCCATTCAAAATACTTGTTGAGGTCCACGGGGGCCTCGTCACAGCGCCCTTGTAGTTTTTTGACTAGCAAATTGACGTACTTCACGATCGTACCATCGTGGTCCTTGATAGATTTTTCCGATAGGGCGGGCGCTAATATTCGCCGCAGTCGCGAATGGTTCGCCTTATCTGCACTGAGAATGGCATGCACACCCTGCAGATGCTGTAAGTCCCTCACCTGACGTCCAGTTTACTGCAGAAAGAAACGCACCTTCAGGCCCGGTCGGCTGAAGCCTGCCTGACAGTTCTTTTCCATTTCCACTGCGCGCAGGCCATAGATTGTTTTCCATGCTGTGTCTGTCGTGTAAGACAGATGATCAGGCGCAATTCGTACCACGCTGCCGTATTTCTCATGCAGATCAATGCTTTTCCAGACTAACTGGCCTGTCAACCGGTAGTAGATCCAGACCAATTGTGTCGCTGCCCATAGGTTTGGACCGGGGTACGCCCGTAGTGGGTGCAAGTAGATATTATAGAGACCACGGAGGGATATTCCACCGAGTAGCTAAGATCGAAAGTTTCATTCAGCATTGAAACGCCGTGGTTTGGAGCTCTCGATTACGACTCACGACAAAGACAGAGAGAGGAATGATCAGCGGGCTGTAGAGCACCGAGAGTGCTTCGTATGCAAGAGAGGCTACCATGATTTGAAATTGAGCCAATAGTAGAAAAGATAATCAAACAAAGGAATGCACAGGCTTTCAATATATATCGGAACTCGGTGTTGTCGAGCTATACTCAACGACCGTTGCTCGGGCGGATGTAAGTCGCGGAATTTGTGTATTGCAAATTACACTCGGACTTTCGGACCCCGTTCGCAGTTCGGGATTGGTCGGGGTCCAGGCCCAGCCTGGACGCGCATAAGCTTAACCGACGCCGGAGCGGGCCCACTCCATCCCTCGGGCTAGAGCGGATCCCCAAATAACTTTAACCAACCTTTGCTATACTGTATTTTGTCGGCGATTTGTAGGGCCGACGGGCCACCGCATAGGAACGGTCCCGATGTAAAGACCCCCTTTATGATGTTTTTATGGTCTGGCGACAGCCGCCTTCTTTAGACTTAAACACTTGACTCAACCACAGTCGGTTGTATTTCTGTCATACTTCTTTCTCCAGGGCTTTCACCTAACGGGACAACCCCGGATTCTTCCATTATGTCGTCTCTTCAAACAGACCAGCAACAGCCAGCCTCCAAAGACAGTACCAACACATTGCCACTCGAGGATCAGAAGGATCTAGAAAGCCAATCGAATCAGGAGACCGAGAGTCTAGAGCATCCTCTTCTCTACGATGCAACGCCGCCCACCGTACTGGTTGACTTTGACGGCAAAGATGACCCCTACCACCCCATGAACTGGCCCTTCCGAAAAAAGGTTATCACAACACTCTTGTATGGCTTTACCACCTGCTGGATTACTTTTGCATCGGCCATCTACTCCGCAGGACTCGGGCAAGTGTCAGAGGACTTCCGAGTCAGCAAAGAGGTAGCAGCGTCCGGTATCAGTCTGATGGTTTTCGGATTTGGACTAGGTCCACTGCTCTGGGCACCCCTGAGTGAAGTATACGGGCGGAAATGGGTGGTGATAGCGGTATGTTTTTACGTTTCCTCTCTAGTGGCGCATGACAATAGGCTGACTGGGTTCCAGCCATATTTCGTTGCAGCCATCTTCTCTTTTGGAACAGCGACAGCCAAGGACATCCAAACCGTTCTCATTACCCGATTCTTTGCTGGGCTATTCGGAAGCGCGCCCGTGACAAATACAGGTGGTGTGATGGCCGACATTTGGCCTCCTGAGCAGCGTGGTGTTGCCGTTGTTGGATATGCGATCACAATCGTCGGCGGCCCGACACTCGGACCTATTATTGGAGGCGCCCTGGCTTCAAGCTATCTGGGTTGGCGGTGGACAGAGTACCTGACAGGTATCATCATGATGGCGCAGGTTACCCTGGATGTCTTGCTCTTGGATGAGAGCTATCCCCCGGTACTACTTGCTTACAAGGCTCGCCGGCTACGTTTCGAGGGAAAGAACTTCGCATTGCATGCCAAGGTAAGGCTATATATACAGCCCAAAAGCTTCGTTCGTCTTCTCTGACCGCCTCCAGCAAGAGGAATGGAATCTGTCGCTTGGAGAGCTATCACAAAAGTATCTTATTCGCCCCTTCCAGATGTTGGGTACGCCTATCTGCCTGTTGATGAGCATATATGCATCCTTCGTCTATGGTGAGTACCCCTTGGTGATTATCACTGATTTTCTTCCATGTACACAGCCCACTAATTCTTTTCTTTAGGTATTCTTTACGCAAACCTTGAAGCCTTCTCGGTCGAATTCCAAGAAATCCGCAGATGGGGCCCCGTTATCGGCAACCTTCCATTTATCTCCCTTCTCGTCGGAATCTTCTTTGCTGCGGCTGTCAACATCTACAACAACAAGTATTATTTCAAGCAGTTCAAGGCAAACGGTAATAAGCCGGTCCCCGAGGCACGACTACCACCAATGATGGTAGGAGGATTTGCATTTACGGCTGGTCTCTTCATATTTGCCTGTAAGCTGAACTCTGGTGATCGCGTCAAAGTAGAACCTGGCTAAACCATTTCAGGGACATCATCACCAAGCACCAACTATTGGCCTTCTATCATCGGCATCGCCTTGACTGGATTCGGTTTCACAACCATCTTCCAGGCAGCCCTTAACTATTTGATCGACACATTCACACGCTTCAGTGCCAGTGCCGTTGCTGCCAATACCTTCCTACGATCAACTATGGCAGGTGCCTTCCCACTATTTGTTCTGCCCTTGTATCATAACATCGGGGTTGACTGGGGTACCACCATATTTGGCTGCATTGCAACCGTGTTGATCCCCGTGCCCTTTCTGTTCTTCTTCTGGGGAAAGCAGATCCGTGCACGGGGAAAGTGGAGCAAGCACACCGTTTAGGGTCCTCATTCTGATGAAAATGTCCACCCGTGGCCAGCTGAGGCGAAGGGTGTAGTTCATAGACAGCGATTTGTGAACGGCCCTGGCGTTTCCAATTTCTTAGAACATACAACATGTACATTTAGTACTGAACTAGTCACAACCTTTTTGAGGTATTTGAGAACCACGCAGCACGCGTACCCCGTTGCGCTTGCGAGAAACCCCACTCGGTGAGGCTGTGGTCTACCCGGTCATCTGCGGGCCCATCAGGGTCGTTATGTCTACAATTCGAGGGATAACGTTGAATTGCAAGGTGAATCCCCAAAAGTATTGCGGCTCACACGCCATTCTTAGTCAGTTGAGTTTGGGGGTTTGGGTTTAGTGAAGTAAATCGGGAGGGGCCGGCAGCGTCGAAGTCTACCACATTTTGCTCGGCAAATTGATGAGCAGGGACATTGCCATAGCTCGATCCAAATAGGAGAGAGGCTGATGGGCAGCGCAGCATAGGTTACTTAGGGCTTGTTAGAAGGATAAACAATATGCGCCTTGATCGTTAAAAAGTGGAATAATGGCGATCCTAAAGGTGCATCTATCGTCTGCTGGCTGACTTTCAAAACAATAGTTCATGTTTTCAGCACAAAATCCGGCCAAAATTGCCTCTTGCTCGTCTTGAAAAACTCCGACCTCATAGGCAAGGGGCGGGGGCTCGACAAGCCCCTGAGCGCCCTCGTAAAAGCGGCGGGAGCTAAGAAAGGAAAGCCCCACCCGGCAGAGGAAATATGTTACGTACAGTGACCTATGTACTCCGTAGGTATGGATAACTTTAACGAAGCTTACTAAACATCTTGGCTTGTTTCGAATTTCTCGAGGTCCCCCTGGGCAAGGTTACCTAGAAGGTACGGCGAACATAGGTTTATAGTAGCACTCGTGCACGTTTGAGAAAACCTTATCCTCATTATCTATCTTATTATTTGTACTGGACGGATCCGCACAACTGTTAACGAACAGTATGCCACTCCTCTCCCCCATTTCGCAATGCATCTCTTCCCTCGCCCGGCTAAATCACAAGTGGGGAAGCCGCAAAGTTTCGAGGAAAAATGAGGGATGGGAAAAACCTCTGTCGAGTCGTTTGTTGGATGTCTTTCTGCGGACATGGGATCTAGGGTTTACAGCCTTCGGAGGACCACCAGTACACTTCCAGATTCTACATAGCAGGTTCGTGGAGGGACAGGGCGACAAGGAAAAATGGGTAGATGAGCAGACTGTATAAATCTCCCTTACAAATCCTCAAGTGTTATAGGGGCTGCTAACAAATCTCACAGTACCAGGAACTCTTTGCTATTTGTCAGGGCCTTCCGGGTCCCGGTAGCACGAAGATGCTTTTTTGCCTAGTTCTTTTACATGCAGGATTTATTCCTGCCACGCTTGCATTTTTCCTTTGGAGGTGATCTATACCATTATGCTACAAAGCCCGCTATTTGTTGATCTTCAACTAACCGTGTCAGTCTCCCTGGCGCAATTGGCATGTATGCCCTTTCACTTGGGGTGCAAAACATGAGCGAAACGCTTCCCAAACCTGTCTACTCCTTACTTTCTGGTCTTAACGCCTCCACGGTAGGTATTGTTGCACTTGCAGCTGTACAATTGGCCGAAAAAGCTATTCGCGATAAACTATCCCGCATCCTTGTGATCTTTGGCGCATGTGCTGGTCTCTGTTACAATGCACTCTGGTATTTTCCCGTGCTGATGATTATTGGTGGCTTCCTCACAAGCATCTGGGATGGATGGTTGTATCAACAAGTTCTGAGAGTAAGGATCGTGTGGAAGAACAGACATGCTCGTCCACAAGAACCGGATGAGGCAAATGGGGACCCTATAGCCATGGATGATATAACCCTGGAGGAGAATAGAGTGCAAAGAAGCGAGACGATGCGACCACGAAAGACAGATTCTAGAATCGAAGGACTACCACAAAGTGTAGTTGATACTACAAGACCAACGCAGTCCGCTGAAGCTCATTCACAGCAGCACATTATTCGGATTCGGGTCGGAGCTTTGGTCATGGGTGTCTTTTTTGGTGTGCTTACCACCCTAACAAAATTTCTGAGAGTCAACACTAATATTCAGTTAGCTTCCTTCATTGGAGTTCTTCTTGCGAGAGCCCAACTCACCACACCCCCATTGGTCCTCGACCTCTTTGCCAATATGTACCTTGCTGGCACTGTTATATTTGGTGGAGGTCCTGTTGTCATTCCCCTTTTACGCACCTACGTCGTCGATCCCGGGTGGGTCTCTAGCAGAGACTTCCTGATCGGCCTTGCCATCATTCAAGCTTTCCCCGGTCCCAATTTCAACTTCGCTGTCTTCCTGGGGGCGCTAGCACTGCAGAACTCGCGCTTCCCAACTGTCTTCGGTGCGTTTCTCGGCGGGTTAGGAATCTTCCTTCCGGGAATCACGCTGGCCGTTGCAATCCAAAGCTTCTGGCGCGTATTGCGGAAGAAGAAGTATGTGGTCGACTTTCTCAGAGGGGTGAATGCTACTGCAGTTGGGCTGGTGTTTACAGCAGTATACCGGTTGTGGGAGATTGGATACCTAACTCATGAAAGAAGCAACGGACAGAGTCTGGGTAAGGAACCGTGGTGGGTAGTTGTTGCGACGGTAACATATGCAGGGAGTGCATGGTTCAATGTGCCTCCGCCTGTGGCAATTGTAATGGGTGCCATTTTAGGGTTATGCTGGTTTGGAGCTGTGGGGCGATAGCATATTCTGGCAACGTTGTTCTCTCTCGAGTCTCACCCCCACCGTCAAGGCGCTAGCTCGAGCATTGGGCACATTTAAATACGTGATTTTTTAAAATATTTTCACGTGACTATAGATCGCCCTCATATATTCCCCTCATCATTAACCCCTAATCTAGAAAAAGCTGAAAAAGCCTCGCTGACACCCGTGGACCGATGTCTCGCTGGCCGATTTCTAAGCAAAATGTTGTTTTTCAGCCTGCTGTTTTTCACAGGCCGATCCATGGCTGCTTCTAACTCGACAGCTCTAGTCAGCTGGCAGTTAGAGGACAGCAACCGCTCCACATGGGCTCTGGTGTGGTCCTGTTTGTCGACAATATTCGCCTGTACCTGGACAGTCCTACACCCGAATCTCCCTCGCCGAAACTCGCCCACCGTGCGAATAATTATTGCGAATTTCGGATACTGGCTCCTCGCTGTCTTTTTCCCAGAGTACGTGTTCGTAACCGCTTCACTGATGCGTTACCGAGCAATGCTATTGAAGAAGGTGTGCAATGAAGCACAGAAAACCCGATATCTTGAATCAGTGGACCCGGATGCTTGGCTGTCCAAACGGGCTAGGCCACTAGAGCAAGCGCAAAACCAAGGCTCTGTTGATCCCCATCCATTTCGCACCGAGTGGACGCTTCGAAAATGTTTCTGTATTCTTGCTGGTGGACTTGCCATCCAGACCCAGGACGGGTGGATCTATGTCCTCCGACGAAACGACATGAAACCGTTCATTGAGGCCGGCATAGTCGAAGATATAGACTTTCACGATCGTGATGTTGAAGACCGTGCCAAAGCAGATTCTTTAGGCAAAACCTTCACTGTCCTTCAAACTAGCTGGTTCCTAGTCAACATAATAGCAAGATGGGCAAATTCTCTGCCGGTTTCACCAATCGAACTAGCGACAGTCGCTTATATTGCCTGCGGTATACTGTTGTATGCCATGTGGTGGTACAACCCTAAGGATATGACCACACCTATCACGATTTATGTCCGATTTGATCGTAACGATATACCGACCCATCTTCTCGATCACACGGCAACAAATCCCCATGGGTGGGTTCACCGTTATGCACAAATTAAGAAAGAGACCGTGTTCTCTGTCTTTGCGCAGGCTGCTCGATGGTTTATTGGCGCAGCCACGGGACCTGTTGATACAACAGACGACCCCTATACTGGTCTCTATAAACCATCCCATGGATTGATTGTGACCGCTATCAATACCTTTGTTGCTTTCCTTTACTGTGGTATTCATCTCGCCGGGTAAATAGCCATCTACCCTTAATTATATAGATTGTTGCTATTGATTTACTAACAATTTCTTTTCTCTTTATAGATGGACTTTCCCGTTCCCCACTGAAGCTGAACGAATTACTTGGCTTGTCTCATCGCTTGCTTGTGTCGCCCTCGTTGGTATTTACAGCCTAGTGAGCACCATACCTATATATGTGATTTGGTTTGAGTCAAAAAATCTGTTTCTTTTCTATACTAAGGCCTTCAATGCTCGAAAAGGCTTTTGGTATCGGATAATTCTGCTCGTCGAGCTATCATGCTTCGCCATATACGTGATTCTACGTCTGATCATCATGGCCCTAGCTTTTACTTCATTGAGAGCTCTTCCGGTCGGCTCCTATACGACTGTTGAATGGGTGATGAGCATTCCGCATGTTTAAAACTGGCTGGAGGAATTAGATTATAGGGGCTTGGGGAGTTAATGAGAATATGTTGAGTCTACCAGACGAAAGGTTCGGGCTTTGTGAGTCTCATGAGGTAATGATGATTGCATTCTGTTGATCTAACAGGTATTCCTGTTGGGAAGGAAACTTTAGTCCCGTAATCTCCTTCTTAGAGAGCTCATCTACGCCTTCCACGGAGGAACGGCCGTAGGACAGTATCGGCTGTATCCCTCCAAGCCAATGGGTTTGGATTTCCGCCAACCACTGGTAGATCAATGAGGCGGGAGCAATGAGTAGATTTCCTTGGTCAAGAAAGAATACAAGAGAGCCGCAAGAAGAGACTGCTGTGTTTTTCAATAGAGAGAGGGTGAGTAGCAGGGTGAGCAACCCTCCTAGCGTACGCGACGCACGCACGGACCGTGAGTTGGGTTCTTGTCTACTGCGGTATACGATGTCCATGGATATCTCAATAGCTGAATAAGGAACAAAAAATGAGTGAAGGCCGTACTCGTTGTACCAAAAATTTCATGTTTCAGCGATTTTATTTCATGCAGGCATCAGGGAAGGTTGTGAAAATGACTTCAATAGGAAAGGCAGCCTAGGGGCTCAACTTCGCCCGGCCCCCAAATATCACATGACGTGAGTTGCCTTTGCACCACGACTCATATTCCCAATCGGCTTGCTCCGTTCCCATTCCTGTCACTATCTCCCTCATTGCTGTATGTTTTAAGGTCTTGCCAAAAGGCGAACTTGAGCTTTCCATTGGTTTTGTCCAAATGATGCCAAAATCAGGAAAGTCCTCAGAGGCGATCGGCCCCGTCCTTCGTTTGAGACCTGTTGCTCAAACCGAAGCCGAAGAAGTAGAGCCAGAGCCTTGGAAAGGGACGATTCATCTTGATGGGCCAATGGTCCCGCACCCTTCGTTTCTGAGAGAGTATCCACCAGAAAATCGCTCAAACTACGCAACAGACATCACCAAAGACGAGTACCGTGCGCAATGGAAAGATAAGAAGGAGAAGCTGCACCAGCAGATTCGAGCACTCAAAAAAAGGGAGAAATTGGTTCCCCCGAAATACTAGCGGTCCATGTTACGTGGCCACCAGTCGATATGACGCAAAGGAATGGAAGGACAGATGATAATCTTGAATCAGCACTGGAAAAGTATTACGTTGGTGCTCTGCAGTACAGTCTCCTCCTAGGTCTTTTCCCATGCAATATTGTTAGGCTAATTAAAGAAAGCTATCTCATACCCGGTGAAGAAACACCTCTCAAAATGATAGAGCGGTTTGGTGCGGATTGGGGACTCAACGCTCGAGGTATCTATTACCGTCATTATTATTCGCCGGAATATGTTACACCATGCCATAATCTCTGGCTTCCTTCACTTCATGGTACCCATTGGAGCCATGTCAGCGAAGACGGTCGTCGTGTCAGAGCAGAAAGATTCCTCAAGCATAGCTTGGACAACGAAAGATTTAAGAAAAGCGAGTACGCTTGGGAAGCTGATGCGTGGCAAGACGTTTTTGGTCTGTTAAGGGAGGACCCAGCGTTGGCAGTGTGAGTTTCTATCTCCTGGAGTGGGTTATAGCGGTTGACCAATTGAATCAAGAGACAAACACGAATACAACACAATTAAGGAAAAAAGAAATGATGTGTCATGTCTACTCGATGGCCAACCAAAATTTGTTAGAAGAATACCGGATGCTACTTTTGGACTTGCGACCTTCAAACCCGCAGATTACCCCGACTATCCCGATTCTTTGGATGTATGGAGTCTAGATCGTGACCGCCTTGAATCCCTTCTCCTCCATCGCCACTGCGGTCTTATTTCAGACCCACATTGGGGAGATGTAGACCTAGTCTTCCCTTTTGCTGTTTATGAAGCTAAGGGATGGAGTGGTGACCCTCGAGAAGCTCGCCGCCAAGCTTGTTCAGCAGGGGCGGTTTACCTCGACATGCTAGACAACTTAGCAAGAAAGCCAGGGGCTTCTGGTGGAATAAAAAGACCATACCAAACTGCACAGAGTTGCAATAACCAGGTTTTTGCTCTCACATCCTTTGGAGCTCATTGGCATATTTTGGTGGGCTACAAGCGACTGCGTCTGGAGAGAGAGCATGCCGGACATGAAGGACTCAGTGAGTCTGTCTATGTAAGTGTGGCCAATGGAACTAAAGTTGCCTCCATATACTCATTGTGAAAATAGGTTTTTCAAAGGATCTGGAGCGGCCGGGTTGTGACCAAGCGCAAAGCGTGGGAGCTCTTGTCATTGGTCGACCAGATACATTCCTGGGGGGTGACAGAGCACCGAGATTCCGTCATTCAACATCTAAAGGCCTGGCATGCATTTGGCAGGTTATGCTATGCCAATGATTCTCAATTCCTGGATCAGCAATTGACCGCAGATCCGCTCAAGGAATATAGGGAAGAGCATGGTGAACCGATCATACTAGGACCAGTGGCATCTTTACAGCTAGCGGGTTGGGTCAAGAACTTGACTACGGATACTCGAGACAAGCTACGGCAGAGGGCTATATTTCACTTCTGGGAAGCTCGTCGACGGGATGCTGTCGCCAATAGCGCTGATGAGCCTATAGAGTGGCGCTGCGTACAAGGGGATTGTGGCCCAGCAGAAAGCCCGGGGTATCCATTAACAGGCAAGGAAGAATTCTCAACGCATTGTCGCCAGGCCCATGGATACAGTGACATAGCCATAGCGAGGCTAGGACACGCTTTCAAAGAGCTGAAATATCTTGAAGAACGCCCCAATGAGCCAAATCTGCGGCAGATGAAGAGATCGAGCTGTGGGGAACCTGGACCATCTACAAAGCGATATAGAAGTCAACGCTCTACAGCCCAGGGGGAGTCTGACGTCGCCAAGGGAAAAGCTAGAGTTATTGACCTAACTGATGACTAGCGAAATCCTCCCGTCACCATACTATAATTTGGCAATTACAGTGGTTTTCATGATCTAAGTCACAGGATGAGCAAAATAAACGACTCAAGTAGTGGCTGACATCCTCGCCATGAGGTGCTCCGGCGGTGCCTTCAGAACTTGGTATATTGCTGCAATTACCAAATATTGTATCACACCGAAAATGATCAAACGAATAAGATGCTCTGTTCTGATCACCATTTCACGCAGTGAGCGTTATTGTAGTTCTCAATGAACTGTGTTCCCGTTACAAAGCTTTATACCAGGTTAGGACTGTGTTTCATTAACAACATGAACTTGGTAATTTCTCTATACCCACCACATAAATACCTAGGGCCTCCTCAGTTTTTCATATAGTGGCGGCGCTGGTGCTACCGCTGCCGCGGCTACAATATTTGGCGGCGGAATTGTATCCGTGTTTCCCCAAAACGCTTGAAACCGTGCTTTAAACCACCCCCAAAGATCGTATGACTTTCTGATGTCTGGGTTGTTCATAGCTTTGTAAAGGGTAGATAAAAAAACCGACAGAGATGCTAAAAGGATATTAACAAGGTAAGCATTGTCGGCAACAAAGTAACAAATGAAAAAAGAGTTAGTGATAACAGAGACTTGACAGAATGCAGTTATTTTGGCTTTCCTCCGAGCAAAACAGTATCCTATGTAGATTATTAATAACCCAAAAAGGATCAGGAATAAGATATAGTTGAAGTTTCGGACGTTTGACTGGTGATACAGGATAACGAAGACAAGATTCGTGATGAATGAGTAAGGAAGGTAAATGAAGAAGACAAACAAATAACGAAAAAAAGTAGCTTAATGATAAAAACCAAGTCTTGCGGTGATTGTTAAAGAACAACCGTGAATGCGACCCAGGAAGTATGGGATTAGCCACTATTTCATCCATTGACCAGTTTCAAAATGGTGCAAACCTGCACTTGCACAGAAAAAGAAGAAATGTGATAATGAAGAATGGATAAGAAATGATTGCTTCAATAAGATAAAATCTCTTGGGTGTTGACCAAGAACCTTCATCATAATCTTCTGAGAATGCCAATTTGACGAAGATTGTTGCTGGAACAAGATAGGTTGCGCATGCTAAATGATGCGGCAGTCACACAATCCGGGTTGGTGCTGTTGTTAGGGTCCCAGAAATTGACATTTTCAGTGACAATCAGGGAGATCACTGCGATAGCGAAAACCCATACAAAGGAGCTGAAGACGTCATTTCTGGGAATTTCATATTCATAAGTCATTGTTTTCAATGTATGCAGGATACAATGGTTGGTTAAAATGTTTGTCATTACGAAAAATAAAAGACTGGAGGACAGACTATTTTGAAAGATGGTCAACGGCCCGCATAGCGCAAGGTGATGATAATATACGTACAAGGTCGCATGGTGGCGCTACTTAAGAACCGAGGACTAATGCCATAATGGTAGCCTAGATCTTTCCAAGCCCACTGGGGAAATATCAGCAACGTTATAATTCACAGTATCTCACCTGGGACGCGCTGCATGCAAATACACTTTGCAGTGTGTAATAATCGACTAAAGGCCAAGAGAAGAGAGTCTGTTGGCGCCTGGTTGTTGGTACATCTTCAGGCTAGGTCAATCTTGTTCTTTCTCCTCGAGTTCTCTGCTGGCTTGTTATACGATCGATTGACTGCGCTTCTTCTTGCCGTTGAGGTTACCCAGTCATAAGGAAGGTGTATGTGGAACCATCCTTCAAACCTGCTTTGACTAGCACTTCTCCATAACCCAGCGTAACAACTTGCTTGCCGGAGCAGTCTTTGTAGCATATGCAGTCCTAGGGTGATCCAACTCGTAGGTGTGGAAATCGTGGAGATCATGTGTCAACGACTTGTCTGAACCAGTGTCTAGGAGCCAGTCATTCGATCTTCTTTCTGAAACTCCGTGGAAGCTCATTTGCTAGTGACGCCTTTTAGTGGGTACCCTGTCGCATCCCGAGGTCAACATCTGCAGATTTTGAGCGGCATTTTCTGTGTGAAACAGCCTCACTTTGATGACTGACCCAATCCTCGATTGAACCCTCCGCCTTTGTATCCATTGTTGAGAAAGCGCCGAGTCGTGCATTATGCTTTCTGCCGTCGGGTCCAGTACAAACAGCCCAGATTCAATTATGGCTGCATACTTTGGACTGGACTGGGTATGCAGGCCACCACTGAATACCTGGGCCAAATCTCCGTTGACCGCCATGATGCAGATTCCCTCTTCCCCCCCACCGGGATGTATATGTGTCTCGGATCGCACTTGTCATGATTCCATGGATTCAATGTTAGAGATCTTGCACCGAAATATCTTCCCCGTTCCGCCTGTCATCCATGCATATCTGGCCGTTGTACTTACCCGTTTCATATTTCTGTTTTCTAGGCAAATCTGGAGCCCTGGAGGTATACTCGGCCGCTCATTCTGCCTCTGTCCTTGACGATATAAGACTTTGCTGGTGTGTTCTATTTAGCCTTAAGATAATATCAGGGATAGATATAATCAGGAATAAGAATTGAGACTATCATAAATGGGAAGAGCAATAGCAGGTTGCTGTATCTCACGACGTCTCACAAAATCAAGCAAACGAGTTATGACACCTTTGTCTCCATTGTAGTCCGCACCTTCCTCTTTCTTGTTGCATTTTTTCTTCTTCGTCTTCCTCACAAAGCCATCTCAGAATTTTCCTTATTATCCTGCTACCTTGCAGTCACGAACCTTCTTCTGTCGCGATTTTCGTTGGCTCCAAGCCACTCAGCCTCAAGATCATTCCAACAGTTACTTACACGTATCAAACGACTATCACCATGGGTCGATGGGGATGGCGTTAGTATTACCGTCCCTCGTCTCATTTACTCTACCTTATGTTTAACCAACCTCTACCTTAGACCTGTTTGAAGGCGATCAGGACCTTGACGCCGTTCTCACCTTGTCCAACAGCCTAGGCGTCAATACCGATGAGTGGGAGCACAGTTTGAGTGCGATGATTCATCAAACCGACATGCTGGCACCAGCGGACGCCGCTGCCCTCTACAGGACCCCTGAATATGCCGATTCGCTGGCCAACGTCACCATCCCGTACATCCGCCAGAAACTCGACACTGACAACTTCGGAGAACGGATGTTCGCTGCCAGTCGTGCCAAGGAAGGGGACCCGGACGACCTCTTCCAAGACTCCAAGTACCAGACTATCATCCTAGGTGCTCTCATGATGCGTGCTGGTGCCCGCATCAGCGCAGCGGATCTGCAACATCTACGCGATCTTGTACCCCAGATCAACTGCACCTCGCGCCGAACTCTTTTCGAGGACCATGGCTTCAGAACTCCAGGAAAGGTTCAGTTCCAGGCTGCCTTGGATCACTACCAGCCCGGTGTTGCACGTAGCTTCCAGGAGCCTAGGTGAGTTCTCCTTTGGGAGACTGACGAATGCAGACACTTTACGTTAACGACCTTGATAGCTGCTTCACGTGTGGAAAGATCGAGGACGATATTGGTCACAAGCCTCTGCAATGCAAGAAGTGTAAAGTCGCGACGTACTGCAGCAAGGTAAGCACGATACAGACCAGCTTTCTAAGTTATGTTCATGGGTATTAATTCTTCATAGGACTGCCAGCGTGACCAGTGGCGCGAACATCGAGTGAGCTGCGTTCCCCCAGGACAACGCCGGTGGCTGAACGTCTGATGGCACCTTTTTATGGGTTCCAATAACACTGGGGCTGGCAAGGATCAAGATTCTGATGTTTCCGGCTAGATTTTCCCTGGGTGTTTACGTTCATGTCCGCAATATCTCAGACCCAGTATTTCCTGGCATATTGATCGACTTTATTTCTATCTGCTCTTCTAGGTATTGATTCAATCAATGAAGTTTCAAATTCAATTTACACGCTGGCACCGTCCTATTCGTGGGGAAATGGCTGGAGAATATGTGCTAACACGCTACAAATGTAGTATACGCATGTTGTAGAAAGGAAATGGAACCCATAATATAGACGCTAAACTGGAGTGGCGGCGTCTTGGATGCCCTTGTCTTTGATCGTCTTCGGAATCACTTCTTGGCTGGACTTTAAGAGATGGCTGCCATTCGGCCAATGAGGACGAGAGGTGTTTAAGCAGTGTGTTGTGAACAACAAATCTCCCTTTTCAACCAAAAGGACTCGCTGGCCGCCTTCGACGAGTTTTCGAGTGACTACTCCTCCTCCCATCCCGCTTCCCACGACAATGTAATCATAGCGATCCTGGGCGCTAAGCGCAGAGACAAGTTCAATGTCTGCCGAAAGGCTCGCATGCATTTTGGGCACTTTGTTGAATACTGATTTTGGTTCAGTGATTGACAATAAATATACCCTCCTTATACCACGGTGTCGTGATGTTTTCAAATGCTTTTTTCTTTCTGACTTCTGCTAGTGAGATGAGAACTCAGTATTGCGTTCTCTTCTTTGGTCAGCATACATACAATAATCAATGTACTATATGTCATTGTGACCTCAAGAAAGTACTTTGACACCGTTCATATCCTGGGTGGGCACGCGCGACATAATCTAAAATATATAAGTCGTGTATGATACCCATGCTTTCGACACGAGCATAAATGATCGACCAGTCTCGATCAGTGAACATTATCATTTTCATTGAGCTGAACTGAATACTGCGGCAAAATAATTACCATTTATTTTCACTTAGAACAATCTGTTGGTTTTTCATATCCATCTAACCGCCTCAGCTGAGTGGTTAGACCGGACCTGATACAGTGGACGGTCTTGTTCGTTGGAGAGGCAAAAAGAGTATTGTAGTCGCCACTAGAAACTCGGGCAAGATCACCAGACATAGTGCGTCTTATATATCATAGCATAATTTGAATAGCGTAGTACGTGTCTCTGAGTCAAGCACCTGGAAAAAGGTCCATATTGTTGGTTTATGGCTGCTTGAACCAGCGTTCGAGTAAGAGCTTTAACATTTGATGCAGTTCCATCCAATGATATTTGCGAAGACCGCCATAGTTTTTGGTTCGATTCTGCCGTGTCCCCGCTAAATGTATTCCAAAGTGGAAAGGTTTCGTGAGGTCATCCGTTCCGACCGACGCCTGACCACATATTTTGGGCGCTCTAAGACACTAAACCCATATTATATTGCTGGTGATCTACGGCCCGGGTAATCTAGATTTGTCCAATTGTCCCCGTGTCGATCAAACTCATATACTACATAATCATTTTCTATATATTCCCTAGTCAACTGTGTCGAAATGGGATATGGTCTCCCTAGGCCCTAGACAGGAATCATGGTTTTTGTTGTGGTCTAGTGGTAAAATAGGCTGTATTATTTTCCACACATGCTGCTAGCTTTGTTTCCCAGGTTGAAGGGAAGCCGGCTTGCTGGCGAATAGGCCAGTGGCCGCCATAATACACGATTCATGTTGACTTGCTGCTATGCTCCACAAGCGAGGTACAATTCATGGGCCGAGTATTGGAGTCGAAGAGGTCCAGGAACAGGGGTGTAGCTTCTAGTGAGGTGTTGTTCAAACAGGGGTGTTGACCCTGAATGCCTGAGGCATGCAAATGATTAATTAGTCACGAATTTACTCCAGTCTTAGGCCCAGGTTGAAGTTCAAGAGAGAAATCATCTGTAGAAAAACAGAAACGCTGTAGAAATGCCACCAAGGATAGTAGAGAAGTGACTTTGTAGATATCTGCATAAGAATTATGCATATCCACTTATGCCGAATTGTGCAGCGGCACCCTAAATCCGCCGATCCCGTCATTCCACGACATCAAAGCATCAAACCCGATGTCTTCCAATGAGAAAAAGCGCCTTCGAGATCGTCGCTCACAGCAGACTCTTCGTGAAAAGAAGCTGCGACATGCAACCCAGCTCGAAGAACAGGTGGCGCACTGCGAGCAGCATCACAGCGACCAAGGCGTGCAACGCCTTCTCCAAGTAATTGAAGGGCTCCGCAAGCAAAATGAAGCTCTTCTCACGCGCCAAAGGAGCCTGAAATTGCTCGTCAACTCCTGGGAAACAGAAATAGATGAACCAGCGGCCACCGATGACTCCAGCCATGACTTGTCATCTCTGTATAAGGAGATGAGCAACCGAGAAGCCCAATTCTCCCTCCAAACGAACTTCAACGAATTAATACCCCAGCACGGGATAAGCAACATCCTCAACCCCCCCATGTCCGCTGCACCAACACCACCACAATTCCAATCCCCATCTCTGGAACCTCTTACCGCCGAAACCACGCCTCTGTGGAACCAAATTCCGCCACACACTGACGACTTCAGCACACGCACCATGATCTCCTGTCCGTGGTTCGTCTACCCAGAGCTCATATTCCCATGCCCAGATACACCCAGTTCTCCTCTGGACTTTATATACGGCACGAAAACAAACCCACTAGCAGACATGATCCACACGGCCCTGCAACGCCGTCCAGTCCGCGATCCAGAGCGACTGGGTACTGGCTGGCTGGCTTATCACTACTCGAGATGGGTAATCGCACCAAGCCCGGAGACCTATGGTCGACTCCCTGCGTTCCTCCGGCCTGTGCAGGGCCAGATCACAGTTCCGCATCCGCTCGTGTTGGACTTTATGCCGTGGCCAAGGCTGAGGCTGAATCTAATTCGGCGATGGCATCTGTATAGCAAGCACCGGGATGATCTGTTCGGGTTCATGGCTTGTTGTGTTAAGATTCGATGGCCTTGGAATGAGACGATACTTGAACGGAATGAGCGGAACGAGTTGTGTATCAACAAGGCGTTTTACGAGGTGTTCATGAGTGAAAGTGGGTGGGGGCTTACGCCGGAGTTTATTAGACGGTATCCTGATCTTGTGGAGGGGATGGATATCAATCAAATCATGATTGAGCTTTTATAAGGGATGACCATATTCATGTACAGAATATATTTTTTCTATTAAGTTCTATTATTAATTGTGTATATGCGACTTCTATATGCAGGTCGTTAAACCTTATCCCGATCATGGAGAGAGACAAGGTCGATGTGGAGCGAGTAGGATGCCCTTGAAGATAGTAGCAGCTCAAGCCTTTTTACCATCAAGATCGACAGGCCACTTCTCCCGAATCACCTTGCCGTACTTGATGAAGACAATAGGAATCGGGATGAATGCCAAAGCCAAGAACCCAAGCAACGAGTTGCCCCATCCGAGACCCAGATTACCAAACATCTTCGGTCCAGCAAGGGGAAGCAGAGCTCCAACCAGGGAGCGAGTCGCTGTCAAAGTGGCATTGGCCGACGCTGCATATTTGGGATAGCAATCGATGATATATGTCTGGATGGGCATGTACACGCCCATCATGCCGACTCCGAAGGGGAACATGCCAATGATAGGCACGATCCAAAACACGTGCTTCTCGGCTGTCCAGCCGTACCAGAAGAAGCTGATTGGCAAGATGCAGGCGAAGATGATCATCGTTGGGAGGCGCATCTCAGGTTCGAACTTGCCGCCGTTCTTTGCTGTAGCTGCCATGACCATCCGGTCGTTTGTGAAGGCGATCATTGCGAGACCGCCAATGAAACCGAAGCCAATACCGAGATATGCAAGTCCCGATAGGCCAACGGAGAAGCCATATGTCTTAGTGAAGACGCTCGGGATAGTGGTGAAGAAGAGGTAGAGCAGGCCGTAGATGAAAGACTGGAGATAAAATATTAATAAACCGCATTTTGGAAGGGACTTTTCGTGTATCACGGAACTCAGACTCACCATATAAACACACAGAAGGAAGACAATCGGCGACTTAACAAACAGCAAAATAGGCCGTTTGAAACTCTGTGCCAGCACCTGTCTCAAACCAGCATGCTCCGCATCCGTGTCATAAGCACTCCGCAAATCCGTTCTCCCCGTTTCCTTTGCGAGTTTCTCAGTTTTCCACCGAATAAGAACGTCCGCATACGTCTCCTTGTTCAGAACCTCAACCCCGAACGACACCACACCACCTACAATAAGCAGCAGCCAAAACACCCAGCGCCAGCCAGCTTCCATTCCGAGGAATCCACCCGCAATAGGCCCAACCACAGGTCCAATCAGTGGTCCCATAGCCCAAACGGAGGTTGCCATGCCGCGCTGCTCCCGCGGGAACAGATCTGCGATCACACCCGCGCCGAGTGTTAGACATCCTGAACCGCCGATTCCGGCGAATAGACGGCAGACGATGAGGGTCTCAATGCTGTTTGCGCGAGCGCAGCCGATTTGCCAGATTACGAAGAACCAGTTTGCACCGCTAAGGACAACGCGGCGGCCGTAGACTTCGCTCAGAGGGGCGAGAAGAAGGGGGCCGAACTAGATCCGTTAAGTTAGATGGATTGGATTGCATAGATGATGGACATGTGGGGTTGCCTCACTGCATATCCTAGGATATAGATGCTGACACTGAAAGACAAGATTGTCTGATCCGTTACTCCGAACTCCACTGCCACGTATGAGATGGCGGGCGAGAACATGCTCGAGGCAAGCGGGGAGATCAGAGTCATGACACTGATGAGGGCGAGCAAGGACCATTTTTTGTTGGCTGGGAAGTTCTGGGGATTATTGGGATCATCTTGTCCGTCCCAGCCTACTATTCCCCGGCTGAGGTCTGTTTCTGGGAATAGTTCTTTGGTTGGTGCTGATGTGTCGATGGTTTCCTTCGTTGACTGTTTTTCGAGGTCTGGGGTTAGGTTTCTGACGCTGTCCCCTTCGTTGAGGGTTGCGTGGTTTGAAAGGGACTCTTTCTGGAGAGTATCCATGATGGGTGACAAGTGTTTGTGGAAGTATAGATAGGATTGGACGTGCTTGGCGTGTGGGAGTAGTATAGAGGGAAAGGAAATAGATGGGCGTGCCAAGTAGAAGCAAGGTTGAATAGTCTTGAAAAGAGTGGGAAAAAGAAAGAATGGATCAGATATAAAAGTAAAAATTTTAAAAATAAATACATCAGGTCATGATCAGCAAGGCGATATCCGAGGGGCTTTGTACGAATTCCCGGAGGACACCAGCTTTATCCGATATATTCACCGACACTAGTTCTATTACTGGCTTGTATGGAGTCATAAATGCGATTGTGCTTATAAAACTGGTCCATAAATTGACAGAAATCGGGCCAGCCGACGAAGTATTTAATTTCGGACCGCCATGCATGCACAACGTGATGGACACTTCCGCCATGCGATGATTCAGCGCTCCACTATTTCTGGTAATCAGCCAACCACGGGCCTTTAGATCAGCTAATCCTCAGGCGCTGAATCATTGTTTGGTGCCTAGTGCCATGGTTCCAGTGTGGGGCCACTTTCATATCGCATGGAACCTTATGTTTATTTTAATGCGCATAATTCATTTGGTTCAAGGGGGGTTTGATAAACTTGAAGAGAGATTTCGTTTGATGTAAACTACAAGTAATTGATGGCATGCCTCAACCACACAGTTCATCTTCTTGGACCGCTCAACCGTTCGAAACAACCTCTGAAAAACAGCCTCCATATCATGCTCATTGATCCCTTCTTCATGTCTTCGAACACAATCCATATCATCTCCATGGGAAAATAAAGCACTCCTTTGTAGGGCCAGTGGTCACCCCACGACAAAGGCTAGCCATTTCTTTCCCATGCTTTTGTTGCACTCTCAGACTTCCATCGTTCATCAAGCACCATCATTCAGTCAATGGATGATACCATCGTGAGGCATCCGATCCACCCAATCAAGGCACTGCAACACATCCAAGTAAACTTCTTCGAAGTATGCTTTTGTAACATCCTGGGCGAGGTTGTTCATATTCTCCAACCGCTCATATCTCAAATTGACAAATGCTGTTCCCACATCACCCTCAATTTCTGCCAACAAGATCAGCAGCGGGACAAATGGCGGAATTCCCATTCTCATATTCAAGGTGTGTGTGTAATACTCCATGAGACGGTGAACAAACCACCGGCCACTAGAGTAATGACGTCGCTGGCACCCAATGAGTTTGAACAGACCGCCGGAGACATCCTCGAAGTCCTGTGCGGGACCGCGGGTAAACTCCCGAAGAATCGTCTCAGCTCCCATCATGAACTCGTCTGCCAGCACAGCTCGAGTCTGGTATTTCACAATCATGCGCACAAGGATTGGATTCATGTTCCACGCTAGCCAGTTGCGGACCTCCATGGACATCTGTTGCCATCTCCTAGCATTGGGCGAGTCCTTGTAAGGGCGGGCAATGCCAGAGTCGATAAGCCGATGTAGTCTGTGCATCTTAAGGATGTGATAAATGTCATTGCGCCAAGTGACATAATCGGAAGGATGCTTCAGAACACAAGGAAACTGGTACAGCGTAAAGCAATCAATTTCCGGCAGGTCAAATCCCTGGTCAATTTGTCCAGTCGGTTTCTCAGCTGGCAGTAGGGTCGACCAATCACGAGTGTGCTGGGTAGACATCTTGGCGTTTCGTTGTAAAGACCTCTGTCGACTGGGTGCCCGTTGTTGTAAAGTGAGAGGATATTCCGGCTGCAACTATACGCAACCCACAACATTAGTTCATAATTCCTTTCAAAATTCTCGCACTAAAGACTAGATGGCTTACTGTATTGATGAATTGAATAAAATATCTGACTACCCCACGGCGGCGTGTATCGGTGGTGTGGACGCCTCTTGTTGTCTTTCAGTCAATATCCGAAAATCAGAGTATAACAGATTTCGTACCGCAATTGAGACAACCGAGTAGCCCTGTAGACTAATGAGAATATTTCATACTGTCAACACAGTATTTTTCTGCAGTTTGACAAAGAGAAAAAGAAGAATTGAGGTGCGCGGAAAAGGAGAGGGGAGAAGAGAGGAGAGGGAGGATGAAAGTCGATCAAGGGTCCGAGTGGGCGGACATGGCACCCAGAATATAACCTCACGTACAAGCAATCCTACATGAGACATAGCTTACGCGAATACATTCGAAGGCACTGTATATACGTAATCCAAGAATTAATCTACTGACAATAGCAGTGTGCGCACCTTGACCGAGATAAAAGTACCAATCCATGAACTGCAAATGCCTGCAATCCAATAGATTTTGAAGTCGTTGACTTGGAATGAGACGACTGGGCCTGGAAATACTACAAGGTCGTTTATTGCATCCTTCCAATATTAGAAAATAGATGCTAGTTTACTTGATGGGCTTCTGCTTTCTAACGACGATGTCGGTGACAAACTAACATAAACTTCGAATTTGTATTTTCAAAACAAAGCAGCACTTGAGCCATGTATGGCCGATGAGCATGTCAATGTCGACAATCTTCGTAGTGAATTATATAGTTCCTCAGCCTCAACCACGCATATAACTTTAGAGGACCACTGACACCCCAGTCTCTCAGTGTGAAAATGGTAGTTCTGATGGTCATTGATAGCCATTTATAGTCATTTATAGGTCAATTTGGCATTTCTATCCTCCTAACATGAGTTCATTCAATCTTGGAAACATATGTATTCGGTTGTACATGTCCACGATGAAGATTGTTCTGTGTCCAATGTTGGTAATCGATAGAGCTTATCTTATCGTCGCCGCCGATATCCCGCCGATGTCACTTTCTGCACTCCTCCTGAGATCCACCTTCTTCCTCGTCCGTCCCCTTCATTAGGTACCGGTATACCTTTTGTTGTTGCGAGCCCCTTGTCCGATCTCTAGGTAAGACATAACGTCGCTCGAAAATGACGCTCCAAGTCTTGTACGCTGACAGAACCCCATTTACAGTAATCCTGGTGCCTTCCACCGCCCCTCAGGTCCTCGTTATCTTATCATAGCATGGGGATTCAGGTCTGACAGAAGATCTGTAGCCCTTCCTAGGCCACTACATTCTTGCTGCCCTTTGCTCCTCCTCGGCCGACCGTAACCGCCTTCTCAAAATGGACCAAGAGGAGGTTCCACCACCCCCGTACTCGCCTGTCGACCCATTACTCGCACCGGCGAACAGCCGGAACAACAGCTCTTCTCAAGCCCCAATTCCTCCTGGGGTGAGTGTGCCCCCGACGCAGGATGGCAGTAGTTCTCGTGTCCCAACACAGCCGACAGTCGTGCCGACGCATTTCAGATCCGCCGCTGCGTTCTTTGAGGAACGGCTTCCCTCGGTCTTAGACGAGAGCCGGGGCCTTCTACAACATCATATGACCATCTACCCCCGGAGCCAAGCCAAGGATTTCCCACGACGGCCGCGTTGCTGGGCCTCGCGGTTAGATGAGATTAGCCAGCAGGACTGGGATACCTTCCTAAAGTATCTATTTCCGCCGCAATTGGGGCTCGCTGCGTCCTCCCAGCATCTCCCACGCCAATTACGAGCGGAAATTAGACGTGACCGCAAGGATCGCCCACAGGAGACCGATGAGCAACGGAAGGCTCGAATCGCTGCTGTTGTCGCCGAATGGAACGAATGCTTTTTTGAGCTCCGCGCTACTCACATTGTCTTTGTCTATGTGGGCGAACCTGATTCTGCGCCGTCGTCCGCTTTATGTCCCCGATGCTATCCAGCGGCAACGGGTTCAATAGAAGGCCAGCCTATTCGAAATTCAAATGCTCCGTCGCCTGTGCCTGGGCAGCACGTTCCTTCTCCGACCTCTTGGTCGATGCCTCCTCCTGGGTTCCACAACCCCCAAGTACATGCGCCCCCATCTCCGTATGGAGTATACGGTGTTCCTCCGTACCCTCCCCCCATATCTCCTAACCAACCACCTCAATATTACCCTCATCCACCACAAGGCACATGGCAATGGAACCATTGGAACTATCCGCAGCAGCAACCGCAGTATCCCAATAACGGCGCCTCGAAAAGTGGGTCTCGAGGGTGGATTTCACAGATCGCATCACAAGCGCAGAAATATGGAGAGCGGTTCAGCGAGCAGGCGATGCAATATGGAGACCAAATCAGTGCACAGGCACAGCATTATGGACGGCAGGTCGAGGAGCAGGCTCTTGCACATGGCCGCTGGATTGAAGAACAGGCAAGACTTCATGGTCGGAAAGCACCAATAGCTGGACCTCCATACGGCGGTGGCTACTACCCCCGGCCGGCCTGGGATAACTCACCTCGTCCCATAGCCAACATCCCAATGACACCCATTCAAACCCCCAGCCCTCTGACAAGTCCGAACCCGACGAGTCAGCCTGAGACAATCAATCAGATCGATAGCAACAAACCTAAGTCCCCAACAGAACAGCTTCTGATAGAGCCTCCCGCGACCGAACGCACCAGACGAGCATCAGTGAGCTCAGTCTCATCCGAGTCCTCCTTCAGCTCAATTGACTCCATCTCGACAACATCGGACCTGGACGTTTCAGACCTTGCCACAGTGCGCACTCAATTGGAGCTTCTAGACGATCGTCATGATCGGGTATTATACGACGCCGCCGTCGATCTCCGCCGGCAACTCTCAGTCCTGCAAGAGTCCCGCCGAGAAGCCAAGTTCTCCGGTAAAAATAACTGGCGAGCCGGTTTCAACCAAAGCCAACAAAGCAACCAACAATCCGGCGACGCCGACTGGGGTCGCTGGGACTCACCCGAGCAGCAGCAACGCAACTCGGTCGACAGACGCACCATGAAAGAAGAAATGCGCGCCACCAAGAAAGCGTTCCGGGACACGCTGCGTCGAGCACGAGACGAGCAGCGCGAACGCCGACGTTCTCGACGCCGCCAGGTCCGACAAGCTCGCACTAATGACGGCGATAAGGCGAAGCATATGCATGACCAGCCGCTAGATCAGCAGCTTGGGACGTTGCAACTGCAAGATTCTCGGCAATCTAACCCGCCTATGCCTCCACGTCCAGTCAGCACACAAACGCAGCCTAGTCCGATTTCTACACCGACTAGCTCGAATGTCGGCTTTGGGTTTGCTTCTAATCCCCCCTCCCCTGCTATCTCACGGCCGAGTACGCAGGACTCAACACCTACTTGGGACTCTGCCTCCTCTGGGAAGAAAGGGAAGCCGGCTGATACGTCGAGTCGGTTAAAGGATATGCTGTTATCGCGCAAGGCGAAGAAGCAACAGTCGAAAGAAGAGGATGATGCGGGAAGTAAATGATCTGGAAAAGCTGGATATTGTTGATCTTTTTATTTCTTTAGTTCTATTTTCAGCACGGAGCTCAACATTTCCTTGGGAGGACGGCAAAAAGGTTTTGCTTCTCCTCGATGTATAGTCCAAGTCTCGACCACATCCAAGTCGACGAAGTCACGATTCACATTGATACATAGTACATTCGCGAACCCTTTACAATTCGCATCTCCATCCACACACACATTCCAGATATACTGAAATGAAACTTTTTTCAAAAAGATCTCTATACATACAAAGAGCACTCATCCACATTTGCATCTATATTCACATCCATATGCTCTAAGCCTTGGACTCATTCTTCTCAACCAAATCACCAACCCCAAGTCCCCTCCCAACCTTAACCCGAATCATCTTGTCCGCATCCTTCTTCCCAAGCTCCCCAACCTCCTCTCCCTCATCCTCATTCCCTTCCTCATCCCCATTCTTCTCCTCCTTATTATTCTCCGCATCCCGCTTCTCAATAGCCTTCCAATCAAGCCACATGCTCTGAAGATTCAAGCGCATAGCATACGCATCCTCGCCGTCAGCGTAGTACCCATCCTCAACCTTCTCAACCTCAAAGCCGAGCGTATCACGGTACAATCGCAGCGCAGCAATGTTCGACATGCGCACGTGCAGCGAGACGAAATGCGCGCGGTGGGATTCGGCCATTGCGCGTTCTGTAAGAAATCATAGAAATTAGCCTCCATATCGTAACGACACGCAAAATGAAAACAAATATCCAGCTTTTGGAGATCATTCCAAATGCAAATGCAACTGCAAAATCCAAGATAAAAAAGAATGCCACTCACGACTCATCCGCATCAATCTCTCCGCAATCCCCAACCGTCTATGCGTGCGCATAACACTCAGACTGGTAATATGACCATGCTGGTTCCCATCCGTAGGCTCCTCCTCCATCTTCGCAAGCACGTATCCAACGACCTTGGGATACTCGCCCGAGACATCACCTGCGATTCCGGCGCCCGTGGAGCTGGGCTTGTATCCTGCGCGTGGACGCACGACCGCGACGAAGCTTAGCTGCGGCCAGGTCAGGGCGTGGTACAGGTAGTATTTTAGGAAGTAGTTCTCGGGGAGGTTCGTTATGTTGCAGGTTTGGATTGAGGGGAGGAGGTCGATGTACGAGGGGTAGCTGCTTAGTGGGACGATGTCGACCATTTTGGCGGTTTGGGCTGCGCAGCTTTTCGGTCGAGGGGGTGTGTGGTGGTGGTGAGGGGGTGGTTTTGGTGTGAGGGTGATGGTGGAGTTGGTTTGCGGTGCGGTGGGGAGGGTCATGTGATGTCGGGGAGATGGGGTGGAGGTTGTGATGGGATATATCATATGGATAGGGTTGGATTGGGGATTTTGTTAGGTTTTGGATGTTGGTTTGGGAAGGAATTGAGGTGTTCTTGGTTTGGAATTATTTTATTTTCATTTGTTCGAGTTCTAGTGAACTGGGTACGTCTACTAGGTACTGACCATGCTGTTTATGTATAGATCAAATAACTACAGCATTGTACGTAAGTAAGTACTATATCTAAATCATATCCAGTACAATGTAATATGTATGGCAAGAAAGAAAAAAAGAAAAAACCTAGCGCCGACGACCGATCCGGTCATGCATCCAAAATAATCATAGATATCGTGGAAATCAGAACACAGACACCACCATCTGCACTCCCACTGCCACCAGAAGCACCGTCGACATACCGGCGACAGAAACCTCGCGCAGTGCGCCAGACGTCTTGCCACAGCACTTACGGTCGTAGGTGACATTGTTCATCTTGGCAGCGACCTCGAAGACCGAGCCGTTGAAATTGCCGTAGTTATAATAATCGACCAGAAGGAAGTTAGGGGGACGGCCCCAGGTTGCTGTTCAGAGTTAGCAATGCACATCAAAGATCAAATAGATCTTAACTTACCGTTACATTTCTCAGCCATTTCGCCCAGACTGCCACTGCCATTCACAGCATTGGTCTCGTCAAGCTGAGCAGAATTGGGAATCAACATGCTCAGAGAACCGAGATTCAACTGCAGGTTCAGATTGTGGTTGGCCATGTACATGCGGTTCTTAGCGGCTGCATTGGACAGACCGGGTGGTCGTTGCTGCGTGCAGGGGAAGGAGGGATCGGTGGGCGAGAAGGGCGTCTCCCACACCTGCGAGAACTGATCCATCAGCCATGGGTGCGAGGTCTGGTTGGCTTGGTAGTCCATGAAGAAGACTGCGCGCTTCTGCTTAAGGATCATCTCTGAGAGCGTGGGCCAGTCGTTGAGAGCCATTGGGACCTTAGTAGGGGTATAGATGAGGTCCTTCAGTCCAGAGTTTTCGATCGGGATGGTGAAGTTTTCGGGCGAGACGTAGTCGAAGTTGCCGATGATGAAGGTCACCACATCGTATGGGTTCTTCCGCATCCACGTGTTGACGTTGATCAGGTAATTTTCGAGGGTGCCGGCATCGAGCAATTGACAGCTCGTGTGGCACAGGTATATAGTGCCATTCTCGTAGTGCGTTTGGAATTGCACTAATCCAGATGTTAATAATTGCTTATCTCTAAAAAGGTAATATACCCGCTGCTCCACTTACGCGTGCGAATTCCATCATTCAATTGTGTTGTCACATCCAGCGCCTGGTTGGCGGCGACGCTGTTCGGGCGCACGAACGGGCTGTTGTGCGCTGCGACCATGGTAATGTTGGAGTATTTCCTAGCACAGAACTCGGGGTAGTTGTTGCAAGGGCGGGTGTTGACGACAGGCGTATTCGTAGCCGTACTAGTGGTAGTCGCAGTCGCGTTCATGCTACTGTTCCCGATCACCGTCGTTCCTCCGCCGCCCACCAACAAAGTCAAGGAGTCGGAAGTCGTGGTGACTGCCGTCTGGTTGGAGGCAGTCATTGTGCCATTGTGCTGGGTGGTCGATGCAATGGTCGACTTGTCGCCATCACTCAGTGTGATTGTTGTGCTGAGGTCTAGGTAGGTACCCGAGGGAATGGCCACGGGAGTTGTGACTGACACAACCGTGGTTCCATCGGTGGTGGTCTTCCCCGATTCCGTGGAGGATTCAGTAGACGATTCCTGGGCCACGGCAACGGCGAGGAAACCGAGAACAATAGTAGGCCACCTCATAATGTGTGATATGGGAATACTATGTGCCCAAGATAGGAGGAGAAAGACCTCGGGGAAATACTTCAACTTACCTAATCGTAAGGCATGTGGAGTTTTTTTTAAAAAATGACGTTCACCACCAATAAAGGAGTCTGATGGGCCAATTGTATTTTTATATTCCTTAGGGGGCGAAGTGGGAAGTGGGCAGAGATCTCCGGCCTCTAGGCTCTTAGGCCGATTGCTGCCTGTTACATATTTGGCTGTGCTTATTACTTTTGTCTCACATATAAACACTATTAATACGAATTACGAATTGTTCTACCTAATCTACCCTTTCCCTTTCCTTGCATTTCAATCACCTCAAAACCTTCATGCCTTTCTGTACTAACAATACTAACATAAGGCTAAATGATCGTCAGCAATAGGCCAGGGGGCGACGCCACTAGTGTCCAGCCACTGACGATCTTGTGGGAGACGCGACGATCTGATGAAATTTCGTTAGATTTGAATCCAATAGACGGAGGAGACCCAGTAAATCCACTGCATCCCTTAAAAGCTAAAAACAATAAAACAAAATAAGAGAAACATCTTGAGCATTCGGCTTAAAGTGATCGGGGAGATATTTCATGGCCTAACGTCATCTCGACCTTTAAACCCTAATTTCTCTTTCTCTTTTCTTTGGGACTTTTGAGACTTTCTCTCCTTTTCCCTCTTTCAATATTTTCTATCATGTATGGGACGGACAATGGCAAGCGAAAGCTTCCCTTTTTCAAGTCCACTACCCCAATCGACCGCCAGCGAAAGTCCACCGTCCATTGGCATCGCCTATTACGGTCGCTGTTATATTTGATCGCTTGGATCTTTTTGGTGCTGGTAGTCATTGGCAACACCTCTAATAAACCAGTCCTACGCAGTACCTACTTCCTCTACCTCGATCTTTCCAATATTATCCCCGTCTCCGTTCCTAATGCCGTCCTTATCAACTCTATCGCCCAGACAATCGGTCTGCACGACTTCTACCAGGTCGGCCTATGGAACTTCTGCGAAGGATACAATGGACAGGGAATCACCCACTGCTCCAAGCCGGAGACTCTCTATGCCTTCAACCCGGTTGATATCATCCTGAACGAGCTGCTGGCCGGTGCTACAAGTATGTTATACAAATATCCCCACACTCAACTCCCCTTGAATGCGAAAGACTAACAACCCCACGCAGTCGCCCTCCCAGCCGATATCCAAAGCCCATTGAAACTAGCCCGCACCGCCTCCCACTGGATGTTCGGACTCCTCCTCGCAGCAGCAGTCTTTAACTTCGTCATGATCTTCGTCGCCCCGCTCGCCGTGTCCTCACGACACCCACGGAGCATCAAATCCTGGGCAGCAGGCTACAGCGATGGCCACCCGCCCACGGGAAATCCACCCCACCGCCGACGCACCTTCCTCTGGCTGCGCGCCCTACCCATGTTGATTCTGACATTTGTCACCGCGCTGGTGACAATCGTCGGGTCAGCCGTCGCGACGGTCATGTTCGTGATCTTTGCCAATGTCTTCTCAAACGCCGATCCGAATATCAACATCAAGGCCCATGTCGGCACCCAGATGCTGGTGTTTATGTGGATCGCTTCGGCGTTCAGTTTGATCGCCTTCATCATTCAGATCGGCTCTTGCTGCGCGGCCTGCTGTCGTGGCCGAAAGGCTCGCAAGCAGCTCAAGTTGCAGGGTGTTAACTGGCACGAGAAGGGCTCGGTTACTCCCGCTGCGACCGAGGATCGCGCTGTCTCCTCCTGTAAAGAGACGGCTGGTATCCCCGAGGAGCGTGGTCCTAGCTCTAGTGGTCAGACATCCTCGAATGAGTATGAGCAGAAGTTTGGTAGTGGACATGCTTCGGACCAGCATTACTCTTCGACTGAACCCCATGCAATCTCCAAGTGATCTCGATCGCGATTTTCCTCAATTTTGGTCATATCCCCTCTTGCGAATTCTTTTTCCTTTCTACCATTTTCATCATAGTTGCGGGGTTTTGTCTCAATATCCACCACCCCTGTGCTATAGTGCTCCCAATTCTGGACATTCACCCTTATATTATCTACCATTATCTACTTAGGTATGATTTCACGATTTGACTGTAAAGAGATAGAGGCTCGGCATTTCTTGTTTCATACAATATATATCTTACGAAACCTGTTTATTCGACGTGAATCTTGATTCTTAAATACATATAATTTCTGCTCCACATAAATTCTCCAGTTCTTTTGGTCTTTTCCCTTCCCCGCATCGGATACGTCACAGAGTTGTCGTAAGCTCCAAACACCTTTGCCACACTTTCAATGCTTCTCTATTAAATCCCTATAAATAACCAAGTCATGTCCAGCCCCCGTAGAAAGGCCCATAGCCCCACTATAGCTTCCTCTCACTCTCTCACACAGATCAGCCTTAAACCGATATATCGAACGGCTACTCCGTAATCCATATTCGCCGTCAACTCTACCCATTGACCAACCATGTCCTAATAACTAAGGACAATACAAAATTCCGACAGGACCGGGGGGCCAGGTCGATTAAATCGATTGTAGAGCGACCACCACAGCAAGATGCAACAAACCCTGCCAAACACCCCGAGGCATTAGTACAGAGATCTTCAAACTGGTCCTTGTTGGTCTTATTGGCTGGATCGCAATTTTATGTACAATATATACCCCGGATAGCACATCGTATACAACTTTAAACATCACTCGGTACCTCCAATAACCATATCCCCAACCCAGAAAGCCAAAAGCCACCCGAAAGACACACCCTTGATTGTTTCCCGTCAATTTTTACTGTTCACGCGACCGAATGGCCAGACCATGTTCGATCTTATGAAAAATTACCTATAAAGGGCATCTCCCATGCCCTCTGGTTCCGTGGTTGAGGTTGAGCTCCATCGGACTTCATCCTATCTTCACCTTCTAAATACTTCCCTTATTATCCCAACAGCCATCGGATCATATTCATCCCTTTACCAACATCCAATGCCAGTCGAAACAGACATTCACACCTCCCCATTCCCAGCCCAACCCTCCCCCCTGGGCCAGAACACCCGAATGCCTGAATTCAGCCTAACCGACAAGGTCGCCCTAGTCTCGGGCGCCGGTCGAGGTCTGGGCCTGACTATAGCAGAGGCTCTGTTAGAAGCGGGGGCCAAAGTGTACGCCCTAGATTATCTGCAAGAGCCGGTATGTGTATCACAATGGTGACACAACCTCATCCCCTAAAGGAATAACCCCCGATAACCCATTCCTACAAAAGATACCGGAGTTCGTACAAGTCCAGCAGCGCGCCAAGGCCTGGAATACCGAGCTGCAGTACCGCTGTGTCGACGTGCGTGACACAGTCATCCTCAATAGAGTCATCGAGGATATCGCCAATCATGAGCATCGTATTGATGGCCTAGTCGCCGCAGCTGCGATCCAGCAGGAGACGCCCGCTCTGGAGTACACTGCTAAAGATAGTAATGCCTTGCTTGAGGTTAATGTCACGGGCGTGTTCATGACGGCACAGGCTGTGGCGAGGCAGATGATTCGTTTTGGGAATGGGGGGAGTATCACCCTAATCGCTAGTATGAGCGGTACTGTCGTTAATAGGGTATGTTGGCCACCTTAGTCCGGTTTTATTACCTCGCTTTTATGTTGTCGTGTGCTCTTCCCAATAACACCATTCATACCCTAGCACTCGACTCGACACTACATTATCACCAGCCCTATCCCAGAAATCTACACTTCCCCTATGATATATCATCTATTCCTCCACGCTAACCAAAATCCAACCAGGGTTTAATCTGCCCCGTCTACAACGCAAGCAAAGCAGCCGTCATCCAACTAGCCCGCAACCTCGCCGCCGAATGGGGCCAGTATAATATTCGCGTCAACACCCTCTCCCCGGGCTACATTCTCAGCCCTATGTTGGAGATGCTGTTTGTGGAGTATCCAGAGCGTCGCGACCAACTTGCTAAAGAGAATATGCTAGGTCGTCTATCCGGTCCCCGGGAGTACCGCGGTGCGGCTGTCTTCTTGCTTTCTAATGCTAGTAGTTTCATGACTGGTAGTGACCTCCGCATAGACGGGGGTCATGCAGCATGGTGAATAATTTATGTTGTAATAAGGCGTTGGTTGGTTGTCTAAGTAATTTGTTATAATGTCTCTTTGGCAGTCCTTGCTTTTACAGCCTTTTTGGTTCAGGCAGTGATTGGCTCTATATATATTTTGCGCCTGTGGCGCTTACGTTCCTCATTTCTTCTACTTGTAGATGGTCCTATCTGGAGTAGATTCCAACCTCAGGCCCGGGGCACAGGGCTTCCTGTGTTTCCTCTTGTTCTAGTTGTGGTATTGGATGAAATAGGTGTACGACAAGTTGGTCACATCCATTGTGTTTCTCATATCTGGAGAGATATACTACTGTTGTGGTATGATGGCCCAGTAGATTAGATTGGAGAATCGGTTCCTTTTGTCCCTTAGGCCAGACTAGCATTGTCTGACAGCTACTACATATATGCGCCGTAAATACCGATATGGTGTGCAATTACAGAGACCATAGATTGATTGATAGGTACTCGGCATCAGGAGAAGCAAAGGGGGTATTAGGGAAGATGCAATCGCGTTTATTGTGCAACAAATGCCAAAGTACACAGAATGAGAGAATGAAGCAGCGAAATAATGAAATGATGAATTGAAGAGAGAGAAAATCAAGTTTCAAAACTCAATATAGACTCTGGACACAAGTAGATAAAAACGACACGTGCAGAATTGATCAAAACCATGCCCGCTATCCGAAGATGGGGCGAATGGCATAGCTCAAGTCAAGGAGAAAGAAAGATCAAGGAAATAAACAGGGTATCGATATGGAATAAGAATAAAGCAAGGTAAGACCGAAATAAGCACACAAGCCCCAGAGAAAAATCACAAAAGTAAGTTGAGAAAAGAAGAGAAGAGAACGACTCGTACGGACATAAATGCGTGACGTAATGACAACGCAAGGAAAAATCAAAGAAAAAAAACAAGAAATCACGAGCCCGTTGTCTTCACTCCTGGTACGCCGACTAATCGGTGCCCGTATTAGTACGCCGTGTATGCAAAGGTCAACTCGAATGACCAAATAAGAAAGGCAGAAACGAGCCAGCTAGCCCATCTCCATGCCGTACTCGTCCTCCTCCTTGAAGCTCATAGCAGCATGGCCAGCACTGTTCCAGTACTGTGGCTGGCCAGCGCCGTTGGCACTGCTGGTGCCGCTGTGGAACGAAGGACTCAGGCTGGGAGGAGTCAGGCCGGACATGTCGCCGCCCTGCACGGCATCGCCGGCGATGTTAGTGTGCTTGGGGACGCGCAGACCGCTACCCGGTCCGCGGGTGTAGCTGAAGGAAGTTGGGTCATTTATCTCCAGTGCATCGAGGATCTCGCTGCGCATGCGCTTCTCCTCTTCGGTTTGCTCGAAGGGCCAGGTTCCACCCAGGCTGCCGATCAGGTCGGCGAGTTCCGCTTCTTGTTGGTATTTGACGTGCAGGGCCCACATGAGATCGCGAGTCCAGCTGACAGCACCGTTGAGGATATCGCCCTTGTTAGGACCCTTCTCCTTTTCTTCGATTGGGAGACCCATTGTGATGTTACCCGCTGTCGCACGGCGGCCATTTCCTCCTGCGAGAAGAGATGTGGCGGCACCTCCGCCTGCGCCGGCCATGGAAAGAGCGCTGCTGTTCACAAGTTGCTTCCGGACCTTGTCGTCTTCCAGTCGGTGCTGAGGAACCAGGTGGGAGAGATCCTGAATGCGTTCATTGATGTTGTCGCGTCGGCGGCGTTCGACCAGGTTGTGCGAGGCACGACGACGTCGGCGCTTGGCTTCCTGGGATTCGAGATCTCCACCGCCGCCGGGGAGATGGGCGTCAACCTTAGCGGGCAGTGAGGCGTGCTTCCCAGACTTGAGGATCTCGGAGATGCCGTTGTGGTGCGATTGGTGAGGAGGAGACGAGATGGAAGAGGACTCGACGTATGACTGTGCACTGCCGGGAGTTCCATCCCATTGGTTGGACAGGCTCTTCTGGTGACGAGCCTGCAGTCCGGTCCGGATAGGCTGAGACGGGAAGCTGCCAGACTCAGGGGTACCCAATGTCAAGGAACCCAGTGCCGGTGTCTTTGGAGTCATGGGGCTGCGGCCGTCAGATGAAGTACGGTCCATGCCTTGCAAGCTCTGGCGCCTGGTGCCGAGGTAGTTCTGGTCGAAAGAGCTGGCATTGTGCATGTGGGGGTTTTGCTGGTTCATGCGATACTGCTCATAGTTGAAGCTGTTTTGAACGAACGGACTGGCCATGGGAGCATTCTCTGGGGTGTTGGAGTACATATGCGACATTTGACTTTGGTGACTCATCGCGATACCGCCAGCAGACTGGTCCTGGAGATAGTTCACATTATCGCGTTGATGACCGTTCGGGCCGCTGATCTCTAGATCCAACAGCTCGTCTGTGTCGATGCCGGAGTTTCCGAAGTTGAAGCTGGATGACATGTTCTGTTGCGAACCATAGGAGTAGGGCATGAAGCCATTCTGCTGCTGCATGGTCAAGTCGGATGGGTCGACCCCATCGGTGGGGAATTGGTTACCCATCGAGTAACTGGAGTGTGACATGATGAAAGGGGTGTAGTCGTCGGATTCGTGTTTGATGAAGAGACTCGCTTCAGCCATAGCCCGGTGAAACAATATTGGGGGGGTTGAAAATGGGGCGCAGATCGGCGAGGGGCTAAGGGAGGAGTCGTAGTGCCGATCCTACTGACTCTCCGTGACAGTTGTCAAAAGTTAGGCGGTCAGAGACGCCGAATACCGAAGAGGATGGATGGAAGAGGTGTTGGATGTGAGAATCTCACGATCTGAGCGCATGAAAAAGGTGTTAGTCAAGACTTGACCCCGCCCGTAGACGATTTGAAGATGTCGTGGCCTCCGTGCGCAAGGCAAAACAGGCAACCAAATAAAATGCAAAATAAACTGGAAGCGAGAAAAGGAATGTAAATAATTACCCTTGAAACAATGAAGATTGGAGGAATGAAGTCCGGGGAGATTGTGAGACGGGCCAATAAGCCGGGGAAATTTCCTCGGTCTTAAAGCCGGGATGAGTGGACAATCGAGGGGACTGTGCAGATACCACAAGCGTGTCTTGAGGTAATCGCAAGGCGCAAAGTGACAGGATCTTGGAAAAGATCTAGAGAACTGTGTGAGCGATGAAAGAGAAAGAAATAAAGCCGAGCAGTGCGCAAATGCGAGAAAAAGAAAAGCAGATCGGGGAGTAAGAAGATAAGAGATCCAAAGACCAGAGACGAGCAGGAAAAAAACCAAGCCCGAATCAGGCACTCAATCCCAGTTGATGATCCCAGTTGGTCGCAGTTGGATAGTTGATCCCAGTTATATCGTTTGCACAAGACACAAGTCCGGAGAAGAGTGGGGGAACAAGCGGTGGGAGAGCGGTGAGAAGTGGCGATCTGGAGGGTTTTGCTTTTTGGCCTTCCGAGGTATATGTTCGGATGTAAATCCCGAGGTCGCCTTCATCACCTCTTGCAGTTGTATAATTGCTCTTGAAGTTGTATATTTGCATTTGATTTGACCAGATCTCTTGCGCCTTGACCTCTGGGGTGTTTGCTCGGGATTTGTTGTCCACGCTCGGATTGCAATCGGAATACGAGTTGACGCAAGCGCTTACTTCCCAATAACAAAAGAAAAGAACATGCTTGGGCTTGGCTTTGAGGCTGATAAAATATTGTACCTACCAAGTGAAGAAGCGTATAAAGTTGGTATAGGTAAGTATACCTAGGTATAGACCTGTGTTGATGTTAGTAAAAGATCAAGAGTATACATCCCAAGACATCTCAATAAGCATGCAGGTCAAGATATGAAAAACATATGGGCAAAGCCCCATTCACACGTGGGGACCTGGCAACGAGGCAGCCATAGATCACAGATGCAGGAACAAAGGGAATATGTGTGATATATGGATCTTGGAGACTTGACACGTACCTGGATATGTCTTCCAAACTAGTAGCTCACGAGGTATAAAGTCTTTACGAATCAAAAGTTCGAGAACAGGAGTATGCAGTGACAACTCAGAGAGAAAAAGCACTTGCATGTTTCGCAGACAGACACCGAGGGGATGGAGACTTTATGAACTCAAGCGGCGCTCTCCTGCATCTCTCATTTGATATATTACAACATCGGTCATGCAGCCCGTCGATCGGTGGGAATCGATGAGATTCACCTACGCCATCGGACATTGATTTTTATTTTTATTTTTAATATTAAGTTGACTACTACCATCTGGATCAGAAAGGGAAAAAGGGTGTGTGAGTGTGAGTGTAAGTGGGTGTGAGTGGATTTTGGGTGAAGGAGGGGTGGCAACGGTAAACCCCCGAGCCTCTTTTTTTCTTTCTTTTCGTACTATACATAGATAATAATAATAAATAAAAAAGAAATACTACTTGACTAAAGGGAAAAAAAAGATTATTATATTCATCCAAAATAAAAAACAAACTTGGACAAAGGGGGGAAGGGTGATACAGCCGGATCAAGTAAAACGGCGGTCATCCCATGATACACATTGGGATATTTGTCACCTGTTACTACGATCATGACTCACGGGTGTCTTGAACAGAGCAAGCAGGAATGTATCAGATGAGGTCTTAGGGTTACAAGCATACCAAATGCTATCTTCTAGGAAACCCTAATCTATCATTCAGGGTGGAAGTCTGCAGAACATATTCAAGATCCCCGAATGAGACCATGTGGACAAGGTTGATCTCCATCAACTATGCAGAGTATTAGTACTCAAGACACCGGAGATGGTAGAGATCGACTAGCATGCGAAAATGACGGCGAGTCGCAAATATTATCCGGCAAATCCCATTACCTTGGTAATACTAGAGATAGACAAGTTTGGACAAGATCCTAGTTATATATGTGAAATCAGAAAACAGAAAAGAAAAAAAGAAAAACACAGTAGCCCACAGACCACATCCATAAGCACTATCAATTCTGCAAGAGGATCAGTGCGGTCTGTTCTTCATGTGGGATGTCGTGCAGAGTCTGGAGTGATGATCATATCTGGCTGTGATCGTCAAGGGAGCTTGGACCTTCATATTGCTCCGCTCTGACTGCGCACTTAGTCTTGAGTCTCTTTGGTTTATTTTTATTCTACGTAAGGGGCGGACTCGTGGGTATTGATCTGGGATACAGCGGCAAAGGAAATAATGTCATAGTTCAATATTTAGAAACCTTTAGAATGTTCAAAGCAGTTGGTAAGTTCGGATTTCGGACTTAACCGTTCGATCTTCATCCGAAGCGGAAAAATAGAATGGTAGAATGTGGTGGAGGGAGACAATTGGAGGGGTTGGAATGTGTCTTAAGACCCCTCCACCAATAGTGAATCAAAGCAATACACCTCACTTTGGTATGACTGTGCTGAGCCACATCGCCAAACTTTCCCCTCTTTGTGAGCCACTCCGGTTTAGGAGTGATAGTATTCTACGATCGACGGATGGGGATTGATCTCCGGGATTCGTTTTGAGTGGAAAATGGATCCGACGTCCCGTCCCGTCAAGGTTCGACCATACACGCCTAGTATCCACGGTTGACGCAAGGGAGATAGAGATGTTGTGTTTTAGGATCTATTTGGATAGTATTCAAAGCACTCAAGAGGTTGAGACTATCTATGTCTTACCCGAAGTACCCGCGCACAGGACCCTGATATGACGACATCGTACGTGGTTAAGGTCGCACTCCATTCCGGGGGTGACAGATAAACCGACTCGTGTGCATCGGACATTCTACAGAGTAGTAATACAAAGTAAAGCAGATGCCAAAAAGCAAGAAAAACAGGGAAATAGAAAAAGCAAAAGCAGAAGCCAAATTTGGAGAAACAATGAGGCTAGTGCCAATGTTACCCACGGGGCAGAGTCCGGAGTGCATATTAGCGCCCTTATGGTTATCGGATAATTCCCCTAGGTGGTACACGGGTAGCTACATAAATACGGTCAACAGGCAAAAGGTTATATAATGGGTATGCAACATCATCTGCATGGAGTTCTTCCGATACGACTGCCGGCAACTATAGCCGTTATAGCCGTTATAAATGCTTCTGCAGGGCTGTCCAATACAAGAACTTCCAAGGTTGTCCGCCACTCTACTGTTACAGTTACGGCCGATCGCCACAGGGTGCGCACCAGCCATGAAGGATCGACAGTAGGACGGCAACTAATGATTGAAAGTTGCAGAAAGAGAGGGGTGAGACTATCAATAATGGTCTATCAATAATGGTCATGAGTCCAGATCGAGTATAGTAAAGAATAGAATATTAATATATTGTAACTTAATATTATAGTAAATAAGTCATACGGCAACTCCATTTGAAGCAGGTTGATTTGATTCATATGGCAACAAGAACTTATAGGAAAGTATATTTTTGCATACATTCACGGGTTTTGACAAATTCCAGCGGCTATAGCGCGAAGGAAAGAAAGATGTACAGTAGGAGTTATGTATCTACAATTTTATCACCTAATAATAACCGAGAATAAATAAAAATCAATAGAGAATAATATGCGAAGTTGCTTATAGGTGGGTTATATACTTGATGCTACATATTTGGATCGCGCTATACCCCATTTGGCACAAGCCTCCTTTCCCCAACTTCATTGCAGAACTGGGAACTGCCACTATACAACTTATACCTCTACACGCCACCTAGGCAACATTTCACCCTCTTGGTAAGTGACATGTAACTCTTTCATTTCTCTGGTCATATTCCTATGGGGGGGTCATCCTGGTCAATAACCCCACAGGGCTCGGTCCGAGAGCTTTGTACCCCAACCCTGGAAACCATCATCTGACAGCTTCAGCACTTAACGCCGATCGGGTTGGTCGCATCGGTAGCTTCACGCCATCTCGTCATTTTGCTTGGTTCCCCTCGTCTTTCTACCCTCCCTTATCGATAGCGCAGCGCTTCCTTGTCCAATCAGCATCCTTCGACTCCCTACGCCGTGTTCGCTTCCCATCCCTTCTCGGATCGTGCCCGCAAGGTTCAACGCTTCCCACCTATCTTCTGCTTGGTTGGCTTATCTCGCCGCATTATTGCACGGCCTACCTTCGATTACGATCCACTTGCGCCGCGCTAGAGGACTCCATACCCCCGGTGGTCATCGCCATCTCCGCAGAGATAGCTGCAGATCCCGTTGCGCTGACGCCTTATCACAGTGCAATAGGCAGCCCTTTTCTTGGTCGGGGAGGTTGTCCATAAAGTTTATCTATCAGCCTGCCATATTAAAAACCTCTGATCTTCCGATCTTGGCCGCATACCCTCGAGTCGGAGAACTTTCCTCGAAAGTGGCCCCCATTTGAACCGAGTCACGGCTTGCCCCAGCTCATCGGAAGCCGAATCCACGTTCGACACAGTTGTCATCTGCCCCTCTGTTGGCTTGACTAGGTCCCCGCCTCTAGCCAATCCTTGAGGATCATCCATCACCCGGCGCAGATCATCTGCACTCCATCTCGCATAGTCCCTGCAGACCGTTCTCTTGGTCTTGACTTCTTGGACCACGGGCCTTCTCTGCAGACGCAGTAGTGCACGCACCTCCTCTACTCGTTTCATTTGGCATCTAAAACTTAACTAAAACCTGACTAAAACTAGTCTCAAACATGGCGAATAACTCGTTCCGAGACTCTGTCAACTCACTGGGGTGGTCGCGTAGAGATCCGGATCTCCCCGTGAACACTGGCGCGTCATCGAACACTCCATTCTTATCTCGTCTTCGGTCTTACAACCCGTTCAGCGAAGGCGGCTATGTTCAACTGCCCACTCATAATGAAGGCCCTGGGGCCCCATTGCCGGCAGCCACTCGACGGGAAGAAGAAGAGGGCTTCTTTGCTTGTAAGTTTTTCTTTCTCTGTCTTGTGACCCTCCGATCCCCAGATCCTCCCGTACACCGTTGCGTAAGATTCAGGTGATGAGACCGCAGTTCCTGCGCCGGGAGGATTCATTACCACCATGCTTGTTTATGTGGTTGTGAGCCGATAGAAGAAGAGAGAAACACACTAACACGGACTCTGCGTATAGTGAGTCGGTGGGACCGCATGCTCATCTTTGGCGCATGTAATTTGGGCGCCGCCGTCTGTTTCATGATCTGCTTCTTCTTGTTCCCCGTCTTGTCACTCAAGCCCCGCAAATTCGCGGTCTTGTAAGTTGCCTCCGCGATGGTCCGCATTAATGTGGGCTATGTTCCCCGGCCTTTTATGGCTTTCCCAGCCATTTCCCCCCTGTTTCCCCAGTTACCTCATGCTCTCGGACGACCGAGCAAATCCCGAGCTGTGATAGACCAGGTCATCGGTCAATTTTGGTTAGGGCCATGTGCGCCTTTGTACTTCACATTGCAACCTGATTGGTCCTGACCTCGACCTATATCTGCGCCTCATGCGAAGAACTTTAGTCTCGGTCTTGGATATCTCTTGCTAACTGGTTTCTTTACTAGATGGTCCGTCGGCTCTGTCTTGTTTTTGATATCATGGGCGGTTCTCATGGGACCGTGGACTTACGCTAAGCATTTGATCTCGGGATCACGGTTGCCATTCACAGCGGCCTATTTCGGATCGATCGCCCTCACGCTTTACTTCGCCATCGGTGTAAGTAAAATGGATTTCGTTATCTTCCTTTTTTTCGTTTTCGTTTTCGGATTTGAATTTCGTGTTTGGTCTTTACGCTTCATCTCGTTGCACGCCGACGATCCCTCCCCTCCTCATGATACTCCCCTCTGCATTTCCTTGTTTGTCGCACACTCGCTCCCCTCGCTCTACCCGAGTCCGTATGGTCGCACTGCACAACCGGGAAAATGGGAATCTTGCAGCCTTCACATCCATGGCGCAGTACAACCTGAAACCACGGCTTGTCATGCCTGCTGTTGGCTGCAGCCACTTTAGCTCCTTCTGTTCCATCCCACCCTGCACTCGGCCGGTCTCTCTGCTCTGAATCTTGCGCCTGTACTACGTCCCATCACGGCGCGGGTCTTGGATGCCCTTTCCCTTACTTCCCCTTGTCCGACACATCCCGGTGTCACAGAGCGCGGAGTCCAGAGCCATCGAGATCAATCTATGTCTCACCGTCCCTGACTACTCGGTCATCTTGTTATACCTGCATATCACAACTACACACCATCCACTTGCCACATTTGGCAACACATCCTCTTTTAGAACCTCTTGCTGACTGCCGTCTCTTTTTTGGTGCATTCTAGCTTCAGAATCTCTTCCTCACTCTCATCTCCTCGATCTTCCAGCTCGCTGCCCTCGCCTGGTACCTCGTCAGTTACTTCCCTATGGGCAGCACTGGCCTGCAGTACGTGGGTCGTTTCGGAGCATCGCGTGTTACCGCTTGGATTAGTGGTTGATTTGTTCACTTTCTCGTGTCTGATACCCTGTCCTTTGTCAGTCATCGCATACATCGGGCGGTCGCCTCGTGGTTACTTTGATATCGGGCGCGGTTTGGGCTCTTCGTTGTGCATATGTATCTAGCCAGAACTACAGTGTTTGGCGCTTTGGTTTCCTTTTCTTTCTTCCAAATACTTATGTTTGCATGCGGACTTCCTCTCTTGGGAGTACAATACTAAATATTGATATCATAAAGGGAACTTGTAGGTTACCAGTACATATACACCGGATTTTAGGCCGACATGGCTTTCCCTTTCCGTTTGAGTGCTAGATACCTACGGGGTGGATCCCCTATCATACCGGTGCTTAATGAAATTCAATTAGTCAATACAAAATTTTATCTTACAAAATTTTACAAGAGATCATTCTTTCATGGTGAACAATGAGTATGGGTCAGGAACAGTTAAGAATCCGGCTATAAGCAGGGTGTATGTATGATGCAGCTTTGTAGTAGTCAGAAAAATAGACACTCCAAGACATAGAGAAGACTAGGATGGGAGTACATTTTGATCTACGATGTTTATAAGTACGAGGAATAGAAAGATTAAAATTACTATATAGAGCCTCCCATACCCTGACACCATGACACCCCATCAGTTCGATATCACAGGAGTGCTTCGATCCCAAGTGCTCTTCTCAACAGCATCCACCAGACAGGCCGCCACACTAGCCCTTGAGATCCCCCCAAGGCCCGCGAAAATACCGAGTCCTTTCCCATCGTCACCAAGGAACTGAACAGGCGCCTTTTTTGACATAGTCAGTCTCGCTGGCCTCAACAACACGAATTCCAATCCGCTGTTCTTAAGTATCTCATCGACATGATTGTGGTCCGCGAATGGATACCTAAGGCTCGTGCAAGAAATTGCGAACTTCATAAGCACAGTGATATTCGCGAGCGAAGACCCGACTCCAAATGAAGACAGAGTCGCAATCTTGGAAACGCCGTGTCTTTTCATAGCAGCGACGAGGTTTTCGTGAGTTTGAGACATAACTCGAGTCCCTTTTTCTGTCGGGGATGAAAGCGTGACGATCACGGCAGTTGGGAGGTCGCCTTGGACTGCGTTGAAAGCGCTTTCAATGTCCGAAGGTTCCACCGGTGTGCCCTTCACGATGGTCAGGCCTTCCTTGGCTGGAAGTGAAGAGGGATTCCGAATCAAGGCTGTAATCTTGTGGCCGCGCTCCAATGCTTCATCGATGACCAGACGGCCAGTCTGTCCACTGCCACCAAGAACGAGAACACGCATAATTGGAGATGCGGTTGTGGTGTGGTAGGATGCTGAATTTATTCCTGATTCTTAACCGGTGGTTTGGATTAAAACTGTGGTACAATGATTTTGGTGAATCTTTTGAACTTGAGATCAATGATGAATTGGATATTTTGAAACATCTAACCAAGCGGGAATCCTGGATATATATATGACAAATAATAAGGCTTATTGCAACACATAGCTAATTGCTGTGCATGACAACGACGCTTGTTGCCTAGTGAGTGCTTGGTTAGTTACTGGAACTAAGTGGTGACGTGTTCAGGTGAGGCTGATTCCTTATCAATCTATCAATCTCGCCATCAACTGTAGTCCGAAGTCCGAGACTCCGTAATGTTACAAATCATGTTGCCTACCGGACAAACCTTGAATGATCATGTAAATTATGAGAGCCCTATGATCCAAGGCATCAGGGCTTGCGACGACTCTCACCTTCCCGTGGTAATAGGAACTTAAGAGTATATTCTCAGAAGAGGTCGACCCCTCGATTGCGAGACACGCGAGAACGAGCGGCCACGTTGCGGTGAGGCTACATTAGTCTCTTGGGCCATATTCTTGGAGAAATGTGACTTAACCACGGCGGTTAAGGCTTACAAGCTTTGCCATAGAATACGACTAGACCTGGCCAAAACCCAGGGCCCAACCAACCCGCGAAACAGCCCGCCTATAGGTCCACGGGTCTACTGATTACTGACTAACCGACCCATACCTGGGGCTGGGCGGGTTGTGACAACCTTGGAAGGCCGTAGGCTGCTGAGTCAGGGAATCATTACATCCATAGCAACCAAGAGTATTGAGCTGCCATGTTTCTTAGGGCTCCAAGTCATCGCAAAATTATGTTCGGACTCGTCCAGCCTCGATCAGCAAGGTTGAGCGTTTGCCTTAATGTGAGATTTGCCTTGCGATATCGCTGGGATTGAATATATCCCACTGCTGCATATCCACAGGCCGATAGCATGTTCATAAATATCTACACAGCCCCTGGCGAGTGCATGAACATCACTGCTTCCTAAGTATGAATAATATGGATTCATTCGATATCAAAGCTAGCTCATCGAATAAATGGGGACGCGCACAAGGTCTACAATGTAATGCAAAAGGCACCATAAAAATGCAATCCAGCAAAGTCATCATAATCAAAGTCAATTCCATCTTCTTAATCATTCAAATCGAAGATAAAACCGCCTCAATACTTCCCCCGACTCATAACTAACCCAACAACACCATCAACAACTTTAACACCCTCAACCTCCGCCTCATAGATCCCTGTATCCCCACCAGAGCCAACCTCAACCCACCGCCGCAGCAAATCATTACTCTCCTTCGGCTTAACATCGGGCGATGCCGTGCCGACCGTGATATGCGGAATAGGATTTGCGCACGGCCACTCAGACTCATCCACACCGGTCTCTTTCTCGACGCCCTCGGCAGGCAGGATGCGCGCGACAAAGGTCATGATGCGGTTATCCCAGACGAGACGCTCGATGCGCACGCGCGCGGAGCCCAGGGGCGGCGGGTGCTGGATGGAGTTTTCGACGGGGTTTTTGATCTGCGTGTCAATGTAGCGGGTTGCTAGCTGCTCCCAGGTCTCTGGATTGTCTTTCTTGGAGGCGCGGTGGATGAGGGTAACATGGAAGGTTGGTTGGAGACGGCGGGAGTTTACTAGTTGGTTGTAGAGACGGGCTGTTTCGGGGGAAGTTGTTGGTGGGAAGAGGGAGTGCAGGATTGACGTTATTTCGTTTGTTGGGAGGGAGATGTTGAAGTATTCGATCTTTTTGGAGAGGGCTTCTGGGGACAATGGGGAGTCTGTTGGTTCGGGGAGGAGGGAGCCGTTGCCGTTGCCGTGGTTTTTGTTTTTGTTCTTTGGCTTTTGTGGGGGACCATAGCTGTAGCTTAGATCTTTTGTCACGGTGTAGTCATCCAGGGCGGCGGCAATGGCTTCGTCGAGAGCTGCTGCCGTTGGGATGGTTGGCACGAGGCGCGGGTAGGCGGCGTGTAAGGCTTTGACGATTGTTTCGAGGTTCTCGCGAGATGAGGCGCACACGTCGAGGTCTATGACGTGATCGAAGCTCAGGTCTGGCGAGCGGGTCGTGTCGACGCCTTCGAAGCGGCCGAGGAATCCCTCCATGATTCCGACGGTCTCTTCCTGGGCGTTGGTGCCAGCCCGGATGGATTGGTGGTTGTCGCCACGCTCTAGCACACGTTTTCGAGTGACTTCTCGGATGGCGGGGAGTCTGTCTGCCTTGGGCTCGTGGACGTAATGCAGAGCGACGAACTGCGCATCCGGGAGCACAGGGTAAATATCCTCCATGAGCTGCTTGCGTTCGCGCTTTTGATGGTTGTTGCGATCAGCGATGACAACGCTGTGTTCTCCCAGAGCATGGCTGACCTCGAAGGCGAACTTCTTGGGCTTGTTCTTCTGTTTGGGGATGTTGTCATTCTGAACATGTCCCCATCCAAAGAGCTTAACCAGAGCCAAGGCGACTGTCGTCTTTCCACATCCCAGCGAGGCAATTGGCTCGAGGATGACATTTTTGTTGATCTCGTTCAATTCACTCTGCTTTTTAGTCCCTAGAGCGATAAGCTCGGATCCATTTAATCCTCGTTCCTTGAGGAAAGCCTCCCGTAAAGCGATGATACCGTGGTTATGCATATATTCAGTTGCCATATGAGGGTTCTTCATCAGAACCCGTCGAGCAAACTGCAAGTACTCTTCAGTGACCTGCTCATGCTTCCTGATCTTGGGATGTCTCCCTCCGATGACAGCTTTGGTGCATTCACGCCACTGGCGGTACATCAAGTACGGCTCCTCGAACTTGTACTTGAAGAACCAATTCCGATAGGGCTCAGTTCCGTTCTCGCTCAGCTGGCATCGGATGACGAAGCCCTCGGTCTCACGTCCATCCCATGTTCCTGTCTCTGCACATCCTTCTAGGAAGCTCTGCACTCTAAAAATATCATCAAAGACCTCGAACTTGGCCTTCTTGAAGCCCCAGTCATCAGCGAACTTGTGCACATCGTCACAACACATTGTCTGAAAGTCAGGTTGGTTGTAGTTGAGACCGTGGAGGTAGATGCCCGAAGAAGCTTCGTCGTAGGCCAGCACATGCTCCTCAAAAGTGTCGTCACAGAGTTCTCCAACGGCGGTGACATTCATCTGGCGCAGAGTTCGGGCAAGGTCTTTAACAGACCGATTCACGGACGAGACATGGCGTTCCGTCCATTGTTCTCCTGCCTGCGCGTGGCTGACTTTTGTATCCTCGCGGGCTCCAGTCGAGTGTTTGCTGCAGACTAGCAATTTGTCGTTCGCCAAAGCAGAAATGAAGATAATGCATCCATTCTCCTTCACACTCAGCTCGTAGGGACCCCTTGTGTTTTTCTCGATGTTGCGCCATTCTGTGGCCTTTGTCTCGCCTATGTTGAAGAACTTGTCGTATCCGCGCGTCGTAATTTCGGGAATGTTGTCTTTGCGTTTGGTGGTGAAAAGACCTCGCGCATATGTGGGCAGACCGGCTTGCTTGTAGTCCCAGTCCTGGAACTTCCACGAGTCCACGGTCACATCTTTGGCTACCTCAAAGGTATTCTTTTTGCAGGTGAACTTTGTCTCACCCTTTTTAGCTTTGCGAGCAGTCTCCAGGGCTTTCACCAGCTGCGAGATGACGTGGGGATCTTGAGTCGCCATGTCTTGTGTGTTGGGTATATCAAAGTGGGAGATCGGCGGGACGGAGAGGACGGAGAGGAGGGGCAGCCAAGAGTGGGGGGGAAAGAGAAGAGGTGGAATAATTTTCCTGACCTCCTGCCTGAGGTATTCTGAGGGTATTTGTAGAAAAGTGAAATGAAATAAAGACAGAGAATATAACAAAAGTACCAGAGACGGAAAGGCCAAAGACCAGAAGAGTCAGACTGAATGTGTCACAGTGCGGGGAGCCGAAAGGGAAAAGGCGGATATTTTTTTTTTCTGCTTGGACTTCCAAGGTTGACCTACTTTAACCACAATTTACTTTTGACTCACTTGATTTACCAGTTTCACTTTAATACTTTGACTCATAATGGCCCAAAACCCTTACCTCTTGGCCTGCGACAACCCAACGGCCCTTCTAGAGCTGCTGCGGTCCAACCCCTCGATCGCATCGAGCCAAGATGAGTCCGGATACTCATTGCTGCACGCCGCAGCCTCATACGGCCATATCGATCTCCTACGTGCTCTAGTGAAAGAATTCAACGTCGATGTCAACCTCCTCGACGAAGATGGCGAGACATGTCTATTTGTAGTCGAGGAGAGTGACATCGCGCGCTGTTTAGTCGAGGAGCTAGGTGTGGAGGTCAATAAGAAGAACGCCGAAGACTTTACAGCTGTGGAAAAGTTCGAGACCGAGAATGACTTCCCACAGGTCGCTACCTATCTCCGCGAAGTCGTCGGGGGCGCTCCTGCTGCTCCAACGCACGCTCAAGCCGCCGACGTTTTGAACTCGTCCGGGCCCATCCCCGGCAGCGATATGAGGGTCAACATTGGAACAATGACGGAGGAAGAAGCCACTGCTGGTGGTGAACCCGATCCAGAATTCAAAAGGCGCATTGAGGAGCTTGCTACGCGTGAGGACTATTACAGCGAGGAGGTGCAGAATGAGGTGCGCGAGTTGGTCAAGGATGCCATGGCTGGCTCGAATATTGAAGCTATGGAGCGGGAAATTCGGAGGAGAACTGAGTAAGCAGGAGCATTGCGGCTGTTAAACCCATTCCACTGTCATGCGAGAGTTCTGTCTCTACATGAGACCCCCGTCGCATTCGAAGATGCGAATCACCGGAAGAAATCCATCCAAGCATTTTCAGTCGGAGTCCAGTCCCTGCTGGTTCTATCGGGCGCGGACGGGTACTCTACCGTTGTCCCAGGAATCTTTTATCTCTGAAGTTTTGAGTCTCGCTGTGAAGGCTCGCTGTTAGACTCCCGTTCCTGTTGGGGGTTATCCGAGTGGTTCGGAGGCCTGAAGAGAAGCTTCTAGACGATCTTGTAACTAGGATTAAATCACGAAATATCACGATATATCCATTGAAGCAATTTATAGTACAACATACTTAGTTGTTATCTAGAGATAGCACTATCATATCATGTCATGATGCATCTGCATAGATCATCGGTCTAGTCCCCGCCAAGCTCGAGCCCATCCCGCATCTCCGACGTAACAACATAGCTTCCACCTACAACCACCCAACCACATATCATGTCGGAACCACCACCATTCCCCCCGCAATCGCAGTTCTACTCATCCCAAATCATGAACCCCGACACACCACCTCCACCACCCCCAAAACCCAACAGCCACGAAACCAGTCGACGCGGCACCCCGCAAAACACCTCAGCACATGCCTGGCAGCCAGACAACCAGACAGGCGCACATCATGGCGCATACCCCAATAATTCTCAACAACCATATATCCCCGATCCCCCAACGATCGAGGAGGGCTGGCTCCCAGACCTGGTATCCGACAAATCGTGGGTCCCCTCAAACCTCCCCCTCCCCCAAAGTAATGATAACAGCACCTCTAACCCACGCAAACCCAGAACAACCGACCTCCAAACAATCCTCAAAGACCCAGCTCTAATCTCCGCCCTCTCAAGCCAACACCCTTCCTACTCAACCCGCCAACAATACATCGAGACCCTAATCCAAACAAACAAAGACCTCGCAACCCGCCTCCTAGAAATGCAGAACCACCTCGCCGAAGTCCGCGCTTCCACCGAAACAATGCTGATCACACACCAGTCGCTGGAGGTCTCCTGGCGCAAAAAGCAAGCCGAGATGGACGCCGCCCTCGCCCCGTGGTCGCCGAAAGCACTATACCAGCGCTTCAGCGCGGCAATCACGGAGCAAGAGGCTGTCTGCCATGCTGTTGAGGAGAGTTTCCTTGATGAGGACCATCACGGGCGGGCCACGGAAAAGGAGATTGCAGATTGGGTCCGGCGCGTACGGGGCGAGGCGTCTAAGTTAGCGGCTCGGAAGGAGGCTAAGGCACGGTGGGATGAGGGACGAGTTGGGGGTTGGCGATGAGGCCTTCAAAGTAACCTCAAAATACAAATAGTCACCGTCTGACTGCCATTTACGATGCCATGCTGCCTCCGATTCATGATATATTCACTTTGCACTATACAATACAATATACACATTACTTTCAATGTCCTGCTTCATCCGAATCGCTCTTAAACACCCAGGAAACCTACCACTCACTCACCCTCAAGCCTAACAGCCTCACCCTCAAGCCTAACAGCCTCACCCTCACTACTCACCGGCTTAACATGTTCCTGACCCTGAGCATGTCCCTGCCCATTACCCCTAACCCCCATCTGCCTCACCGCAGCCGCGCCCTCAATATCAACATCCAACGCCCTCTCACCAGCCCACCCATCCGTCCCGAGCGAACTAGGGAACCCAACGCCGCGCCCAAAAGCGCGTCCCCGACTGCGCGCACCCCAAGCCCAGCCGGCGCCACGCCGAATCGGGATATGGTACATATTAAAGCCGATATAAGCGAAGAAAATGCCGAGCGCGGCACCGAAGAGAATATCAAAGCCATGGTGTCTGTAATTGAACCAGCGCGACGCAGCGATAAAGCACGCTGTTGCAGTCGGCACGAACGCAATCAGCATTAGGTATACGGGCGGTGCGGCGCCACGTCTCCGCACAGATGAACTGTCGTCGGTGTGGCGCTGGTCTTCGACTGGGTACCGCGGGAGATAGGGGAATGCGACGGAGAATTTGGAGCAGAGCCAGAGGGTTAGGTAGATTAGACCGGCGAAGGAAACTGGGGTTTTATTAGCTGTATTCGAATTGGTGTGTATATACTGTCGCTGTCATTGTGTTTTGTATCCACATCCGAAGATGGGATGCACATAGACATAGACACGCCTATGGTATGGAATGTTGTGTTATAAACTTACAAGAAGCATGCCCACTCGGGAAACTCGCAAAGCCATCAAGGCGCAGCGAATTACTCTGATCCCGACAAATTTCCCACGAAACCAGCGTCGCGGCACCGCGCACCGACTCCCCAAGCCCACCAACCGTGAACTCCGCAATGCGCGCTAGGTCTGGATTGCAGCGCGCGAGGAGATCAGGTCGCGGTTTTCCGATTAGCGCCTTCAAACCCTGGGTAGCGCTCCAGGTGCTTGCGACGGCCAGCGCGAGCCCCATCCAGCCGACGTTCCATTCCCAGAATTTGCGGCGGATGTATTGCGCTGCCAGGGGGTTGGGGTTAGATGAGGAGGTGGGGGTGGAGGAGGAGGTGGCTTTTGCTGGGACGAGTAGCCATGAGAGTAGGAAGATTATAATCGCCGGTGCGAAGAGGCCGACTATAATGAGGGTTGTGTTTGTTACGGTTTCTTTGGAGAGGGGGTAGCTGATTGTTGGGTCGGTTAGGCTGAAGGGGTGGTGGTTTGGGGATTGTTTATAGAATCCGTAGCCGATTAGGGCGATGCCGCTGGTTGGGATTGTTAATTGGGGTTTTTATGGGTTGGATAAGATGGTTGTACGTACATGATGAATATCCAGTCGATTATGTAGGATATTACTAGGAGCTTGGAGATGGCTGCGAGACGAGTTACCGTCTCTCTGATGGGGATGGGCATGGCGGTGTGATGCAATTAGGGAATTAGGGAAGAATGATGAAATTGAAATCCAAGAAATAAAATGACAATGATGATGATAATGATAATTAACTCTTATATGCAAAGTGAAGTTCAAGAACGTTGTAACCTTGGGAAGACCCTGGGGGATGACGAAGGGTTGAGGCGGAGTAAAGCTTAGAAAAAGTCTAAATCAACTCAAATACTTCAGGGATATCAGGGATATACAGTAACCATTTGAAAGCGAATTGAAAGAAGATTTTATGATTCTATACTATCTACCTAGGTACTAGAACTATATATAGTACGGAGCATTCACGCCATTGATTCCACTCCACTTTCCTAATATATCATCCATAGATTGTTCATGCAGGATAGTTTATTACTACTATCTTTTTATATAGAGTGTCCACCACCCGTTGAACGGAAGAATTGACTCGATAGCATTGATTATAGAAAGACTTCGAGACCGTACGGAGTAGTTGATTCTCATCGGTTTCCACTTAACGCAAGCCAGTTTAAGCTCAGCGGAAGTCCTCCCGGAGCCCACTTGTACAACAACGCAGAATATATCTACAGGCGATCGAAGGCCGACAACCACCAGATCTTATCGCCGCAAACAAGGATCTGGTCTCCCAAATACAAATCATGGAATCCTTGCAAGCGAGCAGGAGGTGCTTATCAGAATTGTGCGACGCGCAAGGAAGATTCCAAGCTGAGCCTGATGCGCGTGATTTCCGAGGTCTCGGACCCAACAACAATGCCGGAGCTAGTCGAGTCTTCGAGGCTGAAATGGGAAATATTGAGGCCCAAATCCGCGAACTTCTCTCTCGAGCCAACATCTTTGACATAGCTTGCAAATTTGGTATAGAGAATCTCTCGACTTCGCTGAATAGATCTCACGCTTTCGAATAGCCCTCACAAACCTCAGGATTACGCAATTATTGAAAGCCACAGTTTGGTCACATGCTCTGGAAGAGAGATTCTGGCGGTCAATGACCTACATTAAAAGTGCAAACACCATGGAACAACGCAGTGAGCAAATTGACTCTTTATTATGCTTTGATTAATGTTTTTTCAGCCACTGGTACACCCGGTCTGCGATCTCAAGGTTGTTCTTCTCCATGAAGAACATGTGTCCGTTGCCATGAATACCCTCGTTGCCTAGATCCGCGTACTCAACGTCTACGCCAGCTTGCTCCAGATACTTGACAGTGCAGTAATCGTATGGCGCATGGAACGATGCTTCGCCTGTAACAACAAGCTCTGGGATTTTGCCCAGGTTCGTCAACTGCTTCGCTGGGGACTTCTGCATGATGCAGTCGTCGTGATCGGTGTCGATTGCTGGCTCGATGGTTGTCTCAATATTTTCGGCATTCTTGCCTGCAGACGGTTCGTATCCGATTGCGAGGTCGGTGAGACCGAAAGCGAAAGCTGGGTCATTTCCAAACGGCGGGCGGAGCGTGAATGGTGGACCAGACGGCTCGAGTTGGACAATACCCTTGACTAGGTCTGGGCGCATGTCTCCGACCCTCCAGCCTACTCAATCATTAACCACTTCAGCGAGTCATAGTGTTTGGTTGAAAATACCGTATGCACCCGCCTGCGAGTGACTGATGATATAACAGTCGCCTACGAGGTCGACTAGAGCTGAATATGCCTGCGCATTTTGTTCTTCGCTTATGAAGCGGTCGGTCTGGAACTGCATCTGGCTCCTGTAGAAAGCGTCGAAAGTTGAGTCGCCAATGCGACCGGTGCCAGGCCATTGCGTGTGAAGCTTGGCCTGTGGCCATTGGTTGTCGTTGTTTGCTACGTCGGTAAAAATATCTGAGACAGAATCGGGGGAGCCAATGTACCCAATACTTCCCTGTCCGGAAAACCAGAAGGAGCGGCCGCGTGCAGGCTGGTCTGAGAGATAGACAGTGTGACCTTTGGAGATAAAATAGGATGCCCATCCTGGCCGTCCGTCTGGAGTATCAAGGAAATTGGTGCCGGTCTGAGCCGCGCCTGCAATGAAGATAATGGGAAGTGGTGGGTTCGCCGGGGCTGGCTTAGGGGAAAGCTTCTCGACGTAAATTTGCCCTATCATAGCCATTGATGTAGAGTTGATTGCATTGTCCTGTTTGGCAGTCTTAGATACGCGTAGAAGTAGTGGGAATCAAGACTTGCTGTGATGTTCGTGTATCGTCCGCCAACGTAGAGAACCTCGCGCTTAGGAACAATGTCCCTAAGCTGAGAACCATGAGTTTGCACATTGCCTCCTAGAAAAGCGACATGCGTGAAATATGTGAGAGAAGTCAAGGTACGAAAGCTGAACATATTAGCCCAATTCTGCGAGAAGTGCAAAGACCCCGATACGTTTGTAGGGAGAGAAAAGAGCTCCCTCCAGTTGGAATTTGTAAAAGAGGAACAGCGCGAGGTAAAAAGTATCCGTGCTTTCCAGCCTACCTTCGACCCACCCACACCGCTTCTCGTTGGTGCGCCCCCTTATCGGTGGGGACAACCTTGGAACACGGTCCACCCGTGAACCCGTGGGTGGGTATGTCCACGGGTACCTGAAGTATGTAGGAATGAACTGTCCACGAAGGTAATTGATCTGAAATTAATGCAAGTGTCTATGAAGCCATTCATCCTTGGCTGTTGCGCTTTTCCGGCTCGCACTGCGGCATCTTTCGCATCAGATGTATCAACTACACTTTGTCTTGGCCCTCGAGAGTGGTTTCTCTTTCCTCAAGGGGAAAATGATTTTTCAATAAATCTCTAGCGCGGAATTCATCTAGACACTCATAAATGGTAAGTAAATTTGGACATGAAAATGACTGGTCATAATTTGGCTCACTGACATTCCTCAGTAAAGAATTTGCTGCTGTGCTTCCCTTGTCTTGTTCAAGAAGGCTGGACGGCGGGGGACCAAGAAGATTGATCATATCGGCAAGATGGGCTCGACTTCGGTACTGTTCGAACTCCGGGTCGTAGCCGGTAAATAAATGGGCTCCCTCGAAAATGTCCCAGATCTATAAAGCGTCAACAAATCCTGCCCGAGTTTGAATGACCTGGCAATCTTTCATACCATGCATCCCACGTTCCATATATCGACACTGTATGTCCATGGAACTCCTAAAACTACCTCTGGAGCACGGTAAAAGCTAGGTTGAATGTCTTCCGAGTGCTCTATATCACCGGGCACAGCCGATCCAAGATCGCATAGAATTGGATGACCTATTCGTTTCGGCATTCTGAGGTCCTGGCACAGATAGATCGTCCTTCCATCTGGACCCACGACCTTTCTAGGCCCGGGAATTTGCATTTCTCTCTCTTCAAATTCGCTGAAAACCGAGTCATCCTCAATACCGATAATGATATTACCGGCACTGATGTCTGATACAAAGTTGTCGTTAGTGAATAATTGGAGTACATGTATCGGGCCAAAAACCAGTATGTATAATCTTGCACTCTGTTTGTAGATAATCCAACGCTAGGGATAGAAACCGTAGAACACCCGTTAGGACGGTTGGAGGAAGTCTCCCTATCGGATTACGGTGTAGAAATGCCCAAACGCTTTCCCATAAAGGAGGATGCACATGACATAGATGCTTGTCAGAAGCTCTATCAATCTCAAAAGAGTCAAGTAGCGTTCTGACATAATGCCGGCCTTGGCAGCGTTTCGAACTTTTCTCCCATGCGTTTATACATGTTAAGCTCGTCATCCAACTGCTGTCCCATAGACGGAAAATTGGTGAAGATTTTGAGGGCAAAATGACGCCGCGCACTATTATTCTAGTGCGTGAGCAAATATATCTTAAATACTTATTTCAAGACGTGATAAAGAGCACGAAAATCCTAGCTTTATATCGCCAAATAACACTAACGACTATATGTTAGGCAAGATATACAAGTATAACCTCGCTATTACTGTCTTACCTAATAGCGAATATAGCACCGCTTTCTTACGCACTACAAACTGGTCACAGTTAGGTTAGAAGGGTTCTAGATTATACTTGCCTTATGCATGTATTCAATCTTAGTATTCGACAGTCAACTCTAGATCGTGACAAGTATTGGCGCGGGAATTCGACGTTCCATACTATACCCTGAGGGGTAGAATCCACGGTCGCACTTCTCGAAGCAGTCGTATTGGTCCTAACAAAGCCCTAGAACCAGATCAAGAGAAGGCATTAGTGCTTTGGATTGACACTTTAAACACTGCAAATGCACCACCAACCTCAGCTATGATCTATAAGTGCGCAATTGACATTCTTCGGCGCCATGATCCAGATCGGCAGCTCGGTAAAAATTGGGCGTATCGCTTTATTAAACAACTACCTGAGAAATACACCTATATCAAGCAAAAAACCTATGGAAAAAGACCGTTTAGAAGCAGTTACCCCTAGCCATCTTACTACCTGGTATACTCGCCTTGATGCTATAATTCAGCGTTGTGGAATTCAATCGAATAATATCTATAATTTCGACGAGGGCGGCTTTAAACTCGGCGAGGGTAAGTAACGAATGGTTGTTTTAACTAAAGGTGGCCAATCTAGTATTGGAACTGGCGGCCCTAGTGAATCTCTCACTTCAATTGAATGTATTACTGCCGATGGCTAGGTTATGCCACCTTGGTTTCTAGTGAAGGGTGAATTTCGTATGGAGAATTGGTATAGGAATACCAACCTTCCTAACGATTATTAGATTACCCCTACCGCTAATGGCTGGATAGATGATACTATAGCCTTTTAATAGCTCTAATCATTTGAATAAAGCATAAAAAAACGCTATACGAAGGGTGGTTTTAGGCTTCTTCTTATGGATAATCATGGTTCTCATCTTACCTTCGAATTTATCAAATTCTGTGAAGACCACTTGATAATTCTATATTGTTTTATCCCATATACTACGTATATATGCCAACCGCTTGACGATATGCCGTTTTAGGTGCTAAAACATTATTTTCGCAAGAATAATAATGATATAGTATAGTGGGGTGGTTTAGTGAAGCAAAAATCGGACTTTTTTACGAGTATATATGGCGTTCGTCTCTAAGCATTCTAAGGCCGTATAATACGCTCTGGTTTTATAAAATGCGGTATATATCCTATAAATGCCGATTTCGATTTATAAAAGCTAGGCTGGAATGATGATCCTAATCTTCCAGAGCTAGTTTTGGAGATATGGGATGGTGATACCCCTTCTCCCGCGTCAAGCTCTATACCAAATTCACCGGTAAAAGACGTTAAAGACTTCGGAAATACGCCAAAAAATTCAAGAGAAAAATTGACGATATTGGAGATGAGATTGACTCTATTTCTCCTAAGCTACGCCGTCAAATAGCTCTATTTTTAGCTGGTGGGCTTGCTTTAGTGGAAGCGGGCGCTCAGTATGCGCAGGACAACATCAACATTTTGGACCTAAAACGCCGGAAGGATGCCAATAAAACCAAGCGAAGGGTTAATATTGGTGGCCCTCTAAGCTCTTTAAATGCAAAAAGGCATATAAAAGTGAGAGATGACGCAGAGAGGAAGACATTAATCCAGCAAGCCAAAAAGAAGTGGATTGCGGTTTCTACTTCAGAAGCCGCTCTCTCAATGGAGAAGTCAATACCATAGGATATTAATACCGGAGATGAAAGCACGGAAGCAGGCGATTCTGTAAATATTAAATTCACCATAGATACTATAGAGGAAGGGTGCTAAATGTCATGTTTAAAATGGTGGGTAGTGTCACGATCTAGAGATGACAACTGTAGTTCTGCCGCTGCTGACCGCCTGCCAGGTTGAGACACTTGGAGGATGGTGTTTGCAGGTTTGCACCAAGGCCCACAAAGGACCTTGTGCCCACCAATCCTCTTCTTCCTTTTCCTTTACTCTTTGTACTTAGTATTTTCGTTGAATGCACTCTTTTTGTTCAAAGAACTGGCTGGTAACAGTTTCTTAAACCCTAATGCCAAGGTCCACTAGTCTATATTAAGGATAGCCCCGGAATAGCAATGTTCCTGTATTGTCAGCCATACAATACCTTACCCCAATATATCACATGACTAATTTCCAGTAGCTGTATGCTTGTCACGGTAGCCGGAACCTGTGTCATTGACAATGAAAATCTCAAAATATTCAGACAAGACCGGGAGTGAGTCTCAAGATTCATAGTAATGGTTTTATCTCCAAATGTTACCAAGAATTTGAAAATAAACACTAGGAAACTAGTAGATACAGGTATACAATTTGTGTCAAACTTGTCGAGGAAAGTGGAAAGCTTCATCCTTAAGACCAAAAGATCAAATCTCCGTTACGGCCGCGAACGAAAATCTCCAACTTTTGGGAACCAAGCGGACTCAAAACTGGTACCCCAGCAGCTTCGCCACCGAGCGGTGTCCAGGTAGTACCTGCCGGGACCCAGTTGGTTTCATCCCACGCCTTGTGCCAAACACTTAAATCAGGGGCCTGTATGACAATGTCCAGATGATTGGCGCTCCCGGCTACCACACGGGGACCGTTCAGAACGTCTCCACCAACAGGTAAAAAGTTTTTCTTTGGGGCCCATTCCCGATTTTCCCACCAGGCCTTATGATGAACATGGTCATCTGCTCCACGGACGAAAATATCAAGTCGAGTTGGAGCCCATGACACTGCATTCGGGCTACCACGAATAATGCCTCCCAGTGGACCGAAACTTGGGGTCCAAGAATTGTTAAGAAAAGCCTTGTGCCAGACACCATTGTCAGTGCCACGAACAAAAACGTCAATCCTGTCTGGGCCCCATGATACTGGTGCTGGGGTTCCTAGAATTTGACCGCCAAGTGACTCCCAGTTTTCCCACTGTCGCCCATTCCACGCTCGGTGCCAGAGATTATGGTCGGAAGCCCCATGAACAAAAACGTCAAGTCGATGTGCGGCCCATGACACAACCATCGGCTTCTCGATGATATTGTGACCGAGGTGGTCCCAGTTGTTAGGGGGATTCCACTTCGTTCCATCAAACCATTTGTGCAGTACACTCTTATCAGTGCCCCGGGCAAACACATCCAGCCGGCCACGATCCCAGGAAACGGCAGATGGTCCATCGGCAATATCACCACCTAGCGACTCCCAACTGGACCTAGAAGGCTTCCAGTCCGTACCCTCCCGCCATTTGTGTAGAACGTTATTGTGGGTATCTCTAACAAAGATGTCAAGCCTGTCCGATGCCCACGACACAATGGCTGGCTCGCCAATGATATTTCCGCCTAGAGTATTCCAACCCATATTCTTTGCGGAAATTCTCTTTAGATCCGCTAGCGACTTAGTCAGTAATGCGACACTGAAGATTTCTAACTAGAGGGAGAAAGTCATACCTCGCAGAAATAAATGGAGAAGGTAGGTTGATATTGAAATTGCATTAAACACTTATCATACGGCCTAGTAACGAGCAGAAATCAAACATTCATACGAGGGACTTCTAACGATTATAAGTAGAAAACTAATGCGCTCTTAGGGACGGCTAGTAGAAATGATGAAATCGGATTCTAGATCGCGCTAATCGATCCTTCTAGTCTATCTCACATTGCCGAGAACAAACTACTAGAGAAACTTTCTAGATGCCACTTACGTATAAACGATCGAATCTGAGAACTATATGTTATTAAGCAGGTGGGAACGGGGTAGTATACGGCCTAGAATCACGAATTCGACATCGCGTGCACTTGGAACCTAGATGAGATCATAATGTCTGATTTTTAGTTGGGGATAGGTATCTCCGAAGAGCTGATGATCACTACAGATAGAACGAGACGTAATATCAAGCACTAGTCTACGTCACAAGATGCGTCTATGAGGCGAAGGTGAGCTAGTAAGGACGAAAACAGAGTGTGTTAAAAGTACGAAATGATGTCAGTGTCACAACTTTCGGGTGATTTTATGATAAGAGCGATGTGATGTCTTTTTCTCTCTGGGTCTTGCCAACAATATTGTCCTTCGTGGCGACTTGAAGGCCCAGGGCATCACATAATACAATAAACATCACGCCAGACTAGGCGTTGACTAGAAGATTGCTCGGCGTCGATCTGAGCGTCGCTCTCAGCAATAATTATCTTGTCGGTTACACTTCTGGGTATCTGCTGTACATCAGTATGAATTAACTTTAATCTTGTACTTAATTAATATCGATTGGTTACATGGAAGCGGTGTGTGACTTTAAAAGTGATGAGGAACTGCGGATGGCAGAACCACGAACGAATTTAGTATAAGGTTTTGGACTCGGATGATCGACGTTTCGTCATGTGGCGTACCCCAGATTGTCGATGGTCATCCGCGTCGGACTCTGAATCTTAAATTAACCCTAGGGCTAAATCGAATCATTAGTCTGGATTTTCTTCGTATGGCTGCCAATGGTGCTGAATGAAGGCTTTCCGCTCAGCAAAAAATTGGATTCATGTCTGGAGAATATAGAGTCAGGTATACTGCGTACATAGCTTTCCACCGGCTTCCGAACATATCTGTTCAATTCGGCCAGTTCTAATCATGCGTTGTCTATGACTAACACAGACTTCGACTCAGGCCATTTCCTATAACACTAGAGCTGCTTAGTGAAATCCTTAAAGACGAACGTATGAGTCCAGCATCGGAACCCTCGAGAGAAAATAATGCTATCTTGAGCATATATTATAGGTAGTATCTGGGGATGAAACTTGGACACTTGTCATCCCTAGTGGAGACCAACCGGTTTGCCATTTTATTACATCCATATATCCATATACATAAGTTGGTACGATCTAAAATCCAAGCTAGAGTAGGAGTATTCAGCACGGAGGTTGTGATTACGCTCTCTGGCCTTGACCCAGGTAGTCTTTTTTGACCAGCGTTTTGATGCAAGAGCACGACTGATGCTAGACTTCGAGCATGTTGCGTATAAGCTCATGCTTTGAGCCTCCAGCATAAACTTTTCGTAAATAACCATATATATTTGCCATAAGGCCGAGACTAAGGTCATTTACACTAAACAGATTTGCCTCCATTATAGGTGAATTAATTAAATAGACGATTAGGGAGACCAGAAAATACTAATCGTTTACGCAGACTCATCGATGTCGAACGTATCAAGGAATACGGCTGGGGTATATAAATGTGAGAGAGTGGTGAATTGAGGGAATGGAATGAATTGAGGCGCTATCCATTCCTTTCTATCTTATTGATCATAGGTTATGTGCTTTGAACTACCTTTCCATCTCATGATAAATCTGCAAATTAACACTACAAGATCGTTTAAAGGAGTAATAATCGTATGTTGCTTAGTCCATAGGAAATTGTGTACCCAGTTCAAAATTTGTCAATTAGCAATCGCTCAGGCATTGATTTCGTTCTGCAAGACCGTATCTGCCATTTTTGGAACGGAAGGAAAGGAGAGTTTAGGAGTTAATCAGTAAATTCACAACCGCCCGCAGTCAACTACTCCATTCACCACCACTCTCCCAATTCACCACTCCCTCTTATTATATGCCCCTGTCGTATTCCTTGGTGCGCTTGACATCAACGAATCTACGTAAGCGATCATTCTCTTTTCTGATCCCCATGATATCGTCTATCCAAGGGGTTTTCTTTAGTCCATCAAATCTATTAGTTATTGTTGGGGCTACTAACTATGGGGAGAGAGAGAGAAGAAGAATCATGATCTATTCAATCTATCTAGAGCAGGGGATTTATACCCTGCCAAACAAAGAAAGGCTCAGTCTGCAAACAAATGGAGGCATCAATGAGATGACTAGACAAAAGCATCAATGGGATGACCGACATAGTCCAACAGTTATACCAAGTCAACATAGCCATTGATTACTCGAATCATATTATTAATCCATTTTTTTCTCTCTAGGCTTTTAGCCATTACGACATGAAACGGAGCAAAGTATTCAAGGCTTCTACCTGCTATTACACGCATTTCCACCAAATTAAATCCATTGGTCATTCAAGCTGACTAAATAAACAAACGGCAAAATGGTTCGGGACAGAAAAATACACGTTTCGAACATACCTTCACCGGATTTAAATTTCCGGAGCTGTGGCTTGCCATAATATACTGTGGCTGTGTGGGCAAATATTCTAAGTCGGTAAAACATCTTATATACCATACCGTAGACCCTAGTTACTCTCTAGAAACATAAGCAAAACATTACCGACCAAGCGGTCATTAGCCGAACGTTGACTCTAATGTCTATCTAAGGCATGAATGGCTCCCTTCTACGATGTCCTATCCTTGACTGGGCTTATATCGAAACCAGCATGTGAAGGAGAACCGAGAAGCACCATTATGATGATAAGTCCTGTCGAGATGGACAAGGGAAGATGAACCTGGCTCTTCTAGAATTGGTATTGACAATAGCCCTTGGCTGCCAGGACTATTTCACAAGAGCTTAGGTTTCTTACTCCTTAAGTGACTCCCCTAGAGTCACTACTAGAGTCACTAGTGACTCCTAGGTATACTCCTATCGAGTAGATCCTAGAGTTATAGTCACGTACCCTAAGTGCTATAAAGGGTAATTCTAGGTACGCCTGACCAATAGGAACTAGCCTGGAAACTAGTATTCTTCACAATGGGCATGCCTATTGTGGATATTGCCCGCTTACATAAGGCCCGTCAGCAATGCCCACCCGCCCGTCCATGGGTAATGTCGCAGTCTACTTATTAGAATTGACTTCGAAGTCTTCCAGGTCAAACTATTCCTCTGACGTATTTGTGCGCCGAGGTGCTTATCAAGCGGGAAGTGGGGTATCGAGGTCCGATTCGGCGACGGCGAGGGTTGTCGATTGACTGGTCGACGGTAGGAATCGTCAACTGTCCACGGGTGGTTGGTTAACGACGGGGTAGGATCCACTTGTTGGTGAGATCCCCTCCCTCCTCGGCCGGTTGGGATCTAGATACGTTGCCTACCCGCTTCTCTCAAGTCACATGCATTTTCCAATACTCCAACAACCCCCATCTCTGCAAGGAAGATATATTTTGGTCTTGGAGAGTCCAATATCGAGCCCATCTATATATGTCTTGTTTCCCAAACTCCAAATAACTTGTAGTGAAATATTTGGTATCAAAATAGTTCTCTCCTTAGCAGCTAGCTCTGTCGAAGGAAAAGCCTGGCACAGCGGCAGTGTAATGCTTTTGTCTCCTATTTATCAATCATGTTACTAGCTTAATCAACATCTACGAATCTATACCAGAATGGGTTAAGACCATTGCGTCGTTATCTTATCGACTCTTATCTGCTTTGTATATATAACGGGATTAGCTATAACTAGGAAGCCTATCTTGATCTTCCCAAGTTTGCTAAAACCACCGAATTCTGTAAAGAATGAGATTCTTTACAACCTGAGGCCATTCCATTGATGCCTCAGGGCCTTTGTATATAGAGTTCTTTCATCATTTCAGGGGTATGACAGCCACACTTCTTGGAAGAAGCATATGGAAGATGCATGGAATCAGCATCGTCATCGTTCTGCACATGATTCGGTAGAGAGATCTATACGAACCAGATCATCTCCATGACTTCCCCTTAGCAAGGATTAGTCTATGTATGAAGAATACATTCTGTTCTCCTCTCCATCATTGAATTACCTGCCTGACCAACAGGTGCTATCCTGAAAACTAGTATTCTTGACACCAAGGACCCTAAACCGTGGATGACCGTAGAGCAACCCCCCCCCCACCTCTCCTATATAAAACTATAGAAATCCGTTTCTCTGCTTTCCTACCTTTAGGTGAACAATCTTCTCGCCCAAGCTGTGCAACCCTACAGTCTCTCAGCATCAAAGCAGGTTATTCGATCCCGCCGTAAATATGCGGCTCAAGTACCATAGGCAAGCCTTTCATATTACTAACATAATTTCTTATCTCTAACTATTGCGAAGGATTTTGCAATCTAGTGTCATTTATATTCTCGTTAGGAAAGAGAAAAAGAAGTTCTCGATTTATAGAGCTTTAGAGGGCTCTTTCCCGGATAGCGCCCTTTAGTCGTCTATAATTAAGGATGTTAACGAAGTTGATCTTGCCTATTACTATGAGTTCGTATACCCTAGCGATTATTCTGTTCTATCTCCCACTTTAAACCTTCTAGGAAGTGATACTAGGCAATCTCGCACGGAAGAAGTATCTTCTTAGCAAAAATTTAGGACGATAGAAATCTTTAGAATCTGATTCACAATATCTTCCATCTAATAACACTTCCTCGTATCTATAGGCACTTACTAGAAAACTTGACTAGGCTCTACAAGCGGAAGTCGCTGAAAACTCGGCCATTGATTATCGATATAGCTATGCGAATGTGCTTATATACCACGCTGAAATAAATCGTTTCGCTTACGATACAGACTGGACCTCACTACGTGTTTTATCAATACACCGGCAGATTCAATCTCTCGAACACTTCAAACTATCCAAAGACCGGACTAGGGAAATCGTAGCATATTGGACCTAAAACGCCGGAGGGAAGCTAGTAAAAGCAAGCGAAGGGTAAATATAGGTGGTCCTCTCACTTCATTAGATGCAAATAGGCATATAAAAGTGAGAGATGAAACAGAGAGGAAGAAATTAATCTAGCAAGCGAGGAAGAAGTGGATTGGAACTGCTAGTACAGAGGCAGCTCTCGCCGCCAGGAAGTCGAAATTGGAGGATCTAAATAATGTAGAAAAAAGTGCGGGACCAGATGAATCTGTAAATATTAAATATACTATAGATACCATAGGGGAAGGTTGTTAAATGAGAGGTTTAAATTGGTGGGTTGATCAATTGTTGCATTCAACCCGTTTTTGCATTCAACCCGTTTTTGCATTCAACCCGTGCGGTCCAATTCCCGGTGTGGGAATTGGACCGTGCGTTGGGTCGAGTACATATATCATGCTGAGATTAGGATACGATACCCTTGTTTGATTACTATATGGGCGATCCTTAGCAACCTTTTCTACGCGTAATTTATGTGTCCATGCTACCCTATCACTCCTGGGAACGGCCCAATGCACTGCCAGTGAGGATTGATTTCATTGGCTTATCAGCTTGCTGTAGGAGCGGGTCTCTGCAGTGGCTTTTATTAGGCGACAATATAACAGCGCTACGGACGCTAGACCGTGACTAAAAGCAGAGCTAGGGCCTAGCCAATCACTATAAAGAGCCACGAGAATCCTCTTCTGGAAAAAGAATATCGAAGAAAATCTTTGCTCTCTGCTATCCTACTATTGAATTGAAAAACACCGCCGCCTTTGACAGATACCTTTCTATCTCTGAATACTCTCTATATAATGCGGCTTGCATATCATAATTAAGTTTGCCCTCATTTAGATAAAGATTGTTCCAATTCCTAACAATTGCGTAGAGTCCTACAATCTAATATCGTTCATTTTTTTATTAGTAAAAACCAAAAGTAGTTCTCAATTCACTAGGCATTAGAAAGTTCTTTTCTAAGAAAGGCTCTTGAGCTAGCGATGATCGAGAGTATTGATGAGGAAGTCTTTAGTCGTTACTATGAGTTTGTATACTCTAGGGATTACTCTGCTCTATATCCCGTTCCGCAATCTTCTGGGAACGGTACTCCGTAGCCAGAAAATAGGGAAACGTAATGCTAGGAAGAGGCGAATAGATGGGATTCTTCTAGCCTAAATTGGAATCTCTTCCACCTAAAGGGGCTTTTGCTTAATTATAATATCCTGCTAGCAGAACTTGGCCATACACCACGATTAGGATCTGAGAAGGACTTAAGCAATAACCCTTTCACGAGCTATACAGTAGTGTTTCTAAGTCACGCCGAAATTCATCGTTTTGGATTTAGAATAGGCTGGCTTTCTCTTATTCTCCTACCTTTCTATCGGTTGCTACGATTGCTTGAGAATTTTACTCTATTTTAAGAACGAACGGGAGACATCGTTCGGCTATTAGTATTTGTTTTTAAGGATAGTGAGTATATGAGGAATTTGGAAGTTATGCTGCGAGACTACATGGTCTGGAATATGGAGATTTTGATGCGGAATGCCGACTTCAAAAGTTTCCTGGCGCGAAACTTGTCGTTAGAAGAGACCGTCTTTCGTTGAATGTGGAAATAAAGGTGAGCTTATAAATTGAATGTGCTGCGATCTCTATACCATCTTCCGTATATCTGGAGATCAGATTGAAATCACTGAGACTAATATACGCTGATGCAGTTATAGCTAATGGTTTTAGTGTGTCAGCCTGAAAGGCGAACCCCCCCCCCCCAAAGAACCTCGCAGTTAACTGTCCCTGTTTTACGCGGAGCAAATAGGTTAGTTTGATGGCTTGCCACAACCCAAGAAGGGCAACAACTTATCAAAAGCCCTTTTGATTCTGATAAAATCTTTCTCCATTCGTGCAACCTCATGATATACTCCTTTGCTGAATCTGCCCCTCCATCTGAGTTCTGAATCCATATCTCCAATTCTTTCGTAGTGCCGTACGTTCCGGTAAATATCACCATCGCAATACGGCTGGTCATTTGGATGCTCATCTCTGATCCCCTGTTTTAGTTCTGACCTCATATCTTCGTGATATAAGCGATTGTATGTATCAAAGTCAAATAGAAAGTCTTACCGTCACTATAAAATTCAGCCACCCACCACCCTACAGACCTCTTGATTGTAGCCAGAACCCGGTGGTTCCCATGCAGACTATTTAGCCGCACTTTATCTGGGAGGTTCAAAAAGTGCAATAGGTCGTTAAGGAAGGCCTCAGTTTCATTTTGGGCAGCCAGAGCTTGCTAAAGAACACTATTACTTATCGAGACCTTCACATAAGTCTTAGGCTTCAGGCGAGAAAGCCCCTCCGACTAAAACATTCTGTCCAGCCGGTCCACGTACGAATCTCGAATAGTTCGAGGACCCAATTCATCAATTTGGAAATAGCGTAAGTATATCTTCGCTCTCCCTTTATACTATCTCTGACGTTCCTAGAAAACATCTTCCTAGAATAGTGACATGATAAATTTCCGAGACAAGAAGATCAAAGTGGCGAGAAATTAATGACACTTGAATTTTAAAGAGATCTAATATCAAAGGAGCCCGAATAAAAGATCCCTTTAAACTTTCGTGTTTAGAATATTTAACTTTCGGGAAAGTTGGAGCGCGCAAATTTTAAGAGATGGTATAATTCAAGTGATGATAAAATCCATAGCCCAAAATTTTCAACCGCTAAGAATATTTCATTATCCTGAATATTGTGCACCGATAATTTTTAACGCGGTCGGTGTTAACCGGACATAGGGAATTGGCGTGATGGTTGTAAGGCGCAAAAGCGCAATATAGAGAAGGTATATAAGCGTCTTCCAGGAGAGATAAATATAGAGACCACTGGCCTCCATAAAGTGGATATAGCAACTTTCCTTTCGTCCCTATTATTATTATTATCTTGATTGCCTCAGTATAGGGCTTCTTTCCAAAATCGCCCGGAGATTGGGATTTGTGCGCGGATACTTAGTCGTGGTACGCCATACTCATAGACAAACACGGGTCATCCACTCTATCTGGCCACCTCATAAGATTGTAAGGAAACCGGAATAATCCCGCTATTTATGGCTGACTCTAAGATGTAGAGTGTATCTGAGGGAGTTGTGTAATTTCTTATTTTGCCTCCGACCTAGTCACTCGTAATGAAAAGGAGAGTGAGAAGTCGTGTGAGTTGAAGTGGTCGTGTCGGTCGAGTTATGCCGCATGATAGTTACTTGACAGATGCAAGTTACTGTTTATAGGACAGGAAACAGGAATTCAAAAACCAACAATCTTTACTCACTCCTCAGCAAAGCGCAGCTACCGCAACATGAGATCATAGCTCATTTGTTGATGTTGTATGATTATTCTTATATATTTCTGTAACCCTATTGCCGACCACAGACGAGCCGGTCATATTGTGTATACGCGAGTTGTACTTTGAGCTTTAGCTACTATGTAGGCTGCATCGGACTCGTTGACTCATTCTTCACATAGCTTATTACCCACTACCAAGGCCACTAAATGAGACTACCTAATCTCGAGGAGCTTTATAGAATAATTGGTTAGTGAGAAAATGTCATCACGGAAGCTCTACAACAAGCTTGGTGCCGTGGGCTTCTCCTTTGCGAAGCCTCTCAAGACCGTCAAGCACCGCATCAAGTCCTCCTCTCAGCGCTGTAACAGGGGGTGGCCTCAAAGCACCATCACATAGTTGGCTCAAACTAGCATAGAACCGGCGAAACGAATCCCGATCATCGGGCACAACGGGGAACGCTGGACCTAGGGGCGACAGCAAGGAGAACGGTTTCCCAAAGACGGTGAAAACCATGAGACTTTTGAACTCGATCTCCGCCTTTTTCGGTTTCCCTTGATCAAGCAACGTGATAACTCGTCCCCTTTTCAGCACCTCGGCACAGAATTGAGAGGAGTTACCTTCAGAAAAGCAATCCAAAGCTTTGGTGATGTCAGGATACGCCTTGGAAATTTCACTCGCCGCTGTGGGGGACCGATAGTCAAATACCGAGTCTGCACCATAGCTTTTGACAAGATCGAATGATCGTGGGGATGCAGTCACAACCACATGAAGACCTGCCCTTTTGGCGAGTTGAATTGCGAAAAGCCCAACGTTCGAACCACCGGAGTAAATGAGGATTGATGAATCAGCAGAAGACTGCCTCGTAGCTCCTGACAAAATATCTTCCCATGCGACATCAAGGTGCGCAAGTGCAAGAACTGCAGTGACAGCTGGAATGCCATATGTTGCAGCTTCAGACATGGTAGTCGTGTCAGGGATAGGCCAAGCAAGTTCTCCATCGACCTTCAGGTATTCAGCAAACGAGCCGACGTCAGGGTATTGGCCACCGTGGACAAAACCTGCAACCCTGTCCCCAACATTCCATCGGCCCACCATGTCACTTCCAACTTTGACCACCTCACCAGCATAGTCGCAGCCGATAATACTCTTGTTCGGAGAGAGGAAATCTATGTTTTTGTTGTCGACCGGGTTGAGTGCTACGGCATGCACTCGGACCAGTATCTCACTATCGGTAATTTGGGGAGTTGGGATATCGACGATTCTTGCACATTGACCGAATGAGGAGGAGCAAGCGAAGTTGAGAATTTGCTTCGCAAGATATCGGTTTGCAACAACAGCTCTCATGTTGACTGCAGCGCTGTGTAAGGTACGTCAAAGCAAAACGTTAATAAACAATAAGAAAACCTAAAAGGCTGGTTTGACAAGTTAGTATCTAAGAATTGTAGATAAGGTTGGCTTGAAAAGATAATTGAAGAGTCGGGACGACTCAAAGGCCGGCGGTCAATTGCGGTATCGCCACTGGTATATGAATCGGGCATGATTAATAGTCACCCCGGGTCCGAGCCGAGGCTCGGAATGATGATTCATCACCAAAATGATAGTATAACTTCACGGTAGACATCGGAAATTCAGCATCTATTGTTCTACAAAAAGAAAATGTCTTTTCTTTTCGGCAGGAGCCACTCTTTTGATCCCAGAAAGGATATTTCAAGCCTTTCTGGGCGGGTTATTCTGGTGACTGGGGGCAACAATGGTCTCGGAAAAGAAACCATAAAGCAATTGGCGGCGCACGACCCCACAAAGATATACATGGGCGCTCGCAGCGCCAAGAAAGCAGAAGAAGCAATTATTGATATCAAACGAGAAGTTCCTTCTGCTGAGATCGTGTTTCTGGACATAGATCTTGCGTCTTTCGCCTCGATCAAACGCGCGGCTGAAACATTCCTGTCCACAAACGACCGTCTCGATATTCTTATCAACAACGCCGGTATCTTTGCTGCTCCGCCTGGCTTGACCGACGATGGTTACGAGGTCCAATTTGGCACAAATTACATGGGTTCGGCACTGCTGACTCGACTACTTCTGCCGATCCTCACCAAGACTGCTGATACCGGGGCCGATGTTCGCATTGTGAACATTAGCTCTGAGATATACCGAAACGCTCCCAAAGCCGGTATACTTCTCAAGCAGGTAAAGACACCGCTCACCGAGATCAGCACTGTCGCCCGTTATGGTCACTCCAAACTCGCCAACATATACTTCGCGAGGTCTTGCGCCAAGAAGTTTCCCAGTATTAAGTCGGTTTCTCTACACCCGGGGCTTGTCCGGACGAATATTGGAGGTGGAATGACAGCCAACCCAGTTCTCTCATTCATTTTTCGTCTGTTCAGCTCAGTAGCTTCCGTGGATGTTCCTACTGGCACACTCAATCAGCTATGGGCAAGTACCGCTGATTCGGCTGAAGTGAAGAACGGAGCGTACTACATCCCTTTCTTCAAGGAAGCGAAAAGAACGGGCATCGAGAGTGGCATGGACAAAGCGGAGGAATTGTGGCAATGGACAGAACGAGAGTTCAAGGAACATGGCTTTTAGTAATATTGTAATATAATATGTACCGATAGTTGTCGCGCTAATCTTAATGATGTTTGACTTGACATAAAGTACTTTTGGGTTTTTCCCACGAGACGATTATACTATTACAATGCCCTGTCACTTAAGCAAGAGACACAGAGCTCCCACGATGAAAAGATCTTTCATCGTGACTGAAGATCCCCGGAAAGCGAAGGCTACTCCTGTATGTCTTCCTTTCCATCACAGGCACAGTTGGTTGATTTTCACTGACATGATGGCACAGCATGCGATATCTCCCTCTCGCTCGTCATTTCGTCCCCCCTACACTCACTACGCGACGATCTATCTAGATCACGAGGAAAAGGTCAAGACCAAGGAATCTCGGTCTATCCAAGAGCAACGCGATAGAGTGTTCATTCCTGACTTTTCTTGGAATAAGTGAAATTAACCAGCCGTCCCACGGTAGGTAAGGACCCGGAACTAAAATCTCATTATATTAGCACTCGTTGATATTAAGTTGAAGCGATAATAACTTTCAAAATTGGAGACTCACAGCAGGTCAAGACCTACTATGAATGTTTATTGATCATTGTATGTTCTAGCTGAGTGATTGTTACATGTTGTCAGTGAGGTGTGGGACACCAGCGGGAGTTTAACGTGTAATATATACAGGAATCTTAAATCTGACTCCAATCTGCCTGTCTCCAAAAGTCCTCAGTACTGACCAAACGATCCTTGACGCCCTCGAGCTCACGAGAATCAATCATAACATCTCCCTCCCCGACTGTTTCCCACATTTTCGGGGCTCCAGCCACTTCCCAGAACTTCATCATAAGACCCAATTCAGTCCCCCACATGCCGTAAAGCGCTTCAAATTGCTCGAATGGGACTGATAGAACCTGAAGCTTCCCCTTCCCTGCAATCTCCGCCCATTTCGAGAAATATTCCTGGAATTGGTACTTTCCCGTTGTGACGTGGACATATCGACCTCCCTTGCAACCATTCGCTGCCTTGGGATATGGGTGTTGGAGAAGACCACTGACGGTAATGCCGATGTTGTTCACTGGGCCTAGTGAGGGAATATAAGACGAAGACTTGGCTGGGAGGGCAAGAATATGTTGTCCTGCTGGCTTCTATTATTTTAGAGTATTAGCGAAAAAGCAACTTCGGCAGAGGGGAAAGAAAGGGCGAAGTTCATACCGAGTAAACGGGCGTGAAGGGCGGATGGCTAAAATTAGATGCATAAAAGCCCGTCAAAAGAAAGATCGTCTTGGCGTTCAATACCGGATCATTCTTGATATATGCATCGACAGCCCCCTTGCCATCAAAATGCGGGACTTTCACCTCGCCGTTACTTAAGTCGCTCGCAGCGGGTAGGGTGCTCCAGAAGTAGGTTTCGAGAGTGGTTGTCTTAGCAGCTGCACGGGCCAATTTCACGCCTCGGTCATACTCGATTTGCATGGCCTTTTTCCGGGCCGACCCCTTTCGTGAAGGGTTCGTAGAAATCGGTAACTGCGAAGATGGCGTTGGCGCCAATGAAGGCATTTTCGAGGCTGTCTTCGTCGTCAAAGGTGGCGGCTACCATCTCGATACCACGATGGACGAGGGCCTTGGCCTTTTCGCTGTTGGTGTCTCGTGTAAGACCTCGAATTTTCCAGTCGGGGTTTGCGGACAGGGCGTCGATGACGCCTGATCCCTGCATGCCAGTGGCGCCGGTGACGACCATGAGCTTGGACATGTTGAAGTTGAGGATGGTTTTGAGGCGCTTTGAAAGGAGGAACTTAAGAAAGCGATGATTTGAATTCAAGACTTCTTCTCGAGGAGTACGGGATACTTATAGCCTTGACTACAGATTATAAATATAAAACTTAGAGTGTGAATATATTTTAACAAATTGCCACATTCCCACATAAATGTCCGCAGCGCCCGCAGATGCCCGCAAGTTCCCGCAGATGCCCGCAACCCCGTCCGGATTAGAATAAGTGCCTTTTTATCAAATGATGAAAATCATGATCTTCGTTTTAGGCAGGTGGTAGTAGCGGTGAGCTAGGTGGGGCCAAACGGGGTGCAATTACTGACGTCCAGTTACTGTACTTGGAACAGAAATGCGGACATCATGAGTCATGCATACACCGCCTACACCCGCAAACCTCCGCAAACACCGAAAGCTCCAGGGGTAACAAACATCAAAAGTTATAACCCATCATGACGTCTCATGCTCTCGCGTCCTGTTTCTTTTGTCGCCGCAGTAAACGAAGATGTGACAAGAATCTGCCGACATGTCAGCTGTGTATCAAAAAAGGCTTGAAGTGCAGCTACCCCCACAGACGCGGCCAACGTGCTGCCTCGCCTCCCTGCGGTGTCCATGGATCAGAATCAGGCGATGATTCCAATTCAGCCCATGCGGAGCCTGTAGTAGCACAAAGCAGTAATGTATCCCAGTTTCAGCCCGTCTCGTCTACTTCTTCGTTTGCTGTGAACGCCGCCATTAGTTTCCTCGCACCCGATCTCTTCCGTGAGGCTGGGTTAGAAATTCCTCGCCTGGACCTAGGCATTCCGGACGAAGTTTTCTTGCACCTAGGCGATAGCCAGCAGATTCTGGAGACAGCCAGCAAGTTCTTCCAGATGACATGGATGCCTATCGTCAGTCGGAAGCGCCACTTAGCCGCTGTACTCAATCCGTTATCACCATCCCGACGTCCAACAGTCTTGCTAAATCTTTGCATGAAGCTGTGCTACTTGCCAGTAAATGATGATGAAGGCCGAAAACGGACCTCGTTGTATCGATCAATCAAGAAATTCTACTCCGAAGTGGAGAGTACAGGAGACTTGTGTGTTCAAGTTTTACAGGCCGCTATATTCATTGCGGTTTTTGAGATCGGTGATGCGATCTACCCTGCAGCTTATTTGACAGTTGGAGGTTGTGCCCGTTATGGTATCGCCATGGGTCTGGACAAGATCAATAAAACTAGGTTGGGTGGAGAGCATAATCGCACAGCGTCTTGGATGGAGATTGAGGAGAAGCGAAGGGTTTGGTGGGCTATCTTAAACCTGGACCGGTCCGTCACTTCCTATCCAATTTTCCTTTTAATGGTCATTCCGAATTCGGGAAAATTGTGATCCTCGGCAGCATATAACCTCGCAAATTGACGCATTTTGAATACAGATTCTTAAACTTCACAAATCCTGCTCGGGTCTTGGCGACAGAGGATCCCATATTTGAAGATTTTCTCCCGGTCGACGATGATAAGTTCTACGACGCGGTCAGAACCATCTCTCTTCCTCTACTGCAAGTCTGAGCGTTCTGATTTGGATATTATAGAACTCGGAGCCGGAGGATGCGGTCCCCATATCCCAGGGGTTCGTATTCAAAATAGGTCATTTCGGCAGACTAGCTCAGGCGACGTACCTGATCAGCCAGGCCCTCGCTACCATCAGATCCTTTTCTGCAGTCTCTACTGACCTCAGCAAGACCAGCCTATCATCGGAGACAGCACAACTATGTCGCACATTTGAAGCCCTAGCTCGTGCTAATGAAATGGAAGTCACAGTCCGCAGGCTGCCCTTCTGCTGCCAAAGCCTGATTTCTTACAGGTAAGCACTGGCAGACAGCCGTTGCTAAGCCGCTCAGAAGGAGAAAACTCAAAAACTTACCCATTCATGGCAGCGGTGTCTTCCTCCTCCAAGAACATTACTGGCAGCAGTTGAATATGCGATCTCGACAAGAGGCGCAGCAGCATACATATGTTGAGACTCATAATGCCCTCGACACGCTTTGCCGAATTGCATTTGGAATCCAGCAAGGATCTTATCCGATGGACTTACGGCAGGGTCAATGTACATTTCTTCTGGTAGGAGTTGTATATCAAGGTCTTTCGGCGCTTTTGACTATTGGGAAAGGAAACCCGTCGCCAGAGATCAGAGAGAGCATAACTATGTTAAGATGGTTACTTCGACACCTACGAACCCGCTGGCCACTTTCTGGTAAGTTCCTTGGTAAAATGTCCTGAAAAGAATGGTTCTCTAATGTCAAGGGAAGGCGTTTATGAAAGAATTTTGGATGCAAAAGAGGCTCTGTTAGCCTCGGAGGCGATATAACTACAAATTTTGTACCACGGAAGGAGGCAGAATAGATCGGGGACACGCTCGTTTAATTTACATGTATTTTGACAGCTGTCGGGTTACCGAAGGCCAAGTCTTAGTACAAATACATTCTAGCTCATGTTCAACTGCCTGCCTTTCCATTCTTACTTTTCATTTTCTGCTGGGAAGCTTGATCGTGCCCATCATCTTTGCCATCAAGGCCCGCCCAAACCCGGGAACTCAATCAAAGACTACCACGATCACGCAAGCCCTTTGCCTATAAATACCTCAACCCGACGTCGGGTCTTCTGGCAATGCCTAAACAAATTACCGTTGCCGTTCCTATCAATGAAGGCAGTTTTTGTATCGCCCACAGAGCCTATTCTTGGCGAGGGATTCAACTATGCAGGTATGTCTCTTTACCCTCTTATGAGCTTTAAGCACTGATCCCAGACCACTTTAGCCTCTAGGAATAAGAGCATGATTCTACATACGTGACACATAAATCAATACTTCGAGAACAGTGGCAGGGATTCCGCGGCGTTACTGTATAGAAACCGACTTGGAAAGGACGGCGGGCGACTCTGATACAGGGAGGGTGGACGCTTACTCGAAGAGTGGAAACGGCCAAGCAAAGAAAAAAGGATAGAGTTCTTAAATTTGACAGAAAACCTGCAAGCCTCCCAATTAATCGGTATCAATGTCCGATCCCGTATCTTCTTTGGCATAGTAATTCCGTTCAGTGCTGAGGCGATGAACCTCTTCTGCATGCCTGCGAAGATGCATCTCATATAGCAGATCTTCGTCACATATAAAACACCTTCGATCCTATAAGTGCTTCTCTCGAAAGTGTCGTAGAGTCGACTTATATTCGCTATATTTCTACGTCCGGCGATAAATAGAAATTTTAGTGTCGCTATAACATTAAAAATATCGCCGAGGCTTCTTTACCTTTTTGATATAGTTTCCGGCTTTTATAAGAAGAATATCCTACTACGAAGGCTCCGGAGAGCTATAACTCTTCTTAGCTGGCTCTAGTAATACGCTAGTCTGTTCTTTATCGAACCCGTCACTTAGTGCAGCCCGTTTATATCGCCTATATAATAGCCCACCTTTAAGGAAACTATAGTATTAGGAGATCGTAGCCACGGTAGCGTTCCTTCTTTACCACTCCGCCTCTAGGGATTAAGAGGTAGGCTATATAAATAATTTCTTAAGAAGATTAATCTGCTCCGGTGGTATCTAGTCTTCTACTTAAAGTACCTTCTTCGCCTCTTCGTTATTAATAGCAGCCCCTAAAAGCTATTACTTAATATCTATAATAGCCTATTTACGGTCGAACTTATAGCGCACCTTTAGTCTTAGTGCTCTTTCTAACCGGCCGAATATATTAGAGGTTTCGCGTGTTAATTTCTCTAATCGCGATTATATCGCTACACTAGGATCGTATTTACACTCCTCGGCTTACTCCTTCATTCGCCGAGTGGCCTCGATATATTCTAGATATTCGCGAAGGGACGCTCGTTACTCCGAAGTAAGATACTAAGGGCGTCTCTTATTAATCCACCTACCTATCCGGGTGATCGCGCGTATTAGAGACTTATTAGATTCGCGGCCGTTTATAACGTTCTATATATCGGTGTCGATATATCGTAGAAGATAATGATTTAAGAAAGTGCGAGTGTTAGCGTGTTTTATAATCAGATTTTGCTATACTTCGCTAACCGCGCTACTTTCGTTTAATATCTTTCCCCCTCTATAGCGAAAACGATAGGCGAATATTGACTAAAGGAAGCTATAGATCTCCCCTAGATTTCTTAGACGTCTAGATATAGCGCCCTCGGTTATCGGCTAGTTCTATTAAAGAACCGTATATCTATTAATTACGTCTGTCTTACAGAAGATATAATAGCCTTCGACTTCGCGCTTTAAGGGTAGTTCTATCTATTATCGGCCACCTTAGACGAATAGCTTTTGAAGGCGCTCTATAGAGGAAAGCGTAGGGACTTCGAAGGCTTGGAGCTAAAGAAGTATACCGAATATAAATATATAAGGGCTGAATGTAAGCAATTTAGCAGATAATATATTATAGCCTAATGGTAAGTTATAATATTTTATAGGGAAGTAGTATTAGATATGCTATATATATTATATAATGTCTTATATAATATATATATATAAATATGTATATGGTTATACTTATCCTAAATAGGTAACTCAGATGGCGATGGTAAGATTGATTATTGTTATATATAGGAGTCTTTGCTTCTTATATAGTTCATTAGGAGGCAAATGATGAGATAATCTATGATATCTTTATTATGTTACGCACTGCTAACTGGTCACAGTTAGGTTAGAAGGATTCGGTTATACTTGCCTTATGCTTCTCAGGTTTCTAACGTCAACGATCTGTTCTCTCAACCGTACTGTTGCCTAACAGGCCTTACTGTAGGGTGGGTCCTATTGAGGTATCGAGGAACGATGCTAGGTAGAGCGCCGAGGAGATCTATACCGAGGTATTGGTCTACTCGTAGGTGTTGTCAAGTTATAATCAAGTAAAGAGTCACTAAAGTTCTAAAGGTATACATAAGTAACAATGTATGATTGAAGACGAAGAACTAAACTAGATATATGAATGAGTGTCCTTATATATCCCTAAGTTCTTCCCGTGTAGAATGGTAGATCGTAGATGAGTAGAATTGCCTTAGCAGATTCTACTAGTCTACTGTTGACTATTCTACTACTTGTATGATCACGTGACGGCTTCCGTTAGTGGCAGAGGTTTACTAGTCTATATAGGTATATATATACCGGATATCCTCTAGAAGTGGGTCCTACTTAGGGCTGATCGTGCTCTTACTCACTAAGTATGATCACGGTTTCTCTTTTCCCTAAACACCCGGGTATCCTAGAGTATAGGATAGTGTATATAATCTGATAATAGATCGTTCGGTTGGCTCTCGGTGGCCTATTAGTAGTTACGGTCCCTATAACTAATTGGTGACTAGTATATCTGTAATATCACCTCCCCTCTTCCTAGGAGTTTCGTCCCCGAGACTTATAAATCTACGGTTCCCCCTTAGGTAGGTGATAGATTTTTCTTTTCTTAAAATAATACGTCCTCGTTATACCTAAACGTAAGGCTGACTCCGTTTCTAAGCTTACTCCTAGACTTCCTTCTGATTCCTCCGACGCTCACTAACGTTAAGCAACCTATATTAAGGATAATAGTTTCACTACCGCTATTTCTTACGATTATTATAAAACGGCTAGTATAGCTTACGAATAGATCGGTCTTATCGTTATTCGAAATATACGTCTTACACTCGTATAGGTCGCACGTATAAGCGTGACTTCCACACTAGTCGGGAGTGGGATTTATTACGTTATACCGAAGATAAACTTTCTTCCGACCTTAAAATGAATAAAAATGAACTCGATTTGTTAGAACCCGAGTTAGGTAAATTATAGGCTCGTCTCGTAGAGCTATATTAGTAAGTGTTAAATAAATAAAAATAATACTAGGAAACTATATCGCGATAACGTCAGCTACGAAAGTAGATGGCTTTCTTAAAATAAACGGGTTTTAAAATGTTAGAATATAACGCGGAACTCCTTCAAATTCTCGATAAAAAATAAACGTCCCTAGAGTAGTCTTCCTCCTCTACCCTTAAGTTCGAGTAGCTTACTACTACTACTACTAAGTATCCGAACTTTGATTAGATACTAGCGGAGATCGCTAATCTTCCGGTGTCTTTCTAGGACGGCCTGGTTTTCTCCGCTACTAGTATTAATAGAACTATTAAACTAGCTAGGGGCAGCCCCTTAGGTTCTCGATAGGTTCCTATATATTTTCAGAGGTATCGTACCCCTTCTATCTCACTAAGTAGTGAGGCTTTCCGCTTATTCGTTTTATTTCTAGAATTTCCTTAACCTTATATTCGTTTTCGGTTTCTTCCTCTATTTCTATATTTATTATAAGTTTAGCGTTATTTAGTACGGGTTCGAGTAACGAGATATAGAACACTAGATAGAGTTTTTGCATACTTTCTAGTAGCCTTAAGCGATAATTAACCGGTCCTAATCTTTCTTCAATTTCGAATAGTCCTAATCGTAGATAGTCCAATTTGTTACTAGGTCGCTTAGTTTTAATATTATAGCGTAAAAGATAAACCTTTTCCCCCTTTTTAGGTTAGGTCCCTCCTAGTGTTATTAGTTGTAGTATTTCTTTATACGTAGGTTAACGAAGTTAATATCTCTAGCTAGTTATAGATATAACTGTTTTAGCCCGCTAGCCTTTAGTCTTACTAATTCCGCCACGGCTGTCTTACTAATTGGTTCTCCAAATATTATAGGGTTATACCTATAGTTTACGAAGAATGGTGATTCTCGTGTTATAGAGTGTACTATATTATTATATACTAGTTGTGCTATTGGTAATAGTCCTACCTAGTCATCTTACTAGTAGTTCACTCTTTCTATTTATCCGTTGGTTTAGGGATAGTATATAGTAGA